ATACCCGTACACCTGTACATAGTATATCGATATCCAACCAACGCTGACTATCTTCATCAAGAAGTACGAGGCGTTTTACACTGGAAGTCAGAAAGTACAACGCCGTGCCTTTTTCATTTCCGTGACTCGTCCCGGAAACCTTATTACCTCTTCGCGCCTTTTTTTTTTTTTTTTGTCAGGGACGGTGTGTGTACCGTGGGCCAGGTAGATGGGATGGTATCCTTGTTGCGCTTATGGTCTGAGCGCTGGTCATCATCTCCCCAGGATATACTAGAACGGTTGAGACGCGATGCTGCCAAATTCTCATATGACAGGCGATAATTCATGACGTAGTGAATCTTGAGATCGAGGGTTCAAGGAGACGTGGTTTGCACGACACGACCAGCAGGTATTACGCTCCATACGAGGTATCGTATATACTTTGGGCATGCTTTTTGGGCGTATTCGCAGCTTCGTTGCTGCGTAATGGAATGGGTTTTACTCTCGGTTTTAAACACTACAGAGTAATAGTAGTACTGTGGAATACTGCTACTGCCTACAGCAGGTCGCTTCGATAAAAACGTCCCAGCTCCACTACATCAGATGCGCTACCTATCGATGTAGTATGGACAGGTGTTACAGGTAAAAGGGTGGCAAGAAGGTTACCCCTGCGATGATCGAGATCGCGATGTCGCAGTCAACGCAATTACCTTTGCAGGCGGGCAACAGCGACAGTGGGGAGAGAGTTTACTCGCAGTTGATGCCTCATAGATCGTCATGTTGAGGCCTGTCTCCCGACCGGGCCGAGCCTCTGCAGAACACTGCATGGGGACAGAATGGAGATGGGAGATAATGACACAATGAATCATGGGTAGGCCCGGCCAGATTGATACGTTGAGGAATGCCGTTTTATGTTGTACTACAACACTACTGTATGTCTATGGAAGGGAAAAAGAAAGAAAAAAGAAAGAAAAAGGAAAAAGTGGGTGTCAGAAAAACGTTCGATGGAATATTTTCCGACCAAGGATTCAGACTGAGAAAGGTAAGGTGTTGCCCTAGACAACCCTAGGTAGGTAGATAGATAGACTGGTAGAGTCGATACGCATGTGGGGTACGTCCAGCAGGCCATAATGCCCTCGCAGTCACTGCAGCAGGGTTTTAGCTCCAGGGCATCGGGTCTCCGCTGGGAATTCGCCGCCAGATCCAGGGCAACGAGAGGGAAGAACAAGAGAGAACAAACCGTATTCACCCGCCACGGTCACCTGAAGTCCGATAACCCCGTGCACAGGTTCGATTTGCTCAAGTCCTTGAACCATGGCTGGAGCGGTGACCTGCCTAGCTGGGTTTAGCGACGGTGTTGTACAACTCATCGCTCAAGGTTGCGGGTATATGCCGGGAGACCCTTCTGAACCATGGAACCGTCGACATAGTCGCTTGAACTATATCATAGCTCCTCTTCACGTCTGAGATACGTCCTGTTGCGACTACCGATCTAAGCAACCGGATGGCATGGGCGCGATGTCATCCGGAGGCTGGCGTTGGCAATCTGGGGCTCCTCATGCCGGAAAGGAACAGGTGCAGAACAGTAGACTGTCATGGAACTACCATGATCCCAGTTCTTTCCCCACAGAACGTCGTCTGGCAGACCCGGCGCCCGTGACGAGTCGTTTTTCCAGGTTACTCATCCGTTGTTCTACGGTTCTAGTGGCACTACCCAGCCACAAGAGCCCCTTCTCTCGTCAGACGAAAACTCGCCGATTGGGGTTCTCGAGGCTCTCGAGCGATACGGCGGTGTCTGCAGGTCTCCATGAGGCGGACGCCATGTGTTGGGCGCCACCGTGACCGAAATATAATTGACTTTGGGATACTTCGTGTTTCAGAAGGGGGGTTTGAAGAGACCCTGGCAAGCTGTAATTGGCAGGACCATTTACCCAACCACTCCAACCCGGATGGATCCTCCAATGACTCGCGTGGGCGGAGGGCCATCTGCAGCCGTTCATTAGCCCCGAACCTATGTTACTCAGGGGATCCCTGTCCCAGTCCGATGAGTGGACGAGCTGTCAACATGGTTTTCCGGGTTGTGGGCCATCCTGCAGCCATCATGCTGCACTGACTTACAGCCTACCCACTCAGTCGTCGCGGAGTGGGGGGTTCCGGGTACCCAGAATGCTCAGAATCATCCTGATGGATTCGATCCCAGGATGGCCTGCGCATGAGGGGCCAATCACGCGGGGGTGGGTGGGCAATCGGGTAGGGATGACCCAGGTAACTGGATGCACGGTGGGTGTTGCTGATCATGGATATCGCACTGTACGGGGCCCGAAACGGACGCGGACAATCTCATCCTCATCTCCCAGATCATGGTTACACCACAACGTACAATCTGCGATTATTGAATTTGCCTATCAGTGCTGCCGCAACGTCAAACCCCACAACTCTGCCTCCGATCATGTCCTGACAATCAAAAGTAGCAGGGATGTTCGATCTGAGGCATCCGGGCCGAGTCTGGAACAAACGACTGCCTCAGGGCCTCATCATCTGATTCCCAACCAGCACCCACTATTGACAAATTGCCCCCCTCCCCGCTCTGACAGCCATCTACTCCTCCTTCATACTCCTACTACATGCGTAAGTACGGACTTCCATCTTCCTTCCCCATCTGATCGACCGCGTCAGTCCTACGGGAAAAGGATTCCCCAGCAACGGGATTCGCACACGGCCGATCGGAGATGGACAGACGGGACACTAACCACAACCACCAGCAATCGGCGCAGGGATTATAGTCCGCTCGCTCGCTTTTATTCGGAGCTACGCCGCCGTAAGGTACGGCCTATCAGTATCGCGACAGCACCACCCTCCACCAACAATCGATCGTGGAACTTGACCGACTATTTCGGGCAGCGGTTGCCTCCGGATATTGTATCCGCATGGACCATGCCCCGCTATGAGGGGTGGACGATGCCAACCATCCCTCCTGCCATCCTTCGGCCCATCATCATGATGAAAGTCCAGAAGGCAGAAAAGTCGATGTATTAGAAATCAAGGAAGAGCGCCGAAAAAAGGGCAGGGAAGAAGAACTCGGTCTAAATCCTTCCGGGCATACAGCTAAGACATGTACTTCGTTCGTCGCAATGCTTGGTTCCTGCCCGAACTAATGACCTGAATTGTTTGCTTCTAGTCGCAACTAGTGATCTGGTCATGTAGCATCGCGCCTGTCTGTTAATATCAGTCGGTTTTGCGGGCTTTCAGCACCCGCACAAACAACCAGCAAACCCCGACGAGAAAATAGCATGACAGAGAAACCACCGTCGATCCGGCGACAGTTCGGCCGATAGTTCCAGCCTTGACGCCTGTTTCAGGTTTCTCTTTGTACCCAGTGATTATCAGTCCCGGCTGGCAGGGGGGTTGGGAGGGGGGGAACGGGCGGATCAGGTTCCTGAGCTCGAGACCGGGAGGTTTGATCCACAGGGTTTCCTGGGACCCAAAGTCCTATGCAGGCCCAAACACCGGGGTTCCTGGGATGGTAGACAGATTGACAGGATTGTTGTGCGGCATGATGGCTGTGGCTGGCGTGCTGGGCACTGGGGATCCGCCTGTGCGCCTTTCACTTTGATTGTGTGAAGGCCACACCGTCGCAAGCGTAATTGCGAGGCTTAGTGGCTGGTATTATTGTGGTGTACCTGTGGTTCTTGGTCAGCACCTGGCACTGGCTAACCCGGAGATATTGCTCAGTTGGGCAATTGGCCCCCGGTCAGGGGATTGGGATTGGGGGATCTGCAAGTCCGCGCCGACTAACTAGTCTTGATCTGCTGAGTAGTGATGCCTACTACGGAGCAATCATAATGGACGTCGACTTGCTAATTTGCGTAGGTATAAGAGGGGTGTTATTGCCATCTGGTGGCTTTACGTAGAGTGACCGAGATGGGCCGAGATGAAGTCTAAGGTACCAGGTACCCAAGCCGTGCCATTCCTCCTTGTGCGTCGTCATGACCAGATACTACCCAGAAATTTTGCTGGTTGTACACAGTAGAATCCGTATTGCGTACCCTAAGCGAAGCCCCAAACCCTGAGTAGGGCAGGCGGGCTGTCATGACCCAAACCGGGAAAGGCTCGCGGGGCGGACGGACAAATCGGCCTCGGCCAGCTGTCATTCTGCTTCCTCCACTGCCCAGTCAGTGGATATCCCCTGGTAGGGATATCCTGGACAATGAGATTGTCTGGCCCCGGCCACCGCATCGAATCTCGTCGTTACCAGTCCCTGCAGACTCCCTGGCGTCGCGTCGCGACTGTGTTCAGGAAACTTCAGGATGGATCGATCGTCTGGACTCGTCGGGAATCCCGCCCACCGACCCAACCGGAACCATGGTTTGACGACTCGGGGAAGTGTCGGAAGCTCCATAGTTAAACGGCCTGAGCGTTGAACAGTTTGCACAGTGGGTGAAGTTGTGCGCCTGCGAAACATGGATAATCCCGGATTGCTATATTTACCTCTGGACAGCCTCGGTGCATCCTGAGCACTCCTCATCAGCCATTTGGGCGCAGTTAATATAACATTGATCTTCGGTAGTTAGGAAATCCATTCTCCGTCTCTTTCTCTACTTTGATTTCTTTTTCTTTCAAATCATAGGATCCTCCTCTCCATCTTCTGGTATCTCCTCGTCGCTTAACTAGCTCTTCCACTGACTTTCCACTAAGTTCACTAACTCCATACCACATAGATAGACACCGGCCGTCGCCACCCCCAAGCCGCCGCCGCGCCATCTCCAGTCGATCCCCCCCTCGACGAACCTGAAGGATGGAACTCCTTCCCATTTGAGGCGACCATCGCGCCGACTGTCCGCTTCGAACGACAAACCGTATCCAACCCATCCATGCACGCCGCTCAAAGCGGCCATCTAGTGGATCGCGCCATGAGCAGCATCTCCCGATCCTCGACCCGACGACCAGGTCAACCCAGACTTGGTCCATGCACAACATCTCAGATCCGCTCGTCTATCGCTTTTTCCTCGATTCTATCTCGCGTCGACGGGGGCGGTTATTGGCGAGGACCCCGGAAGAAAATGCCGTGCCCACTACCCATCTTCTCCCAGATCTGCCAATGCTCCGCGAAAGTTTTGCAGCAAGAGATATACTTTGGTAGTTCGGTTTCCGGAGGTTTCTTCCGCAGATATGCTCAGGAAGGAAACTACTAGAGACGCTCCTAGCCACGATCCTAGTATCTTCGTGACAATGGTTGGTCCCGTTCCCAGTCTAGGCCGGAGTCCTGAGGAACTGGAACTCCCGATCATGGGCCTACTATTGAGCCCAGCGACAATGAGGATGACGCCACGCGACGCAAGGAGAGTAACTTTATTCGCCCAGCTTATCGTAACGATCGCAGCTGGTATCAACCATCAAGTCCCGGGCCCCCTCCGTACTAAACCTACTCTCCGGCAAAAAAAATCCGGTCCTGAGCCAAGCTTCTTCACCACGCCCTCCGTATGAGGAAGGACATAAACTATCGGCGACAGCGACAGCGGGGTACCCGGCATGCCATGCCATGCCATGCTTCCACGTCAGTCCTCTCGAAACTAGAACCTAGAAACTAGAACCATCTCCCACCAGCAGCGCCAATTAAGCGCCGCCACACCCCCTGCTGCATTCAGCAATTTCAGGCTAAAGACCATCTGTGGCAGTGCAGTACAAGGCAACGCCGACAGCCAACCAACCAACCAACGACAACCCCTCCTGCGTTTCCCCTCCAGGTACCTGGGACTCAGTAACATCTTCCCTGCCCTTCCATGTACCTTCTGTTCATCTCACCGCCAGTTCAGAAACCCCTCATCTCGTGCATCGTTATCGTCATTGTGCCCTTCTGTGAGGTCAATGGCCGTTGAGGATTCGCTTATCGCGAGGATTCAGAGTTTGGCTACCGTTGTGGTGCTTGATGCAGTCGTTCATATGCCACCACACCACTATGCTATCATGCGCCGTTGATACCTTCACCGATGGAATGTATTAGGTCTAGATTTAGTCTCGAGGAATATTTCGTAAATAGATTCCTGGGGTAATTTTAGTAGATACGAAGTAGAATCGTGTCCCAAAGTCATTATATATTTTCTGTAGTAATATATATATTATATGTATATTTACAACAGTACAATGATATCAAAACATCAAACACCACAAGACCAAGTACTACCCAAATAACAAACAAAATCTCCCAATAGCACACCCGTAATCAATCTTAACTTCCAGTTTCAATAAAACTCTATCACCACCCACAAACCACCGCCACCCATCTGGACTACCGTACATCCATCCTTTACATAGGATATGAAAGCCCAAATCAACCCAAACCCTTATAAAAGTTAAAAAAGAGAGCACCACCACCACCCCGATCCCATACCATCTTTTCTGAAAAAGTAATATATATCTCATGTCCACCACGACCCAAGATGAAGGAAAGAAAGTCCCGTACGTCTACCCATTCCTCCCTGAGTATCCATCTCTTCAATACATAGAGATCTAAGTAGGTATTGACTATCCCATACAATACGGAATCAAGTTACTACTTACTTAGTACTTACTATCCCATCGCCTAAACCCTGGCAACCACATACATGATGATAATTAACCACGATTCAAAACATACCGATTAAAAGTACTTACATCCATACATCCATACACACCCCAAGAAAACATCCCTCCAGGAAAGGGAAAGTAAGTACCAAGTAAGTACCCTCAATACCCGCCAACCAACCCAACTCCAAGATTTAATTTAATACCTACGTACATCCCTAGCTACATCCCTAGTCAAGGTACAAGATACCACCTAACTACTCGGTACCTAACTAACCATCAGCTGAAAACAAAAACGAAAGAAAAGAGTAATAAGTCTGACCATCAGTCAGCAGAAAGACTCGCCCAGTGACAGGTGGCCGTGGCGCCCTGGTACATGCATGCCATGCAATGCAGCTGCAGAGCCCGGGTCTGTCTGGCAGGTGCTTCCCTACACCGCTACTATGGATGATGGTCCATGGCAGGCAGGTTGGCGCTGGGGAGAGAGAAAAGTTTTCGCTTTTGTTTTTTTTTGCTCGCTCTCGTTTTCGGAGATGGGAGGTCGAGGTGAGTAGATGAAACATGATCGGGACAAACAAGCAAACAAACAGTCTTGATTAAAAGTGCGGCATCCAACTGATGTACATGGTCACTACGCAAACAGACAGTGTATCAAAAAACGCCCAATATATATAAATGTGGTGTGCGTGCGTATATCCCAGCAAGATCATACTTTTTTTAGTCACAAAAAGACCGACCAGACTTCCGCTTTCTAGACCCCAACAGTGACAAGACACCTCCGAGCAATCCGGGATTGCTAATCATCCCTCGTATGATCCAAGCTCGAATCGCATCCCCGTGCCTTCTTTCCATACCGAAACCCCCCCCCCCCCCCCCCCCTTTTTTTTTTTTTTCTCCTATTGCTTCCCAATCAGATGCGCACAGACTGGCCATGGACCCCCATGCAGTACACAAACAATAGCTCTGTCTATGGACGGGTCCTAGTGACTCATGTCGGGGGCGAAAGATCGGCCTGAAACCATACCAGCTATCTTATCCTCCCAACCACCCAGAAAGCGCCATGTTCGTCATACGCGCTAGGATTGTTGCGTAGGTCCAGACCCGTCGGTGCTGTCCAGGAGTCCGGCCTCCTTGACCAGGTCATAGAACCGACCTTCGCGCTTGATCAGCTCCGCAGGCGTGTCGAACTCGACCACCCGGCCCTTGTCGAGCACCACGATTCGATCCGAGTCGATGATGGTGTTGATACGATGCGCGATGGTGATGATCGTGCGGTCTTGGAAAATGCTGCTGCGCAACGTGCGTTGCAGCAATGCGTCCGTTTCCACATCCACTGCCGCCTAATGCCAACTGTAAGTCTCCGGGGGGCCACAAGAAAAATAGGGGTAAGAAAAAACTGCATTGGGATTGGCCACGTACCGTTGCCTCGTCCAGCACCAGAATATTACTAGGCGTCAACAGCGCTCGTGCAAGAGAGATCAGCTGGCGCTGCCCTTGACTGAGATTGGACCCTGCCATGACTAGGTTAATCCGGATTCCCAATGATGTAGAGATACGCGCGCAGACTGCACGCGTGAGAGGCCAGAACCAGCCACATGCTTACCTCCTTCCTGAATTTGGGCATCCAACTGACCGTCCATTTGCGCGACGTGATCTTTAAGTCGCGCATGTTCTGCAGGAATAACAGGTCAGTCCATCCGGCTTAGCCTTCGTATGCAATGTAGCCCAACGTACCAAGAACGCTCCAGAGTTCGGTGTCATCGTGCGCATGTCGTGGGTCCAGATTATCCCGGACGGTGCCCTCAAACATGGCCGGATCCTGAGGGATGATGGCCAGGCGGCCCCGCAGGTCAAACAGGCCAATCGTCGACACGTTCAGCCCGTCGATGCTACACGCGACATTAGTTCTTTCGCCTCGAGAAAATGACGTCGGGCAGCAGTCCGTCCTTACCTGATGTTGCCTCCATCCGGTTCGATAATGCGGAAGAGTGCAAGTGTCAGCGAACTCTTGCCTGCACCGGTCCGGCCAACCACTCCGATCTTCTCGTGGGGCTTGATATCAAGATTGATATCCTTGAGCACGAGATCAAGTCCGGGGCGGTAACGTGTGCTGTAGTTGTTGAAGGATACCGCGCCTTGCGCCGGCCAGCCAATGGCAGGCCGGTGCTTGAAGATCACCTCCGGTGCCTCGCTGGGCAGGCTTGCGTACTCTAGTACACGCTCGACCGACACGATGTTTGTCTCAACCTCGACGGTTTGCCGGACGATCCAGTTCAAGGATTGGGTGATCTGGAGTGCGTAGGACATGGCCAGACCAACCATGCCAGCAGATATCCCACTGCCGGTCGTTACGGAAATGATAGAAAGTACTGCAGAGGCCAGGATAATGACGGAGCCAATGAATTCGAGGCGCACCGCCAGCCATCTGTTGGCACTGATGGACGGGAAGTATGCCCGCACATTCGCATCCATACGCCACTCGTTCTCCATCGTGAATCGGTCCTCTTGCCTATACGCACGAATGGTCGAAATGCCACCCAGCGACTCCTGGAAATGAGCGTAGATGGGACTCCGCGTAACGCTATCCAAGCGCTTTAGTTCACGGGATGTGCGGAGATAGTACTTCTGGTAGCTGAAGTAAACATAGCCCAAAGGAACGATCAACAGAAGGAATGCTGGGGTCGAGGAGGCAATGACAATCATGGTGAACATGGCCTTGGCGGAGTTGCCAAACAGCTATTGCCAGATGTGAGCGACTGTGTCTGAAAAGGCTGGCATCCCAAACTTACCATATTGAATGTCCGTGCAAGCACTTCATCAATACGATATACATCACTGCAGAAACATAGCTTAGTTTGAATCCCCCAATACCCAGTCACGAGAAAGATTTGGCCGGAGGACCAGAATGGCAGACACACCTCGAAAATCGGTTGAGAATTCGGCCAGATGGTGTGGTCTCAAAGAAGCTCATTGGTGAACGGAAGATCGCGAATGCCATACGTTCGTGGAGTTTGCGAGAGGCCTAATAGATTGTTAAACGACCAATCTGGTAATCTTAAGTTGAATTGAAAAGTCAAGCATACCTCGATAGAGCAGAAGATCCACAAGATCAGGTTTTGAAGAATCACCAGAAGGGATGAGCCCAGACCGAACGCCAAGTAAATACCGATGTATTTACCGACAGCGAGGTTTGGGTTCTTCTCGGTTTCCTCAGACCAGTGCTTGAGCCAGAAACTGCCAGCGACTTGCGCGGTCTGAGCTCCCAGGAGGGCGACAAGGTAGAAGCAAACAGCAACGATGTTGCTGTTCTTAGCGTACTCGCCGTAGACACTCCATTTGACTTTGCCTTGCTGCGATGTCTCTTGGGTTTGCTTGCTCTTCAGCACATTCTCCTCATCGCCGAGCTTGCGCCTGGGGCCCTTCCAGCTAGCAGTGCTAGCACGTCGTAGAGTCACGGTACTAGTTCTTCTTCCAGTAGCAGCAGCCCTGATCGGAGCAAGAGCGCCGATTTCCTGCTCAGCATCCTCTGGATCCGAGTCAGAGTCTTCGTTATCGATGACAGTGACGGACTCCGAACTCTCAGGGCTAGCCAGCTCACGGCTATCGCTGCCAGACTCGTCGTCGTCGGAATCATTCATGGTAGTGCGAACAAGGTTAGCGACTTCACCCTTCATAGCCAGGAGCTGCTCGTAGGTTCCCTTCTCGATCAGGGTCTTGTTGCGTAGCAAGCCGATGAAATCCGCTTCTTTCAGGACAGGAATAGCATTTGTCGCAAGGATTCTGGTCTTAGTACTGAGAATACCGTTTCGACCAAGTACTCGGTTGATGAGATGTCTACCCACATGCTGATCGACCGCGGAGAGAACATCGTCGAGCAGATAGATGTCCGCACGAGCATAGACAGCTCTAGCGAGGGTCAACCGAGCCTTTTGTCCTCCAGAGAGAGAGATTCCTCTTTCACCAACTTCAGTTTGATCTCCATCAGGCAGGTTCTTGAAGTCGTCCAGCAAAGCACATGCCTCTACCGTGAGGTCGTAGAACTGAGGGTCCCACCGATGGCCAAAGACAATGTTCTCACGGACACTGGCGTTCATCACCCAGGGCGCTTGGGCAACATAGGCGATGCGGCCTCGGACAACGACTTCACCCTCAGTCCTCCACAAATCACCCAGAAGAGCCTGGAGCATAGAAGATTTGCCAGCACCGACTCTGCCGACAATACAGCTGAGCTCGCCCTTGCGGGCGCTGAAATCGATATTCTCAATAACGTGCGTCCCATCGTATCGGTTCCAAGTGAAGGACGCATCCTGGATCCTCACAGACTCATCGCCGATATGGGTCACTGTATCCTCGACCTTAACAGCGTTGGTCTGCAATTCCTCGGCGGTGAAGTAATCCGTCAGACGCTTGACAGCCACGGAAGCCTCGATGACAGCGGTAATAACCATGGGAAGAATGGAAAGTGGGAAAGTGAGAAGGTTGAAAAGCGTCAAGGCCGGGAACACCACATCGGTGGTCAGAGGCTTGTCTTGCGTCAGGGCGTAGACAGTAAACGTGGAGCAAGAGACCAGGAACGGGGTGGACTGCCAAGTGAAGTTCGCAATGGACTGCGTCGCACCGATTTTGCGGAGCGTGTTCAATTCCAGGTCATTACGGATGTGGCTGAGCTTGTTCATGAAGGCCGTATTCCACGCATAGAGCTTGATACTCTTGATGTTGTTCAGGATCTCCGTCATCAATCTGGATCTCGAATCCTTGTTTTTCATCTGAACAAGCTGAAGCTTCTTCATCATACGAGCGATCACTCCGTTCAGTGGGATCATGAGAATCATCACACCAATTCCAGCAAACATGCTGTATCCGACGAGCTGATAGAGTGATAACATGCAGAGGGTAATCTGGAAAGGAGCGGACCAAAGCTGGATACCGAACTGGGTCAGATCGGACAAACGCTGTTGATCGACAGCCATATGATTGACGATGTCTCCAGTTGTCTTTGTTGAACGTCCCTCGCTGGAGAGCTTCAGAGACTTGGCGTAGATCATACCAGTCAAGGCAGACTTGACCCGCATACCGGTGTCAAAGGCTCTCTGGAAATACTGGTGGAGGCACATGGTCTGCGTGATTGATACCAGGAACATTCCAAGCGCTATGGCCACACCCCGGATGGCTGGCTGAGGCTCGTCGGTCCGATAGGAGTTGATGAAGGTGATCAGTAGACGCAGAAGCTGTGGCTGCACGAAGGCCAACATGTCGCTCCCGCATTTGATGATTCCACCACGCAAGAATGATCCACCGAAAGACTTGATGAGCGCCAGCGACAAAGATGGCTTGCTCTTTTGCAGCTCATACTCCCAATGCCCCCTCAACGTCGACCCAGTGACGCTAGTTGTATCACGACGACGCAAATTCCAGAGGTCATCTTGGGTCAAGAAGTTGCTGTAGCCGAATTTCATCATCGGGGTCATCCAGCTGAAAGTGAGGACCGAGAAGATGTCTGCGTATTCATAAGGGCATTCATCCTCGTCGCCCAACGCATCATAGGCACTTTGTTTCTTAGGAACAAAGTACTCCAGAGCGAATTCCAGTAGCGCCAGCCCGAGGCTTACGGTGAAAGAAACGAAATAAGGAAGATGATCCTCGTACGCCTTCCGTGCAACAAGCGACCGCAATTTGACCCCGTAGGCGATAGCGAAGAAGAGCCAGTAGAAGAGCACGACGCCGTTGGGCTGCCTGCTGCGCCAGTGTTCATAGTACTGCACCGCAAAGATCATGCACAAAGAAGCGAGAACAAGGACTGAGCTCCAGAACCGAAAGTCACCAAACCAGATATCCGGGGAGGTTTCGACCTGGATCGCTGCCTGTAGGGCAGTGGTGAAGATCAAAGCGGACAAAACGACCTACTCACCGGAGAAAAGGCACAGGTCAGTCCAACGGAAGGGCAGGAATCGAAAGGGGTAGGGGCTTACCAGCTTGGCGTAGAAATGCCAATTCTTTGACACCGGCTGAGGGATTCGCTTTTTGAGCAAGTACCACAGGGCGCCTGCTCCCATAAGCAGACCCCATGCTGCAACGACGGCGACTCCAGCATCCAGAAAACAAGGCGTCAGATCGAATCTGAATTCACTGAGCGGGCCCCAGCCCTCAAAGTCACCGCAGAAAGGCTGCAACTTGGGGGACTGGAATGCTGTGTTCGGGTTTGACGATAGCAGGGTTCCGGGGTTGGAATCCCCCAGGAACGTTTGGGAACTGCCTTCCAGCATTTTCCCCGAGTGAAAGTATCCCAACCACTAGTTCGCTCGTCCTTTCGGACATGCAACGGGGAAGGGAGGAAGCAGCGAAAAGCCCGAGGTTGCCTTTTTCACGCAAGGAAGGATTGCGATCGTGAAGGAAGAACGTTTCTTCGAGAGCGATAACCACCGAGAACTACTGATTCGTTAGTGAGCTGCACGCTGCTTACTAAAAGGCCACGGCCCAAGCTTTGCGGAAACAATACTGCGTCGTACAAGGGCGATACCGTTCTGTCTGAGCTGATAAGCGCGGACCCCCCTTTTCCTTTCCACGCCGCTTATCGACCTGCTTACTGCTGAGACGTGCTTACTAGTGCTTTTCTGCTAAAGGGCCGGAGCTCGTCTTTTTCAGGGGGCAAAATTGGTGAGCTCAGGCTGACCGATGGAGTCGCTGAATGTCGGTCAGATTGGAGCGTTGCATCGCTCTTCTGTACTCCGGGCCCCGTACCTTTTCCCGGCCATGCCAGATGGGGGAGATGGTGTTCTCCGAGCTTATGACATAATTCACCCCCTCCCTCGTGGTAGAGCCTCTTTGGCAGGGTTAACCCGAGTGTCTCGATCTAGATCGATATAATTCTCTACAGCCTCGAATTGGATGGATAGTCGCCTTATGTCCGAGCCTTGGACAGTGCGACATCGATTGCTCGGGTTTAGGACTCACAGTACGACGGCGATAGCCTGGGAGAGGATCTCGGGTCATCCTCTCACATCTCGGGAGCAATCACCAATGATGTAATGATAGGCCGCTGATCCCCTTATCAACCACGACTAAGCCAGATAGGATGCGTCTATCATCTAAATTGCTTCCACCCCAGATATATCCCCTCTCATCACCATGATGTTGCCGCTTCAGCTGATTCATACCGGATGCATTACAAGCCAACCCCTCGTGAGCCGACGAATGCACTGTCACGGCAGAGCTGGTGAGATTGGGTTGGTGAGTCTAGCCAATGTCGTGCTTACGGGCCCGAATTGGCTCATCCTGATTGGATACGCCAGCAGTCTACAGCAACCCCACCCGAAGATACCGTCTGTACCGTATGCTCGGAGTAAACTTCCAGAATCTCTCCCCGCCTGATGAGTGAGGTACATCGGAAGGCTGGAACACGCCCAGCTCGCCAGTATCATTGCTGGATGGGGTTGGCGATGCGTTATTGGACCACTACGACCAGCCTGTCAGCCCTACTCCACTTAAGAGTTGTGCTAGCAGGGCGTTGTGGACTCTACTGACCCTCACACATTACCCAGGCAGGAAGGAATCGCCTTAGATGTGTTTTCTGTGCTCGGAAAATACAGGAAAAGGGTCACATAATCAGACAAAAAGGAGGGTACTGACTACGGTCCGAAAAAGTGGGCAAAGAAATGAGGCCTAGAAATAGATCTACTTGTGGCGGGCAGTCTGTTGTGCGTAGTAGATATGGTAGCATGGTAATGGATCCGCACCTTAGAGCTTCCATGCCTAATCGTCCAACTCAATCAGTTCTGTGGGAGCTTTCGGCTTGACCTGCACTACTCCATACCCTGCGACCTGGTCCTCTTCATGCCTGTGAAGTACCCGATATCCGTTGCATCTTCAACCAGTTTCTGCCCGAATTGCTGGTGGAACTGACCGCGGAAGGTTCCAGCCCCACCTCCAAGGCGGAAGGCGGTGGGCTACACGAGGGGTTCCTGCAGCGTCATTCGGCGCGCAAACAGTCAAATCTCAGACCACTCCAAGCATTACTATCCTGCGCTCCCTGCGGTATCAGCATGGCTGCAGAAACCCCTGTCGAAGAGCTGGTCAAAAGACCCTTATATGGTGAGTATCGCTGGGTTTCTGTTCTTATATTCAGGCCTTGCCTTTAACAATCCATAGTTATAGATTGCTTGCTGACACTGAGTCATCGAAAGTGTACGATCTTCCGCGAGAACTCCTCTCGACTCTGACCACAAAGTTCGACAATCAACCTACACCAGTGGATGACGTCCCTGAGCTCACTCCAGAGAAGTCCGAGGAACAAGTTTTGGATCATACAGTTGCCACGACCACTAGTTGCGCCCTCTGCAAGGTATCATTTCTGAACGTGCAGGAGCAACGGATCCATGTTCGCTCAGATCATCATAGATACAATCTGAAGGCGCAGCTCAGAGGCGGACCCACCTTGGATGAATCCCAGTTTGCGAAAGCCATTGGAGAGCTCGATGAGTCCATATCTGGGTCCGAATCGTCAGAAGCGGAGGACGAGGAAGAGGATGGACAGCTCTCAGCCTTATTGAAGAAGCAGGCCAAGATATCTCAAACGACAGATGAGATAGACACCCCATCCAACAAGCAGGGTTCCGGCAGGCCTCCTTTGTTTTGGCTCTCTAGCTCACTCCTGCCTTCCAATATGTCCTTGGGTGTTTACCGGGCCCTGTTTTCGAGCGCCGAACAAGATGAGCCCAGGCATCTTGTCGACTCCCTACGGAAGAAGCAACTTGCGCCTGTCGCCCCACCGAGATCCAACGGAAATGCTCAAGAGAAACCGGTGTCGCCCAGCCCTCATGTTTTCATGTGCATGATCGGCGGTGGTCACTTCGCAGCAATGCTGGTTTCGCTGGCTCCTGAAATTCATCGGAGGCAGGGTGGCATTGAGGATAGACAGGCTCGGGTGATTGCGCACAAAACGTTCCATCGTTATACGACCCGGCGAAAGCAAGGAGGCTCGCAGTCGGCCAATGATGCCGCCAAAGGCGCCGCGCACTCAGCAGGCTCCAGTCTGAGACGATACAATGAAGCTGCATTAGAAAAGGAGATTAGAGAGTTGTTGGCGGATTGGAAGCAAATGATTGATGAGGCTGAGCTACTGTTCGTTCGTGCTACAGGCAGTACGAACCGTAGAATCCTCTTCAGCCAGTACGAGGGACAGGTTCTCAAGCAGAATGACCCGAGATTGAGAGGGTTCCCGTTCAGCACCCGTCGGGCTACTCAGGGTGAGCTTATGCGCTGCTTCAAGGAGCTCACCCGGGTGAAGGTGAGCCAAATCGATGAAGCTGCGCTGGCTGCTGCAGAAGCGAAGCAACGCGAAAATGTGTCCAAGCCGTCAACACCACGGCCTCAACCACAGAAACCGAAGGTTTCCAAAGAAGACGAAGCTGCTATGCTTCATACGACTCAGATACAGGCTCTCATTCGGCGTTCTAAGATTCCGGCATTGATGACTTATCTGTCCAAGAACTCAATCTCACCGTCTTTTACCTTTCGACCAGTTGACTCTCAGCAAAACTTCCGGTGTCCTACCCCGCTTCACTTCGCCGCCAACCTCAACTCTTCATCCATGGTTTCAGCCCTTCTGACCAAGGCCGAAGCAGATCCCACCGCGGTCAACGGCGAAGGGAGGACCCCTTTCGAGCTTGCCGGGGATCGTGCAACGCGTGACGCCTTCCGCGTTGCGCGTCATGAGCTAGGTGAGTCCAAGTGGAACTGGGAAGCTACCAATGTGCCATCTCCGATCTCTCGAGATGACGCCAACAGCCGCTCCGAGAGGGAGCGGAAGACGGCCGAGGAAGAGGAGAGCAGTCGACGTAAAGCTGAAATGGATCGCTTGAGAAAAGAAGAGGCTGCAAATGCAGCACAACGTCTATCCAAGAAACCAGTCGGTCGAACGTTGGGTTCTGTTGAAAAGACGGCTTCTGAGAAAAGAGAGGAAGAGATGCGAGGAATGACACCGGAGATGAGAATGCGGTTGGAGAGAGAGCGCCGCGCCCGAGCAGCCGAGGAACGCTTTCGACGGATGCAAGGAAAGTGATGGGGCATATACGTCCTTCGGAATAGCTGGTTAGATTGCAGTGTCGAAGGGGCATATATAATCTTACGAATAGAGACGACTTCACCATGATTTTTGGCAGCTTCCCCTGATTTAACAACTGCGACGATACATATGCCTCGTATGCTACTCATACTACTATTGCAATTAGACGTGAGGAAAACACAGGGTGGTTGCTGCTGCTCTAAATACCATCAGGCAATGCAGGCAGGCAGGCACCTGACCCGTCGCGGCTGAAGCAGTCCCCAACCATCTTCAGCTTGCTCTCCATCTCTACCTCCTCCTGTCTCTCCTTCTATGATACAATTTCTATCCATACTTCAACTAACCCCCTTCTCCGATTCATTGTTATTCCTATTGGTTATTCCCCGTCCCTCCAAGCACCCGCCAACCATCCCCCATGTCCCCCACATCCCCCATATCCCCTAAGTCCCCCATATCCCAGGCTCAGCTCCCCTACTTCGTTGGAACCCTGTCTGAATGGGATCCAGGGACTCGGCAAGAGTATAACCCACTGGCCATCTACAGTCATCAGAAAATATACATCGGGAGAGATTGGAAGAAATGGTATGGTCTCTATGCCATTCGTGTGATGCGGAGGTTGACAGGCCCACAGTCAATATGTTGTGAATCATGCCGAGGTTTCAAAGTGTCATGTCTTTATCTACTCTGTCATTTTCGACCAAGAGGACCCGGGACACATTCCGCCATTGGTATACGCCGAGGACTGTTCTTCCAATGGCACCTTCTGGAACTCCTACCCCATGTCAGGAAGGGGTGGCTTTCTCCTCGGGCACGGCGACGTTTTGGAGTTAGCCATAGGTCATTTTCTCCGGTTTACATACCCAGAGCATGTTGAGGAACATGTAGACCCGGTCAGGGCTCAAGAGATGAAAGTGGGTCTTGCGGTGGTCCTTTGAGCTCGTAAATGGTGCTAACCGGCACAGATGATCGCCAGCAGATATTGCATCACACCGTGTAAGCTAGGCTCCGGCGCCTACGGGCAAGTATATATGGCATACAAGGCAATTGATGGTCAGCAGCTCGCTTGCAAGGTCATAGATCTCCGGTCTATCAGAGACCAAATAGCTATGAGACCATGGACAAGAGATGGTGATAATGAGGAGGATCCAACCGCGGCGAGGCAATCCGAGCTCAACAAGTTTGGACAAAAGGCGACAACGCAACACTGCCACAAAAGGCTTGGCTCAATTCTGGGAGGAATCGACCGCGAGGCCATTGTGTTAAAGGATCTTTGTCACGTTAAGTTCCACCATGAATTACCTTGGTAACGCCACACTGACAGACAAAACAGCCCAACATTATCAGTGTCGAAAAGATGATACACACTAGCTTCAATGTGTAAGTGTGGCTCATGGGACCGCACATACATTTGGGCTAAGTAGCACAGATATCTCTTCCTGGAGCTGATACCCGGGGGAGACCTCTTCTCCTATATTCAGTATAAGGGGGGGAAGCTGGGGAACATCGATACTGCAGTCATAGTTCGACAGATTCTGATGGCTTTGGACTACTTGCATGAACGAGATATCGTTCATCGAGACCTGAAGCCAGACAATATACTCATGACATCCTTAGTGGATGGATGCAGAGTTGTGCTCTCTGATTTTGGGTGCGCTACTCACAACCCTGGTCGCATGTCGGAAGTGGTCGGCACATTTGATTACATGGCCCCGTTAGTAGTTCGTTCATTCCATGACGGTGCCTTGCTGACTTGAAGACAGAGAAATGCTGTATTATTACCCAGATGGCTATACTAAAGCCGTGGACATGTGGTCTCTAGGTTGCGTGACAGCAGCCCTCCTCACGGGCAGTAGTATCTCATGTGGGGGGTCATTTGCAACGGCATCAAACGTGACCGAACTCGCCAAACACGGGGGATTTGACAGGCTGAAAACAAGCCTACGCAGAAGTAATGCAAGTCACCGCGCTATGAATTTTGTCCTTCGCCTTCTCGAGTTTATTCCAGAGGACCGCATGACTGCAAGGCAAGGGCTGGGTCATGAATGGTTCACCAATCCGACTCATGATGCCGAATTCAAATCTCTATACCAACGGTCGATCCGGAATTGGCTTCCATGCCGCCCAGAGGAGCCTTTGATTGTTGATATTTCTAGTCTAGTGCATTTCAATGGCCGAAAAAAGGAGCAAGAAGCAGCGTCGATTGGCTCATCCCTCGAGGGGGACGCAATTGCTTTATGTTCGTCATCTCCACAGCAGAAGACATCTTCACTAGAAATGCAACAATCGTCATGGTCTGCTGAAGCACAGAGCTTCTCATCATCATCTAGAGGAGAGTGTTTACATGATATTGCGTCTCAAACCTTGTCCGATCCCGACCTTCCTTCGCTCTCGGTCTGAGAGACAATGGGCCAATCGCCATCGCGAGCTGTAGTCGGATGTCAAGGAAAAATGATATATCTGGTACAAAGATGCTCGCCTTGCGAGACGGTGGATGCCTGAAGATGATGGTTTGCTGGAGAGGGAGGGACGTCTTGGCCAAATAGTTACAACTAGATAGATTGCTAGGATACGACAAGCAGAAGTTTATGCTCAAGCGAACTTGACTGATCCATATATTTATCTACGAGAGGGTGTGTGTAGGGGATGTAGGAAATAGGAGTGACCCGAACAAAGGCAGTGCGATCATGTCTCAGCTCGTAGCAAGTTCGATCTAACATCGGCCCATCCCTTGACGAGTGAGCATCAGCCATCAACACCCACCACAATCACCATCCTACCTTCCCAAACCCGACGAAAATCATCCAATGTAGCAGTGTATCCGTCACAGCAGAAATATCTACCCAACAGCAGAGCAGAACCCACAAAACCCAGCCTGTCAACCAAAGAACAGCCATCCATCCCATCGCATCCCATCCCACAGACGGTACCGAATCCTAAGCACCCGTATCTTGCATCGTGGCCATTGGCCGATTACTACTACCTTTTCCAGAAGTGGAGCCTTTGAGAGCAACAAAGGGGAGGGAAGAGAAAGTAATCCTTGTTACTTGCAGGCCAGACTTCATCCAATCCGGATAATATTATCCACACGGATACAGAGAAGTCAAGCCAATGGAGGGTTCTGGACTACATTGGACTGGGAGGGTCTCAGGGCGGAACTTAACAAGTAATACTACTCCGTATAACCCTCGCTGGCTATTATTAGGTTCTGGGGTATATGGAATAGTAGGTAGTACTAGGTAGTAGTAGTAGTAGTAGTAGTAGGTATCAATCCGAACACAGGTGAAACTAGCCTATTTGCCTCCGTGCATTGGTCCTTAGGTAAACGGAGGTAGATACTGTGTCTTCTGCGTTGATCAACGTAGTATGTACGAGGGGGCGAATAGTAATTTTATGAGTTTATGCTAGGGCTAGAACACTATTCTATAGTTGAGAGTTGATATAGGGTTTTGGAGATGCACGTTGACGTCGTGTTGTGAGGGGACTACGCTACGGAGGACAGGGTGCACGATCACTAAGACCAGGTGTTAAGAGTCGATCCCGGATGGAACCGGAAATCAGGAACCAGGAACCAGGGACCAGGAACCGTGCAGGTGTCAATCGTCCCTGCACATGCAAGTATGTATTGTGATTCGCATAGACGGTAGGAGAGGGGGGAAAGTGTCCGATATCCCTTGCGTGAGGGGCGGATGTTGCGCGGAGGCTGGGGATGGAGGGGATAATACGGGCTTGAGAATCAGATTGGATTGAACTGATTAGCGTTTGTGTTTGCTGCTCTGTGCTTTTGGGATCTTCTGAGTTTTCGTGGTTAGGTTGATGGTCGACAGGGATCGTCAGCCCTTGTCGGTTCCTTGGTTGGTTTTGTTCTGGCTTTGTAGAAGGGGTGTGTCTGTAGGTTAGTCTGTTTCTGTGGACAGTTGAGAGGATATGGAGAAGAGAAACGGTGTTTCGCCCAGCATTTCACCTGGTTTGGATGGCATTGTTGCCCGTGCTACTCCGTATGTTGATGCAGATGTATCGGTGGCGATTCCTCACCATTCGTAGAATATACCCGTGCGGACATATCTCCAGCTGCGAGATAATGCGAAGCGGCAATCCGTGGGTGATTTCTCCGAACGCAGCCTGGGGATACATTGACGAAGCAAGGACGAACAAAGGAGCGCCGGGAGAAAGAAACGAGGAGGAATATCAACGTGCGGTCATCTGACGTTGAATGTCCCGAAACGGCTCGCAAGCCAGTAGTGGCGAGCACGATCCATGAGACACGAGCCAGAGAACAGTGTATAGCCACCGAGAACCACGTCAGTGCGTGAAGGGGATAGAACCTTGCCCGGAGCAAGAATGTGGGAGTGAAGGTGTAAAGGTGGGCAAATGTCCGAGGGGGAAGCAAGGAGAGAAGGAGGAGGGCCGATAAGATGGAGCGATAGGAGCAAACACATCGTCACAGCAACTTTCTCTCGGGGATTTCTTGGCGATCCACGGGGTTGAGCGCAAGGACGCTTGCCCGGCCGAACCCGACCGGTTACCGGAGGGATGCCTGTTTCACATCCACTTGCACTTGGACAGGAAACTGTACGGAGTAGTGATGCATCGGATGGCAATGGAGTGACGAGTCACCAATTGATGCGTCCAGGCGATTGGTCACCTGCAACTTACCAGCTGCGCTGCTCAGCTGCCCCGATTGGTTGACGCGCTGCCCCAAAACGCGCCCCGAACACGACGCGAACGCGGTTCGCGATGGCGTCTCAATTTTGCCTCTTCGGGAAAGAGCCCCCCCAACGATCTGGCGGCCAAAAATTTCCATTGCTTCGTCGGAGGACGAGAAAGATGGTAACTCTACGGGGAGAAACGTTCTTAATATGTAGACCCTGGATGAAGAGAGGGGAGTGAACCACTTCACCAGGTCCAGAGGGAGATAGAGGGAGAAGACGGGGATATCCAGGTAGTCGAGGGTTGTTGCCATCCCAACCACCACTGGATCGACCTGTCCATTATAGTTCAAGACAGACAAGTCAAATTGTCGGCGTAGCAGCAGCAGCAGCAGCAGCAGCAGCAGCATCGGCCAGCAACTTGCGATCCCGATTCCCCCGGCTGCATGGCGTATGGCTGCGTTGTATATGGCTGCGTTGTATAGGAACATACGGACATGTCAACTACATCCAGCGTATACCGCGCAACCCAGCTGCAATGCAACCGCCTCCGTCCCACTACGGTACGGCCCAGCCCAGCCCCAGGCTGGTGATAGCTCTCCCCAGCTGGCATCTATCAATTTGACATCAAGTGGGCAGCAGGATGGGGCAATGGCGCAGTGGGTGACCCTGCGAGAGATGCCTTGCAGCCTGCATCCCTCCGAAAGGGCTGCTGGTCTCCTTGTCTCACTCGGTCCTTGGAGGGGCACAATGGCCGGACAGCCTTTGTAGCTGGAGATCGAACCCTTCAAAAATAGGCCTTTCCCTGTCTTCAGGGAGGGAGATCGAGGAGCAAAGAGAAGAAACCCATCCAGGAGGAATCGAGGGCGCAGGAGAGAGAGAGAGTCTCGAGTGCGGGTGATACTAGTCATTCATTCTTTTGTACACGTTCGACAGGTTCGCTGTCGAAGCCATTCGTTTTGTGATATCACATTCAACTTTAGGATCATTTTGGATCTGTTGCGGCCATTCCAACCTGCCACCGCATTCACCGTCGCTCGCAGTGCTTTGTTAGTGTGTTTGGGAATTCTGCAGCCCGGAAATAGACTTTGCAGAGGGGATTGTTGGTTGTCATTGGCCTGAGGCCGAGTTGGGGGGGCTCCCGTTTGCGGAACGGCCAAAACACGGCGAAAAGCAGAAAAGCAGAAAAGCCGGCTCTGGTTCGGGCGTCGAGTCCGTCCGAGTCGCTCTCCTTTTTCGCCGCTGCGCGTCACTCCCTGATTATTCTTGAGGTTTTGATCCCTTCCCACACCCCCCCCTCCCGACATCATCCCATCATCATCTGCTGCTCTCTCCCTCCCCCACCCCCTCTCCATCGCTGTCATTCTCTCGTCGCAATCTTCCGGACCTACTGCAGATCAAAGCGCTGCCTGTCAACATCTCATTCCCTTCCTTTATTTGTTCGCTTCTCCCCCTCTTCTCCTCGAGACCTCCTCCGGCGCAAACCTACATTCCTCGCGCGGTCCTTCCGGGGCCCAACACCACACCAAACACTCCAGGCACAGACTGCCTTTCCCACCAACCACAACTCCAACTCTCCATCGCTCCTTGTCTTCTCTTATGTCCATCATCCCTTGCCAATATCAACCGTCTCCGCGCAAGATGTTACTCCCATCGGCGCTTCCTAGCGACTTGCGACAGCCGCAGACCCAGTTGCACGTCGCGCCCAGTCAGCTTTTCACCACTCCCCCTCCATCAGATGACGACTTCTTCCCATCGGGCAACGGCTTGCTGGGAACCTGTCGCGCCCTGCAAACTCTCCTGAACGGATCTCCTGCATCAACTCCCCGCCGCGCAACTCCCCCGCGTCTCCAAAGTCCCCTCCAGCTGCGATCCCCACCTCCCACCCGGTCGCGCAAGCGGGTGTCGCAAAAAGACGTCAACCTCAAACAAGACTCTCCCTCCCCCATCGCCTCTCCTTCCAGACCTCCGCGCGGCGCAAACAAACGTTGTCGCGATACTTTCGAGATAGAATCCGAGACCGACACCGATAATCACAAACCCACCCACTCCGTCGTCACCGAATCGCGCCTTCGCTACTCCACCCCCAAACGTCGCAGACATATTCCCAATGATCTACCATTAGGTCTGACTCAATCAGACTTCTACTCGCTCTTCTCTCCGCCGATCACACAGTCGCCTCCGTCGCCGGCGCATCGAACACTCGGGGATCTGGACGGAAAGGAAGGACCAGAACGTGACACACCCTCATACAACCCCGATGCGGCGCTGCCGTCCATCGAGATAAGCGATGACTTCAAGAACACCCCGCTAGATGAACCATCGCCGATCGACTCCTCCCCATCTTGGACCGCAGAGGATGACACAAGCCTCGTGGACCTCGTCCTGTCGAAGATTCAGCTCTCCAGACAAGACTTGAACGACTGCGCCAGGAAACTGGGCAGAGATGGCGAGTCCATCGGACATAGATGGCGAGCCCTCCTAGATCAAGGGGATGTAGGTTTGCGACGGACCGTCAAAAGGCGGCCTGATGAGAGTTGATCACAACATGACATTACCACCTCTTCCACCTAATCCTTCTACCTTTTCATCTCCCTTTCTATCATTACCTACCGGTCTCAAAACCAACTTTGATGAGACCATGGATCAACTAAATGTACCGACCGCGAACACCTTGATGGGATCGCCACGCTCCTACGCCTGTATCTTCCTTTTCTTTTCTCTTCTTTTCCTTCCTTCCCTTTTCCACTTTCTATTTCACACTATTTATGGGACTAATGTACGATACGGGATATGGATAACTTTATTTCCCTTTTCACTTTCTGTTACTGCTTCCACTTATGTCCGGGCAATTTCTCTGTTCTCTTTCCTATTCACCTGATGTGTTATCTCTCGGCTGCGGCAGATTGTATTACTATTATCATCACCCCCCTTGTTGTCTTTCTTCTTTTTCTTTCTTCCGGGATTTCTATGGGTTCGATTATTCCTCTATCTATCTTATTGATTGATTTCTTCCGGGGCTGTTTTTTTTTTTTTTCTCTTTTTTATTATCTTATCTATCTGCCTGCTTATTTGTTTGCTTGTTTTATTTGCTACATACCAAAGTCGCGATGGCCAGACTGATTGATTGATTTGATTGATGGATTGATTGATTGATCGATTGGTATCTTACATACATTCATGTATCATATGACGACGGGGCCTCGGGAGTATGGATGCACACACGGGTTGTGTGGTCGATACTGTCCTTAGTATATCTACTTCTTAGCTAGAAGAGGAAAAGAATTCAATAAATATGGGAATCAATGTCTGAGTGATCGAATCCGTATTGTAGTCTGAGGACTACTAAGTGATTACGCTGTAGAATTATGACGGTAGCAATCTATGTCGCCAGTTGTCGTCGATTATACCTCTAAGCATCCACCCATCCATCCACAACAGCCAGACCAACCCAGTTATGCAATGCATGCACCAGCCCTATGTGCAGTAACAGGAAACGAGTATAAGATAGATACACCCAACAAGAAAACGTCAACGCCAAAACACCAAGCTCAACGTCGGTAACGAATAGCACGTTTTGACCGGGTATGCAATCGGGATATCAAACCACCGGCTACCCTACCCTGCCTGCAGTAACAAGTAGACTAGAATCTGTTTCGGTTCGAGTCAGCGCACATCCACCGCTCCCCACATGAGGGGAAGGGTCCTTCATCAAACGTACCGGATTTCATAACTGCCCGCGCGAGTCATGTACCGCACCCACTTCACGCTGCTGTAGTTGCTCTTCTCAAACACCTTCAGATACCGCACCAACAACCCACTACTGGTGAACATCAGCAGACTGAACGACAGGCTGAGCGGCGGCCGACTCCACGCCTTCTGGTGTGTCATGCTCGTCAATGTCGCTTCCGCCGTCAGCACGTACTCGCTTCCACCGGAGAACCGCGCAATCTTCCAGACGATGTTATTATGTTCGGGCTCATACTTGGCCCGACCCTGACTGGTCCGTTCGGTGGTCTTGGCTGTGTTCAGCGGCGTCGGGATGCGAATCACCACGTTGGTCGCGAAGAGTTTCGAGCTATAGTTCGCCTTGATGGCGACGCTGTACTCCACCTTGGTAGTGCCGACTTCTCGCACGATCGGATGGACCTTGAAGGGGAGGTTGACGTTCTCGGTGGCGCGGTAGCGCATGAGCTCGAACTCGCCATCTGGGGGCACGAAGGAGATGATGCGATCTGCGTCGAAGCGACCCAGCTTGACGCACTGGTGGAACTGGCAGTCTTCGAGGGTGACAGAACCCGCGGCTGCGCGGGTGGCTTTCATGGTGCCGTCGCGGTTGCCCGGAGCGGAGGAGCCGGCGGCGTCGGTGTCGAGGAGTAAGCGGTCGTTAAGACCGAACTTGCACTCGGGGGTGCCGGAGAGGTAGGCTCGCATGATGATTTGACCGTTGACATCGGCGCGGAGGACGGTACCCGTTGCGGACATGAGGAGGTTCACGTCTTCGATCACGTCAACGAAGGCTTCATTCTTGCGGTATTTGACGTCGGCACGGCGCCAGGAGAGCGCGCCAGTGGCTTGCATGGTGATGCGGCTGGAGTCGGTAGCGGAGTTGGCAATGGCGGATTTGACCCCTTCGGTGGTGATGTACATTTTCAGGGTGTCCGTCTCGGTGTTTTGGGGGTAGCCGAAGTCGAGGATTTCTATGGCAGAGAGAAGGATGAGTTAGCGGATTCCATCCCCTACAGGGTGATTGGAACATAAGAGCGCGCACCATCGAGCAACTCGTAGATCAGGACAAAGTTGTTCTTCACGGCCTCCTCGTCGAGCTTCCCGAAATAGCTCTTCCCCAGCATGACCAGGCGGTAGAGGAACTCGAAGACCAGGGCGGCATTGGCGTTGCTCTTGGTCACGGCGACCAGGTAAATGTTCTCGTGCTTGACATGGCTGAAGGTCGTGGATCCCAGGGTCAGGATGGGCGAGCGGACCTGGGGGTTCGAGATGACCTGGATGCGGAAGATGTCGGCGAGCCGCGGGCGACAGTCGCTGCGGAAGGCGCGGAAAATTAGATTCTCGCCCTTTTGATTGAAGATGAGAATGCCGGAAAGCATGGTGGACGGGGACTGCAGAGAGCAGGGAGAGAGGAAGAGGGAGCGAGGGGAAAAGGGGGGGAGATTGAAGGAATGAGGGGGTCCGTTGACTTGGTCGAGACCGCCGGCGGCGGCGATGCTGGAAGGAACGAAGGACCCTGACTTGACTGCCGCCCGCATTAACAGCTCCATCTATACTACCTTGCCAACTGGACAGTTGGCGACATTGGTATTATCTTCCATGGAGGACACAATTGCATCCACGCTATCTAGTATACACAGTTTCCAGAAGCGCCGTACATCTCAAGCTCTACGATCCCTGTTCCCCCTTCAAGCCCTAGGAGTTGGAGAAGATCCCCCATACGGACCAAAAGAGTAAAGGCCGATGCGATGATCTATCCATGGGTCCTTCGGGACAACCAAGTCTCAATGGCGACTTGGCGATGCTTGATAACCGTAACTGAAAGACTCCCCCTCTTCTGGGATCTTGGGAGCTCATCCCTTGCCGCGTATCAAGGGCGGATCGAGGCCAGGGGTGCTCGACGCCACGTGGGAATATAGACTGGAACGGCTGGGTTGTTCTGGAAACCGTTGTTTTGATCGGATTTGAATGCCTATCTCTCGGGCATTTGTTTGATGATCTACTTGCTCTTCCTTGATGGATGGGTGATCATCATCGCTATCTAGTTCGAGCTCAAACAGGGAGATACAAGGCGCTTTGCTTGGAGACTGATTAGATTAATCTATTGAAGGCTAACTTTTCGCTCTCAAATCATATGTAGGTCGAATAGCCCACATGTTCCTCCGCGCTCCACCATCCAGGAAGACGATTCAGCCAGACCAGTGTATGTATAGACAGGGCAGGTCTGAAAGGGTATTGAAACAACTTGTAGCAACAGAAGATGACAGTAAATATCGACAAAGAACCCTCCACCCGGCACGCCCACGAAACGTGGGGTGTTTCCCGGGTGGCAAGGAGATGGTATCAACGGTCCGAGACCAGGGCGTGGATATCATAAGGGTAAACCCAGAATCAAACATAGAACAAGAAGAGAAAAGGGGTCGGGAACCGGATGCGGAATCATCCAGGAGGAATATTAAAAGGACATAGAACATTAAAACAGAAAGATGTGGAACCGATTAGTCTGGCTTCAACCTGAGGACGGTTGCTCCAGGGCGGAACTCCCAACACCCCGTCAAACACCGCTGCTCGGTCGAGTCCCTGGTAGTGACGGGCCTCCTTCACTGCGAATTATGCCAACTTTGGGATCCGGGATCTGGATGTCCAGCGACATGTATGCTGTCCGGCGGAGGCTCCAGATATGTACCCCATCCTTGGCCCCAACCTCTTTATTCCACCGGTCCAACCAGGCCTCCACCCGTTTGAGGTGACTCTTGATTCCGGGAGCGCCTATATCTTCCCAAATCCAGCCGGTGAGGAGGCTCAGAGCACTGTCAAGGAAATTGCGGAAGCTGAACGGATCGAAGGCCTTGATAAGCTCATCATTCACCGTGGCGATCACCTTCCGAAACTCCTGCTCGGGTAATAGCGGGTCAAGGATCTCGGGATACAGGTTGGAAAACGTCGGAGCCAAGTCGCCCTTGATCATCCAATCACGCCGAATACGGATAATGCGAGTTGTCATATACTCCTCGGACCCAATCGGGACATGTGGGTTGATGTGAGGATAGCACGGATGTGCAGGGCCCCATGCTAACTCCTCCGCCACATCGGCCTCGCCAACGGCGTGGGTGCCGGTGTTAGATGGCACCGAAGCGATGTGTGACTGTGACCGCAGCGAGGACTGCGACTGGATATGACGGGGCCGGTCATCGTGAAGTGGCCCTGGTCCATCTGCCGCGAATTCAAAGCCTAGATGTGCCCGTTCCGGCGCACGAGGGTTCTTTGCCTCCTGAGCCCCATTCGATGCAGCCGAGTCGGACATTGCTCGCAACAGCAGATGATCGTCAAATGCTCCACTGCGCCTCTGGCCTTGAGGCACTGCGATGCTCGAGCGTCCACTCTCCGTTTCCCCCTGGCTGCGCTCCACCACCAGGCTGTTCGGGGACGGGGTCGGTCGACTACGACGCCGTTCGGGGATGGTCAGGAGAGGGTAGGCGTCTCGTTGCGCTTCGAGCGGAAGGTTCTCGTCCGATACTTGCTGCAAATGGGGGACCGTGACCGGGGTAATGCGAGGGACGTAATTGACGGGATTCGCAAGTCGGACCGACGGCGGTCGCAAGATCGTGGGGGGTATCCAGGAACTCTTTCGTCGGTACGAAAGTCGAGCTTGGGAGGAGCTCTCTGCGGCGACCCGATCGGCCGATGCAAGTGCTGCGGGATGATGGGCCTCGAAGGAACGGCACCGGACGCGGAGGCCTCGCGGGGGACGAGGAGCAGCCGCTTTAGCCGGGGGCGATGATAGGGAAGGGTCCGGTGGTGGCGCGATAGGCGTCGTTTTCGAGAAGGACGACGACCGAGGGAGCCGAGCGGCGTGCGTAGGTGGTGGAGAAGCCGTGGTGGACGAGGAGGGGAGAGGAGACGTCGTGGTGGGAGGATTGGGAAATGATGTCGATGGCCCAAGAATAAGAATCGATCGCAACGGGCGGCTGTGATTGGCGGGCGAGGATCGAAAAGGGGCGCGGCAAGGGACAGAAGATGATCTGAGCACGACATTCAATGGAGGCCTTCGCAGGTGTATAGATCCTCTCTGACCGTTAGGATAAGGGAAGATGTACTCCGTAGGAAGAAATGAAGCTCAAACACCCCCAGCGGTGGTGGAGGGTGGTCTCCGATCCAGGACACTGGATGGATACCTATAGGGAGGGTACTATGTAAGTACAGCAATGCCGGTGGCAGCCAATATTTGTCTATACGAGACAACTGGTGTGGTACTATGTAGTAGTACTTTGTAGCAGAGGGCTGATCAACCCCAATGAACGACAGCAGTTGGATGAAACGAAGGACAGCGATGGGCGCTTGGGCGGGAAGGGAATTGCAGGACGGCCATGGCTCTTATTACTTCTTAGAGTCGCTAAGAGGCCCAATATCCACCGGATCCCGACTCGAAACAATAAACGAGTCAATAGCCCAAGTAAGGCTCCAGCCAACTTGGGGACCGCGCCCAGAAAGAACTCCCTGGAATTGCGCAAAAGTTTAAAAATATCCCCATTTCTGCGTCATTAAGCCCTCCCCAGGATGACCGTGCAGCTAGTCAGGTACCATTCGCAACGCAATCCGTCCTGTGGCATGATGGGCAGCTCCCCTCACTGTGTCAGTCCCATTTCCAGGCCCGATGGCCAGGGCGGGCAGTCCGAGTCGCAATTAGATTAATATTGACCTGGGTTGGGGATTTAATGCAATGGAACGCCCATGACGTCGGGCGACATCCACTTGGGGGAATCCAGCTAGTCAGCCACGGGACCCTCACGTGAAGCTCCCTTCCGCCCGCCAATCATTCGCTCTACAGTCTCGGCAGTCTCTTTGACCACCACGACGGGAGTACTTACTCAGTACTCATTATTATTACACAGTATTTCTTCTTTCTTTTACGTACTTTTGTCCTCACTCGCTTTACTTCCCCCGGAGCCAAGTCGGGTGGCACAGCCTGTGTACATCCTCATTCCAGTCACCGTGCTCTTCCCACGCAGCTCCCGTTTCCTTTGTTTGACCCGGTCGTCGCTCGCCATTAGGAAGAGGAGTTCAGTCAACGACTACTTCCCGACAAATCCCTGTACTCTCCACCGACGCCAATACCATCAGAAGCACCGGGGGATGAAAATCGCAACGCTGCAGTTTGCCCCTCGTCTGGGTGAGATCGAGGCGAACATCCAAAGAGCCAATGAATTGCTCCAGAATGGGAAAGTGGTGCAAGGCGTTGGCATTGGGGTAGGACTAGATCTCCTCAAGCCGGATGTTTTGGTTTTGCCCGAGTTGGCCTTGACGGGTGAGTGTTTTGCTGTCCTCCCTTCTGGTGTCACACGATGCATGAGCTTCGGGATGTTTGTGCGCGGTGGCTTGTTCGATCCCTCTTGGCCTGGAGCTCCCTCTTTCACCGTCTTCCATCGACAACCCACATCCTTCCCGGACTTTCTGTACAGCACGGCCGTTGATTCGATCAGGATACAATTTCCCGTCGCTGGAGGCTATCAGACCCTTCCTGGAGCCTGTCGGACAAGGCCCTTCGGCTCACTGGGCTCGACAAACAGCTAGACGCCTCCGGTGCAAAGTCTGTGTGGGATACCCGGAAATCCACAGAGCAAACAAGGCCCCGGAAGGTGACCCAAGTAACCCCGGGGAAACTTGTTACAACTCCCTTCTGATGGTGGATGAGGGCGGTGAGATCATCCTGAACTACCGTAAATCGTTTCTCTATTATACGGATGAAACCTGGGCAGCCGAAGGCAACCCAGAGCAGGGTTTCCATCAGCTCACGTTCCGGAACTTAAACCAAAGCTCTTTGGAGTCGCAAATAGCCACCTCTTTCGGCATCTGTATGGACATCAATCCATACCGGTTCGAGACCCCCTTTACCGCATGGGAATTTGCTAATCGAGTGTTGGATACGAAGTCGGAGCTGGTCATACTTTCGATGGCATGGATGCCATCGGTGAGCCGGGAGGAGCTGGGCTCTCTTGCTGACAAGCCGGATCTGGACACGTTCAACTACTGGATCCAGCGACTGGTGCCGCTTATTCGCAAGAAAATGAGCCATGAAGTCAACTTTGATGGCGACGATTCCGATCATGGCAAGAAGATCGTTATCGTGTTCGCCAACAGAGCTGGCGAGGAACCGGGTGCTGAAGGAGCAAGCCCAGCTCGATATGCGGGTACCAGTGCGATCGTAGCGATCACACAAAAACCGCGCACCCGTACAGTAGGCAGGGAACTTTCGCCCCGTGATGACGAGTCTGGCGATGACTCCGAAGGAAGCGAGACGGAGACAGCGCCGTTTGATGTGAAAATACTGTGCTGGGATCTGATGGGCGCAACGACGGAAGGTATTTGTTTTGCCGACACCACGACAGACCCCAGCATGGTGTTTGGGCTGGTCAAAGCTTCGAAATGACATTCAACTGGCCATGAGGCGAAAGCCACCTCGGAACTGGTGGGTTGCAGTGGTGCTCTTCTGCCTATTTCGATTCGAGAAGGCGTCGCCAGGCGACGGTTTGTAAATCCAATGCATCGTATACGGAGGGTGCGTTGGGCATAGAAAGGAGCCCGCCACCATGATAATCCCAGGATCTATTTCTCAGCCCGGTGGGGAGCAGTGGAGGGGACCCTTCTCCTACGGTGCAGGAGGCTTATCTGGACCCCCCGTCGCTCTTCCTTGGTCCTTTAGCTTGCTACGTAATGTTCGCTCTCGCCTCTTATCCCAGGGCACTGAGTAGCTAGCAGACAGGCAGACAGGCAGGTTTCAAAGTTTCGACTGGCCACCAACCGCCATGATCCATCATGTGAGCCCTGACCTGGCCCCCAATCAGCCTCGCCCACCATCCATGTGACGGGGGATACCTCGTCATCGTCACTCGGGTGGTTGTTTACAACAAGCGCGACCAGCGGGGATCTAGACCCATTCCTGTCCGGAAAATCCCCGCCAGAGGTCTTCTTTGGTTGCGGTAGGAAAGCCGGGTGATCAGAGGGCCCCGGCTTCTCTAATCGCTACAGCAAGCTAAAGTACCTCATGGTAGTGTATCCACTCCAGCATCTTATCTCATGACCAACTGATCAGCGGCGGCCCCCCCATCAGATGGTCGCCTCTTTTCGAAGATTTACTGCGAAACCTCTTCATTTGGGACCCTCTTTCTGCATGTAACCCTTGACACGCATCCCTAGACCGGTAAAGGTAGCATCTGTAGAGCGTGCGCTCATACTGGGGAGGAGAGACTAGAGGACCTCGCGGGGGATCTGATAGGTTGCATTGCGCATACATGTGACAGTTGGAGGTAGCAGCCGCCTTGGAAAGATTCGGAACTGACCCGGGCTCGAAGAAAACAGAGTTGCTGTGCAATGGCAATGGGGGCGTAGGAGAGACCCATCGTGGATCGGTCGTGCCAATGGAGGGAGGCCGTGGACCTCCTTGCCATGCTTTTGTACACTGGCCATCAGGAGCCATCCATGACCACCAGTTTGGAAATAGGCCTGCCCCGCGACGAATGCGCAGTCCAGTCGTGCTCGAGACAGTCCAGACGGTCCAAAAGGATCGGCAGCTAAGCGGATAGAATCAGAGACAAACGACGGTGGTGACTCAACCTTACGGGCTGACGACCGTCTAGTTAGTTAGTAGTTAGTGACTTCTCACTACTACTCGAAGGGACGGGCCGACCGGGATGAGCAGGCACCCTCCATGGCGCAGCGAAGTTCCCACTCCAATAATCGACTTCGGCAGGATAAAAAGAGCATTTGCTCATTCGATTGTGGGTCGTGTACTTGGGATCCCGAGGGCAGGCCACTCCCTAAGCTGACCACAGCCAGCCAGCCACCAATAGTCCCCTTTTCCCGTTTCGAGCTGGGAGGGTTGGCGCGTTCCACGTGATTCCGGGTGAACCCCTCCTCCGGCAACCGGGGGCAGAGGAGGCCTGCCGGCCAATCAGAATTCTCAATGGAGCAGTTGGGTGAGGAGGGGGGCACGGGATTGCAGCACATGACATTGGGATGGAGCAGGAGGGGGAGACGAAAACCGGTTGGAGGAGAGGGGATGAGAGGGGGGAAGGGCCGTTAAGGTTAGAAGATGATAATAATGGGCAGAAGACTCGATGGGGGGGGAGAGGAGAAGAAGGAGGAGGATGATGATGATGATGATGCTGGTGGTGGTGATGGAGTTGGTGGTGGTATGATGCAGTTCTGCCTCACTACTGACTTACTATACCTACTATTTACTGGTATCGGTAGAGACCTGGGATCCTGTTGGAGGACGGTAGATCCGGCCTTGGCTCTGAGTACCACTACATTCAGACGGAGTATTCACGACTCCTCCGGTGGAGACGTGAGAAAGGTGCAAAGAAGTAGTGAGGAGAGCCTCGGGGGTGGGATCGTCAGGTGACCCCCTCCCGTTCGACACACGGGGTCTGTTCCGCGCGCCGTAGCGGGCGGTTCTCCTCTCTTTGATTCTCGTCCTCGTCCCTCGCCACGTGAGCAGTCCCTCTCTACTCGACTCTCTCTCTACTCCTCCATGTATCCCTTTTTTCCATTGTAAAATCCGCCACAACGGTTTGCTCCTTTTCAAATCCGATCCGTCCGCTGTCGTTGATGTGGACGTCTCGATCCCGACCTTTTCTTTCGTGAACAAATTTCGTTCTCCAGCTTCTGCGATCGAACCGGCGCCTTCCTTCTTGTTGTTGCCCGTGGCAGGTGACTTGCTGTCAGGTGATAGATAGACCATCCAAGGTAATCCAGCTCTCTCTCTCTCGCTCTCTCTTCCTCTTCCTTGCGCGCGCCCTGCCCCTCTCTCCTGGCCTTCTCCTCCACCGCCAGCAGCATCGCTGTCGCGTCATGACTCCTGCTGTGTCTCAGCCCCTCGTCCGCTCGTTCCTCGCCATGGCTCACCCGGGCCATGGCCGACGAGGATGATGCTGTTTTTTCGCGCTTCCTTCGGTCGCAAGTGCGGCTTCATGACGCGTCTCCGATGTCGCTACCCTCCCCTGGGTTGGCTTTCCATCTCCCCATCATCTATGCTACTGCTACTGCTTCTCAGCCATACCTCCATGTAGATGTATCCTTGGTGGCTGTGGTGCGGTTGATCTCGTCTCACTCGTCTCTGGTTGTTGATGGCCGATGCGGAGATGGGCGCGTCAGCCAACAACGCGTTGGTCGCTCAATCAGCCCAGATCTGCTGCGACAGTAGCCCTTTCACTGGCACTAACCTGCTCCATTCATTCCTTCACAATTCAATAAATGATATTGTTTCCTGCAATACTGTCTTTGCTATCCATTTCTCAAGATCTTATCCTACATCATCTTGAATCGTACTGGTCTTGCTCAAGCAGCTTGGTCACTAACGAGCCTTTTAGAGTCACGGACGTACCTAATCTCCTCCGATTAGGTCCCTAGAGCTGGAGCAGACTTCCAGCGCCCATCCTGAATTTCTACCTTGTTTAGCAGGTAAGCGGGTTTCGAAGGTGGTTGTCTCCCGATGATACGGCCAATACTAATCACTCAGCACAGGGCAGTCACTTTATAGGTCTCTCACAATGTCTGACCCGTCTTTGGGTGCTGCCGATGGCAATGTTACGGCCAAGCGTAAGCGGGATAGCACTGACAGCACTGGCCCCGATGCCCAGCGCCTGAATCGATCCTCCAATGGAAGCAACGGCAGCATTCCTGCTCCAGATGCCCAGCCAAACTTCACGCATAGCTCTCTGGGCTCCTATGATACCCATGGTCTCCCGAGCGCGACAGCAGAGCTCAATATCGATCAGCAAATCCTGCAGCATGTCGGTCCGCAGAATGGTATCTCGGACGATAATACCCTCACTGCGAAGGCAGCGCTTGCTGCCCATACGCCTCAGAACAAATACCCGCCTCCCCCGGACTCAACCTTTGATAACAATCTTGCACATGGCTTGACATTTGGCGATGACATGGGTCAGGCTATCAGCTCCGCACACGGTCATAACTCTACTGCCGCCGCCGTCTACGCTGCCCGCGAAGCACAAAGTATGAATCAGAAGCCTTCGGTCGGTTCCCCGGAGTGGCACCAGATTCGCAAAAACAATCATAAAGAAGGTAAATGAAACTCTCTTCCGTGGGGTGTGGCCACGCGCATTAACCGGGTTTCAGTGGAACGCCGACGCCGTGAAGCAATTAACGAGGGCATCAACCAGATCGCCCGCCTCGTCCCGAATTGCGACAAGAACAAGGGGGCCATTCTACAGCGCGCGATCGAGTATATCTGCCAGTTACATGAAGATAAGAAAACTATGAACGAGCGTTGGGAGCAGAACAACATGACGACGAGTCATGCAATTAGCGAAATCAGCGGTCAGAACTCAAAGTTGAAGGGCGAAGTCAACCGCCGTGGGGATATTGCGCTCAAGTGGCTGCAGCGCTGCCGCGACGCAGGTCTCGAATTCGACGACTATGAAGATTCGAAAGAGCTGGAGCCTCTTGACGTGGACCAAGGCCAGGTCTAATTTCCAGTATAACTTGCATTATCGCGCGTGCAGGAACCGTGACATGATCATCACTGCATAGTTTCTCTCCTTTAAATATCCCATGTGCTACGACCTGTTTCTGAAGGCCGAGATGTCGGCGAGTTATCCGCTGATTCTTGTTCCTTGCTCTCCTTCTATCCTTATCTCCATAACTTCTCCCCTTTGAACAGACCTCGCCTGATCTCCCCATGTTCCATTCCATTTTTATTCATGTCAAGTTATTTGCAGGGTACCGTCTTATGATGTTTTCTTCTTTCTGTTGTGGGGAAGACGATGTGGATTTCCGATTTTATCTTAATTGCTTAGCCTGGGGTGGGTTTTCTGTTTCTATTTCCCCATGTCTGCTTTTACCCCCTTGTTATTCTTTCTGTATGTTATTCTTAGGATGGGTCGGCGAAACTACGGCTGGGAGTGGTTGATCCGAAGGCCATGGAGCCTAGGACACCACGGCGTGTTATCGGAATGCAAGCTCATTTTCAAGTCTGATCTCGGTTGATTAATCTAGTAATGATTTTTCTTGAGCAGCTTCATGATTCATAATAACAGAAATCCGAATCTGAGGACCATTTGAAGTTCGAAAAGTAGTACCTGATCACAGTGAATCCGACATAATTATTCCGAGGACATCGAACAGTAGTCAATTAATCTAAGAAACGGTTGCATAGAAATACTATATACAAAGAAGATTATAATATAATTTCATAGAAGCAGCACGCCCCATATGGAGTAACCAAGCGCTAAGGTACCAAAAGAAGCGGGCCGCACAAGCATGCTAAGCCACGCACACGTCCCCAACGAATTAGAAAATAAAAGTTACTAGAGAAGAAGAAAGGTTTACAGCATCATGCCATCATCGTATCCGGAGTACACACATCTAGTCCAGAGTCAAATCAACCGACGACCTGATCACGAACCTACGCGAAGTTGGAAGAAGCAGTGACGGAGGAGCCAGACGAGACGCTGACGTTGTTGACGGTGATTTGAGAGCCGGACTGGGCGGTGACACGGACATCAACGGTGTCGGTGCCGAAACCGCTCTGGTTCTCGAAGTAGTTGTAGGAGGATCTGGTGGTGGATTGCCAGGTGCTGCCGCCGTCGGTGCTGACCTCGAGCTTGGTGACGGGCTCGTTGGAGTTGACGACTTGCATGGCGAACCAGTAGGCGGAGGTACCGCTCTTGTTGACGAGTTCAATGGGGGTGGTGATACCGCAGGCGACGTATTCCCAGTCGATGCTGATGACGCCCTTGGAGATGTCGGCCAGTTCGGCGAAGGCGTCCTCGAAGAGGTCGAGGTGGTTGGAGTCGCACTCGGGGCATTCGTCGACGATCTGTCAGGGTTGTTAATTAGAATTGCCAGAGGGAAGAGAAGGACGGTGTTGCGCTGGGGAATCAGGACTTACCATGGCCTTGATCTTGTTGCCGCTGGGGCCAGTGACCTCGACACAAACACCACATTCAGCTGCGTCGGACCAACGTTGGGAGGAGAGGGCAGTGCCGTAGAGGCCGGAGGGGATGGTGTAGTCGGTGAAAGAGCAGGTTCCGCCGGAGACGTTGCCGCCGTAGAAGGTGGCTTCGCCGGAGTAATCGGAGCTCAGGGCACTGCTGGAGCTGCTGGCGGTGGAGCTAGAGCTGGAACTGCTGGTGGAGCTGGAGGCAGAAGAGGTCGCGACGCTAGCAGCGGTCGTGCTTGTAGTAGTGGGCTTGGACTCCTCGACGGTAGTGGCAGCAGCCGCCTGGGTGGTCGCAGCCTCAGTAGTCGCGGCAGCCTCGGTGGTCACAGCAGCCTCAGTAGTCGCGGCAGCCTCGGTGGTCGCAGCAGCCTCAGTGGTCACAGCAGCCTCAGTAGTCACAGCAGCCTCAGTAGTCGCAGCAGCCTCAGTGGTAGGCTGAGCAGCAGCAGCAGTGGTTGCGGCGACATTGACTTCCTTGACTGTTGTCACCTCAGCAACAAATGTTGAGGACGAAGTCGAAGTCGAGGAAATTGACGTAGAAGTAGCAGCCTCAGCAACGGTCGTTTCGGCAACTGGGGAGACTTCGGCAATGGACGTCGTAGTAGCGACTGGAGCAGCACTCTCGATGGCAGAGCTTGTGGTGACGGCCACTGGCGTTGCGGTCACAACTTCAGTCAGGGTGGTTGTGGAAGACAAGTGCAGGGTCGTGACCTGGTCAACAGATGAAGTAGAGGTGGACTCGACCGCGGGGGCCGAGGTTGATTCGACGGCGGAAGCAGAGGTTGGCTCAGCCGCCGCGGATGAAGAGGGCTGGAGAGTGACAGTCTTGTAGTAGACACTCGCAGTGTATCCTGAGGGGCATTGTCCTTCATTTCCGCCAGGAACCAGGCCAGCCGATGTGGTAGAGGTCGGCTTGAACGCAGGGGCCGAGGTGGATACGACGGCGGAAGCAGTCGTGGGCTCAACCGCCGCGGTTGAAGAGGGCTGGAGAGTGATTGTCTTATAGTACACACTCGCGGTGTATCCCGGGGGGCATTGGCCCTCCTCTTCGCGCTGGAAGAGCGGATTGGCAGAGACCGATGCAGCGGCACTCAGGGCAGCAACACCCAAAAAGGCGAGGCGTTGGTACTTCATGATCGGAAGGGTGGAGAAGAATCTGTCTCAGACAACGTGCTAAAGAAGGTATGAAGAAGGAAGGACTTTCTCTCTGTCTGCCAAGAGATGGCGTGGAGTCGCAGTAAGGACAGGACGTGCAGTGGGCACGAGGAATGGTTAGAATGAAAGAATGGACGCCTGGATCTCAAATCCCAGGACTATAGAATCTGCTGTTCCAGACAGAATGGCAAAGAGCGACAGAGAGGGTGAAGCAGGGAAGAGAAGGGGCCCCCAGGAGAATAAGAGGGCCAGGAGAGCGTGAGAACGACGGTTCGGGGTGTGTGCCCCAGGAGCCGGATAGTGTGATCCATCATCAACCATCAATCTAAGGAAATGAACAATTGCAGGGATGTGCCCTGGTTAGCGTCATAACTTTAATGACACATAAGCCCGAGGCAAGGCAGCAGCGATTTCGTTCGCGCACCACGAAATGAGATCGCAAAGTGAAACGCCGGACGTGGATCACCGGCATCACCAGCATCGGGGGCCAGGGAATCGGAGCAGAACCGAAGGAACAGCGCGACCACTGGGGGCCTCCCTTTTCTCCGCACGTCTAAGCTGTTGGCCAACACCAGTGGCCTCCGATATTGGGTAATTAAACTACATGGGCCCGACCCACTGCTGGGAAATCACCAACGGCCAGAGGACGTGAGACCATCGGTTGGGGGCGCTTGTTTGTCCCTGCACCGATAATCTGACCGAAAGCTCTGGGTGCGGCGACACTGGCCAGGCCGGTTTACCCCTGGGTGATCCAGTCGGCTCCAGGCCAAGGAAACGGCAAGGCGCGAAGAGATGAAATATGAGGGCGCCAAAGGAACCATCAGATGTTTCACCGGACCGATGAACGGGGGATCCATCCCGTTCCGCGGTATCCCGCAGTGGGTCTTTAGAGGCGTTCGTCCAGGACATTTCAGTAGTAATAATAATATGATCATAATAACAATGAATAATGTCCGCTGGGATTATTGTTGCAATGCTGTCTAGTTCCGAGTCTTTCTATAATCAGGTAAAGTGGACGAATGGGAGACCCTCAGCGTCCAGGCAAGGCTGTCTCCAGCACAACCCCGGAGATCCTTGGGGCGGACGACGACAAGTCAGAAAACACTGATCCGTCACTTGGAATCCCACATCACCTCATTCAATCTCAATAGCGCGTCGGCGCTGGCTTTCTTTGCGGCCATGTACTCTTCCCGGTTCTCCACACCGCGAGGGCCTAACAGGGCATCCGAGAAGCAAAGGTCAATGAGGACCTTGAGCTCATCGTACGTGAAGGGCTCGCCGTTGCCAGCGGCCAGCGCTTGGTCCCCATGGGCGGCAAACGATTCCTTCTCGTCTTTTGCATAGTCCAAGGCTTTCTCCGCACCTTCTAGGAACCAATCCAAAAACTTGGCACTACGAGGAAGAGCAACAACCTCGGGCTGCTCGCCGTTTTCCTGCGAGTTAGAACTGTCCTCTTTGCTTGCATTCTCCGTTGGGTCTAGGATGATGTTCTTCAGGTTCTGTTGCAGCACCAAGACGTCCAACTGGAGCCGGAGCGCGCCGTTTTCATTCATGGCCCCTATATGACAGGTGTTCGCGACGAATGTTCGGTCAATGAATCTAGCAAGCCCAGACGTAATAAACCATCGCTCAGCCTCCCCGAGGTAAGACGAAAGATTGGTGTCGAATGCGATCAGATCATTGTTCAGCTCAAGTACCGTAGGGGACGCAGCAGTCGGCTGGCTTGAAAGGATGTGCCACCAATTGGCGACAGAGCTTGGAGATGGTGTAGTGGGTTCAGAAGCCCGCGCATTACGGGCTTTCGGGCCGGTCATTGTCCGCTTCAGCATGTGGATGATGCCGCAGCGGATGTCGACGTGCAAGGCGAAGAGAGCAGTGCATGCGAGATTACGCAGTGACTGAAGAGTGGTGTCGAAAACGGTGGCTGTTTCCTGGTTCAAAGGAAGATATACCGGTTGGTTGACGCCCTCACACTTGGGTTTCATAGCACCGATCAGAGTCCAGCGGCGGTTAGCTGGCCGATTTTCAGCCTGCCGCGAGTCGGAGGCTGGCTGCGTGATCTGACGCAGCTGCGCAAGATGGCTTGCGAACCATTGCTGCATTCATAAGCTTCTGTTAGGCAAAAAGAAAGATCACAAAAAGGGCACAACTTGGGACAGTTTAACGAACCATGCTGTTGAAAAGGAGGGACAAGGACACGACTGTCTTGGGATCAGATATGATGTCGTATGGCTCCAGCGGTACTTCATCCGTTGATTTGAGAAGAAAGTCGGTTTCCTGGGGTAGAGTCAACAAAAGGCCACTAGAACCCAATCTCCGTGTATCTCAAAGTTAGGGGGAAATTGCGTGGGATCTTATCTACCTTGTCTACCAGCTCCCACTTACTCCCAGCCACCCCCTTCCATAGTTCAGTAATCGTGTCATGGATGTCGCCCGATTCCGCAAAACGCGCCGCGGCCTTAAGCCGGACCTCCCCGTTGTCCCGAGGAGATATTTTGGTCACAATGGCTTGACAGAACAATTAGCGTAAAGAAACAAGGACATCTGCCTCAGTTCATCTCACCTTTGTACCATCCGCAACACTTGTCATAGTATGTTACAATCTGCGAAAGGAGAAGCTGTGTGAAGGCTTGGTCATGGGGAATGCTGGACAGCATTTTGCTGAACTCCCTTATGATAGACATAAACTTGACCGTACCCTATGCAGTTGGAGTCAGTAAACTGTCCTCAAACCGCGATGAACTGCACTTACCCTAAATACCGGCCGAGGTGATACTGCAGACCATTGAGGGTCCTCTGTGAAAGCATCTGGCGAGATAAAGCTAAGAGTACAGAGGTCTGTTACGGTCTCGTCAAGTTGTGGAAGGAAAACATTAACCAAGAAGTCATCCAGAAAAGATGTCAATGTACTCATGGCAATATCAGAGTCCACGGGGACGATTTCTTTAAGTCGTTGAATGAAGGAGAGCGAAGGGGGAAGAAGAAGGCTCATGTTGAATACGCTCGGTTCAATAAGGATCTTATGGCCAGTTCCCGAATTCCCTTGTCTGGGCTCGGATGTATCAATGGCAGCGGTTTTCTGACTTGATTTGGTAACCAATCCAGGAACAGAAGACCTTAGAATCTCGTCCAATTCGTTTTGTTCCGCCTGTATTTCGGAGGTGTGATCCGTGTCGGATAGTTTAAACATTTTCTATGACCATGAGTAAAATGGAAGCAATGCTCCCCCAAGCATGGCACGTACCTTGTTCTTGTCTCTCTGGCCTGTATAAAGTTGACGTTTCGCCTCGGCTTCTTCAATTCTAGGCCTGAACGATGACTCTCCATCAGTGGCCAGGTAGTCATGCATGAGGGACCGGATCTTGATCACTCAGCTGTCAGAATATGATCATATGAATACATCGCATAGTCTAGTCACGTACCTCGCTTTGGTAAAGCTTCCAGAGCTCTTTGAAGCCACCCGCGAGCGCATTGCCCTTTGGTATCCCTTCGCGTTCCACGATGGCGGCAATAACATCATGCAAGACACGATGACCTTCAGCAATAGCCTCAAACTTGGCATACAAAGTCCACAAGAACTCGGATAGCACATGACCACGTTTTTCGATTATTTCTGTTGGGAGATTTGTCTTGCTGTCTTGCGAAACAAACCCACGGGTCAAGTTTGGATGTCTTGCATCAACCTCGGCGTTCGTTTTGTCAACGACCGCGAACAGCTCAACAGGAAGGCGTTGCTCTATCCGATCAACTGCGATGTCCAGATGTCCCATTTTGTTCAGAGCTTCTATCAGCAATTGTATGTAGTAGAATGTGTCGGCCTCTGGATTCCGCGAAGCGTCTTCGACCATGGGCGTGGATGCGTCCAATTTTCCAAGGAATGCGTACACAGGCCTCTCCCATGAACTCGTCCCAGCCCAACTTGACGGGCTGGCTCCATTCCCGTCCCCGTCAGCCGTCGGTGGCTTCCACCGGCTCGAGCAGTAGGGGGACTTAAGATAGAGGTGATCGTGCAGCTCTTCAATGAGGATGTCTGTAAGGGAAGCTTCCTGATTCCCGAAGTAAGCCCGAATGTCTGCGAGGGCTCCGATGTTCTCTAATTCGGAGCGTCGCAGAAGTCGCAGGGCATTATGCAGTTCCTCAACAGCCGCAAGGAATCTCTTGTCCGATATCCGAGATTCTAGCCTTTCAGGAAGAGATTGAATCTCTTGTATTTGGCTGAACAACTGGATTATATCGTCGTACTTCTGAGACGACGTGGCTAGTCCATTGAGCTCGGGTTTAGTTGATAGTAGCCCCGATTTCGCCTCTTCTAGTGAGATCTTTAGATTGCGAACCCGACTCTGTGAGCTCTGTATACTCGACTGAATCTTATGGTAGGTACCAATGGAACTGTTAAAGCCCTGGTGATGCTCTGGTTCCTTTAGCATCTCCTGCAAATAGATGAGGCGCGTGGGAACTGACCATTGACAACCGACTTCAACGTTTTCTGGATCTTATCATTTATGCTGATGAAGTCTGGCTCGCGATCTGCTTTTCCTAGGGTGCTGGTATCCATTAGTTGTAAAGCTACTTCTACCGGAATGCAATTATCGGAGGCCACGAAGTCCCACTCCCGCTGCACCATTTGCAGTACGTCTGCGGCCAACCCCAGTCGTGTTAGCAGGCTTTTTCTCGATGTCACATTGCTAAGGCAGACGTATAGAGGGTAGATGCAATCGAACCTTCAATGGCCTGAGGACCTGCCGCATGACCGGTGACATTCTCGCCGCTGCTATTACTCCCTAGCCAGCTACTATCTCCTCGAGCGCGACCCTCCCTTGAGCCGAGCGCTCTCCTATCTGCCTCTCCATCCCTTGTGCGGGATCGCGACGATGAGTGTTCGCCTTCCCTGTCCCACCTTTCACGTCGCCCTTCCGGCGACTGGCCTGGGGACAAGGATGGTTGTGACGTCTCTGGATAGAAGCCTCCATATCCACCTGGGCGACGCTCTCTTTCCCCACTCCCTCCCCCACTCCCTCCCCCGCCCGCTCCTCCGTAACCGTTCATCCCCAGGTTATTGCTGCTGCCGTATCCGCCATCACTGCGGTCATAGCGGTTGGTGTCGGAGTATCCGTATCCGGTTGCGTAGGGGTTTCTGCCACTCATACCAGAATCTGGACTTCGTCGGAGTTTATTGTGTGAGGGGACTGATGGGTAGGAGGCGAGGGTGTGTTTGCGAAGCAAAGGTAACGGGGTATATTCGGCGTCCCTGGATGTAGCTCTAATCAAGTACGGGCGCTGACGCAATCAATCAAGGAGACAAGACATTAAGTATGATCGTCTGACATGAGTGAGAAGCCAGGAACAGAACAATTCCAGCCTGGTTGTTGGAGGAGGGGAAACAAATACCTAAGTCCGGAATGCCATGCGGAGAAGGTGGCAGCTCGTACAGTAAGAGCGGCAGTTGGGGTGGGCGGTCTCATCCCTCACCGCCTTGCTTGCTCATTCCTCCCATGACTCTGGGTAACTTATTCTCTCAGTTGACTTATCAATAAGTTCTTGTCCAACCTCAACAGAGCTGTTTGAAAAATCAAGGGGTGGCATTGGCAGTGAGTGACTACTAGGTCATCGTATATTCTGATTGAAAGGTGTAAGGCAGTTTAAAGGTCATGGAACCCCTCGCCGCATTCTATAACCTACCATGCTACCTGAACATAGTAATATTCGCTTGCTACGTACGTTGCCCTGATTATCTAACTTGGCAGTTTCTCTCCGGTCTTCTAGCGTTCTATCAACTCTAGCATGCCACTTGGCTCCCACATCGGAATATCAAACTTCGAAGTAGGTGCCTACTACCTAGGTACCCGGCAGGGGTGCGCAATTTCCACATTGATTGGCTCCAGTGGACGGGAGCTAACGTAAATTTCCAAGGCTACTATGTACTTATTTGGTATACCTAGATAGGTGGATAGATATTTGGTTTATTGACCCACCTTCCTCCTCCTAACTTGTTATTACCATTAAATATGTATACTCTGCATATGCAGCCCATCCACCGCCTACCACTGCGACTTCTCTTCCTAATACAGAGCCACATTGTCTATCAAGAATACTCCCAACCAAGCCCTCGCCACCCACCGCGAGGTACTAGGAACAGCCCATATCAAATGAGGACCCCACAAGTAGAAAACCGCAGGGGGCAGGCAGGCTTGGTGCCACAAGGAGTACTATATGCTCGGTATTATTTGATATTTATAACTTGGTTTGTATTAAATACATCCTCTATTCATGGCGGCTCTCCAACGCACCTATCAAACCAAGTAGAGGAAGCTTGGGGAGGCTGTTCCGAGTACTGATAGTGTAAAGACGCCTTCCGTTTCCGTGTAGGACGTCGCTTCCAATGATATCACGGACTAACTAGGCTATTTGGAGATGGGCTGGGTCTCGCGTTGAAGCCAACTGCGTGTGTGATCGTCGTTCTCGAAGAAGTGATGAGTCTTATCCCACACCTCCGTGTGGTAGTCATTCACCCACTTGATTTCATGGTCGACAAGGAGGGATGCGTCAATCAGATTTCGGCCCAGAGGAGCCATTGTGACGTGCTCGAAGCCCAACCATGGCTTCTCGCCGAATTTGTGAGTGGTCTGTACCTCACGCGCCATGATAACATCTAATATATGCTGTTAGTTGCTCGTCACGCAAAGGGGAATCATTCGGCTGGGAATCATACTTTCAATGCGAATGCCGAACTTTCCGTCCTCGTAGAACCCAGGCTCTGCTGCTGTCAGAAAATGGCTTGTCAAATAAGGGTTGGCGGGTCATACCGTCAGAGATAACGTTGCCCGAAGCGATCGGAACTTCTGTGTACTGGACACGGGTGCCGATACCGATGGGGCCCTCGTGGACGTTCTATTAATACAAGGTTAGTGACTATACATCTGAAAGGAGCCTTTTTTTTTTTTGGACGGTACTCACCAGATAAGAGCCAATACCGTGGCCCGTTCCGTGGAGATAGTCGAGGCCCTCCTTCCACAAAAACTGTCTAGCAAGAGCATCAAGAGCAAATCCACTGGTACCCTTAGGGAACACTGCAGTGTCAATAGCAATAAGACCTTTGAGAACCAGGGTGAAGGCTTTCTTTTCCAACTCTGTAGGCTGTCCAAAATGGAACGTTCTAGTCACGTCAGTGGTGCCATCCAGATACTGGGCGCCGGAATCGCAGAGGTAGATGGCAGTAGGGTCAATGATAGAGCAGCTGCCTTTCTCGGGTTTGTAATGAATGACGGCCCCGTTAGGGCCTGTGGAGGAAATAGTATCGAAGGACAGGCCGGCATATAAATCGTGCTTGGATCTGATCTGTTCCAGCTTATCGGCCGCATCCACTTCATCCAAAGTTGTTTTCTTGTTGATCAACTCATTTTCGAGCCAGGCAAAGTACTCGATCAAGGCTGCCCCATCGCGAATATGGCATGCGCGCATCCCCGCAAGCTCCACATCATTCTTAATCGCTTTAGCATCACCAATAGGACTGCGAACCTCCTCGACCTGCTCCTCGCCTCCCAGACTAAGGCTGAGAGCCCATGAGGCTTTGTTTGACAGGAGGAACTTGGGGGCTGCTCCTGTTGCGTCCTGCTTACGCGCTTCGCTGAGAGCTTTGACATCTGCGAAGATAGATCCATATGGCTTGACGACGACATCCTGGCCAAGATGAGCTTTCACCTCCGGCGTCAGCTTATCATCATCGACATAAAGGTCGACGGTAGTAGGCGTGATGAGGGCATAGGAGAAGAACACGGGGTTGTATGGAATGCTAAAAATTGTTAGCGAGGAAACGGCGAACTTTAATAAAGCAAGCTCAGGGCTCATTGACTTACTCAGAACCTCTCAAGTTGAACAGCCACGCAATCTCGTCGAGCATTGCTGTAGTGTGCGTCAGTCACGATAACCTGGAGGCTGAGAGCGAGAATATTGTATTACAGATAACGAAGCCAGCTGCCTTCTTGTTTTCCAGCTCCTTGCGCAAGTCGCTGATTTTGTCCTGGAAGCTCCTGCCCGCATACTTCGCCGGGTGAACTCTCACCGCTTCCCTTGGAGGAGACGGTCTATCTTTCCCCCAAACCAGATCAACAAGGTTTTGCTCGACGCCCACGAGTGATGATCCATTCTTCTTGAGAGTCTCTGAAAGACTACGCGCACCCGCTATAGGGTCTTAGTATGTCGGCGGATATCGGTAGATCAGTGAAGTTGCTCACCGGGTGTGATCAAAGCCGGATCGACTCCGACGACCTTTCCTCCCTCGGCTTGTTCGGTAGTCCTAGTCCCAATTAAGTTTCGATTTCTATGTCTCCATGGGAAATCTCGTACCATTCCTGCCAGGTTGGAACACCCTCAACACCTCGCTTCAAGAGCGCCCAGTTGCTGTCAAGTTGCTTAGAAGCCTGGTTGAAATATCGGCCATCTGTAGACAGTGCTGCCTTTGACATGGACACGATTGCTGTTCCTGCCGATCCGGAGAAACCCGAGATGAATTCTGTCGGGAAAAAGCGTGAGTAACATGACAGCGGAGACCAGGCGGGAAGGCAAATAAAATCTAGATTGGGAAAAGACGAAAGGCGGAATTCTAACCTCGACGGCCATCACATGGAGCAATGTATTCGGATTGGTGGCTATCTTCCGAAGGGACGACTTTGGGGACAGTGAGAATGCAACTCCGGCAAAAGAAGGTGGATCTGGTAGTGTGATGTCATACTGTATACATCGACCCTGTGCTCCTGCATCAACTGCCTTAACCTGGTCAGGCGCTCAGAGGTGTCCACGGTCTCCATGTCGGTGATGAAGCGCGGGGCGGAGCTGGAAAAGAGCCTGGAATGCGGGAGGGGTGACTTGCGAGCCGATCGAAAAGCTGAAGTCCAGACAAGGCGAATTGGAGGGCGGGAAAAGAGCATCGACAGGCGGAGATTGGAAAGAGAAGCTGCAGGTGTCCGAGCAGAAGGTGGCCTTGGATCCAAAGAGTCCAAGAACACAGCTCTCAAGGTTGTACGGAGCAAGCAAGGGCCGATTGGGGGGAGGGGGCGGGGCAAGAGGAGGGCTAGTTATAGCTGAAATTTCCGAGGGGAAGGTCGTGTGCACAAGTAAGATTGAGGTTGGAAATGAACGACGTGGAGAAGTGACTAGGACGATAAGCAGCAGCTGGGCATTGGAAGATGGAAGTGAGAGGGAAGTGGGTATACCGGGCGAAGGTCCGCCAGGGCTCCGTTGGAGCTCCGGTTTTGGCGGCGCTGGTGGGTTCCTTTAATTGCCACGGTCGGTATTGTTACCGTACGTCATTTGGGGAAGGTGTCGGGCAGGCTTCACCCGGATCCGGAACTCGCCATTTTTGAATCTGATTAATATTTGACGATTTCACGGAGGATGACTATACATACAGGCCGTTTGGGCGGCCGCTGACCTGCCTCCTTTATAAACCCATTTCTTCGAAGGGCTCAGGATGCTGGTCTAACAGTTTCTGCAGGATCAGCAGGATGTGGTGGTTAATCAACTACTACTACTACTTCTACTACGACTACTATGACACCACAGCGGATATAAGTGAATGCCCACACTGACTGGTGCGCACCACAACCACCCTCAAATGAGAGTAAACGGTCCATCCATACTCTTTGCACTTGTCCCTGACTACTACCACTGCTCACTGGCTTCCTTTTGGTCTCACTGTCTCACTGTCTCACTGTCACCATCCCACCTTCCTGTTCCTCTCACCGCCTGCTCCTTTTGTGATAGCATTATCAGCACGTGACACCCCTTTCACCATCTCCCAACCAATCTATATCGCGCCAGTGAACCATCCCAGCCTAAAGAAGGCCTTCACTGTTTCGGCCATGTCTGTGGACATTCCAGGCCAAGCCCCAGACGTGCAACTCCTCATCAATGAGGCGAAATCGGTAAGCTGAGGGCATGCTCCCATGCTCGCGGGATTGAATTATTACTAAGGCATCTGTATCTCTAGCTTGTGTCCCAACTCTATGATCCGGGGAATACTGGGAACCCCGCCAAGATCAAAGCTATCCAGGAACACCTGCAGAGTCTCCAAAAATGCCCTCAGGCGTGGCTGATTGCCAATCATCTTCTTAGCGATGGCAACACAGACCTGAGGTTCTTCGGTGCCTTAACTTTCACAGTCAAAATCAATCAGGATTGGTTCGTCTCATCCCGGGTATTAGTTTTTTTTCTAATTTCTTATCTCATTTTACTTTGATTCCCCCAATGCACCGCTCGGGCTAACTCTTTGTCTAGGCAAAGTCTAAGCTCCGAGGAGGCCCAGGAGCTCCTGGGGCGGCTGATAGAGCATTATGTCTTCTTGGTGAATGGGGGTGAGCGACCTCTGGTCATACGGAAGTTAGCTTCAAGCCTGGCAACAATTTTTCTGAAACCGAACGCCCCCTGGACCCGAGCACTCTGTAACTTAGCAGCGTCTCTGGCAGGCGGGAAGCATGTTTCTGAAGAGTACTGCAAGTCTATTGCTCTGCGGGATGCTGTGCTCCCGGCTATGTCCGAGCGCCAGGTAACCTCGCTGCTGTATTTCTCCAACATTCTCGCCGAGGAAATCCACAGGTGGAGCTCCGAGCCAAGACGGAGCAGAGAGGAGCACCACATATACGCGAACGTCAAGGATGCCTTTGTGCTTATTGATTTTGTACTTGGTCATATTATGCAGCAGCACGCCTCCGGAATTCCCATCTCAGATGAGGTCCTTGGAAGCGAAGTCATAAATTCATATCAGGTGAGTTGTGCCTTTTACTTTCTGTTGGACACTCGCATGTATATCCATATCTAATTCTTGACTATCAGGCATGGATGAATGTACGGAGTGCAATCCAGCTGCGTGACTCGTTGTCCGCCTTGGACTTGGCTTCTACGACGACCTACATTATTCAGAGTATGAAGGTTCCTGGACTTTCCAAGTCCGCAACGCAAGTCGTGGTCGAGTTAATAGACTGGCGGGATAGTATTTTCACTCAACATCATCTCACTACCATCATGGACTATGTCGTCAGTGACCTTGGAGCTGCACATGTCGCGTCTCTGCTTGAGGCTGATTTTGAGGATGAAAATATGACATTCTTGGAGCTTCTTTTGGCATATGCGACATTGAAGCAAAGAGATCTTTTAACAAAGCAATTGGACTCACCGCATGCGAAGATGCTCTCCCTCCTTCACACGCTGTTCAAAGCTCCTGGCTATGCGGCGGTGGATGACCCTGCATCCCCGCTGGTTCTGGAATGGTGGACAGAAGTCGCCGACGATCTTCAGGATACATACTTCAATTCAAAAGATCAGACAGGACTGGAGCCTGCCAAACATAATTTGGCACAGGCGGCTCTGGACTGTTTCGAGAAACTCAAATATCCCACCCCGGAAGAGCTACAAGGCTGGGGTGACGATGATCGTAGCGAGTTCGGGGCGTTCCGACGGGATGTGTGCGACTTCCTTTTAGCCATCTATCCTATGCTCGGGGTAGAACTTGTCCGAGTTTTCCAAGAACAAGCTAGACTGTCACTGATACAGCAGGAATGGCGCACATTCGAGGCTGCAATTTTTTGCATTGCCCAGCTTTCGGAGGCTGTCGATGAGAATCAACACGCTGATGAGTGCCTGAATTCGATATTTTTCTGTGACGAGTTCGCTCGCTTATGTGAGGGCAATGGAGTGGTAATCCCAGATAAACCACGGCAAACATTGGTGGATATGCTGGGAAAGTACCAGTCATACTTCGAACGCACGCATGCTCTGCTGCCCCGAGTCCTTACATTCCTGTTCGCGTCTCTTGAGGTTGGCTCATGCGCACCGACAGCATCCAAATCGATTGCACATCTTTGTAAATCGTGCCGCAATGCTCTTACCTCGGAACTTCCAGCGTTTATTGACCAGTTTGAGCATTTTCGCTTCAAGCCCACGGCCACCGCCCACACCATGGAGAAAGTGTTGGAGGGAATCGCCGCCATCATACAGACCTTGCCTACGGATGAAGCGAGGTCACAAATTCTTGAGCGAATTCTCAGGTTCTTCCATGGACAGGCAGAGGCGGCCCGTGATGAGGCTGTTCACGGTCTGGTGGAGCAGGCTCAAATCCGTGGCCAGTTTGTGTTGCGTTGCGTTGCAAGTATCGGGAAAGGTCTGAGAACCGACGGTGAAGTTAACTTGGACTCGAATGATCATGGGGACGGTGACCCGTACCCCCCGACGTTCTGGAATACTGGCAGCGGTGTCGTATCTCAGAACTTGATCATGCAGTGCATGCAGCTGCTCATAACCGATTTCCCAGTGGATGTGACCGTAATCGAAGCCGCCTGTGACATATTGAAGGCAGGCTACACAGAGAGGACTGGGCCATATGTCTTCCCACCGATGATGACCGTTAATTTTGTCAAAAGCATACCTTTAGGCAGTGCTGGGACTGATATGGTGATGGGCACGGCTTCAGCGTTCCTTGCGTCTCATAGCGTACACCCTCAGCGAATTCGTGACGAGACGGTCGCCTTGATAGCACATGTGTATGACACATTCTGCTGGATGCACGAGAAGCCCGACTACTATGATCCAGAAGTGGCCAATAGCGGCATCGACTTTCTTACACGCTTGCTCCCCAAATACCACCCCTTCCTGTTTGCGCTCACGACGACGCCGCCGGACGCTGGCCAGGTGGCCTCGGCTAATGGCAGTGGTTTTCAGAGACCGGCAGTTCTTGATGCCGTTCTAAATTTCACCCTCCTTTCGTTGCAGGGTCCCGAACCACTTCCTCTGCGCTCGGCCTCCCAGTTCTGGGTGAGTGTGCTGAACCTTCCGAGCGACAGCGGGTCTATCCAAACTGCCATTCTGCAGTGTCTTCCTGCCCTGTGTCGCATTTTGATGAATCAGGTAGCCGGTCGGTGTGCCCGGTCGGACCTCGAACATCTTTGTGAAGTGCTTCGGAAGGTCATCTTCAGACAGCAAGGGGCAGCGCGCCCACACCTGGCTGCGGCCCTGGCCGAGCTAGGCGGGACTGACAATTCCAGTCAGCAACAGGGCCTGTCGACCTCACCCGAGGACAGGCAACGCTTCCTTGCGTCCCTGTTGGCTGCAAGGGGTGCCAGAGCGCAGACCAGTCAGTTGACGCGCACGTTCTGGGTCAAGTGTCGGGGAGTGAGCTTCGACTACGTTGGGTAGATGATGGGGGTAAACGGGCGGCAAATTTATGACGGAATTGGGGCAGAAGAGAACGAAATATACTGAAGTCGCTAGCATTGGATCCCTCCGAGTAAAAAGAAGTATAGTATAGGTCCAAAGTGAGGCTGTAACGGAGACAACGCAACGAGCCGCGACCGGGGACGACTACGGAGTACAGCGCTGGCTATGCATGAGTGAGTTCCCATAGGCTTAAGGCAATGACTGATGCAGTTGCTTTAGCTCCCAACGGCATGAGTCGTGTGTGAGTTGTTGTGTGCTGTGAGACGACTGTGAGCTGGTCAGTTGTCGATCCGGCTGGGCGCCGGGCCTTCAGCCACTGGGGCGGTGCAGCGTCGGCCCTAAGTGAGCATCCCTGATCCCTCGGTTTCAGGTCTGGGTCGCCTCGATTTTTCGCCTGCTGGGCGCTGCTAAATTAGGGGGATCGGCTATGAAGACTGAAGACTAATGCTGTGGGGCCTTGCCCCTGTGGCCATGCCAAACTAAGACCCATCGGGGCTCGTCTTTTAAACATGGCCTTTTACGCTCGTCTTGCACATTATTTACTCCATCTCACCACCTCCCACCATGCCTCTCATCGCCAATACGCCAGAATCCGTGCTGAACCGCACCGATTCGCTTGACCCGGCCACCACCTGTCGCGGTCTGACCTCGAATGGGCGGCCATGTCGCCGTTCTCTGGCGTCTGCGCCGCCATCAGCGCCCGCGGGTGAGAAGCTACAACAGACTGACGCGTCGGGAATGTATTGCTGGCAGCACAAGGACCAGGCAGTGTCGGTCTCGCAGCAGAGCCCTGGACCCGGCCCTTCGCAATTGAAGCCCCGCGGCAGCATTGACACATTAATGGAGCGGTTAGGGTTGCTGGACATCAACGATGCCGCGACTCCGGAGAAGCGCCGGAGACAACGGAAGCCAGCACAGAAAAGGCAGACCAAGCGAACGATCTGCTGCTGTTTCGAGGTCATCGAAGAGGAAGACATCCAGCCACCACGGCCGGTCAGTGCGCCGACTGGAATGCAACAAACCTCCACCGCGAAACCACAGCAGCCATCCGGCAAGACATCACCGCAGACCCCGTCCCTGTCGCCCCATCAGACGCCTTCAGGAACAGACGACGACCCTCTTTCATGGATTCCCTCCGGCCTCTCATCGGAGACGCTATCCAACCTCACGAATGAGCTGACCAAACCCATCTCGGAGAAAGATGAGCCAGGCTACATCTACATGTTCTGGTTAACGCCCACGACATCCGATTCAAGGGGTCCTCCGCCTTCGGAGGTCGCCTCGTCCCTGTTGCCACCGACTTCCTCCCCGGGACGAGATCGCCGCGTGAGCGATGCCCTTCGAACCGCTCGCGATCTTAACGCCTTGGCGTCGGCGCCCACCAGCGACAGCCCCGGCACGATCCGATTGAAAATCGGGCGGGCCAACAACGTCCAACGACGACTGAATGAATGGTCGCGACAATGCGGCCACGAAATCTCACTGATCCGCTACTACCCCTACACGCCTTCCACCCCTCAACCCTCGCCATCCCGACGCGGCGACCAGCATGACAGCAGCAGCAGCAGCACCCTCGTCCCCGGCCGCAAAGTCCCCCATGTCCACCGCGTGGAGCACCTCATTCACCTGGAACTGTCCGATGTGCGACTTCGCAACATGGGCAAATGTCCCGACTGCGGCAAAGAGCACCGCGAGTGGTTTGAGGTCACTGCGGAAAAGTCCTCTCTCAAACGAGTGGACGATTGCATACGCAGATGGGTGAAATGGGCCGAAATGCATTAATCCCAGCTCCTGCATTAGACATTACCACACTCAATCACGGGCAGAAGAAACATACTGCGCCCTGAAGTGCTCTCGCAAATGCAATGCACATACATCCCTCAACAACCCAGCCTGCCCCTTCCACTTATTCATACTCCAACTCTCGTAAGCATAAGTACCATCTCCGTAACTACCTCCCCACTCCCCCATCTCCATGCCACATGCCCATTCTGCCCCCCTCCGCAATTCCCTCCACCTCATCATTCACCTCGGCGACCAAAACCCTCCTCACCGCCCACCCTCCAACCTTATACACCACCCATCCAGACCCCCAAACACCCACCGCCACCAAAGTGGTAACCACGACCACCGGCCCTAGCACCAACAACGCAAAGCACGTAAACACCCCCGCCGCCAACGCCGCACTCGCCACCACACCCCCGACAAACAAACACACCGGGATCCCCGAGAACAGCACCTGCGCGAGCACGAACGTCGCGAGGACCGGATGCGCGGCCACCGTAGCGGAGATCTTGCTACCGAGTGAATGTAGACCCGTCGGAGGTTCCGAAGGGTGCGAGAGCGCCGAGGAGTGGGAGGATGCGGTGGTGGTTGTGGAGGAGGAGGTACGAGAAGTAGACGTGGAGCCGGAGTGGCTGTTGTCCCGAACGGGGGGTGTAGTAGCGATGGTGGGGGGTCGTTGGTGTGGTGCTTTCAGAGGATGAGTGTAGAGGATGGAGGATTGTAATTCGGATTTGATGGTCGCAGGTGGTCTGGGTGTCGGTGTCATGGGTGGGACTGTGGAAGGGAATTGCGAGGGGATCATGGGGTCGGTGTCGATGTCGGTGTTGGTGTTGGAGAGCATCTTTGGTATTAGTATTAGAGAGTTCAAACTCTTTGGTGAATGAGTGTGGAGTGTAGCCTTGAGTTGAAAATTAATATAATCGATTAACTAAGGAAGGATGAAGATGAAGATGAAGATGAAGATGAAGATGAAGATGAAGATGAAGATGAAGATGAAGATGAAGATGAAGATGAAGATGAAGATGAAGATGAAGATGAAGATGAATGAGTGATGGATGGTTGTTGGAATGATGGATGCCGGATGGATGCAACGCAAAATTCATTGAAAGCTAAGCTTGCCTCTGCATACGGGTAGTTCCTTCCCTTGATGAAACTAGTCTAAGGCGGCAAGGCGGCGAGAGTGAAACACCCGGAACTGCCGGTATGGTCACTAGAGGGTCTGATCTGGTATTGCCGGAGCGTATGGTAAGTTATGCCTTGTAAGGCTTGCGCATCATGCGACATGTTCGATGCTCACCGGGGACGGAATCTGGCCGGCCGGGATCTGGTCAAAGGGCGCAGTGCAGGTACAGTCGCGAGGGATTACGGAGGTTTCTGACTTTCTAAGTTCTAGGCACTTGGAAATTGAGCCAATTGATTCACCGGAGTGTTTGTCTTTCCGCTTTCGTCCGAGCGATATCGCCCGATCTGCGGCAAGCCGAGGCCGGCCCGCTAGCCTGCTATTTAGTGCTTCGCAAGCGTGCACCATTCTCGGAACCATCTTCGGAACTGTCACTCTGTTGCCTAGACGGTCGAATGTTGACGAAGTCTAATGTCTCAATTACCCCATTCTATTACTCATATTCCGCCAGTATACATATGCAATCACAAATCAGGTGCTCATGAGTAGTATCAATGTACAGACAATTCGCCTCGACGGCGTAAACAACGCAATAAGTCTCACTAGACCAACTTTTCAAACGCCCGCGATGAAAACCCAACTACTTTGGACTGTGGTCCTTTACCAGCCCCGCTTGGCCAGCTTGTCGGCCTCCGGCATCTGAGAGACGTTGATACCAACCATGGCCTCACCGAGACCCTCACTCACCTCCGCCAACACCTTAGGGTCGCGGAAGTGAGTGACGGCCTGCACAATGGCCTTGGCGCGCTTCTTCGCATCGCCGGACTTGAAGATACCTGAACCGACGAACACACCGTCGCAGCCCAGCTGCATCATGAGTGCCGCATCGGCAGGAGTGGCAACGCCACCAGCGGCGAAGTTGACCACGGGCAGACGGCCCTTCTCCGCCGTCTCGCGGAGCAGCTCGTAAGGAACCTCCAGCTGGCGAGCGAGCTGGCGCAGCTCGGGCTCGTAGTCGGGAGAGGACTGAAGGATGGCACGGGCACGGGCAATGTCCGAGTTCACCTGACGCATGTGCTTGACGGCCTCCACGACGTCTCCGGTACCAGCCTCACCCTTGGTGCGGATCATGGCAGCACCCTCGGAGATACGGCGGAGGGCCTCACCCAGGTTGCGGCAGCCACAGACGAAGGGAACCTTGAAGTTGTGCTTGGTAACGTGGTAGACGTCGTCGGCGGGGGTGAGGACTTCGGACTCATCGATGTAATCGACGCCAATGGCTTCGAGGATCTACCGAAAAAAAGGTCAGCCGGGGAGCAAAACTCAAACAGGAGGCCAAAACGGGGTATGCAGAAGAATGCTGTGATTGTAGCTTACCTGGCACTCAACAAAGTGTCCAATACGAGCCTTGGCCATGACGGGGATGGTGACCGCCTCCTGGATCTCCTTGATCATGCTGGGATCGGACATACGGGCCACGCCACCCTGTGCCCTGATATCAGCAGGTACACGCTCCAGAGCCATGACGGCAGCGGCGCCGGCATCTTCAGCGATGCGAGCCTAGTAGAAGATTCAACGTTAAAACGATTCTGAAGTAGGAGGCTCATAGAAGCATACCTGTTCCGCATTGACAACATCCATGATCACGCCACCCTTCAACATCTGGGCCAGACCGGCCTTGACAGTGAAGCTGTTGGCGGCAGCGCCGTTGGTAGCGCCGTTCTGCTGGGAAGCCATTGTGTATGGGGAGAGGGGTTCTAGAGGATTAGGACCAACACTATGTACGAGAAAAGAAGTCAAGAAGGAATGAAGCCACCCAAGAGAAGTGAAGGACGAAGGAAGAAAGGATACGAAGAAAAGTAGGAGGCAACAATGAGTCAACGGCCAGCGATAGTTCAACTAAGTAAGAAACGCCGCCGGTTTGCCTCCGGAGTCCCAATTGGCAGCCCACCTCCGATGGGGCCAACCACCGCCCGTTCCTGCTTTACCCCTCGTTTTCCCCCCCACGGCTCCGTATTTTTCCATCCCGTCACTCACAGGGCGGAGGCTACAGCCAATCATAGTCCCGCCGTCCCTCCTTCGGTCTCCAAGGTTAATATCACGTGATTTGGTCCGCGGCGAATTTCCCGCGGCTTTCCAGCCCGGCGTATCGTATCGCCGCGTCATGCGTTTCCCTTGTATGGTCACGTATTACCCGACCCTTTCCACCTCAGGCAGCCCATCGGTCATTCATCCGAGGCATGTCAACCTCAATCATGTCTACTCTAGACCATTGCCTGGAGGAATTGATTAGCGGCTCTCGACCACGAGGATACTACGATCTAGTTATCTATCTCCATACCATCTAAATCTTCCCCCAAGCACCTGCCCTTCGCGCAGCCTCCAATCCGGCCGATCCCTCCGTGACGTCACCGCGCACATACCGACGGCGCAACTCCAAGACCATAGCCATCTCCATCTCCCTTTCCTGCCATCCCTACAATCATCCCCAGCTCAGTGCTAACCACACAGCATCAATTGCGATCAATTCATCCAGCTTTCTCTATATCCAGCTACAGACCATTCCACCACACAACCACCCCTCCGACCCATCGCATCCAAACCACAACCAGCCAACCAGCCAACCAGCCAACCAGCCAACCAGCCAACCAGCCACGATGGCCTCCTTCCTACTATCCCGCACAACCACCACCCTCCTAGGCACCGGCCTCGGCCTCGGCCTCGGACTCACCTTCCACCCCTTATCCCCCTTTAGAGCCGCCCCCATGCAATGCCAATACACCGCTCCCTACTACCGCACCGACGCCCAGATCTCCCCGGACTCAGGCTGGGCCGTGGACTCCCAGGACCCATTGCTGCGCAAGCAGGGCACAACGAAATCCGGGAGTGGGATCCTGACAGCCTCCAATATGCGTCAGGTTAGCTTGGGGAGCGTGCTGGGACTGGTGGTCGGGATGGGGTTGAATGCGTTTTCGAGGGTGTTGGTGGTTTTGTTGGGCTTGGGGATTGTTGCGGTTGAGGTAGGTTTTTTGGCTTTTTTTCTTTTTCTTTGCTTTTTTTTATTTGCCTTGAGGATGTTTGCTTGTTGAAATGTGGTGGCTAATTGGGGTTGGTATAGTGGGCTGCGGCCAGAGGATATAATCTGCTTCCGGTCAATACTGTTCAGAAGTATGTCAAGCGGGTGGATCTGCAGAAGGTCGTGTCGCATCATATTCCTTTCAAGATGAGTTTTGGTGTCACTATGGGGCTGGCTGCGTTTGCGCAGTTCTAGATGAGATACCACGGCTGCCATCGTACCAATATTATGTCGGGAGGGTGCACCGCGTGTAGATATAAATATCGTCTAGTCGTGCGCGAAGAAAAGAAGGCCTCAAGATCGGATTATTAGTCCAATTGCCGAAAACTATAACTATAGTATTATGTTATACAGGGTATCATGGGTTCATGCAAGGCGCTACCGACATTTATCGCTATGCTGGGTTCGATCAGTTCAAAACCAAATCTTCCAAAACACCCTCCATCTCGTCTCGCGCCAACGGCACCCCTAGGATCTCCGTCCCGCTCGTGTCCATCCGGGAGGTGATCATCTGATGGTCGTGGAACTCCTTCAGTAACGTCCGGAACATCATCTCCGACGACGCGATGAACTCTTCCGCCGCCTTTTGGTACAGTAGCCGGAATTCGATTCCGGCTTCCTCTCGGCTATTGTCTGCTCCATGACCACCCTCCCCGTCATCGTCGGATAAGTGCCCTTCGTCGGCCATCGACAGGAGCTCCGTAAGGAGCAGCCGGTACAGGTTCCGGGCGTTCTCCGGAAGACTCTTCAATACAAACTCAACACCCTCCTTGCCACCTACTCGGCGTCCCTTGCGGCCTAGGAGGCTGCTGACCTCCTCGACAACGTCGAACTCGGTATCAAATGGAGCAAAGGTCGTGCAATCGTGGAAGACGAAGTTGAATTGGTCGCGGAGACTCAGGTCCCACATCAGCAAGAGGTTCGGTGTGTCCGCTGTCGCGAGAAGGTGGATCTTAGGCGTTGCCGCCAGTCGGGCAAGGAGGGCTTGGTTTGCTGCTCGGCGGAGGGACGGGGCATCGATCGAGTTGATGAGGACGGTGATGGGTTTTTGAGAAGTTCGTGACTTCAAGACCGACTGTAACAATTCGAGTACTTCTTGTGGTTGGGATCCCATCTTGGAAGGGATATCGGCCCCTAGGACAGCAGTCACAATGGTGGCGAAAATAGACCGGATCGAGATGTTGGGAGTGTGTCCGTTGGCGACCACCACGGAACGCGACGCGGAACTATGCCGGTGATAGAGCCAATCTGCGAATTCCTGGAGTAGGCGACGCTTGGACCCATATCCGTAGAGACAGATGTTGAACCCTTGGTCAAACTCGAAATCCCACTGAGGGAATGACCGACAATGCAGGTCCAATAGAAAGGACTTTTCTTGTTTATACGGGTCCACGTACTGCGACATCTTCTCGAAGTACTCCTCGTGCGTCAATAGCGTCATCTTCCCAAGGTTGTTGTTCGATGTCCGAGGCGGTCCGGCTCGATTTTGAAAGAAATATCGCTCGTGGGCCGGTAGTTCTCCCTCTGGTGTAGGAGAACGCTTGTTCTTCGCGCCCTTCGGTCGACCTGCACGACGTTTGGGTGTTGGCGCTGCGGCATCGCTCGCGGCTGGTTGGCTAGGCTCCTCTTCGATGGAATCTAAGACACCATTTCTGGTTGTAGATGCTTTGTTCTCAGCCTCATTATCATCCTCCAAAATTTCCTCCGCCAGTCGATCCGCACCATCCCAGACATCATCGTCATCTTGTTCGAGCAGAAGGCGTGCGCTCTTTTTCTTAGCTGACCGGTCGGCACGAGCTTTGGTTGGTGACGCAACGGTGGTCTGCTTCGTGGGTGTCGAGAATAGAGCTTTAGCTCTACCCTTATGTGTTGGAGTCCTCAATCCCGACGCCTTGAGAGCAGCCGGGGTTTCGGCAGTTGGTTTCTGGGGCGTGAACTTCACACGTTTCGTAGGAGTGGCTTCGAGGGCCTGTTCATCCTCCGTATACCCATTCACGGCGCCATTGGGAGCTGCCGCTCTCTGCCTCTTGGGCGTAGAGATGGGAACCTGGTCCTCGGGATCTGGATGCTTGCGTTTCATTTTAGTTAATGGGTCCGGGATCAAAGCAGCTTCGGGCGGACAACAAATACCATCGCGGGCACAACAGGGGTCTCGAGCTCCAGAAGAACGGCGAGCACAACAAAGACGCGAGGGAGAAGCTGGGAATGCTGATCGCTGATAGATCTGCCGGTCCTCGTGGCTTTTCTGCGATAGGCGCGTCTGGACTCTGGAACACGCGCCGCAGGGCCGATGGTTTCTCCGATTCCGCGATATCGGAGCGGCATTTCATCGCCGCGAATCGCATCACTTCATCAGTGCATTGGGCCTGTCCGACTCAAGTTTCGCTTTAGGAACGCTCATCTGGTCGTCTGGCGGTGGTCTGCGTGTCCACTTGGCCTGGAAAGAATAGCCGGCCGTGAGTCCCCATTTAGCGAACGAGTCAAATCGGTGAGTCATTTATCTCCCCGGTCTCCATCCACTGCAGGTATATCTACCCAAGCACAAGCACCTCGCGCCAGCCCTGAGGAAGCACCTGCACCCATTGGCACCCGCCCTATAAATCCCCACGATCGCAAGAGCAAGGACTGACCTCTGCTCCATCTGCATCAGGATTTTCCAATGGCTTTGCCTACCCACTCAGCGGCCACCACCACCACCATGGCCGCCTTCGCCCGCATGGTGAAGGGCCAGGTGCGCAATTACTCCGCACCCTTGGACATGGCCATCCCCGCCTCCAAGCAGAAGTACATCCCCTCCTCCGGCTCCTATCCTAAGGGTTTCTCCGTCTCCGGAACCCACGTCGGTGTGAAAGCCTCCAACACCAGGTTCCCCGACCTGGCCCTCATCTCCTCCGAGACCCCATGCTCCGCGGCCGCAGTCTTCACCACCAACAAGTTCCAGGCCGCCCCGGTGCAAGTGAGCAGGAACACTCTGAACTCCACCAAAGGCCATGGCATCCGCTCCGTGGTCATCAACTCCGGCTGCGCCAACGCCGTGACAGGCAAAGGCGGCCTGGAAGATGCTGTGAGCATGGGTACGAAAGTAGATGAATGCAACGGCCTCACCCAGCCTGGTACTCTGGTCATGAGCACCGGTGTCATCGGTCAACGGTAAGCACCACACCCCTCAAACACATCCACCTCAATCACCCATCTAACCAACCATTCATCCACAGCCTCCCCATCTCGAAGATCCTAGACAAGATCCCAACTGCCCACTCCACCCTCTCCTCCACCCACGATGCCTGGCTCACCACCGCCCGCGCCATCTGCACTACCGACACCTTCCCTAAGCTCCTGTCCCAGACCTTCACCCTCCCCTCCTCCCCCGGCCGTACCTACAACCTGGCCGGCATGACCAAAGGAGCCGGTATGATCCACCCGAACATGGCCACCCTGCTAGGCGTCCTCTGCACCGACGCACCCATTGAACCCTCCGCCCTGCAATCCCTCCTCAAGCATGCTGTCTCCCGGTCCTTCAACTCGATCTCCGTCGACGGTGACACCAGCACCAACGACACGATCGCCATCCTTGCCAACGGTGCCGCAGGCGGCTTCCCCATCAGCTCCACCTCCTCGGACGACTACGCCACCATGCAAAAGGTCCTGACCTCCTTCGCCCAATCCCTCTCGCAACTCGTCGTCCGTGACGGCGAAGGCGCCACCAAGTTCGTGACCGTCCGTGTGCAGAACTCCCCCGACTACGAATCCGCTCGCCTGATCGCCTCCACCATTGCTCGGTCTCCGCTCGTCAAGACGGCTCTCTACGGTCGGGACGCCAACTGGGGCCGTATTCTCTGTGCGATCGGTTATACTCAGGGCGTTGCTCCTGGTGCTGTGGTGCCGGAGCGGACTAGCGTCAGCTTTAAGCCCGTGGATGGCAGCGCCGTTCTGAAGCTGCTGGTCAACGGTGAGCCCGAGCAGGTCGATGAGGATCGCGCGGCTGTTATTCTGCAGGAAGAGGACCTTGAGATCGTCGTGGACCTTGGCGGTGGTGAGAAGGGTGAGCAGGGTCTTGGTGGAGAGGAGGCCGTCTACTGGTTCTGTGACTTCAGTCACGAGTATGTGACCATCAACGGTGATTACCGTACTTAAGCGAGCTTCGCCATGAGTAGACCAAAAGTGATATAGCAGTGGGTGCTGCCATCAAGTTTAATAGTATAGTTTCCGGTATACCCGCAATTACATATTCAACTGCATTATACCCAAGTTTCAGATGGACATAGAGAGAGCAAATGGTCAAGCCAATTAAGTGTAATTTTAGATCTTTTGTAAATATGGTTACAAACCAGATAGGTGCTATGTACAGTTGTGACCGGAACTTTCCCGCGGGAAAGCTCTCCCTCCAGCAAATTGTTAAGACTAGCCATACATCCGTCAAGAACTAAATCATCCAGATACCAGCCACAATAGCACACTACCCGAGAAGAAACGGAAATTTGAAAGAACAAACATAAGCCCACAATCCTCTTCTCATGCTTTCATCAAAAAAGGGGACTTGTCTAGTTACCCGGAACGAGACCCTTGAGGCCCGATCCAATGTCGCCCTCACGGGCGGCGATTTCGAAGTATCCGTATATAATCCTGAGGTCTTGGTCAGCAACCCAGTCAAGGAGATGAGATCAGTTTAAAACTTACGTAACGGCAAGGAGAATACCGGTACCGCTGCCGAGAGCACCAAGGAGGTCAGAAGCGACGGACAGAGCACCAATGCAAGCACCGCCGAAGGCAGCAGCAGTGGGGATAACCCGCTTGAGCTCCTTGTACATGCTCTGCTCGCGGTGACCAGCCATCACGAGACCCTGGTCCTTGAGCTGCTTGGCAACATCACGGGGAGCGGAACCAGAAACCTCAATCCAGGTCTTGGAGAAGAGGGCACAAGCGCACAGCATGAAAGTGATGTAGATGGCGGTGTGGATGGGATCAACGAGGGCCTCCTTGAAGTTCAGAGGAGGAGACATGTAGTAGGCAATGCCGGAGGCGGCGTGGAGCTGGGCAGAGCCCTCACGAGGCTCCCAAACGCCGAGAAGTCTGACAAGGATGTTGTCCGAGAAGCGAGAGTACAGCATCTGGCTGATAAGGAAGATGTTGGAGCACAGAGCAGACTGGAGCATGATGGGCATGTTGGAGGTGTAGAAGAGGCGGACGGGGTAAGAACCGCGCATGCCACGCTGGCGAGAGGACTTGACAGGGATCTCAACACGGAAGCCCTGGAGGTAGATGACAGCGGCGAAGACAAGGAGAGTGGCCAGCAGGTTCATGATGTTGGGGAGGTTCTGACGGTAGAAAGCTTCCCGCAGGGCGCGCTGCTTGTCGGACCAGGTCAACAGAAGGTGGAAGAGGGCGATGATGGCACCCTCGAACTCGGGGCCACGGCCAGTGTTGATGGTCGTGGGGGAGAAAGCCTTCCAGACAATCGACTCGCAGATGTTGGTCGCGATGAATAGGGAGATACCGCTTCCAAGACCGTAGCCCTTCTGGAGCAGCTCGTCCAGAAGAATGACGACCAGACCAGCAACGACCAGCTGGACAATCAGCAGAACACAGATACCGGCACCGAGATCACTGGGCTGGCCATAGAGACCAGTGAGGACGTAGACACAGGCCTGGCCGAAGGACAGGATGATAGCGAAGAGCTTCTGAGCGGTCTGATACAGTTCACGGTCGGTCTTGAGGTCAAGGTTGACATCGATGAGGTGGGTACCAGCGAGGAGCTATCAGAAACGAAAAAAAAAGCCTACATTAGCATATGCTGATAGTAGCACTGCAGTATTGCTCTGACATACCTGGAAAACCATGCCGGAGGAGATGATGGGAGTGATACCCAATTCCATCAGAGTACCCCGGTTACTGGCCAGCATCATACGGAGCCAGTACAAAGGGTCGGAGGTGTCCGAAGAAACAATTCCGTAAAGGGGCATCTGACTCATGACCAGGAAGATCAACAAGGTCAACTGCAGCGAAATCGATTAGCATCGAGGCTCTTTGGCGACCTGACAGATATCACGTACCCCCGTCCACATCAACTTCTGGTTGAAGGGCACCTTCGTTTCTGGGGCGGCCACCTCCGGAAGGAGGGGCGTGAAAGGCTTGATCAAATCAAGAAACCTGACTAGAATCGATAATCAGCATTTGTCGATCCATTGAGGCCGGAGAGGAAACGCTGTCGCGAAAATGGCAGCGATCGCGTGCAAGACTCACGTCCGCTCATTGTGATTGTGCACCTCCCAGAGCTGCAGGATTATGAGGGGGTAGGGGGAGGGAAAGAAAGAAAGAGAAGCTGGAGGCGAGAACCAGCTGAAGGAACGGAGAGAATTACAAAAGGGAAAAGGGAAGAAGGGAAGGCGAAGGGAAAGGATGGGGGAGGAGAGAAAGGGAGGAGGAAGCGATGAGGTCGGCGGGAGCGAGAGCGGGTGCGATCGAGGAGTCGCCTCGCTGGCCACTTTGCGCTCCCCAGCCACGCTAACCCGTTGAGGCCACTTGGTCGCTTTCCTGCGTCCAGTCATGACTACCATGGACTATCTACGACTCTGACTGTAGCAAGTATGTAATTGGTATGATGAACCCATCTCCGGGGTATCTCACAATTCTCTCGCACAAAATCACGATCTAGGTATCTAAGGTATCTCAATATAATATGCACCGTTTCCTCCCCATCCAGCCATAGCCAATTAGTCCTTCATAAGCGGGCATTCCAGCTCTCGATCCATCCGTACGCCGACGTAGAGCACGCATACTGAGGTTAGGGCCCAACAAGACAAAGACAATCGTCAATCACATTCTCCAACTCCCCGAGTCGCTCTTTCAGTCCCTTATTCTCCTCTTTCAATATCCCCATCACACTCCACGCTTCAGAAGCAGGGACTCCATGGCAGATATTACACTTGGAGCTGTTGGTCCACGAGTTGGCAATGCTCTTGGGTGTCAGCCCTTTAAGAACCCGATCATAGGTGGATTGTCGCGCTGGAGTCGGCGCCGGCGCCAGTGTCGGTACTGATACTGGTGCCGGTGCGGGTTTGGTTTCTTTCTGGCTCGGCTGCACGGCAGTAGTTGGAGTAGGAGTAGACAAGGTGATTTGCGAGATGTTGGGGGATGGCGCGACCGTCGAAGCCGGAGACTCGAGCCCTTCGCGGCGGGAGAACACACTTTCTGCAAGGCTCTCATCTCCGGAGTCGAAGCCGGAGTCGCTTGTAAACGTTCCATTACTGGCTCGCTTGAGGCTCCGCTTGGGAGTCTGAAGCTCCGCCCCCAGGTCGGATGCACTGTCATCGTCGCTCGGCCGGACGAGCATGACGCTGCGTAGACGCGCCTCCTCCTCACGGCGACGTAATTGCCTTTCGTGCTCCAGCTCTTCCGCCATAGCCTTGATGGCTTTCTCTTGCTGGATGACCTTCTCGGCCATCCCATCTAACTGGACCTTGAGGTTTCCTATGCGCGTCCGGGTTACCTCGAGCTCCTCTTGCTTCTCGTTCTTGTCTGCCAAGGCTTCATGCAAAGCGAATGTCCTTTGTTTGTACGCGGCCTGCAGCCGCCTAAGCACCGTATCTGCATTGTGTCGCAGAGCGTCAAAAGCTTCCCGACCTTCCAGATTACTGAACCCAGGAGGGAACAGCGCGGCGTTAATATCGAGGTTCAAAAACTCGTCCTGCGCGGGTTCGGGAAGCTCCAATCTGCTATCCCCTTGTCGCTTCAACCCGAAGAACGAGAAAGGATTCGATGAGGTGACTTGCTTCAGAGGCGATGGCGCAGTCATCCGCTTCTGGGCTCGGTTCGAGAGGACCGTTGGGGCGCTGGACGACCCATAGTAGTCGCGACTGGCTCGTCTCTCCATGTCATCCGTTGCCACTGAGTCCTGCTCTCCTGACTGATACACTACTCCCAGGTTGACAGGTTCTGACTTTCCTTGGAACCAACCCGACAATCGTTTCGCGCCTTCTTCGAGTCTTCTTCTGGCGGTGTTCTCGACCGGGGTGTTTGAGTGGTTGGTGCTAGAGTCCAGGTCTTCGAAGGTTTTGGGTTGATCGGGGAAGAGCTTCCTGGACGGCAGAGGGGCTTGCCGCGGTATAATCTCGGTGTTTGCCCGACGGTGAGAGGGGTGCGAAGGATATTGTTTCGGCGGTAGTGGGGGTAACGCATCCGAGCTCTGTGCTAATAAAGTTACAGGGGTACTCTGGTGGGCGGGTTGATTGTCAATGTAAGGCTGACAACCATCCTCATTTCCGGTCAGCGTGACCGCTGTCGAGGCCAGTTCGGGATTGTCGATACCAGCAGGCGTGGCTGTAGTTGACGGGTGCTCGGGGTCACGGAGCATTGTTGGGATCGAAGGTGACTGGACAGTAGGTGGGAAGGGATGGGGCCTGGAATGACGAAGGGACGCGGTCGGTCGCACCACTTGGACACGGATTGGAATGCCACGTCGATATGTTGTCCGATCCGATGCACGGTCACGTATGCCGCAATCGCTTGTCAGCGAGGAAGCAAAAGGGGGGGGAGACGGAAATGAGTAGCTCTCCAAGCTCTCCCTCGTTATCTCCTTTCTGCTGGATGGCGGGGCGAACGGTAGGAATTGATAAGAGGATCAAGTGTGGGAATGGACTGCGAGGGGCCGCGAGGGAACGGTGTATACGTTAAGGACTGTAGTCTAAGGGGGAAAGGACGCGATTGCAGCAGATGTTCTTCAGGTTGATGAAGTCGACCGCCAAGCGATAGCGATCAGACGGGATGCCCGCACGTGCCCCTGTCAGCGACGAGTCCTGAGGATCCTGCACGATCTATACAGCGAATCTGGAGAATTCAGAGCCGGATGGTCTTAGTAGGCATTCAGAATCTTCGATATGTGGCGACAATATGACGAGGAATCATGAATGGGTCCTTTAGGTTAAGGTACCGCGAAATATGGCGAGGTTGGGTATGTATTCTTAGAAGTCGAGATCCGCCAAACAGCAAAAAGACGGTGGCTGAACAACCTTTTCTTTGCTCCACCACGAGGCCCTGCGCTAGATGAGTGGTCGGCCATCGGGTGGTACATGGCCTCGGGGCGATATTGCTCGTCATCACGGTCACGAACGTTATTATTAGGCACGAATGCGCCCCATAATCCAGCTCCCCTGAACCGGACCAGCCGCACTCCATCCAGACAGCGCTTGAAGACCGTTGAATGGCCCGACGACGTCATCTGTTGCACTGGCATAGACAATGGTCTCACTGACGACTGGATAGTGGGATATACCATTGACGCCACGTCCAACGCAGTGACCAAAGCGGCCAGGCCCCTTTTCCGGTGTCATTGCTGGACGGCCCCGGAGTGTCTGGAGTCTGGACTCCTGGGGTCCCGTTTCACGCGGTTTAGTCTCAGGCGATCCCCTCCTACATGAGATTAAGCAATCTCGGGGTTGAGCAATCATTTGCGGAGGATAAGGGGGAGCGCATCATATTCCTTATCCACCCTGGTCAGTCGCTGTCACTGTCATTCATGCTGTGGACAGGTTCCAGGCTTTGAATGGATAGGTGGTAATGAAGATCAGCCCGAGGATGTACACCCATAGGGCTCGGAGATATGTACGTAGTACGAAGCAGACCTCGTTCCTTGGACTGGGGCCGCAGGATGAAAATGCGAGCCATGAATGTTGCGCTGCGTGCAATCTTTGGCTGCAGTCTTCATTACATGGCTGCCTGAGGCTGATGGGTCACATGCTCCCACCTGGTCACCTGAGGAATTCTGTCTATCTTGCTGTGCTATTGTTGAGTTCGAAGAAAAATACTGGATTGGACTCGAACCAACGATGATTAATAACAATCCTTTAACCTTGACATGAAAGGAATAACTCGAGTGTCTGTAGCAGCTCTATTAAGTTACCTAGCCCGATATATATAAGTGCTAGTAGTAGAGGATACTATGGATGCAACGCTTCCCCCCCCATGATTTCTGAACAGACCTCCTTGATCATCATATTCCCAACGGCAGAATGGGTACTCCGTACCTGAGACCGTGTCATAGCATTCTTTACATCGTGCAGACAAAGCCAATATAGTTCTATAGGGGCGAACGTGGGCATGTTGATCCCCTCAGGCCAGTCCAATGTATGCACAAGGCGGTGAGTCTCAATGCCCGGAGCTTTGCAGCAACGCCATCAGACCAAACATCTCGTGGATCAAGGCGACAGCTTCCCATTGCACATAGACAACCACACGCCATATATCAAGGGGATGGCTCTTCACTAAAGCATCAAGCATAAATTCATTCCGTGCAAATCTCCGTTCGAACTCCTCAGAATCCCCCTCACTTGCAACATGGCAAGCTCGGCCGCAAGCGGGTTGAAGTACCTATCCAATGCGCTAGCAACACCAGAACAGCTATCGAACTCATCATCGTCTATCGATGGCGTGTCCCCCGATCTAGAGGCGTCCATTCGCTTCGCCGGCGCTCAGCTCACGCAAACAGCCGGGATCCTACTACGATTGTCGCAGGATATCATCGCGCAGGCGATTGTGACGTTTACCCGGTTCTGGATAGGCTCGGAAGGGGGCAGTTTGCGAATCTACTCCGTGAAGGTAGGAGCGGACATTTGCTCATCCGAAGAACCACAAGCTAGGGTACTGACAGGTCATTTTCTACTTAGGATGTCTCCGCCGCCGCACTGTACATGACCGCCAAGTTATCCTTCCAACCTACCTCTCCCCGCTCGGTGTTGAACGTCTACACTTTTCTCCTGTCGAAGGAGGCGTCGCCATTATGGTTTGTGAATCCTCAAGGGTCGCCAGACAAGCCTATGCCGGAGGCCTACCATCTTACAGAAGGGGGTTACCAAGCGCAGCGACAGGTTCTGCTGCGCATCGAGTCAATCATCTTGCGCACACTAGGATTCAATACCCATGTGGCTCTTCCTCACACCATCGCCTTGACCTACCTCCAGACCCTTGGTGTTCCGTCTTCCGCTGTCGCACGCAGAGTGTTTGAACACCTCAACTCAGCGCTGTTATCGCCACAGTTATTGTACCTCACGCATCAACCAAACGCACTTGCCGTTGCCTCGATCTACCTCGCCTCACGAGAAGAGGGGGTCAAGCTCGTCGATGTGGAATGGTGGGAAGTTTTTGACGTCGACCGAGAGGATCTCGGGTTCTTGGTGGTGGGTATGAGAAGTATGGAGGGATTCGCGCAGGCGGAAGTGGAAAAGTGGAAGGGTCGCGGGGTACCCATGACGGTGGATGAGCTGGAGGGTGAGATAGAACGGAGGCGGATGATGGAAGAGGGCGAGTGAGAGTTGCGACAGCATCCATTTCGTCTCTATACTTCGGCACAACCCGCCTAAAGAGGGTTCCGGCTATAGCTGATACGCAAGGACAAGCCCACGATAAGCGAGGTCATCCTGGATCGATATCAGAGATAGCTTCCAGCCTGACCGAAGCCTCATCGGCGCAGAATCCCGCCGTCCGCGTGCTAGGGACTATTGCTGAAGGAAGGATAGCATCCTCCAAGGTCCCTGCACCGCTCCGTAGAATGCGGATAGACCGCCGGGATCTGAACCCGGCCCCTAAGCAAGACTGCGATAAGTGATAGCCTATCAAAAGTGAAGTGTCCATAGAACCAGCCAATACATCAATGATAAAGTCATCGCGTTAGCTCAGCATGATCGCAGGGAAGCCAGGTGCGGAGGGTGGTGACCGAGCCTCAGCCACATGATGTACCCCGCGTGCATCGCCAGACGTCGATAAGTCGTTGTACCTCCGTCACCGTCACCGCCACACCAACCAGTCCCTCTCCTCCTATTCTCCTCCAACCCATCACATCTTTTTCATTTCCCCCATCTACCAACATAGTACTCCCCAACTCAAACAACCCACCAAGAAAGCTCATATCTTCCAGAAATGAACATCCTACACTCCACGCTCTCCACCTGGAGAGACCGGTTAGCACCAGTCTCCCGAACCTCGACCTTCCGAACAACCGGTCAAATCACGCCCGAAGAGTTCGTCCTCGCCGGCGACTATCTCGTCTACAAGTTCCCCTCCTGGTCCTGGGCCGATGCTGCGACGCCCGCCAAACGAGTCTCTTACCTCCCGCCCGGGAAACAGTTCCTCGTAACCCGAGGCGTCCCATGCCACCGCCGCCTCAACGATAACTTCGCCGGGGATGCGGGTCATGACGATGAAATCGTCCGGGACATGTTGGCGGGGGAGGATGACAATGACGACGGGTGGTTGAGGACGGGAGGCGGAGACGAAGCATCGGCGGCGGCGGCGGCTCGGATCGGAGATGTGCGGACGGTCGACGAGGCGGGGAATATGGGCGAAGAAGAGCAAGAGGAGGAAGAGATTCCAGATATGGAAGATGAGGATGATGATGAGGAGGCGATTATTCGAGAGCCTGTGGCGGGGACGACGCAGTGAGTATTCCCCTCCCCCCCCACCTACTTCCCACCTTATCTATATCGCTCCTGTCGTGTTATGATGACTTGGATGATTCTAACGTGAACGATAGACCAACCCGCACCTACAACCTCTACATCACCTATGCGAACTTCTATCGAACCCCACGTCTCTACCTCTCCGGATACCTTTCCGCATCCGAACCCCTCCCCCCGCAACTCATGATGGAAGATATCGTGGGCGATTACAAGGACAAGACCGTGACCCTGGAAGATTTCCCATGGTTTGAAGGAAGCGTGAAGATGGCTACGGTGCATCCCTGCCGACATGCCTCGGTCATGAAGACTCTCCTGGATCGCGCCGATGCGGCGCTCAAGATCCGTCGCGATAAGCTGAAGGCTGCGGCGGCGGCGCAGGCCCAGCCCGATGCCCGGGTCGCGGCCGGCGCCGGCGGACTAGAAGGATTGGTCGATGATGCCAAGGGACTGTCGTTGAGCGACGGACAGGTTCATCAAGGCGATGAGTGGGAGGTGTTGCAGCACGATGAGGATGATCAGGTTGCGATCCGCGTGGATCAGTATCTGGTTGTGTTCCTGAAGTTCATTGCTAGCGTCACACCGGGGATCGAGCACGACTTTACCATGGGGGTATGAAACCCCATCTTATGTGTGTATGGCAGACAACTGGTCGGGTTCGGGGTTACTTGAATAGTCATGAGGGTAATAGCATCCTCTCTAGGATAGTTGTTGATTTCTGTATCTTTGAAATGGCGCGCAAGGAGCATGTTATTATGAGGCATGGCAGATGATATCACGAAGACTAATGCAATGCAATTATCAAATCAACTGTTTCACATTATTTCTCTTATTAAAAAAGACAGTATAATACAAAATTCCCTGCAAGAGAAATGCAGACCAGCCAGCAATACCCACAGAACGAAATAAAGTCGGAAAGAAGAAACGACAACCCGAAATAAATAAACAGCCCGTTCCCAACCCGATCCAAGTCCCAGACAATCGGATACCATCAATCAACCAATTTTGTAATAACACATGAATTTGTATAGAGAAAGGAAAGCATGATGATGATGATGATGATGATGATGATGAACAAAGGAAATATCTTTACTAGTGAGTGAGTGAAGATAGGGCGTATCGTATCTTAGCCCGCTTGGTCCCGCGTCGAGGACATGCCTCTTATGCCGCGCACCGGCAGGTATATGCGGGTAGGGCTGAGACAGCGGGCGATGGAGGGATGGGAGCAACCTTGGGCTCGGATTCAGGTGAGTGTTCTGGTTCCGATTCCGGTTGAGACTGAGGATGAGGTTGAGGCTCAGGAGCAGGGGCAGGGGCAGGAGCTGATTGAGGCTCGGGGGTAGTCTCGGGTTCAGGAGAGGTTTCGGGCTGCGACTCGGGTTGGGGCTCAGGAGCAAGGGTAGGGGCAGGGACAGGAACTGGTTGAGGCTTGAGGGTAGACTCGGGCTCAGGAGATGGTTCGGGTTGCGACTCGGGTTGGGGCTCGGGCTCTGAAGCTGGGCATTCTTGGCCGGCTGGCTCCTCGGGTCCTTCGATGGTATCTGCTGGGGGATTGTGGACAGTGGGGGCGGAGGGAGCGGGGGAAGCGGACTCAGAGGGAAAGAATGGAGCTGGGGACGGGGATGGGGACGGGGAAGGGGATAGGGATGCGTGGGAAGATGAGGGAGCAGCCGGAGAAGTAGTGGTGGAGGGAGATGAGGGAGCAGCCGGGGGAGTAGTGGTGGAGGATGTGGGAGGAGCGGGTTCAGAGGGAGAGGATGGTGTCGAAGAGTGGGAAATGGTGGAAGATGTAGTGATAGGAGGCGCAGGAGGCGCAGGAGGAGCATGTGTAACTGGAGGAGCAGGGGCACTTGTGGTCGAGGGAGCAGGAAGGAGATGGGTAGTGGTAGTAGTTGTAGTGTGCGTAGCAGGAGGAGCAGGGGCAGAGGTAGTCGTCTCGATAGGAGGATTCACTGGCGGTGGAGGTGGAGGAGGAGGAGGAGCTACCGTGGACTCGGGGGGGAACGTGGTAGGCGACGTCGTAGAAGTGGTTGAAGTGGGCTCTGGCCGTGGCTCTTCCGTCTCCTCATAGCTGTTGTGGAAATAACTGCCCATGTTGAAGCTGGGACCATCCGGGATGCCGATGTTGTAAGAGTCACCGGCGTCGGTGTTGCTCGACTCACTCGAGCCACCATTGTCGCCGTTGCCTTCATGGTAACTATTGGAGGCGAAGTTGCCAGCGTTGAAGGATGGGCCATCCGGGATGGAGAAGTCCATGCCCGAGCCGGCTTGGGTGTTGCTGTTGAAATGATGGGCCTGTCTGGGTGCCAGGACTCCGTTCTGCAGGATAAGTTAGTTTGATTGGCCACATTTCATGCTCCAGGCACTGGGAGGGATGGGCATACACTGGGGGCAACCGGTGCGGAGAGGACGCTCGGCGGAGCAACAGCCAGCACGAGGCATAGCAATTCCGAAAGGCTCTTGGGGTTATACATGGCCCAGATAGAGAATGGCGTAGTCACTGAACGAACGTGGCTATGGAGCAGGTTGAAAGAGCGAATGTTTCCAGTGAAAGATTGTTGGGAGCTGGCAAAGGTGCGAAAGAATGGACGCTGTGATGGCAGCGGATGGATGCTCTGTCGAACAACATCTCAGTCCGAGAACTGGGGTCTCTTATACCTGCGATGGCGATATCCAAGGGCTCGCACCCTTTCTAGGACGCCAGCATCCCTGACCCGCCATGCAAGGCCCACGAGACAATAACCTCCGATAGCCACGGTGACCTCATGGCCCAAATGATCTGGCCACTCGGTAGCAGACTGCGCCTCCCAAGGTCAACATCCCTTTAGCCGATGAAGGGGAAACCAAATGATAACATGGGGATGGGGCGGGATCCGGCCCCGAGACGGACGCAAGGAGAAGAAAACCATTGTTCGGCTAGATGTGCACTTTACTGTGAAGAACTGAATCAAGACACCCCTAGTCTTAGACAAACTCCCGTGGCTTTAGTAGTTACACATGGTTGTCAATGCATATGCGAAGTGAAAAGAAAAAAAAACAAAAAACGATCACCGTCATATTCATCAGTCATGGTATCCATCCAGAAACAAAGAAAAGCAATCCATTCCGTATAGCCCAAGTCCAAAATCGCATAAGATCCCGTAAACGCTTTAGATCACATGCAAGAGAAGATAAGCTCACCCCTACACTTTTCCGCAGTCGGAATTGCCAAAGGCCGTGCCAAAGTTCGTCGTCTTCTTGAACCGCAATTCAGGCTCCTCCCCCTGGCTTGGAGGCTCGACCTCGGCCGGGATTTGATCCTCATGGCTTCGAGGATACCCAACGATCTGCCGGACTTGATCTAAAAGCTTTTGGTCAACCTCCCGCAGAAAGTCACTGTCGTGTTCTTCCTCGTTCAACAGGGAGAGAGGCCCCTTCAGAGCTGGGTCATCGGCCAAATCCGCAAAATACGAATCGGAGTTTTCTGCAGGCTGCCGAGGCGCTGCCGGAGCAAGGAGCTCGTCCTCGTTTGCGACCTCCTGAGGAGACGGTTGCTCCGTGTCGACATCCCGATCAATTCGAGCCATCGGCGTGTGACCAGCGTTCCTGGTCAGGTTGAACTCTGGTGGGCCAAGCTCCGACAATTTGAGTTTGAAGCTGTTGCGATGTTCAAAAGAGGCACGGCCAGAAAACGATGGAGAGTCTTCAAGTGATGGCGGCGACGGCGGCGTGATTACACGAGCGACTATTTCCGGCGGCAATGCAGAGGATTTGAGCGTAATGCCGTCAAGCCTGCTGTCGAGCCTCTCAATCGGAACAGGCACACACGCGCTCGCGGAAAAGTCGGCGGCGTGCGACTTGGGCGAGAGAGCGGCGTCCAGAGATGGTGCAGAGACCGATAGATTGCCTCCTTGCTCCGGGGACAGGAGACCCTGGAGGTCCGTCTTCTCCAAGTCAGGAAATACTCTTGTGGGCCTACTGCCAGGGCTAGAACCCTCCCACACTTGGGCACTCGTGGGGTGAGGATGATCAATAGAGTCTGCTAAAAGCGGGCAGCCGAATTGATTTTGAAATGCAGATGTTAATGCATAAGATGCAAAAGCACCGGTCGGGGCCGTACTATTAGTAGCGGCGGCCCCTGTGGATCCCCTGCCCTTGAGCAACGACTCCAGTTCGGAGATCCTCTGATTTAGTAGTGCCCGTTCATTCTGCCATAATTGTCGTTCCTCATTGAAGAGTTTCCTCTCAACCTCGAAATTTGCACGCTGGCGATCGAGGAGCGACCGTACTTGTTGGAGGTAATCCGCACTTACTACCGAGCAAGTGGCCCCTTTGGCATCGGGGTCTCGGGCATAATGTGATCTTGAATCAAGATGAGTGTCCGGCACTGACTGGGTCCGACGGACGGGGGTCGGGGTGGGCGAGAAGCGAACCTCCTTGTAGAGGCTGCCATGACCATTGGGGGATTTGGTGGCGGTTGCTGGTTTCATTTTGACTGTGTTGCTGAGACACTTCAGGGGCGCTCTGTGGAGGGTTAAATCCCCCTCATAAAGGGATGGAGAGAGGGGTAAGGGTAAGGCGAAAAGATCGAACAATTGGGAGCAGTGGCCACAACGTGAATGGTTTAGTTCGATGCTAGACTAACGTCAGCTGCCACCATTCACAGCCGAGCAAGAGCAGCATCACCGTGATAATCACGCGTGGAGCGACTCAAAACGACAGGTAAGAGGAACCGGGGAACCACCACCAACGGGTACCTACCACAGTGGCGAATGGGAGAGGGATCGGTGGGGGGGCGACTAGTCGTGCGGCGTGGTCAATGGAGCGTAGATAAGCCTCCGATGGGGAATGTTTGGGCGGTGCCTGAAGCAGAGTTTTGAAACGCAAGGCGAGGTGCTGTGTTGCTTGGTGCTTCGTGGACCAAAGATGTTGCTGGCCGCAGGCGACCAAAGGACGATGGACAAGTGGACGATGCGCTTGACTTGCAGAGTGCAGTGAAGGGTTCACAGCATTTATCAGGCGGGCCTAAGGGACGAGATTATTATGTCAACCTCGCAGACCGAATGATGATTGATGACAAGATGGAAGCTCCACCCGAATGCGGGGAGGGGGGGAAAAGCCGAAGTAGATACAGAGGAATGTGGGTGTAACTATACCAGGATTCAGGAGAATCAGGGCATCGATCTCGTGGATTGGAGTAGAGAGCAGGCCAGGATGCCCTAGACTAGGTCGGAGGTCGAGAAAAGACTGAGGAGATGGGGGTAAAAAAAAAAGGAGAGGTAGAAGAGACATGGATGCAAAGGCACAAACAAACGCTGCTTCTTGAACAAATCCCACAAACCGCAACCTGAGGCCGACGATCACGAGGCAGCATGACGTTATGCCTCTTCCTCTCCCCGAAAACGAAACGGTGACTTTGCTGCTGCTTCCTCACGTTCTTCTTGGATTCTTCGATTTACTGGCCCCTCCCCTTCCCCTCCCAAGCCCCAGCTTATGATTTCATGGTCCAGGCGGGACAATGAATGCTCATCATCTGGTACGTCCAGCAGACGGCCCGATCTGAAGCTAAGCAGGACACTAACCGAGGGGCGGCAACGGTGCTACTGCCAGCTGCAGTCAGCCATCTTCATACATTGGACTATTACCATGTCACATAACTAGGTTGCAGCCGAAGACCATGAATGACCTTGAATGACAATGTGTGGAATTTCCTCAATAAACAACAGCACCAGACCCCTGAAGAATCAAACAGAAAACACCCTTCTAATGCAAACCCATTGCTGCCAGCCCGTTTGCGACCAACTCCATTCTCCGCGCCCATTCCTCCCCCAACTCCAACTCGACATTCCGCGGTGATTGGCATTCGAGGTGTGGAGCACCTTCAGGCTAACAGAGTCTACTGTGTACACAATGAACTCTCTTCGCACCGATCTCCCCAAACGTCATCCTGCAGATGATAGTCCTAGTGGGTATCTTATCGGGAGGAGAAGTCCCTCAGTCGGAAGAAAAAAGAAAAATGGCTGGACAAAGTGAAACGCAAAAATTACTCAGGTAAACAGATCAGAAGAGGAGAGAGACGAAAACGCCCAACTCCTATGCAACCGAGAGCTTCGCTTGAGACGCCCGCGTCTCGGCCTGAAGCATCTTCTTCGCATCGTCCATAACATGCTGGTGCATCGATGGCAGAGGGAAGAAATGGAGATCCTTCTGCAAGGCTCCAAAAATGGTGGCCAGATACCAGATTCCCCGCGCCGACGATTCCAAGTTCCCTACCGCAGCGGAGGGGAAGTAAAAGCGAGGATCTAGATAGAAGATGGTGCTGGTCCAATTCGGCAGCTTCTCCATCAGCATGCGCGCAGCGGCCTTGTACTCTTTCAACGTCCGTTTCGGCACGCCTGTTTGTGAGTGGACGAAAAAGAAGATCTCAAAGCCGACGCTGCGAATGCGGTTGCGCGCCGTGGCACTGATCGTGTCCAGGAAGGCGCCCAAGCGGTCGAGATTGAACGAGTTCAGGAAGAAGAGCGTGTTCTGGGAGTACACAAAGTCCTCCACCTCGTCGTGGATCTGCCGATTCACCGAGAGCAGGCTGCGAACTCGACCATTCTCGCCCACCCAACTGGGACACATCGACAGCGCTCGATATCGGCCCCGCGCCGTGAAGACGTTCCCACGATCGTTAATCACGATCATCGGCCGGTCCATGAATTCGTTGGGAACTTCCAGCGCATATTCGTAGATCATGAGCCGCAGCTCGAGCGGTAATCTGAGAAAAGACGATTGCCCGGTCGTACTCGCCCGGGGAGCATCATCCGGATGCTCCAGAAGCCGCGGAATCCCCATTAACGCAATTCAGCTCAAATCGAGTCGCAAGACCAGTTGTTCGGTAAGGTGTATATACTAGCCCACGCTAGCCCGTAGTCCGTTCTTCAGAGTCCGTCAAGATCCACTCAGATCAACGACCATAGTCCGATAGCATATAAAAATAGCAGATGTACTCCGTCGTCAATCACTAAATCCCAACCCCAGAACCAGAGAAAGAGGGGAGGGGGAAGTATATAAAGCCGACGCACGACGTCAATCCCGACCAAGCCGGCAGCAGCGTACACCAAACAACTTCTGACTGATGACCGACACACACAGTGATCAGGTTATCTCTGCCAAGGCATATATCTCACCATACGACACAAAGAGGATTGTTCCGACACAGTAGATTCCAAAAGCAGTAAGCAATAAGCAACACACCCAAGAAACCACAACAGAAAATAGAATCAGAAAAGAGGAGAACAAATAACCCGAGGACCGGATAGCTAGCAACTAGCAACTAGCTAGGTAGGTGAGGTAGTTAGGTGGATGTGCCCGCCTCGTTTCTGCATGCAAGTTGCCAGCCTGTCTGCCTGCTATAGTTAATAACCGAGGGTATGTATGTACCTCGTAGCAGCCCCCAAACAAAAAAGGGGAGGGGGTGAGGCGCAATTCGTTGGACAGAATGACAAATGGAGAAATCAATTCCGTAGGCAAGTAAGAGTAATAAGTATCAGACCACCCTCTTCTCTCTGTTTCTCACATCGCCTCACATCAGTCCAGTACATGAAAAATATTTTTTATACGCCGTACAAGAAAAAAAAAAGTTTAAAAGTAAAAGTAAAAGTAAAAAAATGTTGAAACGGGGACCCGGGCCAAGCCCGACCGATGAAAGGAAGGATTTTTCCCATTCTCTCTCTTTTTTTGATTTTTGATTTTTCTTTTTTTAAAATCGAAACTTTATTATTATGGTGCTTTCTACGAAGGAGGATTGGGAAAATTGAGAGAGAAAGAGGCTTTCGGGAATAGCCGTTCGGGTTGGTTCCGTTTTGTTACTACACAGTAACATAGTACTTACTATGTATGTGGTTCAGTAGTCGAACATACTACGTAGGTGTGATCATGCACAATTTGTTCATGTCTCTGACTACTGTGTACACCCTGGCACTGAAGACTCAGTACTATGTAATCCCCCCTTATGTCTCAAGACGGGGCATTGACCTAGCAACGGAAGGATTGGCCGTGAGTTTGGCATGATTCCCGAGGGGCGTGTTCCGCCTCTGATGCAATGATCTAACGGGCCGGTTTCTGGATTCGCCACCGCGGATGACATGCCAGGTCTCGTGGTGTCGGAGCGGACGCTTCCAGGATATCAGGGCATGTGGTTGGACTTGAATGGGGAAAGCAGGATAAACAATGCAAATGTACTATATACTATATTGCGGGATCGGCCGCTCGGTCTCGGTCTCGTTCTCGGTCTGGGTCTTTTTATAGAGCGATACATCATCAAGTACGCCGGTACACGCCAAGCATCCATGCCGCTCGCAGAACTGCCAGTCCCCAGGCCATGCCAATGCTGTCGCGGAGCACGTTCAACTTGCTGCCGGTGACCTCTCTCCATCCTACGGGCACCTCCGCGACGGGAATGTCGGCAAACTCGGCGAGCATGAGCATCTCCACGTCGAAGATCCATCCCTCGGAGTGCATGTAGGGAATAATATAGGGCAGTGAGGCCCGGGAGAATAATTTAAACCCACACTGGGTGTCCTTGATCGTGGCCGTCTTCGATGGCGTCAACAGCCAGAGGATCAAGTGGAAAGAATGCATGAGGAAGTTGCGCAGTTTCGAGCGCTATCGCGTGGAATCATTGATTAGCGTTCAGCCATTTGCCGCGGGAAGAAAGCTAGACGAGCATACCTTGACCACCGCCTCACTACCGACCATATGCGCCCGAGAGCCAACGGCCACACCTCGCCCTTGCGCATCCTCGCTTGTCTGACAGGCTGCGACGAGCTTCCCTAGATCCTCGAACTTGCTCGCCCCGTCGGCATCCGCAAACACCACATACTGACCACGGACATGCCGCATGCCATGGGTGACTGCTCCACCCTTACCCCTGTTCTCCGTCAGAGTCACCACCCGGATAGTCCCGGAAGGGATGCGAACTCCCTCATGCGTCCCCGGAGTCCAAGGACCAGCGTAGCCCTTGGGGTGCATCGAGAGTTGGTGATCCCGAGCAAAGGCGAACGCTATTTCCTCGGTTTTGTCCTTGGATCCATCGGAGACAATGATAATTTCCCAGCCCTTGCTGTCGTGCACCGGAAGATGTGCGGCAGTCCCGTTTGCATGCCCGTTGGCCGGTTTCCGCTGACGCACTGCCTTCTCTGCCGCGGTGGTACCAGCACCATTGACGGAGTCGGTTACCGTCCCATATACCTTTTCCAGGTAATCCACTGCCTCTTCCAGCATGCCTCCCAGACGGTCTTCCTCATTGTATGCGGGTACTACCAGCGATATGAACAACTCGGCGTCCTCCATCGAGGAGTGGTCGAGGATCCGACCGGGACGTTTTTGAGCGTCCAGGGCATCTTGCCAGCAAGGTAATTGCAGTGGCTCCGTGATCGACCCATCTTTCAAGAGTGTACGGTATTTCTTCTCCTCAGGAAACGGTTTCCGCGGGACCGGAGCGACGGTATAGAGAGTGATGTAAATCTGCGCAACGTAGAAGAGCCAGTCAGTTAGCGGGGTCGTCACGATCGCATGGAGAACACGAGCAGCCCTGTCCACATGGACAGCGGGCGCGAGAAGAACTGAGAATCGTAGAGCGCAAACCTACCAGGACAAAGAGTCCAGAGAGCGTTGCAACAAAGGCGACGAGCAAAACCGAGAGCGGGACGCTGGCTAGGAGCTCCGCGCAATGCAGGCAGATGCCGGACAGAGTTTCTTCAGCCATGGTGAAGATTATCGACGTCGGACGAGGGGCCAGATCGTCTCGAGCGGATGGAAGATAATTGCGGGGAGCGAAGTGGCCAGCGTAGTATGTAGGAAGGGCGAGCGGGCGGGAGGGAGTGAGCTCGGTGCTCAATGGGATAGAGACGATCCGTTCGGTTCTTGGCCAGCCATGCGACACGGAACCTGCCTGAAGGGAGACTCAACTAACATGGAGGGAGGAGCAGTAGGTAAGTAGTCGGAAGTCGTCGTCGGGAGGGAACCGGACAGATTGACGATAAGACGGGAGCTACTGCTAAGTCAGGAACTACGATGTAGTTAAGTGGAAGGGGAAACGTGGTGAGAGCGGAGATAGGCACTGGCAGCACCGCCGGCAGACGCGTTGCCGTCGCCAGCTTGGCCCGCGCCCGCCTCTCATTCGTCCCGCCGGCCCACGCCTGGTTTGCATGCTCCACCGGCTCTTCCCGAGAGAGTATCTCCGTCCGGACACTCTACAGTGGACATACTATCCATCGATGTGCGGCCTACGTACCGAGTATGCACCTCGACCCATGGACCGAGAGGAGCTACCGATGATCACAGAAAGCGGCTAGGGCCCGTTTTGGTATTGACTGGTCTTTAATTAGATTCCCGCTGTCCATTCCCTTTCCACCAGATGCGCGTGGTTCCCACGCGAAATCTCTGCCCCCCACCCCCTTAGGGAGGATTCACCCGGATAATACATACTGCCTGAGGCTCGGGGCTGGCCACCAGACAAGCTGCGGAAGAATTCAGCCCACCCGGGGGCTTGCAGTGTCCTTCCACGTTGCCCGTGCTTCGTCCATCATGGCATCGCCTATGTTAGGCCTCACGATGGACGTCAGCAAGCTTGCTGCCAGGTGAGTGCCTCGGCAGGCTCATATGAATGCTGGTTCGCCACCAGATCAAAAGACTGCGGTCGCTGTCTTCTTACAAGATCCAGCTCTCTGGGGCATCATTCGATCGTGTTGAGGATTTTGCTGTCTTGTCTTTTCGACTAGCTCATCCAGATAACGACACGTGGCAGTCCTCGATATTCAGCAGCTCCCAAACCGCAGTTACTCCTATTTCGGCCAGTCTGGCCGTGATCAAGTGTCATGCGTGCCTTTATCCGCATCGGCCTGCTTGACTTCACTTATTTTTGCAAAAGGATTGTGTTCCTCGGCCATTTTCTCCAGTTCCAGGGCAAACGGGGTCACTAAAAACGTGCGCGCGGTGAAATCATATGTGATCCAACGTTCAAACTGTCCGTCATCAGCATGGTTCTTGAAGGGTAAGTTTTATTTTCACAGGAAGCTTACCATAGCAAGCCGGATCCCCAGCCATATGCACCGGTACATCCTCGTGATATCCCGAGACGGCGGCTCAATGTTCCTGCCATCGCCGGCAGTAGGTGCGTTGTCGAAGAAACCAGAAGGATAAAGGCATTGGCTCCAGAGCTGGCCTCGGAGCAGAAAGTCTTCTGCCACCCAGGTCGTTTCCTCCGAGATAGGGAATTCGTCCCTTTCGGCGATGTTGGGTTTGATATAGCTCCGGAACAAAGCGTTGAGAAACACGACGAGTTTTCGCCAGGGTACGGCCATCTCCACCCGAGACATACCTCGTGGAGTAAGAGCCAGGCACCAAAGAAATGCGAGCGACACATGACATGCAGCGTACACGTTTCTATCCGGGACTCGATCAAGAATCACGGACAGGGTGTGGAAAGTAAAGAAAGATCCATAGAAAAGCAGAGGCGAAGGATTCGTCGAGTCCCGAGAGGAGAGAAATTCGGCTTGCACGGCCTGAAGGTCTTCAGTGGGAATCCAGGAACTGGCAGCGGAAGCGTAGACCTCTTCAAGAGAACCGGGTTGCGACAGATTGGTCTCGAGGAACTCGGGGCCCAAGTAAGTGTCGGCGTTACCATATTCCAGCATGGCCGCAATGTTGCAGGCACACATAAAGAATCCCTGCAGGCGGAAGGCGGCGCCAATTCGGCCTATGGTCTGACTGAGGAGTGATGCAAACGTGTCGACCGACTCCATCAGACGATCTCCAACGTCTCCCGTGTACAGGTAGCCATGCGCAGCGACAAAAGCGCCGACCAGTGGGAGACGATGGATCGCTTGGGGACCTCTTAAGAACGGGTTGAATAAGAGGAAGATGCTTTCGCGGGTACCTGCGAACGGGTGGACACTGACCAGCGATCTCGTGTAGTAGAACAGCTGCTGAGTGACATCCGGCCGAGCTAAGACTGCGAGGTGGTGTTGGATTCGCCCGATGTTGGGGTTTCTGTCTGCAGCTTGGTTGAACCAGTACCTTGCAATACCCGCCCAGGATTCACGTTCGCGGAGGTCGGATTCTTCTAGGGCCATCCGGTATCGCGAGAGATCTCCGAGACACTCGATCCAGGTATCTTTGAAGGCTGGCACAGATTCAAGCATGAGTGTAAGCATGGAATATGCGTAGCAGATGAAGCTTAGCATGTGCTCCAAGGATTCGGGAAGCCGGCAGTGCAGCGTTTCCAGCAATGAGTTGACTCCAATGCGCCACAATCGCGCTGGCATGTTATATTTTTCCGCTAGGCGCTGCAAAGCCGAGGTCGCCATGGGATGTTGGGAGCAGAGGAAGAAATCGTGGTACTCCTCCAGTAGCATTCCGTGAATTCCAGTCAATTGCTGATACTTTTCCTGACTTATTGTGGACCATTCCGGCGCGTCCTCGTACCACTCCTTGCATTTTTTCTCCGCCATGACTATCCCGGCATAGATAGCTCGGACATCTTCAATCAGTTTTTCTTCTGTGCAGAAATCAGAGTCAGTCTCTAGCTGACGGATAATCCCATATGATGCTGATGTACCTCCGGATGTCCCCACGACCGGGCCACTGAAATTCTGAGCATTGCTCAACTGTCTCGCGGACTCCTGGCCATAGCTCAGACCATCTGCAGATTGCTGCGAGGCTTCGGAGACGGAGGCCATTCCTTCTGGACTGACGCCTGGGTTTAGGGGCGAGGGGGCGTCATTCACGATGGGACTGGAGCAAGGAGCTTGAGAACGAAGCGGGGATGGATGGCCGTCATTACTACTTCCAGCCATGCCGTCCGCCATGCGGACGGGATCTCTAGGAAGGCGAGAACTGTAGAGAGTCGGGCTAGCCCGACCCATTCGACCTTCAGCTACTGCACCGCTCGATGGATGAGCTAAATCGGTGCCAGACCGCCTCCATTGCTCCTGCCACGCTTGACGACATCCATTCGGCACATTGGACGAGGCAAGCTCGGCCGCCTGCTCGCTCACGTCATCCGAGGCAAAATCATCCGGGACAGCGCCACCAGAGTCGCCTCTCTTATGGGAAAATGAGGCACTGGCAGAATGAAATGCTCGATTGGTGGTTGACGACCCAGCCGGTGAGCCAGCGTCTGACACCAAGGGTGCAAGCAGCTTCCTGCGGAGGACGTTAGAAGTGATATTGAAAGAAGTCGAGGTTATTTAGGTACATGTGGCCGATGCAGGCCGGTAGCAAGGCAGACCAAAAAGGCGAACAGGGCGGGAGATAAACGGAGCGACTCACTTGGGAAAAGAGGTATCAGGATCGATGTCAGGGCGAGAGTCTAGGGCTGGGCTGGCAGAAGCCCGATCTTGATATGGAGTCATTTGGGGGTTCCGGCCATCATTTCCGTCGCTCATGGTATTGGCTGCCGTAGGGTTATGTAACACGTCATCTGACCCGTATCAGCGTTTTGCTTAGCACCGGGTTGATAAGCGATGCCGGTGGAGATGATGCGACAGTAAAGTAAGACTGGTGGTAGTGGAAGCGATTGTGGCAGTGGTTGTGGAGGGGTGTATCTCTTGATAGAGAGACTAGACGAATGTGCGCCAGCGGTATGAGATGGACATCAGGCTCAGGCGTAAGGGGAGGCTGACGGTGACGGTGACGGGCGAAAGAAAAGCAAAACGAAAGCGAGAGACGGCAGGAAAAGGACCAAAACGAGCAGGTGGCAACCAGGATGGAACGCAACAACGAAGCGCCTTCTATGTTCGGTCTTAATACCAACAAAACTCTACAATAACATCAAGGCTGGGGGAGGAAAGCGAGGGAGGGAGAGGATACTCACTAGGACACGTTGGAGGGTCCGGGAGGGATTATTTATGAGGCAGATGACATTTAGGTTCTTTAGGCAACTAACCTCATCTCTGCCTAGGAAAGAGAGTGAGCAAACCGGTTAGGAAAATTGCGCACGAACACCGGAAGGACGGATTGATAGTCCAACCCACCGCGGCGTGATAGTAGGAAGGCTAATTCCCTGAAGAATGGATAGATCGAGAAGGTCAAATCGCGGAGAGAAAATGCGACTAAGATGAAGGCGGAGCAGGAGCAGGAGCAGGAGCAGGAGCAGCAGTAGCAGGAGCAGCAGCAGGAGAGGTACATACGTACCGGAGAGTAGTAGTCAAGTCAGTAAGTAGCAGGCAGGTTGTCGTCGAAATCAGTCGTAGTTAGATCGTTTCCGTGGGTTTGACTGGTTGTTTTTTATTGTTATTATGATTTAGGTTCCTGTATTCGGTATCGATCGAGGGGCACCCATCCTCCACTTGATCGTTCAGAGCAGGCGGACTGACTGACCCAGTGGTACTGGACACTTCCATACAATACTGCGGGCGGCTTGGCTGGCTGACTGGCTGACTGGCTGACTGGCTGGCACGGCATGGGAAAGAGTGCATTACGTCTGAATAATATGATTACAATCGGTGGAAACCGTTTCATAGCGGTAATCTTCCGGTAAAAAAGATCAATGATACCTGGTACGGTCCCGTTGCCCGCGTCGGTAGCCTGACGATTCCGGGCAGTTGCCTCGTCGGCTTGTCCCACTCACTGATTCGATGTGGCCGGGGGTCTCCTCTCCCTTCGAAGGATCAACCTGGTAATGCCAAAGGTGATCAGCTTGGGGCCTCGAAAATCGATCCCGATCAGTCTACCTATATCATTCCATCCAGATTCTTCCTCCCAACTCCGAATAGAACCGCTTGGCGTGGCGAGCCCTTCAGTTCGCCACAACCTGTGGCGCGGAATGCTACTACTCCTACTACCACCACTACTAATTCCATACACTATACCGACATTCTGAATGGCCTCGACAAAGTCGAGAGGAGGCTCGGGTGCTACGTACGGGCTTGGAGATCATACCAGACGTGTCCACCCTTTTCCCGGGATCTCCTCTCTCCTTGTTCATTGCTCATTCCCACACTCCCCCTTCGCCAACACCCACGAGGGCCGTGCTAAACTTATCCTTCTTTGCTAATTCAATAGTTCCACACCGATCTACCTCTGAGAGCTTGCCTCCTAGTCCTAGGAGACTCGGCATTGTCAGACTGCTCAAGTCGGTCGGTTTGCGATGTTGATGCTGGGACCCGACGATTTGGGAAGAAGCACACTTGCCGGAACTCCTTGCATGCAGCAGCCCGCGGGCATACTTGACTCGACCCTCATCGCCACTTTTTCCAACAAGCTTAAATCCAGGAATGAAGCTGCTGTTGCCCTTGCTTTATAAGGTGTACACCCCTTGACGAATCCACAGTTTCTCGAAACCTGCGCCCACGCGGTGCTACTGGAACCCCTCCAAAACCACGGATGCAACTGCTGGTCGCCTGAGCGGCGCTTAACCTCCGATATGTTTGATTTACCGCGCAAGGCTGCTGTTGACAGCGTCGAGCCCGCATGCCCATTGGGAAACGAACGAATCGCTGCCTGACTGGACCATTGCGGTGCTGCCCGGATTTTGTCAGGACCCCTCCAACCCTGGACTCTGGTGCCTTTCCCCCCTTTGGTCCACTCCCTTCCCAAGCCCCTCGGAGGCGACAAGCCGGTAATGGTCTAACCGCGGATCCCTCTTCGCCGGGTATGTACTGAAAATACCAAATAATCGGGCCTGCCCTTGCATGGACACCGCTACTTTGGTTCAGCTTGGAACTTACATAGAGTTGGTGACACTCTGCAAAGCACAGCAGACATCTGTGTGTAGGGACCTTAGAATAAGTCGGCCAATATCGAAGTAGGTGCACGAGCAAGGCTACCGGCTGACTCTGGGGGGGCTGCCACATCGTTCTCATACCGACGGTAGCTTGTCAATAGTAAGACATATCGCATGTGGGGACATGAATCGCGATCAGCACGCCACGTTCAACGTCCGAAAGGCTTAAAGATTACCAGGTATGGTCCAGGGTTTGATCGACTAGCCGCCCCAGTGAGGCTGGTAGTTTATCAGCTAGTCGTGTGGATCAGTCGTATAAGAGTGGGACGGTCTGCCTCTTACCTCGAGGTCGTGCCATATACTTATGGCCTCATCTCTATCAGCCCGGGCCAAGCTGGAAGAGTCGGATTGCGATCGAACATCTGCCATTGGTGTCATCGCCCTTGGCCCGCGCACGACTGCTGTGGCCGTCGTATAGATATAGCTCAGCGTGGTATATGTCTGACATCAGCCCATTTTGCGACTTGAGCCAGCTCCTGCAGATGTCAGTGCCTAATAGTAGGGGAGTTATGACCTGCCCGTCTCCTAATTGCTTGGGTCTGTCCGCCTGACCGATATTGGGCCAAAGGAGGGGTGCACCGTGCAGAGCTGGCCAGGTCTTCTGAGATCACATGGCGACCTATATCTGATATTCATGGTAGCACACACCCCTCCAGCTTGCCACCCAGCGCAGAATGACCTGTCACCGCAACGGTATCCTTAAGAATCGCCGGTCCCAGATCCGGACGAAGAGATCCCATTGGGGGCGGACCCTTTCCCCAGAGCGGTGGTATTCAACGGGGAGGTGAAATCGACTATCCTTGCGTGCTCGATGCGGAAGGGGGATGGAGACAGTCCAGAGTCATAGCGCAGAATCGATGATATATCAATCAGCAAGGGTTCGAGAAGATCCTAGAAGGTCTCTCACATGGTGTACGAAAGAATCCCGAAGGGGAGCTTCTAGAAATCGACACATCTCATATGATGTCTTAAGCCATACACCGTACGGAGTATGGAGTAGGGAAGTCCAGATCCCTCATAAAGCTGGCATGTCCGAGGTAGGGTCTTTTTTAGAAGATCAAAGGTTCAGCAATTATCACCTAGAGAAACAGACTAGTTTGTACTCCTTTTCGTCTTGTCCTGTTTCAAGCCTCTATTTCAATTTCTTCGGCTTCCATAGAGTTGCTGAATGATCTTTAGCTCTTCTGATAGACAGCCTAGACATGGTGGCTGCATCTGACTGTGCTTGCTCACCCAACATCATGACAGTTGTGAGCTCTCAAGAGAGAGATGGCTGCGAGGGATTCTAGACTATAGGACGAATTGACAGGACCCCCTAGTTCCCCAGAGAATGAGTTATTCATCAGTAACGATAAGGTAAGCCATGCAGTGGACCCTGTCTGGGGATGAGATCGGCCCCATCCACCCGGGAACAGAAACCCCCAGAGTGCTCCGTACTCCTTTCCTACTCCGTACTCCGTACGGGTACCGGGAATCCCAATCGAGCCCTGCACAGTGCATCCATGTGTGTCACATCGTGTTGTTTGCTAGTTTGCCCCCTTCCCTGCCCTAACCTGCAGGTGTGTGCAGACTAGCTCCATGGCTAGTTCCTCGTTCTGGCCCCCGTCCCAGCCACAGCCCACCCGTCAGATAGATCAACGGTCAACCCACATCCGGACGGACAGACATACATCCATCAGCACGAGCAGCCAGCCGGCAAGCACATACCGAATAGGTAGAGCTGCACTAGTGGAAGGGAAAATCCCCTGGTTCGCAGCAGGATGGACCTGCCTAGTCGCCTCTACCCTACCGTGGACTGGGTACCCAACTGCTCCTTAGTACTCCGTATACCCTGGCTCTCCCCCCGGCCAGATGGTTAGTGGTTGCCTTTTCCCATGCGACCCATGCACGTTGCCGTCCAGAGCCCTTTTCTTGGCGGTCATGGATCTAGAGCCTAGAGCCCAGATGGGCAATCGGTCGGTCTGCCTGCCTCTATCGACCTCCATCATGGTCTCCCGGATGAAACCCATCCACCAGGACCTAGCCTTGGCCTGACCCCTTTTCGACTTGTTTGCCACCCTGGTACGCCACGTCGACTGGCCTAATGCGAACTATCGCTCACGGATCCCGAAGAGTATACTCCGTATACAGTACTCCGTTGTTGGGTTGTTTTACGTCTACTCCGTACTCGCGTTGTGCTCTTCTCGTCAGGGTTCAATGGATTCTTTCAGCAGCAGGGGTATATCTTACTCCGGGATAAGCTTATTCATCGGTTCGTCTGATCGCTTGTACTCCGTACACCGTGATGACCGCAACGTCCCATTTCCAAGCTATGGTGTAGGGCCACTTCTGTCCCCTTGACCAGCTTGTCCCCTGTCCCTTTCGCAATCGCCAGCTCAGCTCTGCACACAGTGTCGACTTTATCACGCCAAGCGCGTGTCCTTCTAGGTTTCTTTGCTAGACAAGTCAGTCACTGCGCTGGCAGTACCGCCGGAGGTGTTAATATTCCTTGTGAACACGATGATGAGTTTTCCCTGGCCCTGGCAGACTCAGCGCATCTGGTAAAAAGTAGCTCATTCTTTCGAGAAATAACCAGAAACCCACCGACTTTGCTATGAGGGTTGACAGTGTTACACCCGTTGTTATCTGGTGAGTCGGGCTGCCTCTCACAAAACCTTGAAGTCGATGAGATCGATGTCGCTGGACGCCCGGAAGTAGACTTCCGAATCATCAGAGGAGCCATTCTACTTATGTACGGAGTACTCCAACTCTCGGTTTGCTGAGATAAGGATACCCAAGTTACTTCTTACTTGCTTCCTTTACAAAGAATTTCATGTCTTCCCTACACGCTGCATCAGCTCCATCAGCCGTCCCCTTGACCTACTTAGACACCTAAGGCTCAACCCCAACGAAGCTACCAACAGCCTGGCTCGGAGTCGATAAGTACAGAGCACGATTAGGTTCTTTCCGACTGCAGCTAACTACCACTTACCCCAGATTTCATCGTGTTGTACAACATATCAAACCCATTGTTACATAGTATACAATCATAGATCTATGTCATACTCTATACAAAGACACTCAACCATCATACGCAGTCACTGTACGATGATACTAGTAGCAACAGAAACAACCAACAATCGACAATCGACAATCGACAATCAACAATCAACCACTACGAACTGACAGAACTACATCCCCAAGCCACTCACCCACCCAACCCCAGTATTCAACATCCACACCCACCCAAAAACACACTCAAACCCCAAACCCCAGAGTGAACGAGACAAACGACCTCGATCCCGATCCCCCCCCACGATTGGCCGATCGAAAAAAGCACCCCCCCCCCTCCCCACCCTCCATGCATCAGTTTATCGCCGGGTATGCCAAAACCAGCGACACCGTTTCCGAAGACGAAGGAAGGAAATCGATTCGTTGCGGGCGACTGCCACGCTTATGCAGGTTCGCCTGATCGAGGCGTGGGTACGGAGTACACAGTATTGTCATGATGGTTATGGTTATTATTAGTATGAGTATGAGGAACTGCGTATGTGCATACATACGTACTGGATACTAGTATGGTAGGAGGGAGGTATTAGGATTCTTGACGGGTAAAGTAAGTAATTTTTCAATGGTAATCATGGTAATGGGCAGCCAGAGGGAGGGTTGATGCATGGGCGGCCTAAGGATGGGACTAGCAGGGATCGGAATCGGAGACACTTGTTTAGTCTACGGAGTGGAGGAGGGCGAGCTGAACGGAGCTGAAAAGTCAAGTGTCGACTGTATTGCCTATTCCGTCGGTCACGATGGAGCTATGGAGGGATTTACATGGGAGCAAAGGACGGTGAGAAGGGTCGGAGAAAGTCAGAGATCACGTAGGTTGAGTACGCACGAGACATTAACGTCTTGGCAGGTTATAATCCGCGCCATGCGCGGTATTCTATTGGACTGTATGATCGCTCTTCTTTCTCGCTCAAAAAACCCCGTACGATGCATATAGCCAGACAGTGGAGCCAGACAGTGGCAGCTAACAAAATCAGTATCCATGCATGGAGTACCCACGACACTACCTCAACTAGGAAAGAAAGATTCGCATCTACATCCGGTTAGTGAACGACAAGCCAGATCCAAGACAATTCAAGTGTCCATACCTTCTGTTTCACAGTGGCTCGGCACATCACACAGGTAGGCTGTCCACCGAGCATGCCGGATTCCAGCGCACTGCTCGGAATCTGAATCTCGGCGCACCATCGACAAAGGACGGCATGACCACAGGGGAGCAACACCGTGTCAACTAGCTGGGCGTAGCAGATTTTGCACTCAAGTGAGACCTGCAATTCATGTCCTTCCTTCGGTTTGGGGCGACCATCTTTCGGGTTATCAAGAGTCGGAGGTGGTCCAACAAAATTGGCCCCCTGACCATGACGCTGGCGCTGGCGCTGCGTAGGAGCCCCTGAATGGGCCTGCGAAGCCGGGGGGTTGTATTGACGTGCATGATGGAGCAACTGGGTCATATGCATTCGTCGAATCATTTCCAGCCGCTGCGGGTTAAACCGTGCATATGCCCTTGCGGATCCTGCGTTCATCGGAGCCGACGACGCCGTGGCCGTTGCTGAGGGCTGGCCCGATGAAGCCTGTGTGGCCGTCATCCTTGCGGAAGCGACGGAGGAACCATCATCCGCCACAAGACGTGGCCTCAGTCGAGGGAGCGGGCCCGCTGCATGAGAATGCCGTTGAGCTTGCGGCGGCTGTTGATAGCCCGGCGAGGTCGGTGCTGGGGAGAGGACAGTAGTGGTGCGATGTAGAGTCATTGGTTGGTCCGCTCCCAACGCAGACCCCGATTGTGGAGTCGGCACATAAGTGCGAGGTCGAAGTGTAGCTGGAGCAGATTGTGTCATGTCCGAGTTGTTCATCGATGTGCTGTTCGGTTGGACAACGCTAGGCACGGATGGCTGCGTCATCATGGACATTGGCGGCTGCATATTGCTGGAGCGCTGATCCCGCTGCGGGTGGACAGGAAGGCCGTGGTAGCTATACTGGCCCTGTGGACTGGAGAGACTCCGCGCATGAAGATTGGCGTACGTACGACCTTGATCTCCGGTAGGGACGTATTCCAACTGGTGACCAATGTTGTTCAGCTCACCATAATACTGGTTCGGCGTATAACGGGGCATCGTAATAAAGCCATTGCTCAGGTACATGAAGGGTCTGGATGGAGATTGCTGCTGAAAAGAAATAGGTTGACTGGTCGTGGTGTTGGGTAGGAAGACGTTCTGACCTCCAGCGGGGTTCGGGACTGTAGTTGCTGGGGCAGAATTGTTACTAGATTTGCAAAAGGATAGATGCAGAGCGCCACTGACCTTGGTAGAAATAAGTAGGACGCGACGCATCAGACATCACGGCATCCATGGGACTTTGGGTGTTAGGTTGAGCTAGTGTTGCCGAAGTCGGCGTCACTTGGGTGTTGATATTGCTGAGAAGGGTCACAGGAAGCCCGCCAGTAGGAGCTCCGGTCACAGAATCCATGATGCCTCGATAGTCGTCGCTTCAAACGTATTGCTAGAGTTCCTCAACCGTGGTCCTCTAGTGGCGGGTCAGCTAGCAGCTACAAGCTTCTAGCTTCTATTCTCGAGGAAAGGGGGCTCAGGATTGTGCCAACAAAGGCGTAGATAGTGTTAAGACTGTGAGAAGCAGAAGGAGAGTAAATATATATACTAAGGTGACAATGTGCAGAGCCTGTCCACTTCACTAGAACAGGGTAACTAGGGATAGTGAGTGGTCATTCCAATGGGGAGCTCTGGCAATGGATTACACCCTGTCCGTGAAGATAGGCAATGGCGAGGAAGCCTAATCACTGCAGCATGAACTGAGATATCCAAAGTCGTTTTGCCTGTCACTGCAACTGAAAGATCATCGGAACTTTCCACGACAGAGACGAAGATTTGTATCAGTGTCCACACACACAAACTGTGAATAGTCTCAAGACGATGTAACTGATAGCATGTCTGTAAATGTAACCAAAACCAAAGAGTTGGAAAGGCCCGGCAAACATGACCCGCAGCTGATAGCTTAATCCAAGCAGAGATATAGAGTGAATGCATACATGCTGTTCAGTAGTGCCTTCCTTGAATCTGCTGCCCCAGAATCTTGGTCAATGTGCTTGGCTGAGTATCGTGAATGCCCTGGCGTAAACTCTAGAGTGCTGACTTTCGAGGTAAATGCCGGATCCAGCGTCCTCGCAATGATCCTGCCGAGAAAAGACTAGGCCCGGCCTTGTCGTTGTCCCACGTTGGCTATTATAGTCAGAATGACTGAGAAGCCATGATCGATCTACCGAACAATGTTGTTGAGATGTCCAAAGCAAGCGAGCGAGCGGGGATGGGGTGGCTATAATAGAGCAGGATAAGTCGAAGCAAGCACCGAAATGGCAGGCAAAACTTAACCCAACCGAGTTCCTGGTCTCTTCGAGCGCTACTAACTCCCAGCAGGGCTCGAATTCCAGGTCTTTGGTTTCCCGGATGGGATCGTCCAAAAGCTCGTCGAAGCACCGGGCTCGGATCGCGAGACGGCGACACGCCGACAAGCTGGAACCGCCGGGAAACCAGGCGCCTAGACAATGTCAAGACTGTTGGGGACAACAGCCCACGGAAGAAAGAGGGAAAGGGGATTGGGAGAGGCCGGCCCCAAGAAGGCTGACGACGAGGACTGGCGCCTAGGAGACCAAATAGCCGATCCAATTGGGCTTGACGGGGCTAGCTGCACGGTACTACTAGATGAAGGAAGGGGGGGGCAGGGGAAAGGAGAAGAGGCTGCAGATGGAGGACAATCTCCAGCTGGTCAGACGGAGCAGAAGGAAGACGACAACTCAGGAAGAGAGGTAGTGATGGAAGGAAGGTTGGATTGGAGGGTGTCAGTGTCACCGTCGGACCCCGCAAGAGACGGCGATCCGCTGGGACCATTCCTGGGACCTACTTAGTAGGTATGAGAGGCCGGAGGTTGGTTGGTTGGCTGGGGGGTTGGTTGGTTTGGATCCGCTAGAAAGTCAGTACATAGTAGTAGTTAGTAGTACTTTAGGTACTCCGTACGAGGGGGACAGATAGGTAGGATAGGTACTCCGTAGGCAACCTAGAAAGGAGGTTAGAAGCCGAGCTCTTCCAAGCGATGGTTTGGGCGGTGGTTCAGGTGATTGGGATGGCCTGGATTGGAAGGAACTCGAAACGGAAGGCTGCTCCGGCGTTCAGACCCTCCCAATAATATTTCCCTCTTGCCTCATTCATCCCATATCGCATCGGCGGTCATTTCCGCCTGGTAGTAGATAGGTTATGGTATTATTTGGCACCACCTGACACAAGACTACGACTACTACTTTAAGAGGAGTAATCCTTATCGTTGGTGTTGGTCGGACTCCGCGGAAAGGCTGCGAGCCGACGACGTCATCCGCTCCTAGCTTTCTCCGCCTCGACATTCTTCCCCCTTCGGCTGGGAGTTCTGTTGGAGCCGATTAAATGACCATTACCCACCAACTACACAATACGACCAGATAGGTCCGACCACAGTGACTCTGCAGACCCCTGATCCAGAGCTTATTTACCCATTGCTCGACCGTTCCACCTGGTCGGTTCATGACGCCCGCCCGGTGGCTGTCTGTGCGGCATTTGCGACCAGCTCTCCGCTTCCCTCCCTCAATCGTCAAAATGTCCATCTCCACCTTTACCATCCCTCGCGACCTGAACCAGGATGTCTCGCCCCCGTTACACGTCTCCTGTGCGGCAGAGCTGTCTAGGGAAGACCTGCTGCGATTCCCGGCCTTCCGGGTCTGGCTGACCACCTTGCAACGCTCCTTGAGTCGCCAGCAACATCCCTCCCACGAGTTCTCCAAAGATCCTTACGTCCTGCATAAGATTGATATCCAGGCGGTGGACTATTTTGGTGGTGGACGCTTAGGCTTTCTGAAGCTGAAGGCGGACGTGTCAAATGGTAACGGAGAGACGCTCCCGGGAAGCGTGTTCTTGCGCGGTGGCAGTGTAGGAATACTGGTAATTGATCTTTCTCTATCCATCGTGTCCCTACATTTTCTGGACTCGATACTAATGATGTCCCTCTCCATAGCTCATACTACAACCGGACGATGTGCCCCATTCGGTGGAAGAGGAGAAGCGTGCGGTTCTGACAATCCAACCCCGTATCCCTTCAGGCTCTCTGGCCTTTCCCGAAATCCCAGCTGGCATGCTCGACGATAGCGGATCGTTCGCAGGGGGGGCAGCAAAGGAGATACAGGAGGAGACAGGCTTAACAATACCCCAAGAGGAGCTAATCGACATGACATCGCTGGCTCTGCAGTCGGTGGCGGAACCTAATGACGGCGAGACGCTGCAAAAGGCGATGTATCCCTCGGCCGGTGGGAGCGACGAATTCATCCCCTTGTTTCTGTGTCAAAAACGAATGCCGCGCGAGGAGATCGACAGTCTGCAAGGAAGATTAACTGGACTACGACTGCACGGAGAGAAGATTACGTTGAAAGTAGTACCATTGAAAGCTCTATGGAAAGAGGGTGTGCGGGATGGAAAGACCCTTGCAGCGTGGGCGCTGTATAGAGGACTCAAGGAGGAGGGGAAGCTATAGGCGGGTCTCCATGCTCCGAGTTTGTGTGACTCTGGTAGCGGAACCACTGACATCGACACTGATTCAGATATATCGCATTCGACATTCGATTGGCAGTAGCAGTGAGGCTATCCGAAGACCAATTGGGATCCTGCATTCATCGTGCAAGACAATACTAAATCCGGGGCTACTATATACAGCTCAAAGCTTGAATCTCTTCGCGAGTTGGATTCCCTCCGCTATCGTGCCCACGCGAGCATCGATGGCGTATCCTTCCTTCTCGAGTTTCTTCATTTCCTCAAACAATGAAGCCAAAGGCACAGTGAAGCACTCGATGAACTCGTTATCTTCGAGCTCCGGCTTCGGGTTCTGGTTCTCAGGCAGGGACATGTCCACTCGGACATGCACCATGTTGAGGTTGGTGTTACAGAACCCAGGGTCTGGAAGAAACTCCGGTCAGCGCTTTTGTCCCTGACCGGGCCCGCGGAAATAGGGTACTCGCTCGACGAATGGTTTAGACTTACCGTTGTACATGACACTGCTGGTCTCCTCCGCCACACCGACGTAACCCGTTTCCTCCTTGAGCTCGCGCACAGCGCACTCCTCCACGGTCTCATTGGGATCAATCAGACCGGCCGGGACCTCAATGACCACCTTGTCAATTGGCGGGCGGTATTGCTTCTGTAGGAGAAGTTCGGGTCCGCTCTCCTTATTAAGGATTGTTACGATTCCCACACCGTCGATCTCACAGTTTGGGGGGCGTGTCTAGTCTCGTCAGTGCTCTACTAAAGACACGTCTTCCCATTTTCTAGATCTATCATTCTAAACTTGCCCCCTTTAAGCCCTGCAGCAATCATCCGGAGCATCACTGACTCGGAGAAATGGTCACACAAGTAAACAAGGAACTTCATAAATTCTTACCTTGCGCTCTGCAGACTCCCACGTCCTCTCCACACCATTGGGATCGGTATAAGTCGTCATGACCAGTCTAGTCCACACAGCTTCCTGGGGGTCCTAGTCGATGTTAGCATACCCACATCCTCACACTAAACATCCCAATCGCCCACAACCATAACCCCCGAGAACACCAAGAAACAAGACAGGGGTGGATAATACCCACCAAAGGCCCCGTAGACAGCAACTTCGACTGAGCGTACTTCGGATCCGACATGCTGCCCAACAAGATAGCAGAAAGACAAAGTATATGAATGCGCAATCTATGCAATCTAAAAATTCACGAAACACTCGTTCTCTCCTCTATACTCTAGAGAATAATCGTATTCCCGCCTAGGAAGAAACGCAAGTGCAAGTGCAAGTGCAAAGAAACTAGAAAGAGGGGGGGGGGGGGGGAAAGTAAAGTAAACACGTCCGCAGGTGTCTGACGTAGCAAGAGGGGCAGACAGGCACAAGCAACCGTCTCTACCTAATTGGGTTAGAGGGCTAGCCCTTATCTTATCGGTGGTTGTTGATGCTGCAGTACTAGTAAGGCGTAGGTATATATGATGTTTGGCAAGGGGTGGTTTAGAGTAATGGAAAGTAGTGAGATGGCTTGATGGGGTAGGGTGGGGTGACTTTGAATGGATGATGTAGATGAATAGGTAGGCTTGTTGTTGTTGTTGTCTATAGTTGGGAAGTCATCGTGTTTGCGGTGTCGATGCTGGGATTGGTTATGTGGTACGGAATATAGTGCTGGTATGTATTAGTGTTTATGATATTGAGGTTTAGTGAAGAGGGATGTTCCAGTTGGTAGGGTTCATTAACTAGATAGAGTAGGGGAAGGGGGGTGGGGGAAGGTGATATAATATTGTGTTCTGGCCAGTTGAGAGATTGAATATTGATCTAGAACATTCTTATTTATTGAGTCTGGCTGATTTCGCTTAGCAGTCACAAGCTATGAGATGTACAGGCAATGTAGACGACAGTTTCTCAAATCCATGACACCTAATATTAGATAACAGCAATAAGAATGAATATAACTTCCGCCTCACGTCAAACCATGTCGTCTGCATTCTCCCCAAAACAACCCCTTTGAGTAGTAATCACACTGGCACCTCGTGAGTACTGATTCCACAGGAAACAGGTGGGAGAAGTGAAGGCCTCAGCCAGTCACCGGAATTGTCGCCACAATTCGAACGGCCAATGCGCTCCCTGGAACTTCTCGTCTGTCATTACTCTTACCACCGGTGATACAGGACTACTCGTCCCGTTCCGGTTCCCTCCTAGAAACAAGAATTTCAGACTGTCGTGACGAAGTTTGGTTTCTTCCCATCTGTGTATGGGAACCCATCCGTCATGTGGGACACTGAGGAGTCCCGCTACGGTATCTCGCAAGATCTCATTTGTACGAAGTTGGGGGTACATTTTCAGGCCCTCCCAAATAACCGCTGGTAGGTCAGGAGGGAATGGGCTCGGATCCTCAAGGCCAAATTCTTGCCACCTTTGGGCAACGACTGACAAGTCTTTGCATAGACCTGGAACACCATCTCTCCAAACTCTCCAACTACGTAACAGCGGTTGGAATAGGTCGGGTCCCAAAGACCTAGGAGCAGCAAAAGAGGGTACAAAAGTCCCAATGATATCTTGAAACTGGAACGAGCACAACGAGCCCGCTGGCCCATCAATGTAAGAGGCAAAATCTGGGGTGTCAAAAGCATGCCAGAAAGTCGGGTCAACACTAGCATTGTGCCAACCGATGATTGCGGTAATCACAGTAGGGTCATTTTCGTCCACGAAGACCTTTCTCTTTTGCAAATTGGGGTGCCATAGCAATGGAGAAGCAACTGCTTGGACTATTGGATCCGCGCAAATTCCCTTGAGCAGCGGGCGGCTTTGCTGCAGGAGATCAATCGCTGCCGCGAGAGTCCCGTAACTAGCAGGTCGCTTCGGTTGGTGCGGGTCGAGGTATGGAAGCAATGAAAGACCAGCATCAACGAGAGCATCGCTATATTCACTGAGAGTCTGCCCTTGATTAGTTGTAAGTATTCGGTCGAAACAAGGCGATACTGGGAACCTACATGGTCCGGGGTTATGGGCCACACGGTGATATGTCCTTGGGTCACAGGAACCGCAGTCCCAGTACCTGGGATTACAATGAGGCCCAAGACCGAACAACGGATTGACGTCTAGAAGCTGCTCATCGGGTTTCCCACGACCGCGTGAGAAATACAGGCTTCCATACCCTGGGTAGTCCAGTTCGGTAAGGTGGCCGAGTAACCAGTAAATTGTGGCAACGCAACTTAACTGATCAACCCCAAGCATATCGGGCCACTTTTTGTCCAGCGGGACGCCCTCGGCATGGTCCATGATGATATATGGCCATCCAATCGAGTTCTCGTCCCCGTCACCAAAGCTCCAGTCATGGATCTCTGGCAAGGGTATAGAGGTCTGGTCATCTACTGAGTAGCAGTTAGTCCCTTGACTTTCATCTAAGGACAGCTTTGTACTCACGACTCACAGAACTCAGTCGTGGCAACTTCCGACCGCGTTATGAGCGATGGCGATCCGGCAGATCGGAAGGGCAGCTTAGCTACCACACGCTTGCCATTGTTTAGAGTAAAGATAAAGACTCTGTTGGATCGACCTTCGACCTTTTCGCACTTGGCAATCGGGTCAGAATCCGGGAAGAGGGAGATGATACGCCAGCAAAGAGCGTCAAAGTCAAAGTCGATATGGCGGCTGCTCCTCTGCGCGTCATCCTGACGAAGCCATTTCCCACTCGTGTAACTATGGGGATCAAAAGCAACTGCATCGTCGCGTGTGAGCCGACTTGCGGGGAAGTATAGATGTAGGGGGACGTACACTGTGATGGGAGATATGCTACTTGTCTTCGAGGGGGCCGAGTAGGCTCGGAACGTGCTCCTAGGTAAGAAAGCACCGGATGGGTTCGAGGGATGCGATCCGGGGTATCTGGGGGGTATAGCGACATAGCAGATAGGAGACCAAGGGAAGAGGGGGAGGCGATGGCCAGACTTGAAGCAATAGATGATACGCAGTAAACCTGTGAACCAAACGATCTCCGCTGGTGATCGGAGCGCCAGTTGGGCCGCGCCAGGAGGCCGCGGATCCATCCGGTCTTTCCCGTTCGGGACCTCCCGCGGTGCGTCCTACTTGTAGTACGATGTAGCATCTGGCATAGAGACTCAGGGATACTATGATTCTATATGATTGGAAAGCAGTTCAACTACATTGGTCCATCCGTCACGCACCCATGGCTGGCATCGCTCACCAACTTGGCGTACTTGCTCAAAGTGCCCTTCTTCGCCCGAGGCGCCGGCGCCTTCCAGACTTTCCTCCTCTGCTCCATCTCTTCCGGCGAGATCTGCAGATCGACCACTCTTTGTTCGGCATCAATCACAATACGATCACCATCCTTCGCTAGCGCAATGGGGCCTCCCTCCATAGCCTCGGGCACAATATGACCGATCAAAAACCCGTGACTGCCCCCAGAAAATCTCCCATCAGTGAGCAGGGCAACATCCTGGCCTAACCCAGCACCCATGATGGCCGAGCTGGGTTTGAGCATCTCAGGCATGCCAGGACCACCCTTGGGGCCCTCATACCGGATGATGACGACTGTCTTCTCGCCCTTCTTGATCTCACCGCGTTCGAGAGCCTCAATAAAACCATCCTCATAATCGTAGCACTTGGTGGTGCCTTCGAATCGTAAACCTTCTTTGCCGGTGATCTTGCCGACTGAGCCGCCGGGGGCCAATGAGCCGCGAAGGATTTGCAAGTGACCGGTTGGCTTGATAGGATTGTTGAGAGGCCGGATAATAGGCTGGTCGGCGGAGAAATCAGACCACGAGGCTATATTCTCTTTCATTGTCTTGCCAGTCACAGTTATGCCGGAGCCGTCAATAAGACCTTCCTTGAGCAAGAACTTCAGGAGTGCTGGTGTGCCGCCGATCTTGTACATATCATGCATGACATATTTGCCGGATGGCTTCAAGTCGGCCAGGAATGGGGTCTTGTCCGACACAGCCTGGAAGTCATCAATAGTCAGCTTGATGCCAACAGAATCGGCGATGGCTATCAGATGCAACACCGCGTTCGTGCTGCCTCCCAGGATATTCACGACGATCATAGCATTCTCAAATGCTTGCCGAGTCATTATATCCTTGGGCCGGATATCTTCTTTGAGCAAGTTCTTCACCGTCTGGCCAATTCCTTCACACTCGGCTTTTTTAATCGGGTCCTCCGCCGGTGTACTGCTGCTTCCAGGTACTGTCATACCAAGCGTCTCGATCGCTGTAGCCAGCGTGTTTGCCGTGTACATACCGCCACAGGCACCAGCACCAGGGCATGCATTGCGGATGATGTCGAATCGCTGTTTCTCATCGATTTCGCCGGTGAGGTACTGCCCGTACGATTGAAAGGCGCTGACCAGATCAAGTGGCTGGCCTCCTGCGCTGCAGCCGGGCTTGATACTGCCACCGTACACCATGATACTCGGGCGGTTAACACGACCCATGGCCATCAGAACTCCTGGCATGTTCTTGTCACAGCCGGGCAGCGAGATATTGGCATCGTACCACTGGGCATTCATGACCGTCTCAATACCGTCAGCGATGATTTCTCGACTCTGCAAACTGAAACGCATGCCAGTTGTGCCCATACTAATGCCATCCGATGCACCAATGGAGTTGAAACGCATGGGAACCAGGCCTGCCTTGGCTACCGAGTCGCGAACCACTGACGAAAGGTCCATCAGGTGCATATTGCAGGGATTTCCTTCAAACCACACCGATGAGATTCCCACTTGTGGCTTGGACATATCCTTCTCCGTCAATCCCGTCGCGTATAGCATCGCTTGAGAGGCACCCTGAGACTTGGGTTGTGTAATCCTGCAGGAGACCTTGTTCAGAGTCTCGTCGGCATATCGATGTGTGGTGGAGGACAGAAGACGCCTAGATATTCGTTGGCTCCATCCGTCAGCCTTCAGACTACCAAGAGGCGCTATGTAGTATACGAACGAGGATGATTGACTCTGCAATGGCACTCGGCGGCCGAATGCCAGAGCTCTGGAGGCTCGCGCCCGGGAGGCAGATGCGATCATGGTCGGCCTTGATGGGAGGAGGAGGGGGAGAGGAGAGAGGAGAGAGCAGATTTTTCTTGTTTCTTGGAAAATCAGTCAGACGCAGGCTGTAGACCAATTTATATAGCCTGCTTCTAACGACTGACTTTGATGAGAGCCATCATAGTCCAGGTGAGTCAGACAACCCCCCTAGTTCGACCGGGAAAGTTCCCTTCCATCCAACGTAGCAAATGAGTAAAGCTGTCAGACCTTGCATTCCCATAGTAATTCGACGAACAAAAGAGGAATCGACCATAGATCTAGCCCCGCGGGGGGTTGTATGATAGCAGCACCTCCAATCAGACGAGGAATATTACAGCCGATTATCCGAAAGCGTCGCAGACATCCTCAAGCTTTGCTCCATGATGGAGCAATCTAGCTGTAAATGCAGGCAAGGCTATGGAGATGGTGGTAGCAGTTAGAAGCACCCGGGACATCTATAGATCCTTCGTGTCGATCTAGGCCCACCGGGCCGGAGTTGCGCGGCCGCTCCCCGGGCGGGCATTTATAGTACATAAGTAGTGTGTATGATGGTTGGGGTAGTCAGCAAGGCCAGGTATGGGGGACGGAGTAGTGCCCGTTGGGTTCGCATGCAATAATACTGCTATAGTAACTCGCGCGGGTGGATTTATCCAGTCGGAGTTCCCGAATGTTGTACTCCAGTAACAGGTACTGATGCTAAAGATCCAGGGGCCTAGTGCATTCGGCCTGACAGTCGGTCAGTCAATCCGATCAGATAGTCTGAACAACGAGGCTGAACTTTTAACGCCGTGCAACTCAATGCCCACATGACCATCGGGCTCTGCCTACCTACCTGTTCGCCTTTGAGGCACTGGTAGCTAGAGGCTAGGCTGTAACTGTTTTTAAGTATCATGGCGATGGGCTTGTCTATATAGGCAGAGTCTACTTGCTAATTAGTACTGCTTACTTTATGGGTGTGATTTAACCTGGTTTAATAAGTAGATCCTTTGATGTTTAGCGAACAAAGACATAAGTTAACAGAATTTTTCTATTGTATCTGGGCAGGCAACAGGCTCCCGAACAAAGTATCTGAATCCATATCACCTGTCAATTAGAGGATCGGGTAGTAATGCATGTATCCCGGGTGATGGAGTAAATTATAAGACAACAGTGTGCTGAATGGAAAAAGAGATGATACCCTGCGTGGTGGAACGAGACGAAAAGTCTACACGAGTGAAAATGCAGATAATGGTCATCTGAGATATCATCAACTGAAGTGAAAGAAGTGACCCCAAGCTCCGAAACGACCAACTCGCTTGCTATCATGGCTTCGTGTTCATATTCGTAGATAGAGTATCAAGACAGCAACATCTGTCATTGCTTCAGGCCGCCTCGATTTCGGAGAGACATTTCTCGAACTCACTCCAGTCCTTCATGATAACCTTGGCACCCAGCTCTTGCAGACGCTGGGACATTTCAAACTGCTTGTCATCACCGTGGTAGCTTCCGACATAGCCAATGACTGGGATGCCGGCACGGATGGCGCTGAGAGCACCGGACTTGCTATCCTCAACGGCGACTACTTCTTCAGGCTTCTTGTTGCGCACCTCGAGAGCATGAAGATAAATAGCCGGATCGGGTTTCGAAGTGGGCTTGGGAAGTGAGGTGGCTGCACTGAACACGTTCTCGGGGTCGAAGTACTTGTCCTGTCCAACCTTCTTAATGGAGGCACGGACGCGGCGCAGAGCAGACGAGGAGACCACTGCGAGGCCGTACTTCTTGGACTCGAAAAGCTTCTCGAGTTCTTCAGTAACTCCAACGCAAGGTTGAGCTTTGTCGGTCAATTTGGCAATGACCTTATCCTCCTCCTTCTTGACATATTCCTCAAGTTCCTCCTTGGACATCTCGAACTTGTACTTGGCCTGGAGAGAGACCATCATTCCGCGGAAGTTCTGGCCAACGAAGTCCTGGATAAGCTGATCTCCCGTGTAACGATCCGAGATCTTCTGCTTTTCCAGAATTTCATTGGCAAGATCAGCACAGGCCTCAAAGGCCAACTCCTCCGAGAGGACGAGGGTGTTGTCGCAGTCAAAGAAAATCTCAGTAATCTGCAATCAGAACCATGTGAGCACATGTGAACCCATGCCATCATGACGTGGGGCCCAAGTAGCTTACCTGCGGCATGTTGGCTACAAGGTTGGTAATGAATGCTTTGTTGAGAGAAGATACGTTGTACGGTGGCGATCGTGGAGTCCCGTTTAGGTAGGCAGTGAGAAAGGAGTTGGCGTGGAGAAAAGACGTAAAGGAGATGATAGGAAAGAAAAATGTAGTCTTTCCAAGAGGCAAGTTCTAAGCCGTGGAGGATGGGGAAACAAGAGGGTCTGGTATCTGATGAAGAACACGGAGAAAGAGGGGCAGAGGCGAGGGCATTCAATTGGTTTAAGTAGTAGTGGAAGGGGTCAATACAAAGAGAGGACCAGGCGAGAAGTGGTGGTACCTTGTGTTCAAGGAATGGGGCGGGACCCAGACACGGAATGACGCTTGAATTCAGTGGCTGATCGAGAGCCAAAAAATGGCAAGGCAAACAGTAAGGGAATTTACCAGCGGTATTCAAGGTAGGAGCGGGGCCTGAGATCATACACAGGGTGTCGACTGTACGCACTACTAACGGAGTGCACAGTACGGAGTAACGAAGTACTACTCAGCAACAGTGATTGACCCCCATGACGTTATCAACTGGGCGACTTCCCTTTCTGCCGTCGGGGCTGCGCAGCGCTAGAGACTCGCGCTAGTCCTACTCCAGCAAGCACCCGCTGCCAGTCGGCGTTCGAGTTGCGCTCGGATTCCCCCGCCTTCTAGCCCGCTGGGGAATAGCGTCATCACCTGATGGAAAGGCACCGAATCCTCGCCGACCATCTCCTCGTCTTCAATTCCCGGCTTTCTTTCCTCGTCGACGCCTCCAAGCCCAGTGGTGAAGCGCAGAGCCAATCGAGAGGATTCCATTGCATGTATGTCTAAGTACATCCCATGTGCTTGGGGGCGGCACTGCAGGAGTGGAACCCCTGAATTCTCCCATTCCTATTATTCACTACTTCGTATGTCTCTACTCTCTAAAAAGAGCCTGGTCTCCTCCCAGAGATCCCAGACTATCCAGACAGGGGCCAAAGGTTCTCTGTACTGACCAAAAACAAAGTTTATCTCCGTATCATGGCCTCACATACCAGTCACCGGGTGTGCTCATGCGAGGGGCTATAATCGGACGCAGCCTCCATTAGAATGCGTCAAATCTCCGTCTCAGTGCTAAATACATCTCCCGGAGTACAGTATTCCATTGCCTAGCGTTAATTAGTGAACTGCCTGGATTTGGCAGTAGTTCATCGCCAAGAGTTAGGCCACGAATTACCAGGCGGCGCTGGGTATACCAGAGCACTGTGACGGTGAAGAAAATACCATGCGGTATTATAGGGAGCCATGCGGCGAAATGAAACCGTTCCATGGGGTCAAGGGGCTTGTTCTCTCAGGCCGGCTACGGAGCACGGAGTACTGGCATCGCAAATGCAACTGCCCAGGGTTCTCACAGCGAAGGCTGGTTTGAGATACCTAAAGAGCTCCCACACATTGTCCATTTACCGGGGGAAAGCCATGGCTCCAACCCCAGATGTGGTGCAGAAGACCCCTCAACACTAATTGTATGGCTGGCAAGGGCGGAGATCTGTAGGTAGTACATAGTACCTGTGTGCTGTAAGTAGGTGCTGCTATGTACTATGGCGGGAGGCGCTCCACCCCGCGTGTGGATGGCTTTCGAGTCGGCGCCGGCCTTAAATGTGGGCCGATCATTGGCCGGCGAAGAAATTCTAATGGCGCTTGCATTAGAGCCCCTCATTTTCGCATCTGATTTCATTCTCATAGGGACAAAGTCTATGATGTTATTTCCTCCTGCCCGAGGCATGCCGTAACCTGTTCCGCGAAATTCACTTACCTTTCCTCTCTCGACTGTGATACGACCCGACTGCTGCCATCAGAGCCAATACGAAGCACTCCGGGAAACATGGGATCTGACTCTGGTTCCGATCCCTACCCCGTGTCCGTTTCGTCCCTTCATTTCCCCTCCGCAGAGCAGCAGTCCATTTCTCAAACGCTATCCGCGTTGCGACGATCGGCACTCTCTGTCACCAACCGATTGCGTTCCATCGAAGCCGACGCAGCTTTTGTCCGCGAGGTTGCAGACCATTACAACCTTCCTCTCATCGCCAACGAAAGATGTGGAAGCTGGTATATCCCGCCTGAAGTCAAGTCGGGCAGTGCGTATTTCAAGAGTACAGACGGTCATACGGGCCAGTGGGACTTCAGCTTCCGCAGACTAAACCTGCAGCTTTTACCGATTGCAAGAGAGCATGGGGGGTCAGTGAGCCTGTCATTCGTGACTTTTGTCATCCCTGCTGATTGTTCTGCTCTCGGGCTAACTGACTGGTGACTGTTATTCGTTGATATAGTTGCATTATAGTGGACTCGACGCGCCGGGGCAAATGTAAGTGTTACCAATTAAATCCTGCAATCGACCCAGTCGCGGTCTGTCTCACGAGGTGTGTTCCAGTGATGCCCGATGCCCTGTCCAAGACTATCCCGATATGGTGTGCCGTCATTAATCGGTCGTTGTTCCCTTCTGAGACTACCTATCACGCTGTAGAATTCCCACCAAACTATTTGGGCGCTTCCGAAGAGTCACAGATCGAGCGGAGGATCGATGGCTTCGTCAAGTCGCTTGAGGTAGTTTTGCTCTATGGTGGTTGGTTATCCTTTCACTTCTTGTAGGCTAATATCTTATAGGACCTGAAACTCGACCTGGGTGAACTCAGGGAGCAGCTTGGAAAACCCATCCGGATAGCATGGGCTAATCGATCCTACTTCCATCCGACGGATCTGCATAAAGGAGACAATTATCACCTGTTGGTCCTCTGTTCTGCATCTAAAAGGGTCCATGGCGCGGAGATGTCCGAAGGCGGCTACATCCAAGGAGCAGGGGATGATAGCGAGAGTTGGGCCTATGGTTTGACTCCTCCGGTCTTTTGGGCTACCAGGTCAACCCTCTTCCAGCAGTCCGAGGAAGATCTGCCGATGGTAATCGAGCAGTTGGTAGACGAGCACCGGAAGAAGGACATCGACCAGAGAGCCATCCGTATTGCGCCCACACGAAACCTTTATATCAGCCAAACACACCCGCAACTGATCAAGGACAGCGGTTATGATCTTGTCATAGATTGTAATGCGAGTCTGGAGGCAGCGGAAGGTAACGCAAAGCGCCTGAACCTCGGATGCGGATCTTCCAAATTGGGAAGCCGCGACCTACGCAAGCATTTAGACCGAGTCCAGGATTTTGTCCAGTCGCGTCTGAGCTCCGATCCGTCGCAGTCCTTGCTGGTGACATGTGAAACTGGAAAGGATCTCTCTGTCGGTGCTGTTCTTGCCATATTATGTCTATTTTACAACGAGGAAGGTAAGCCGCCAGCCGTATAGATAAGACTGTCTATTACTATCACTAGTACTTAGTGGCGCTTCACAGCTGATGCTGATGGTACCTCAGGCGAGCTCACTGCTGCACCCACCAACCAACCGATTGGCAAGCAGTTCATCCGGCAGCGTCTTGCCTGGATCACATCGTCCAAGCACGATGTAAATCCCTCGCGATCTACGCTGCAATCGGTCAATGCCTTCCTTATGCAACGCCCAGATTACTGATCGTATGGATTCTAGCATGGTCCTGCACACTCAATCAATTAGATCTATATATAGCATCGCGACGAACTACTCGTTCTCAACGGCCTCAACAATGGCGCCACTGCTCCCCTCGTCGAGAGCGTTCAGTACCGCCATGTCCTCCTCGCTGATATCGAAATCAAACACATTGGCATTAGCCGCAATCCGGTCCGGATTGTCAGTCTTAGGAAGCGGAACCCATTCCTTTTGCAGGGCGTAGCGTATCAGGACCTGCTGGGTCGTCTTGTTATACTTCTTCGCCAAATCCACGAGTGTAGGGTCGTTGGCTTTATAGTTCCGCACAATGGGGGAATAGGACTCGACGATGATGCCGTTCTTCTTGCAGTATGCATCGATAACACGTTGCTGACACCAGGGATGGAGCTGCGATATCCAACTATTAGCCAGGCCAACCTTCCCACAGTAAGGGTCAACCGGAATGATTCCGGATGCACTCACCTCGATCTGATTCACATGCGGCGGCCAGACCTTCGCATACGCCTTCATCTCCTCGATATGTTTGACCCCGAAGTTACTGACACCAATGCTCTTAGTTCTGCCTTCCTCCAGCAGCCTCTCCAGGGCCTGCCATAATTCCTTGCGACCCGACGAGCCGGACTTGGAGCTATGGATCAAGAACAGATCAACATATCCGTCCTTACCCCCAATCTTGTCAACGCTAGCCACGAGTCTCTCGTAGGTTGCTTCAGGCGAGCCCGCTGGGCTGAGGATTTTGGTAGTCACGAAAATTTCGCTGCGGGGCAGGCCAGACGAACGGATGGCGTCGCCAACCTCTTTCTCGTTTGCGTAGAACTGGGCGGTATCAATGTGCCTGTACCCGGTTTCGAGGGCCTTCAAACAGGACTGCACACATTGTGTGGAAGGTGACCGATAGACGCCGAATCCAAGGCGGGGTACCCTGACGGAGGAATTGGGAAGCGGCAGAAGGTCTGTGAGGGAGTAGTTGGCCGACATTATGGAGCGATGATTGGACAAGGAAGAGAAGAACCAGTGTCGGGAATCTGAGGAGTTCGATCAACAGCGGTCGTCAAGATGCGTCTTCGGGGAGAATGACATGGAGAGGGGAAAGCCGTTCAGTTGGCTGGCGTTTCCGCTTCGCGCGCGGGTCCCCATCACGCCTCGGCGAGTCCGATGATATCATCAGCCCACCTTTCGCCTCTTCCTGCCTCCCGGACCCCTCTGTTGGTCTTGTCAACTATACTCTGGAGCACTATGATGGACATGTGTATATAGATTGGGACTTGTACCCAAACTAAATCGGAATATATGGGCACTGCGCAGCCCCGCATAGGTATCTTGTCCGTCTTGAAATATGGGGCACTGCTACAATAGTATCCTCGCCCTTGCAGACGGAAAGGTAAATGTCCGACTCTACCACGGTACCTTCTCGCGTGCGTAATATCAAATCTTTGTCCAGCAGTACGAGGGGGCACTCCACTAGCAGATAGATACACCTGGTATCTCTCTCAGCATGATTGTCCTTGTTGCTTGTCTGGACATGGTACAGCTGGCAGGAGGCGTGGGCCGAGCGCCTCGGGTACTAGGAGACGTCGCCTGGAAATCACGTCTTTGGGCGACAGCTGAAACCCCTCTTTCTCTTCTACTAGATTCTAGCGTTTGGTATTACTATGTAGTATCAGCGCTGTGGTGGGTCACCCAAGAATTTGATCAGCATCTCTCGGAGAATTGAACAATGAATCACCGGGAGGCCAGTCTATTCACTTTCGGATTGCATTAACGAGTCCAAAGCGAGGCAAACCTCACTTGCGTATCTCCTGGCTGGGCAATGGTCTCCGGGTCCAAGCCACCCGACATTCCTCAGATCCATTGCACTCGAAGCCTGCGGATAAAGAAAGTATGTTACGGAGTAAAAAGGAGGCATTTTTTTCATCCTGGTGGAAAAGCGTTATCATCCGTTCTTAGTGGTCAGTAAGCGCCCCTCCCCGGTACTAGTACTATAAACAGAAATCGGATCAGCTTCCACCAACTGCCGGGTTTTGGAGATAAGTACTCCGTATCACTATCTAGATAGACTTTAAGCCAAGGGCCCGGAATGTATCCGCCATATGAGAATCGCTGATGGTCTTCCGTCTGGGAAACCCCCCCCAGAGCTGGCAAGGATATGAGGAATGATCAGAGGGGGATGGTTCTTGACCGGCAGCAGCCGACCGGAAGACCAACAACGGTGGTTGCTGTGGGGGGAAAGTTTGTTGACAGGCCGGGCATCGGCAGTGCCAGCGAAGGAGGAGCCCCTTAACTGGAACTCTTCATACATACTAGCAACTACTACTTACTCCGTACTACTCCTATCTAACTTGAAGGTGCCTTAGCGTTGCTTAGGTATCTACTTGGGACGAGTCGAGGCCTGCGCTACGGACTGCGACGGCCAACCGCCAAACTAGTCCTCCGTACTAACCAACGCTCCAACGAGCTAACGATTATTCATTCTTCTTTCACTAACTACTCCGTACTCTGCGCCCAACCGCTAGGCCATTCGATCTCTTGCAATCCAACGAATCGCAGCCCCCCTCCCCCCTCGTTCTAGCCACTCCGTCCTGAAGATCCTGCCTTTTCCATTCAAGTCTGCCTCCCCAGGGCTCCATTCACCATCCACCGTCCACACCATCAACGCCCTGTAGCCAGCCCTCCAGACAGACAGGCAGCAAGCGCTCCCTCAGTCCGTGCTTCAATCGCCCAAATCTCCCCGCCCGCCCTGGATGTTTTCGACCACGCTCACCATTCATCATGTTGACGGTTGAAAAGCAGTGGATTAATGTACAACAGAAAACCTTCACCAAATGGTCGGTACTAGTCTGTTCTCGCCTCGTCTCGCCTATCCCCACCGCCGGTTGAGAGGCGTTTCGGTCCCCCTCCTCCTCTCACATGCCAGAAATCTTTTCTTCTCTTTATGCACTCTCCCGAAGCCAACGAAACTAACCCTTGATCGTCTGCAGGCTCAATGATAAGCTGAAGGTGCGGAAGATCTTCATCGATGATCTGGTAGTCGACCTTTCTGACGGTGTGAGTAGATTCCTGGCTCTACCCTTTTCGAACGGAAATCCATGGGGTGGCGATCTGTGGTGACATAGAGGAATTTCAATTGCTAATCGCCTTGTCAAATCTCCAGGTCATCCTTATCCATCTGCTTGAAATTCTCGGTGGAGAGTCACTCGGTCGATATGCCTCGAAGCCGAAACTGCGTGTGCAGAAGTTCGAAAATGTCAACAAGAGTCTTGATTTCATCAAGGGGAGGAGGATCCCGATGACGAACATTGGAGCGGAGGACGTGGTAGATGGGAATCGGAAGATCATTCTGGGCTTGATATGGACACTCATTCTGCGGTTCACGATCAGCGACATCAACGCGGAGGGAATGACCGCAAAGGCGGGTCTTCTTCTGTGGTGTCAACGAAAGACCGCTTGCTACGAGGGGGTTGAGGTGCGGGACTTCTCCACTAGTTGGAATGATGGTCTGGCCTTCTGCGCTCTCTTGGATATTCATCGACCGGACTTGATCGACTTCGACGCACTGGACAAGAAAGACCACCGGGGGAACATGAAACTTGCCTTTGATATCGCGGCTAACGAAATAGGCATCCCCGACCTGCTCGATGTTGACGATGTCTGCGACGTGGCGAAGCCTGATGAGAAGTCACTCATGACATACATCGCTTATTGGTTCCACGCTTTCTCCCAGCTTGAGCGCGTCGAGAATGCCGGGCGTCGGGTGGAGAAGTTCATCAACAATATGCATGGTGCATGGGAGATGCAGAATTCCTACGAGCGGAGGATGAAGGAACTATTGCGCGTGATCAGAGCACAACGAGAGGAGTGGAAGGGATCCTCGTTTGAAGGCACATACAAGGATGCAAAGGAGCAAGCCCGTCAATTTTCCTTATACAAGAGAAACCAGAAGCGACAGTGGGTTGCGGAGAAATCGGATCTCGCTGCTCTGCTCGGAAACATCAAGACAAAACTCAGCACGTACCGACTCCGCCCTTACGAGCCCCCAACGGAGCTAAGTCTCGAGGTTTGCGATGAGGAATGGGAGGGCTTGACGCGTGACGAGCACGAACGTAGTCAGCTTATTAACGAGACTATCCGGGATATCAAGAACGCTCTCCGTCGCTCCTTTGCAGACAAAGCAAATGATTTCGCACTAACGCTGAAGACGCTGTCTCTTGCGATATCTGGTCTCGATGGTGATGTAGAAGACCAATTAGCTCATGTCAAGAGACTCAATGACAACCTTCCTCCCCTTGATGCGTTCCTAGATACCATTGCGGCGCTCGACGAGCAATGTGCCGAGGCGAATATTGAAGAGAATGACTACACCACATATACTTTAGATGAACTCTCCTACGAGCTGAGTCTGGTCAAGTCCAGCATCTCCAAAAAGCTCGCTTTTCTCGACAATCAACTTGTGGCTCGGAACATGACCAACCTTACCCCAATCCAGCTGGAGGAGTTCGAGTCTGTTTTCCGACATTTCGATCGCGACTCTTCCAACACCCTCCATGAGCTGGAATTCTCGGCCGCTCTGGCCAGTCTTGGCCTCGTATATGATGAAGAGGAAATGCATGACGTCTACGTTGAGACATGTGGTCCAGCTCGGCTGGCACAAAATGCCGGTGTTAGCTTTGAGCAGTTCATTCGATTCATGGTCAGCGTGACAGAGGATCAAAATACTGCCGAGCAGGTTTACCAGAGTTTCCGCGAGGTTGCGGATGGCAAGGTATGTTCTTCCCTGGAGTCGGCCAGTTGTTTCAGTTCCAATCAATGTCTGACTTGTGTAGCCATACGTCACGGAGCTCGACCTTCGGCACTCCCTCATCCCCGATGAGGTGATTGAGCACCTTGTCCAAACTATGCCACCACACAATGGTCCGGATCTCCAAGAGGATAGGGATCTCCCTAAGTATGACTACATCAGCTTCATGGAGAAGATGATAGAGCATAACAACAACAACCAGAGCAACGCTCCTGTGAATGGCGGATGTTAATAGATGTCTTTTGCATTGCACTACCGGTGTTTCCCTCTTTCATTTCCTTATCTCCCTTCTGGACAGTATGGTTGAAGGTTGCTATTGGTGTTTTCTGGAGCTAAAAGGGAGGGGTGTGTCTTCGGTGACCTTTTGACCATGCATACAGGACTATGACCGAGGCGTCTTTTCTCTTCCTTTTTGCATCACATTCATGAGCTTCTCCTTGTCTGAGCTTCTCTTCCTAGCACGAGGGTTTGTACCATTCCAAGCATGTACATCATCCTAATGGGGCGGAAGTATTTACAAAGATTCGCAATCAAACTCTTGTTGCAAAGCAGTATTATATCTCGCCAATGTATTAGAGGACTGCACCGGTAGAAGTCACTCTTCCTTCAGCGAAGTAGGCACCTCTTAAGTATCTATCCAAACAAGCACCATTACATAGTAATAATCACGTGATTGGTACTTGCCAGGGCGGTCTGGAAGGCGCGTTTCGGGCTGGGTCCGTCCCAGGCTCACTCCGACCTTTAGCTTTCTACTCTCACTCTCCATTGCTTTACACCAGTTACTTGTCCGTACTGCAAGTTTGATATCGGTACCACCTCAGCTCTACTTTTCTTAACTCCGATTTGAATATCTCCCGAGTTGCCCAACATGGACCGCAGCTTGGATGAGATCATTGCGGAGCGTCCTGTAAGGTCCTTGCTAACACCTCCGGGATGACAAGTCTAAGTAGGCTTGTTAAACACCATGCATGTGGGCTGACATGACTTTGTGTAGCAAAAGCAACAGCAGAACCGTGGCCGTCGCCCTCCTCAAGGTCGTCGCCGTGATGGCGTAAGAAAGGTACCCACCCTCTCATCATCCAGTCCCTGCTCCTCGTTTTGCTTGCGAGTCTATACTCACCACCGGGGCTTCCAACAGGTCCTCCCTCCTTGTCTCCTTTCGAGCATTGCTCGCGCATCGTGATAAGCAATTTTCGCTGGCCTCGTAGCATCGTCTCTTGCACAGGCAGACGGCCGCGAAGTGCCGCAAATGATGGAGCTGTACCTAGTGTAACTTCGAGCTGACCTTCTCTCTCTATTCGATCACAACAGCCTTACAGAGAAGACCGTCCTGACTTAGATCTGTAATATCAACACCTTTGTTTTTCCCCGTCTCTACAGAATAAGCAACGGTTTTGCTAATGCGTCACTCAAACTGCAGTGATTGGGTTCATGACAAGTACGAAGACGACAGAGATGGTGCGTTCCGAGTCTCTCTCCTGGCATAATGCCTTGGAAACCCTCCGTGTTCGACTTTTCTTAACACCTTGCTCAGCACGCCCTTCTCGTGCCCCTCGACGTCCGCGCGGTGATCGATACTCCCCATCTCCCGAGCAGTATGTTTACCCGAATGTTTTGGCGGATGGTTAATCTAAGTATATAGCAATGCGCCTACTGGGGCCAAGCTTCGCGTCGAGAACATCCACTACGATATTACGGAAAGTGATCTCGAGGTAGGCCTGATTCTGACCCTGGACGCTTCGTGAGAGTTACCTGACACACGGTGTTTTGAAGGATCTGTTTACTCGCATTGGACCCATCAACAATGTTTCCCTCGTTTACGACCGGGCAGGCCGCTCGGAAGGGCTTGCCTTTGTGACTTACAGTCGCATCAGTGATGCCCGAACTGCCATCAGCGAGTTCGACGGCGCAAACGCCAAAGGCCAACCCATCCGCTTGACACTTATCTCGACTGGAGGTGGAAAACGCGAGCGCAACCCATTTGATAATGTGGAACGCTCGAAAGGAAGTCTATTTGATCGCGTCGAGAGACCTCGCGACCGAGACGCTCGGAGTCTGAGTCCCGGCAGCAGAAGCGGCAGTCCTGATGGAGGTGCACGCCGCCGTCGGGGTCGTCGTGGCGGGGGTGGTGGCGCCGGTTTCCGACGCAGCGATGTCTCCAAGCCGGCTCCCGAGCACATCGACAGATACGTGCCTGGCCAGCGGTCGCCGACTCGTCGACCCGCCAATGGACGCCGCCAGGGTGAGAACAAGGGCGAAGGCCGCCGCATGGTCAATGGACGGCCCAGGAAGACGCAGGAAGAGCTCGATCAGGAGATGGACGACTACTGGGGTGGAGCTGCGAATGCCGGTGCTGGCGCGGCCGACAAAGAGGCTGTCCCTGAGGAGCCTCAGCAGATTGCGCCCGCGTCCGCGGCCGCGGCCGGCGATGACGATATCGACATGATTGAGTGAGTCGTACACTTAAATTGACCTCGGCACTCAAGGCGTGCGATGGCTTCTTTCATCTTTGTAACTAGTACTGGCCTGGATTGGAAAAAGACATCTTAAATCAGACTGGGAAGGCATAGCGACGGCGGGTCACCTGCTGCTAGTTCAACGGATATGTAGTTCTCTTGATATTGTACAGGATGGGCATGGTGAACACATCGGTAGCTTCCGACCGGTAGTCTATTTGTGCGCTCTGCCTTGAGAGAAAACCTGCCCATCATACTAGATTGTTCAGGATTCTGTAAAACATTAGAGACCAGCAAGTCAGGGGAGGTTATTGGACTCTAATCGGTCCCGCCAGCCCTCGACAGTACCTAATTAGATAGGCCTGCTTGGTTGATGTAAAAAAAAAAAGGTTCCAGTGTATGTTTACGAGCAGATAGCCTTTCCGATCCTCAGCGCCAGAGACCGTACGGCTCTCTGCAAGCTTTCCACAACTTGATCGTTCCATCTTCGCTTCCTGTGCCGTAAAGTTTGCCATCGGGGGAGAAGCTGACGGACCAGATTGGGCCGTGGTGGCCTTTTTGGACCTCTGCATGGTGTTAGCTTTTGATTTCAAATCAAAAAGTTTCTCCTGGAATTTCTGGAAGTGTTGGGGAGAAGAAGGTGTGGGAAGAGACAGGAACGCACCTAGCTCTTCATCCGTGCGGACATCATACACTCTCGCCCATGTATCATCAGCACTGCCTGTGACTAGCTTGCTCGTCTCATTGTTCACCGCTGCGCTGGCAACCTCGTAACGGAAATCCATTTTCTTAAGGAGCCGACCGGGACTGAGTCCGTCGAATAGATATACAGACTTTCCAGCCGCGACGGTAAGAATGCCGGGATCGTTCGGTCTTACGGCGAGGGAATTGAGTTCACAGCTTCCGATCGTACCTTCAACGGCGTACTCGACAACGGGGTGACGTGAGCGAAGGTCCCACCATCTAATCTTGCGGTCCTCGGCTGCAGTCGTGAGGATATTGTAGTCCTGGTTCCAGACAATCGATTTGATGGTTCCGCCGTGAACACCAGGGCCAATTTCGTAGCTTGTTACTGCTGAGGGAATAGTGTCGGCACTGGGGGTAGCACTCGTTGGCGAGGAGCTGTTACTGCCCCCGCTGCGGGTGAGGTCGAAGATCCGGAGCTTCTTCTCGAAGCCGCCTGTTGCGACGACCTGCGGGGAGGGCTGAATCGGAAATGCGACTGCGCGGCAGATGTGCGCGTGCTGAAGGGTGTGTAGACATTCGCCGGTGTGGGTATCCCAGACTTTTCTGTGGTTGCGAGATGACGTGTTAGCGTGTGGGAATGACGCTGTGGATTGCAGGCGAGGAAAGGAGAAGGAGGTAGGCACTCACGCGGAGAAATCCGCCGCAGCGGTTGCCGCTATGCTTGCATCGGTTGAAAGCCGCGCTTGCCATACTGCACCCTTATGGCCGAGGAAGGTTCCGATCCTGAGCGACGCTGATGGTGAGCTTGTGCGGTGTGCGGAGTACTACTCGATGCGGGGAACACGGACCAGTCACCTGTTATGCCATCGCGCAGCATAGGATTGTTGTCTGCTAAAGGTCAGCGCGGAAATGACTGTTTTGCATTCATCTTATGTACCCTTGCAAGCTGAGATGAGGTAGTATTGGTCATCCTCTACTGTGGATGAGAAACTGATATGCGGCACGGGACGCGAATGTCCGTGGCAGGTCAACGGCACGACTTTGGGAATATCTAGAACTTGTCAACGGCCAATTGCTGTGGAGAACATGTTTATCGCGGCGTTCCCACCTGAAGCCATCTTTGAACTTCACTTTAGATAATATACAAAGGTCAAACGCAGTGGGAGAAGAATCGCATTCGATTTTAGCGGCCGTTAAGTGGTCTGGTGTGCGCCTGAGACTGAAAGAAACTGTCTCTGAACCGTCGCAGACGGAGGAAAAGATAACAGCCAAGCGGAAGACGCGAGAGATGAACACAGCGTAGAAATACACAAGGAAATTCGTCGGTCTCGTCAAGTCATCAATCAGCCCGAGGTAGCGGGGTCGTTCTAAAAATGATCGGAGGAAGAAAGGAGAGGCAAGGGCAGGAGTTAGCGGAACTGTACAGTCTTCCGCTGACGGAACTCCTGATAGTATGGATCGGCCACCGGCGCTTCTGCAAACACAGTGGAAAGGGACACAAGCCCGAAGCAACGAAAGCGATGAGATGATGCTGTTGGAGTTTTGGGACTTTCTTTTTGATATTCGCTGGAATCGTCGCCGGCCGTTGCTGCCCTAAGCCTATCGGGGTCTAGCGCCGTCTGGCACGTGAGGGGTAATGTCCCTATCTGGTATTATCGTATTATCTATACTGGACACCACGTGGAGAGTATGATCTTCTTCAATACGGTGTATCCACCGTACTGGTCATAAATCATAACACGGCAAGCAGCCTGGAGGAATGCATGACTGAGGTAGTATGTTAGATATGTGCCGGTACTACAAGTATATACATTTTCTGTTTGGATCAGAGGCACCCATCGACATGGCATGCACAATAGCTATGAGACAGACGGATCAGTGGACGGCTGGGGTGCGCTGGTCCGAAGACTAACGAGCCAGAGTTTCATCACTCCTGCTGGAAATCGATCCTGACGACGGAGTACGGAGTAAATAGCAGGTTGATGCTGGCTACATCAACTTCCCCCTGGAGGAGCCGGTGATGATAAGAGTGACTATCTAACCGTTGCAAGGCCAGGCCAGGCAGGCAGGATGCTTATCAACCCGGCCTCCCGTTTCTAGCAACTTCTTCCCGGGCGACGGGCCAGGCCACCGCCCACGTGATTGCCCCGGATGGTCCCATGGCCCTCCTTACTAGCAGCTGCTCAGGTACTCACCACTCACTAGTAGGTGAACTTAACCAGGAACCTCCCACCCCAAAGGTGCGCTGAAACCTCCCGTCGTCTTCGTTGCCTCCAACTCATCCCATTTGGCACCCGCCAGTTCCCCACCTGGATTCATCTCCCCCTTCCCAGTGGACTGGTCTATGTATGCCTGAGTTCAAGATCTCCGCTTCTCTAGAGGGCCACGGCGATGATGTAAGAACGTCCCGGCTGTTGACGCTGCCACCTCTCAGCTCCAACCAACCCCTCCATTATCGACCGCTAATCATTTGCTTCTGGTCTGCAGGTTCGTGCCGTGGCCTTCCCTAATGCCAATGCTATATTTTCAGCCTCGCGAGATGCAACAGTCCGACTCTGGAAACTAGTGTCTACCCCGCCTCCGTCTTATGACTACACTATCACCTCTCACGGCTCGGCCTTTATCAACGCCCTGGCCTACTATCCACCAACCCCCCAGTTCCCCGATGGACTTGTCCTCTCCGGTGGTCAAGATACCATCATTGAAGCCAGACAACCAGGCAAAGCTGCTGACGACAACGCGGATGCTATGCTTCTAGGCCATACCCATAATGTCTGTGCACTAGATGTATCACATGAGGGTGGATGGGTCGTCAGTGGAAGCTGGGACTCTACAGCTAGGCTGTGGCAGGTGGGCAAATGGGAATCCGAGGTGGTGCTGGAGGGCCACCAGGGAAGCGTTTGGACAGTGCTCGCCTATGACAAGGATACGATCATCACAGGTAAGTGCTCCCCGTCCTGATATATACGGCTGGCCTATTAGTTGGAAAGGCTAATTGTTGTCTAGGCTGCGCGGACAAGGCCATACGCATATTCAATACATCTGGGACCCTGCTGAAAACGATTAATGATTCCCAAGACGTCGTGAGGGCCCTTTGCAGGGTGCCCGCCTCAAACCCCACCGGTGCTCATTTTGCTTCTGCAAGCAACGATGGAGTGATTCGACTCTTTACCATACAAGGTCAACTAGTTGGCGAAATCCATGGTCACGAGAGCTTTATCTACTCTCTGGCCGCTCTTCCTTCGGGCGAGTTGGTCAGCTCCGGAGAGGATCGAACGGTGAGGATCTGGGAAGGTACGCAGTGCGTACAAACGATTACGCACCCTGCTATATCTGTTTGGAGCGTTGCAGTATGCAAGGATAACGGCGACATAGTCACAGGAGCCAGTGACCGGATCACACGGGTCTTTAGCAGAAGCCAGGAGCGAATGGCGAGTGCTGAGGTTGTGCAACAGTTCGAGAAGACTGTGAAGGAGTCCGCAATCCCGGAGCAACAGGTCGGAAAGATCAATAAAGATAAGCTTCCGGGTCCGGAGTTTCTCAGGCAGAAATCCGGCACCAAGGACGGACAGGTGCAGATGATCCGTGAGGCTGATGGCAGTGTTACTGCTCACACTTGGTCAGCAGCGTCACGAGAATGGATCGCAGTCGGCACTGTGGTTGATTCCGCCGCCAGCAGTGGAAGGAAAACGGAGTATCTGGGCCAGGATTACGACTATGTGTTTGATGTCGATGTGGAAGACGGCAAACCTCCTCTCAAACTTCCATACAACGTCTCTCAGAACCCCTACGAGGCTGCGACAAAGTTCATCCAGGATAATGAACTGTCGATGAACTACCTTGATCAGGTCGCGCAGTTTATTGTCCAGAATACTCAAGGTGCGACTCTTGGTCAGGCATCACAGGAACAAACGCCTGCCAGTGCCGATCCCTGGGGTCAAGAGAGGCGTTACCGTCCTGGAGATGCGCAATCGCCCCCCGTCCCCGAAGCTCGGCCAAAGGTCCTTCCGCAAAAGTCATATCTTTCCATCAAGTCCGCCAATCTCAAAGTAATCGCCAAGAAGTTGCAAGAGCTTAATCAACATGTCATATCCTCCGGGTCGAAAGATGTATCGTTGAGTCCTTCGGAACTGGAAACGGTGGCAACCTTGTGCGGTCAGCTCGAGTCTTCGAATATCGAGGATTCCCCAGCAGTGGAGGCTGGAGTTGTCTTACTATACAAGGTTGCAACAGCCTGGCCCGTCGCAAGCAGACTGCCGGGCTTGGACCTTCTCCGCTTGTCCGCAGCCGCAACTCCTGTGACTGCCACTACAGACTACGGTGGCAAGGACCTCATCTCCGGACTTCAATCGAGTGGCGTGTTTGATACTCCGCTCAATGTTAATAATGCGATGCTGTCCATTCGCATGCTCGCAAATCTGTTTGAAACAGACGCCGGGCGTGAATTAGTCATGAGCAGATCCGATCAAGTCTTGAACGGCGTCAAGTCTGCTCTGACCAACAGTGGGGCGACGCCAAACCGGAATCTTACCATTGCTGTAACGACACTCTACATTAACTTTGCCGTTTACTTGACTTCTGGCGGCAGGGAGTCTATGCCCGAGTCATCGGAACGGGCGCTGGTTCTCCTAGGGGAGCTGGCAGCGATGATACGTGGTGAGAAGGATTCCGAAGCAGTATATCGTGGCCTTGTTGCTCTGGGAACTCTTGTGAAGGGGCTCGGCGAGGAAGTCAGGACTGCTGCCAAGGAGGTCTACGACGTCAGTGATGTACTAAAGAATATCTCTGGCTCTGGCCTTGGTAAAGAACCAAGAACCAAGGGTATCATGGGCGAGATTCGGGAGGCGCTGTCATGAGGAATTTCTTGCCTTGGGGGCCATCTGTGTTCTTCTGCTGTCTATAGCACGTATACAACATTTAGTGATAGCGATACACACTACATTGCATGAATTTCACATCGGACATGTTACGGCCACACTCACTTACAATCCTTGGTATTGTGTAGGATAACCCATCCAATGTGACTACCCATCTAATGTGACTACAACTCTGAGAAGGTATACTATATTTCCAACCCGATCCCGAACGCAAGAACCATACCTTTGTATTACAGAGCATGTCAACTATTCGAGTCCAGAAAGAGACCCGATTCTATTCAAAGCCTTCCCTCCGCATCAACACCAACCTCGACAATCTGATCAATGCCAGGGTATTGGGGAAGATCCAACCCATACTTCTCCGCAATACTCTTCGTCAGGAACCTCCCTCCAAGGAAGTGTCGCCCCTTGTAATACTTCACGCAGGGCTTGGGGGCTGTCAAACTGATGAGTGCTTCTGGCATGAACTTTGAGCCTGGGCCCTCTTTGGGGGGTCCACTCTCAATATCCCAAGAACTAGGTGCATCGACACTCAACACGGGAATGGTGGCTGTTTCGATCTGGGAGATGATGGTTGGGAAAGGTTCACGCAGGGGGCCGCCGAAGGAGAAGCCGAAGATAGCGTCGACTAGGAAATCGGTTGATTTGATGGCGACTGCTAGATCGGAAACAAAGGGGACGGAGAGGTTCTCGAGTTGGGTTTTCAGACGCTGGTGATGGGCTCATAGTTAAGACGTTGTACATCCCGGGTTTGGTTGATCATGAAAGGATGGTAAAACGCCCCAAGATGTGATCGCATACCTGGTAGAGTTCGTTCTTGCCCTGCTTGGGGTAGTAGATGGATGGCTTGTAGCCGTATTGAGCTAGATGGCGAGCGGCTACCAGGCCATCGCCGCCTTGGGGGGAGGTCAACCATTATTGTTTCCGCTGTAAGTAGGTGGATGTATTGGCCTACCGTTGTTTCCTGGTCCGCAGACAACGAGAACATCCTTACCTGAGCTTGGGGGATGAATACGGTAGACTGAATTGTTAGTGGGTTGGCTTCACCTTACTAGTAGGGAAGGTTATCGTTGCTCACCAGCTTGGGAAACAGAGAGTCCGGCTAGCTCCATCAGTTGGTCCAAGGACCATCCACCTATTTCCACAAGGTCTTTGTCTAGGGAAGCAGCATCCTTCGAGGAGATAGCCTAATTGTGTCTCTTCGTGAGCTCGGGAGGTTTCCTTTGAATTGATACTGGTGAAGTTGTTGCTTACCTTCAAAGACATCTTGGCGGATCTACTATAGTACCGAAATAGTGCGGGGAAACGGCTCCGCCTGGCGAGTGCGGTATAGAGCATACAACAGGGGTGCAGGTGCGAAGCTAAATAGGGAGGATGAGGTGACAGTCAGTTATCCCTCAATGCAATGGATATGGGTAGGAATTGTCACCAGGAGGAGAGCCTCGACGGAGATGTCTATAGTCGGAGTATGGGATTGCATCATTGTTATCGGGGCTCCCCACTGGTCGGCGCTAGTCCGGATTCCGCGCACTCGGTCCGACAGATCTCCCGAACACGCTGGAAACTGCCGCGGAGTCGGCGTCTGGTCTGCTTCAGATCGATCAAGTTGCCCTTCTGCTGCGCTGTTGCCCCTCCCGTTGACTCCCCAATTGCAAAGACCAGCTGCCAAAATGGTTGTTCGCATCCGTCTCTCCCGCTTCGGAAACAGGCACCAGCCGTTCTACAACATTGTGGTTGCTCAGGCACGGTAGGTAAATTTTTTATGGATCCCGGCATCAACATAGCCCTTTCCGTGAACGACTTAATGGGTTGTTTTCTACATGAGGATGAGCTTCAATGCTGATACGCGATTGATTTGCAGGTCGGCTCGCGACTCGAAACCCCTCGAAGTCATCGGCACCTTCAACCCCATTCCCCAGCGCCCTACCAACCTGTCCGAGGAGGAAGCCCGCACCGCAAAGGCATACAAGGAGATTTCGCTTGATCGGTCTCGAGCCAAGTACTGGCTTGGTGTTGGAGCACAGCCCAGTGGCTCCGCTTGGCGGTTACTAAGCTTGGTACGTGGCTATCATATACTGTGATCTTCTCAACTATAGGAGGAGACGACCGGAATCCGAGTTGGTTGACTGATTATCGGCATATCCTACAGGCTGGTCTTGTTCAGGAAAACAAGAAGGTCCAAAACTGAGGGAGGTATATCTGTATAATTGCATGGCGCGCTCTCCGAGCAGCGGAAGCTCGGATGGAACAAGATGACTGTCATTGAGGTGGATGACGATAGCTTTTTCCGGAGCGGGACATGTTTCTTCGAATATCATGCTACTGGCATTTCTTATGGCGTTTATTGAGAGCTATACTCTTGGAATTCATGGGTTGAGAATTATGTACATTATGTGAGTCGATTACGTGCTGCATCTGCGCTTGTGGTATATGAAAATATGTCTCCAGGCCCTTTTCCCCCTTTTCCCCTTATGAACGTCCCAGAGTGTTGCCGTTTTGCCTCATATTGGGTATTGGCGAATTTGACTGGCAGGGATGGTATTTCCGCCCTGCACGACCAGGCATGCATTTCTGGAGCCTATTGAGATAATGCCAAAGCCACGTCCGGGATCGGACAGGGTTTCCTTCTGCAAGGCGGATAGGGAATAAGCAGGCAAACCAAGAGTGACGGGAAGGACGGCGACTTCCTCCAGTCAAAAGGCCCAGATGCGATGCGGTAGACTTGAAAAAGAAACCAGCCACCCGAATCATCCTATCACTGGGAGTCATTGGGGATTGGTTTTTTATCCTTCATATTTATTAACAATTTCTTACGATGTCGCTTATTATAAACAGAGGATGGAAGCAATTCTTATCAGAGAGTAAAAAAAAAAAGTCCCGACTTTGTGCATGCTGCTCCCTTGCACCTTAGGCTGGCAGGTGACCATGCAGGAGGCAGCACCACTTGGCTTTCCGTTAGATCAGCACTGTCATGAAGCACCGAGATCGCCCAATCCTATCCAACCACATCTGCGACATTAGAAGGGCGTTTGATCCTTGATGCACGTCTTCTGTTTCGGTTTACTAGAATGCGTCTGCATTGAGACTTCTTAGGTACGAAAAAAATAAGAAGAACAAAATAAGATTTATGAGAGACGAAAGGGGAAAAAAGGAAGAAGGAAAAAAGAAACTGACATGATGTGTTCAAGGTATCAATATGACGAGATGTCGGACTTGAAAAATCCTCTGATTTGATGTCTACGTTACCTAACCTGCATATAGGCCTGTGGGAAAGTCGCGCATACTGGCGGCATCTGGCCTCCACTGCTGCTATGGTACCTGTAAATTGCGAGTCATCGGTGCCACTCCCTCAGCAGCCTTCTTTTCCGGGATGAGCGGCAATCAGGGATACAGTGACCTGCCCGGTGCTTGCAGGCACTACTTATGGGCGAGTATGACCAGGCCGGCCTTGGTTCGACTGCACTCTGGCCCCAAATCCACTGAAAGGATTCCCTACCCCCACTTCTCTCATTGTTCCAACTGCCGCACATCGAGCGTCAGTCATGGACCAATCCCGTTCTGCAGACGAGGCACAGAACGAACCAGTCCGGAGTCCAGACGTCTGACGGGCCGTGGTCATTGGCTGTCGTAGGGAATTTCAGGTGGCAGATCAGCGTCAGAGTTTGACCTTCCCATGGATCCGTGGCAGCCACACCACCAGGGCCCGCTTCTCCCAGTCATTCCCTACTTAGGTACATCATGGTACCTATCTACGCTCATGCTGGCCCATGTTATCCATGTCTGGACAGGTCTCGTACATTGCGCCAGCCGGACGTAAGCGTTTTTGCCCCATCGGGCTATATCTTGGTTGGTTGGTCGTGCTGGTCGAGGAAGGGCATCCTGGTCTGGTCTGACTCTTCAACCTCCAGGGTAACTATGGGCTTATCGCATGAATTGCGTAGGTGATGAGTCTTGGTCCCAAAGCAACGAAAGGAACATCTTTTTTTCTGTTCACTTCATTTATTTATTCATTTTCCTTTTTCTGCAAGCAAGTACGGGGTGCTGAGAGTGACATACTCATTCAGTCGATCGAGGCCTCTATGGCGTACTCTACACAGTATACGGAGTACTGAGGGCTCTGTGTCAGATCCCGCCTGCTTTTCAGCACCAGCTTCAGGGTCATCGCGCTTTTCCTGGATTCGCAACTACACTCCTTACTGCCGGGACGGAATCGACTACGGTTGTCGTGAACATGCCGGTTGTCTAGCACGGGCTGAAATTATCTTATTCGTTGACTCTGGTGCAGCAAGCTACCTCGGGAATCCCTCGGGAGGTAAGGCAGAATCACTCCTCGACATCCATGGGTATGTTCCGCGGGGTGGCTGTCTGTCGTACAGAGCAACATCCCCCGTGATCAGCTGAATGGATGAATAGGGTTCTCATTAACATGGTTGGGTTGGATTTTGCCTTTTATCGCACGGGATAGATCTTCGTCATATTCATTGCTAGAGTACAGAGTACAAGTCGCGAAGAGAATAGAAGAGGGGCCGTAAAGAGTGAGATGCGCTGTAACCTCGAGAATTGTTGACTGATGGCCGGATAGCCGATGAGGATGTCCCGGAGCCCCATCGGCGGACTGAAGGGGCTGATCGAGATTCCAGCCATGTTGGCTGACTGGCAAGTTCGGATAGATAACTAAAGCGCTAGATACGGAGTAGAGGGTCGGTAGATAGATCTCGATCTCGCCATGATGCTGGGATTTTTTTTACTCCCTTTCTTGTCTCACGCAATCCACAGGTACTATCTATCTTCCTCTACCTAGATCAATTAAATGGATGTATCGTATTTACGGCGACGGTAATCGAACTCATCCAGACTGGAAACGCATGAGGGCCTCATTTGCTCCTCCCCCCCATCCGCCACGGCCCGGGGATCTCGGCGCACGCACCAGCGTGTCGCATCCGGGCGCCTCTCCCTCTTTGTTTCAGTTGTTTGCGTGGGATCGCCGCAATCGGGCGGGCTCCCTCTGGGGTCGCGGTGGTCTAGATGCAAAGATCATTGTCAATTGTTCATGCCACAGAGTACTAGTAGCCCACGGCGCCTCTATGCTCCGCTTGGGGGGGAGTAAGGTTGGCTGGTGACTGAGGGATGGATGCAGAGGATCCCGATTTCCAGGCACAGGCAGCTGTAACCATTAGGATCGGCTCTCTCCAGTCCCCCATTGATAGCGCGTCGTGTCATCTCAAACTGCCGGGTCGCGCCTCAGCTGCAAGCCCGCTCGTTGGATGGCGCCTCTTAGTCACGCCTTCGAACCGTCTAGTTCGGGGATTAGTCGACAGGCCTAAGGGGACTCCCGACTGGCCATCGCTCCCTGGAACGGAGCCAGACTCGATCCGTGGACCAGACCAGGCGAGACAAGCCAGACGGTCGGCCGCCCTCAGTCAGTCCGTCAGTCCGTGAGTCCGTCAGTACTTACTGTTTCCCCCCATCCAAGTTCTCAGTTCCCAGTTCCCCCCCCCCCCCCCCCCCTAAAACTAAAAGGACCGGCCAAGTCCACTCCCTAAAGGACCGTTCCGGACTTGACTTCATTCAATCTTCACTCATTATTATTATTCTTATTATTATTTTCACCATCATCATCCTCCTCCTCCCATTACGCCGGGTCGGGATCTCAACCACTTCCACTTCCTACCGTTCCTTGTCCCGACTGCCCGGTATCATCATCGTCATCATCATCATCTTCCTCTCCTGCCCGTCAACTTCTATTGAGCGCGCTCTCTCTCTCTCTCTTCTTTCTCCCCTCTCTTTCCTTCCATGTCTTGTCCTCGTCGGGAGTACTGGTAGTATTACGTGCCCGGACACTCTTCCGGGTTGCGGTGGGTGATTTGATTATTATTACCTCGATTCTACCACCACTACAACGACGAATCCCCAGGCATACTACCACGTCTGCCTACGGGACTTACTTAACGTGCTTTCCCCCTCCCCTCTCCTTCCACGCCCACCACCCACTCACTACCAGTACCGTCACCAATCCGTCCCCAAGTCGAACCCAATCTAACTTTATCCTTTCCCCGAACTGTCCTGTCTCTCTCTTTCTCTCTTCCTCCCTCTTCCTCTCCTACTCTCCCATCCCCCCCCCCCCCCCCCCCCCCCCCCCCCCCCCCCCCCCCCCCCAATTCCTCCCTCCCCCTTCGCCATCCTTCTACTTTCTCGTTCCCGTCTGTGTCCCCGTCCCTCCCCTATTCACTTCTTCTGCCCTCAATCTCCAACCCCTCTCCCTCCAACTCCCACTCCCCTGAATTGATCCCACAACCATTCCTTTTGCATCTGATTATCAATTTATTCCGTCGTGCTGGGTTCGTTTCCTGTCTCTCTCTCGGACCCTCGGTCCGTCGCATCCTTACCTCCTTAACACGAATCCCGCGGTTTCAAGTCGCGCGTGATCCAATCCATCGCAGTTTCTTCTCAACGAGATTGCATCAGCATTTTGAATCATATTATTTGGCCGACACAGGCGTCCTCGCGATTTTCTGTCTTGTTTCTAATAGTCTCCGGCCGGGCTTCTCCAGCCTCTTTCCCATCTGTCACCAACTTGCCTCCCGCTCCTTACCTTACGAAGAGCCCGTGCTCCCGTCGTCCGCTCGTGGGGTTAATCGATCGCCTCGCCTCGACTCGACTCGACTCGACGCTTTAGAATTTCGGTCCGCGAGGCATGAGTGGCAGTTCGAATCAGTCTACCCGTACGAGTCCAGGCTCTTATAGCACTACTCAGCGCACGCCCTCGGTGTCCTCGGGCGCGTCGCCTACGCACCAGCCGCTCTCGTCCTCCCAGGCTCAGAATGCGATGTCGACCGACGTGTACAATACTCCCGCATCGCAGGCCCCAACTTCGTTAGGTCCCTCGTTTACCTATCCGTTCTCCCCGATCGGTCCCTCCCCGACGTTCGATAACGTCTCATCGACTACCATGCGTCTAGGCGACTCGGATCGGTCGGCGCAGGGCCTTAACGGCTTCATCCGACCGGCCAATGGAACCAGTGGCGGCGCGATCTTGATGCGCAAACTTCCACGCAATACAAGTCGCGACGCTCTGCGCAGCATGCTACTCTTTGCCAAAGACTTTGTGGATGCCGATTTCGTACCTTCCGATGCCCCAGAGGATAATGGATACTTGTGCGCCGTCGCGCGCTTCAGCACGCTAGCTGCAGCGGAAGAAGCGCGGGCCTTACTTGACGGCAAGCCGAATTCGAAAAATGACGCCACAATGATCGTGGAGATGTTCTACGGCTCCGTTGGTTCCTCTTTGGTCCCCCGGCGAAACACCATTGACCACACCGCAACCCGGAGCTTGCTGGGTCATGTCAATGGGGGCTTGCCGCGACAGTCGTCGCGCTTCAACGGGACTTTCCAGACTTTGGAGAAGCTAAGCGCGACCACAGGACCTTCGACTGGCGATGCGTTGCCCCCGTCTGAACGGCTTCACAGTATCTTTTCACCCCAGTCTCCGATCGGCAACGGTGTCCCCGAGCTCCCACGGGTCAGTGGTAAATCGATGATCGATCAGGATATTGACGAAGATACGGGAGCAATACTCAAGGATCCTGTGGGCTATGCCGAAAACGGACATTCGGCTTCTGTTTCCGTCCCTCGTCGCTCCACGAATCCTCAGATGTTGAGTAACCAATTTGGTAACATGTCTTTGACTACGAACCTAAACTCCCCGCCACTACAGCCTTATAACCCAGGGGGAACCGCGCATATTGGAGGTTCGAACCCCCCGTCGGCTTTTCCCCAGCCGATGAACAACAATATAGGGGCGGGCCATGGGTTCCCGTATGGCAATCCACATGTGCCTCGCCACAGTCTCCCTGCTGCCAATCCTAACGACATGAATCCCCCGTGCAATACATTGTACGTCGGGAACCTCCCTCCGGACACCTCGGAAGAAGAGCTGAAGGCGCTGTTCTCTAAACAACGCGGATACAAGCGCCTGTGTTTCCGAAACAAACAGAACGGCCCTATGTGCTTCGTGGAATTCGACGATGTGGGCACCGCCGGCAAGGCGCTCAACGAGCTGTATGGCGTCAAGCTGTCCAACAGCATTAAGACCGGTATTCGTCTGAGCTTCTCAAAGAACCCCCTGGGGGTCCGTTCAGGGCAGCCGGGCTCGATGAGCGCGTCCAATGCCATGGCGTCTCAAGGTGGTGTACCCGGGGGCAGTAGTCTCGGTGGGATGCACAATCATATGTTCTCAACGGTCAGTGGTCCGCCGCCCGGCCTGTCCGCCCCTCCAGGCTTGGCCCCCCCAATGGCAATCAGAAATAATGGTGCTGTCCATCCGTCTGGCAGTCCGAATGCACCCTTGCCCAGCAACGGTGCTTTCAATGCCAATTCGGGACTCGGAATTCGGACGAACACGATGAACCCGATGGTATCTCCGCCACCTCCGCTTACCGGCGGGACTTCGGGACCCAATATGGGAGGCTACAATTCCTATTACCCTGATTATATGATGGGCCGGTAGGGAGACGCACATTTCTGTGGAGATTATGTCCGACATGCTTGATGATTACTGGGCTACCTGGCGCATTGGGGCTTGTTATTGTTTTCATGAGCTAGATCAGCATTTGGAGGCTCGCCTTCCTCCTGGGAGTAAGGACAACGGGGCTCTCGCTTCTTCAGCTTGCTTTTCATGATTGTATTCCGTTCGTTTGCTGTGCTTGCCGATAGCATGGGATCAGGGGCGCTGTTACTATACATGTCGCGTTTGCTGTTTTTCTTTCTTGGGTGGGAGACATTGCATTTGTGTGCGTGTGGGTTTTCTCTTTAATACCACCAGGAGCCCATGAGGATCTCCATTGCCAAGTTTGCCTGTTTCGCTTGCCCTGTCATCAAGTTTTGCACCGCCTTCATACCCTGTGTTGTGTTACTGCGTTCTATGTTCTGATGTTTCCCTAATAGTTGCTTTCTCTCTAACTCTCCTTAACGTGGAGGGGGCTTGATTGTGTGTTCGTCCTTTGCTTCCGTTTTCCGTGCGTGTTCTTTTCTGCAGGTGGGGAATTCCTGGTTCCGGTGCTTTGATCCCGCCAGCCCTTCTCTTGGACCCTCCCAACCCAACGGGGCGGAAGGGGGATGGGTCGACAGGCCGAATTCATATCCAGAAGCAAAGAGAGATCTAGCGAGAATCATTGCACTGGATCGGGGAACCCATAACCATCCTCCTGTGTTGTGGTACAGTGTTTGCAGCATTCATCTGGACAGCAGCCAATCATTGTGCGGGGCGTTTACCTGGGTACCTAATACCTATACACTTGAGATACATTTCTGGGAATTTCTATCGATCTTACTCTGGTCCTTGGGCAAGAGGCATCCCGAGGCATGTCGGCTGCTGTTGGCCGGCTGGGGACTGTAGCGCATTGGTCCATCAATTTGTTTCGCATCATGTTTTGCAGCGTCGTTGCTCTCCAGTCATTGCTTGGGGTACGTGGGAGTAATGGAGGCTACTATTATGTTGAGTATTACCCAACTGCTTTTCGTCGCTTTGGTTGTTTGTGCTCCGCATGTCACCTGGAAAAGAGGCGCGTCGTGTCGGCCGTTGCCCTTCTGGCTTCTCGGGAAATTGCTCCATCTGTACCAGTTTAAACAATGGGACTGTACTGGCCACTGGCTCGATGGCTGCATCGATAGTAGATAGTAGATGACGAGTGATTTCCAGAGGCTCTCCTGGACGAAGAGAGAATCGGATGGGCACTCGGACCCCCGATCGGGGCAAGCGCCGCCGGGCAGACGCGCCCTCACGTGACTACCACCGGCGCCGAAAAAGTTTCTGTCTTTCTTCCTTCCTCTCCATTGCTCTTCTTCAAACCTCCATGTCATTCAACCTCCTCCCTTTCCTTCCCCCCTCCCAATCCCCTCTCCCCCCGGTCAATTGAACCGTAGTTACCCGGACCTGGGTCTCTTGACGTCTGCGGTTCTCTCCCCTTCACGTACTCATCCACTCATCCACTCCTTTCCCCTCCTATCCAGCATGGCTCCCCGAATACAGAACCCGATCGGTTCCAACTCTCTCCTCCCTTACCTTTCCTCATCTTCCACCTCCTCCTCCTTTACACCACTCTCTTCCAGGTCACAGCGGTCATGTCGGTCTTTCTCTTCCACAATAGTTCCTCAAACCAGACTCCGCAACCAGATGTTCCTCTGGCTGCAACATCAGGCAGCTGAACTCAAACATCACAAACCAGGCTCGACAAACTATCTCTCACAGATCATACCCGGTTCCCTTTTTCCGGAGTCGAGACCCTTCCCACAAAATATCCATTACCGCTCGGAGAGTATTCTCAGTGAGGAGCTGCGGAGAGAGATCCACCACCGGGTGGTCGTCAGGAAGAAGAGTGTGCGGGCTGTCAGTGTTGAGCTTAAGGTCGACATGAGGAGGGTTGCTGCCGTAGTTCGCTTGGTTGAGTTGGAAAAGAGGATGACACAAGAGGTATGTTTACCGTCGATCCCTGGCTTTGCGTTTCCATGTCCTGTCTGCACAATTCGCCCCCCTCCCCTTGTGTGCCTTCCAAGCGGAGGTATATTCGGTTCAATGATGAGAAAAACATAAATTCGATTAGTCTTTATGACCCAGTCACTGGGAATGGTTAAAACGCCTATCTTCCTGATATGCACCGAGGCCCCTGTCTTTTGCACATCCTGATTATGCTACCTGTTTTTTCTTGAACACAACTAACAGTGTCATCAGGGTAAACCCCTAGCCTTGCCATACGCTCGTGCAATTCACGAGATGGTTCCGACAACCCCTTTGTACGATCAGGAGCTGAGGGCCCACGAAGAAATCAACGACCTACCCGTTCACCGGTTAACTAACCCTCAAATCTTCTATCCCGTCTCCGAGTCCCGCCAATTTAACCGTGTTGACGCTGGTCGCGTCTTCTCCGCCGCCCCAGCCCTAGAACAAGAGCAGGCCGCCAAGGATGCCGCTGATGACTCTGAATTTATAAGCCGTATCACCCAGAATCCCTCCCACATTGAAGTTGTCGGCAAGGGCGAGGATGAACACCAGGTCCTCCAGCCGGCGGACGTGCGTATTCCGCACCCACACATGATCTCCAGTAGGCGTGCACAAAATCTCGTGCCGCAAGAGAGAACCGAGCACCCTAAGATCTACAGGGCTCATCTTCAAAAGGCAGAGGAGGCCGAGCAGGAGCGCAAGCGTCGCTCTGAGGAGCGTAAAGGGAAGCAAACTCAGAGAGTGCAGCCTGAGGACTCTCGGTTTGAGTTCCGTATCAACGACGTTGTCGTCAGCCAGGAAACCACTGGAAAGGATGGTCGGAACGCTCGTGCCCCTGGTCGGCGGTACGGTGTCCCTAGCTACGACCGGAAGAAGGGCCAGGTCAAGATCCCGACCCGGGTGGAGGTTTAAAATGATATACTTCCTTCCCTCTCTTGGTGTCATTTTCCGAAGACATGGAGCTTGTCTTGTATAGCACGTTCGTTGCGCAGTGCGGACGGACGATGGATGTATTTGTATGCCTTGTTGCCTATTTCAGCTGTACTATACAGGTTTTGATTGATTTTTATTGGGAGGAGCGTATTGGTCGTTATCCTTCCTGGTCGGATCGCCTTAGCCTGAGCAATGAATGTATCTATAATTGTCCTATCACCTTTATCGGTCGACTACTCAATATACCTTTTCACCTACGACACAATACTACTACGATCATTTAGAAGATCTGTTAGACCCCAGGTGAACTCACAATCAAGGCTCAGCCAACCCTGATCAAAAGACAGAGCCTTAGCTAGGTTGTTGGAAGCAACGAGATACATAGAATGAGAATGAGAATGAAAAATCACAACAAGAACCCAGATTGAAAAGCACCGATCTATATTTACAGCAAAACTCTACGAAGGCAAGCATATATTCCTCCAAGATAGAAAAGAAAAAGACTCAAAGCAAGACAATAGATATAACAGCAAGCAAAAACCGACAACTCATTCGTATGCGTGAGTAAATGTCCCCCCGAAGCAGATCCAGGCAATCAATTGGAAGTACAATGACCGTTAGAACGCCAATGACAAATGAGACTGACCGCTGCGGGGTGGGCCAGTAGATAAAAGGAAGGAAGGAAGGAGAAAGGAAGGAAGCAAGAACAGGGACGATGGCTATGCTGGGTATCCATAGGAAGACGCAAAATAGCGGGAAACGTTTTAGAGGAAAGGAAAACATGCACACAACACATACCACACACCACACTATATCAGCCTGGACGGAAGTCGAAACGATCCATACCGGGGGCATTAAAGCACCCTCTCTCTCCATTATAGTACATCAAGATCCGCGGGGCCGTCGGCCACAGGGACCGATGTCAAGGGACTGCCTGGCGAGTCCAATCCCTCTCCGCTACCACTGCCCGAGGAGTCTTCGGGAGTAACATCAATGGGTTTAGGGAAGCTGGGGGCTTTGCGGTCCCGTTTGTTGGCTCCTTGACTCAGGGTAGAAGATGGAGATGGCGGAACGACGGGTGAGAATTTCCGCAAAGCTCCATCTCCCCCCGTCTGCATGGGACTTGTATGGCCTTCAGAAGTAGGCGACGGTAGAGTATCATCGGCATATCCGCGCCATTTGCGCCAACCTTCAAAGTCGATCAACGCTTGCATGCAACCCCATTCCGTCACTTTCTGTTCCAGCCATTCAAATCGGACGGGCTGCGGGAGTTTATCAGCATGTTGAAGGGATAGATGTGGAAGGGACTAAATAGGAGAATTGGAAGACGTACCTTGGTCAAGAAGTCGTTGCAGCCAGCCGCCAGCGCCTCATGACGGTCACTCTGCAAACTGCTGGCCGTTAAGGCTACAATAATGACAGGACTTTTGAACAGAGACAAATCGTGCAATGTGTCTTCCTCCTTCAATGGGTCACTATTGCCGGCGATTGCTGGTGGTGATGCTAAATTGGCGGTTGCAGCACTCGACCGGCCATCGGCGGTCTTGGGAAACACTCCGACGCCGTTTAAGCGCTCGAGCCTGCGGATCTCTTTTGTTGCATCCAAACCATTCATGACAGGCAGCTGGATATCCATCAGTACGAGATGGAAACCGCCTTGGCGCCATTTCTTCACGGCCTCAGCGCCATTAGCAGCACACTTCCACCGGACGCTAAGACGTTTCATAAAGGCCTCCAAAAGCCGCTGGTTGATGTTATTGTCCTCAACAATCAGGACGTTGATTGGCGGCACAGTGCCCTCAATAAGGCCTCCAAAGGCCCCACTCAAGGATAGTGGCGCGCTGGTCTTTTTTGGCTTCGCAGAAGACGTTGAAGGGCGTGGGCGTGGCGACGCACCGCGTGCTGGAGGGGTGAGGGACTTAGTCTGAGGGGATTCCGGTGGTGGACCTGGCGGAGTCGGGATGGATGGGGCCGGTGGAGGAGGTATGACAGCGGAAGCAACACCAGCATCTACTCAATATTAGCGATGATTTAAACGAAACAAACTGCCGCAAGCGGCTTCAGGAGACGAGTGTTGACAGACCTTTTGGTACCGGTGCCTGACTGAGTATGGTGGGCGAGTTCGTAGCGTGCCGAGTCAGGGGCGGCCGACGGGGATGTCGACTCCCACGACTCCCTGGAGAGGGCAACGGCGGCGCCATTCCTGTCGTCAATATAGATATTGACGGAGCGGGATGCGCATTTACACTGGCTGTTGAGTTCGACGGATGAGTCGGCGGCGTTGGGACATTGGGGTTCGCCGGCATCAGGGGGAAGTATTCGCCATGCTCGCCCGGTTCGGAATGATGGTTGTAATACACCGAATGGCGCGGAGAGGGTTTGGGCGTGCGACGCTGAGGGATCTCGATGATCAGAGCCTCTTCAATCGCTTGACCCCCCGGATAATATGAGTCCACCACCGTAGCTAACGGTTCCTCCGGGCTCAACATCCGATCGGGAGTTGCTTGCCGATTCGAACCGTCTCGTGGAGCGATGCGGATGACAATGTCGGGGGCGTCAAAAGTTCTGCCCAGGGAATTCGAATACTTCATAATAACCTGGTCCCGTAGCTCATCCACCAACGAATCCACTGAGATCGGGACCAACGTGGCCGACCCGCCTGGCCGCTTAACCCAGATTTTGCGTGCCATGCCTGTGCTAAAGGTGGCGAGGCGACCGTTGGCGGGAGTGTCGTGTTCCGTCGTAAGCCCGGTATCCAACAAGCTATTGATCAGATGCTGATGCGACGGGGCCAGCAGCGACTGACGACGGGAGCCAAGGCTGGGACGCTTGGGAAATGAAGTAGCAGGTGTAGGGTTGGAGGGCTGGAAACTTGGATCACCGGAAGGATTCTCCGCAACCACATCCAACGCCGGCAACTGGGGCTCCCCGACCGTAGGCCCCAGGCGTTCGAGCCCTTGGGTGTAGCCGAGCTGAAACGACGCGGGGACAATGCGATCAGAAACTGGGGGAGGGGTTGGAGTTGGAGAAGGGAGCAGATCGGGCGATAGAGCTGCTGTCGGGGGTGGGGAATGGACGTGCTCAGAGAAGGGACTGTGACTGAGACGCCTGTTGGGCGCGGGGCGGACACGGTCGAAAGTCGCGTCCAATTGCTGTCGCTGACGGACTGCACTGGAACCGGCACCGGCACCAGCACCTGGTTGAACCAGTGAGTGCTGTTTTCCCTCTCGTTGTTCAGCGACCGGTTCTTCGCGAGGAGGTTTCGTCGTGGCGGCGGCGGCGATGTCGTCGTCGTCGTCCAATTCTTTCTCCTCGTCCAAAGGGCCGTAAGACCGCCCTGGCCTCGAGCCAATCACGGAGAGCCGGGAGGAATCGGCGGCGGGAGCTGGACTCGATTCGGGATCGCAGGGCTCGTCGACGGAGAGTTGAGGCACCGCCTGTAATGACTGGGCGCGGCGGGTGTTACTGATGGGCCGGCGAAGGGCACCGTCGCCGGAGGACTGGTCCAACTGCTGGGGGGAAAGGTGATGGTCATGGTGATTAAGATTAGGATTCTTGGGTTCGGCCAGAACGGTGGTGGAGGAGGTGGTGGCGGGAGCGGATGAAGTCGACGATCGTCGCCGCAATAACAGCTTTGCCTTCAGTTTGGCCCAGCGACGGTCTGGCATGGTGCACCTGCATAGAATTGGACTCGCAGACAACCACACGGGGGAAGGATCAAATCGCTATCTTATTACAAATTTGGAGAGCGGAAAAAGAAAGGAGTGGGTTATCAAATGGAGAACCCAGAAACCAAAGTAAAAAAGCAAACAGGAAAAAAAAACAAAAAGAGAGAGAGAAAAGGAAAGATGGAGACGCGAGAGAGGTCACTTAACCCTCCGCCGGTCCTGATGGCATCCGAGCATGAAGGAAGGACGAGGTAGTAGAGATGCAGCAGACAGTCGGCCACTCGGCATGACTTGATCAGGAATAGCAGGCGAGACGTTGCAGGGGAAACCTGAGGAAGAGGGAGCTGATGGAGGCGGGGGGGAAGCGAGGAGAGAAAGTCGATTCGAAGAGAAAGACGGGAAAGAAACCGGCAGGGAAACGAAATGAAACGAAATCCAGAGGGAGGGAGGGACAGTGCTGGCGAAGCCCCAGGAAGAGGAGAAATGGGGGAGAAGCTGACCAGATCGAAGAGGGGGAAAAAGCCAGGCCAGGCCGATGAGATCTAGACGGGGGTATAGACTCTAGTAGTAGATTAGTTGGGCAGAGCCCTCCGGCTGACAGGAACGTCCCGAGTAATCATCTGCATTAGAACTAGTTAATGGGAATAAGAATAGAATACAATCGATAGATAATAATCCTCCGGCAACACCCACGATCCTGATCATAAAGATAGTCAGGGGGAAAAAAGAACGGCCTAACAACCAGCACAATGCCGCCCACGCTTGGACCCGATTGAGCCCCGGGCTCCCGATGAATCGCAACCCAAGAAAATGCCAGTCGAAGCCAAATGCACGCCGCCGTTTGTTGGCCGGTCGAGTGCATGACTAGTAGTTAGTACGTAGCCAGCCACCTGGACTGTCAACTACTACTAACACCCGTAGCACCGCCAGTTGTCCTTCCTCCCTCCAGCACATGCATTGTCCACTGGCATTCTTGCGTTTCAGATCCAGGCCTCTCTCGCTCTCTCTCCATTGACACAAAATGTACTCCATATGTTAGGTTATATTAATGTCACCGATCTACCGATCTATGTATATCCTCTCGATACCTTTCTATATATCAGAGGCGCAATGCTAGTCAGCTCCGATAACAAGCCGCAATCATGCCACCACAATGAAAATCACCAGGCCTGATGTTCATGCACTTGTATTGTTTACCTTTCCCCCAGAAGGTTCAGGACTGGCGGTCCCCTGCGACTGAGGAGTCATAGTGACCTTCTCGACATCATGAGTCACTGAGCAGCCGTTCCGCTCCTCAAGCACCTCGTCAATGCTCTTGCCCAGGGACTTGGCTTCTTTGCGCACGGCTCGATACCGAATACGCCAGATAATATGGCTTGCATAGATTCCTGCCTCCAGGACGATACTATACCGTCAGGGTCAGCCGGTCCGCAACTACATCAGAAAGAGCAGTCCATCCAACTTACACAAGAATATACATGATCCCCCCAAGAATATCGAACGATCCTTGAGCAGCTAGAAGCAATTAGTTCTGGGCTCCATCCATGCAATGCATCCTCAGGGCAACGAACCCAGCGCGAATAGTGAGAAAAGACCCCCCAGGGTATCAATGGACAAGAAAATCCAATCTACAGACGGTCAGGCAAATTTCCAGCTTCCGAACACCGGAAGGAGACTCACTGAACCCAACCACTCGGCCGTCCCTCTTCCAAAGTTCAAAGTAAGGCGGCACAAGCCCTGACGCCAGCAGGATAGCCGCCACCACCCCCACCACCAGATCCGGCCTGGTCACACCCTTATTGTACAGTATCTAATGCCGAATATTAGCTCTCGATCGAACCGCAGGGGGTGTGGCACCAGCAAACCCTCAAGGTAAGAATCAACAACGTCTCAATCCCGCCAAACAACACCGCCGTGCCAAAGACCAACAACGTCGCCTTGAGACAACTATACCCACTGACGAAGCAAAGACATCATCATTAGAATCCAATCACTCAACCCAGTCATCTCAACACATACTGATTGTAATACATGATCTGTCCCCAGCTCAACAGCGAAAAGAACCCAAAGATCTGCGGTTGAATCTGAAGCGGGATATTGACTTCCTGCGGTCCCTGGTCAGCTTTCTCCGTTCGCCATCCGGACCATATCGGCTACCTACTTGCAGAATCATATATGCTCCCATCGGCACAGCACCTATGGCCCATCACCTTAGCTCATCCATTCGGTCCCCCATGAACAACAAAGCACATAGTCCCTACATACAGGAAGCCCACAGAAGCATCATTAACGGCGGAAAGCCATCAGTTTTCTTCCGTCTCCAATTGTACCAAATCTGTGGGATCAACTGGATACACCAGAGGACCGTCCCAATCGTGCCCAGCACATTAGAGGCGACGGTCACATTGTCGTCTCCTGCCATAGATCGTGAGGACCGGCCGTTTAGTTCGGTGCGTTCGGAGACGTGTACAGCCGGGATTCCAATCTCGACCTGAGAGGTTCTTTCAAGAGGATGGCGACGTTTCGAGGTCTACACCCAGATAAAGCGAGATGCCGAAGAGTTGAGCGTTGAGGAAAACTCTGCCCTTCTCATCTCTATCCCTCAGATTGATCTAGCTAGCGCTCGACCACAGTTGAGCACCGTGTCCGAGGCACGTCCGTTGCGGCTTGCCATTGCTGAGCAAGGCATCCGCTGGGTCTGGCGGCGGAGAGGAGCCCGTTCATTGGGCCGAGCGGGAATGGAGTCGCTCCGAAACTAAGACGAGACAGGTAAACCAGAGGAGAGAGCTCGGCAGACGACGCATGCAGGACACTCCAGGGACTGGGAGGTTCAGCAGCGGAATAAGAGGATGGGCATGGATGTAGCTGAGACCGGTCAGCCCCCGGTACAAGCCCACGTTGGCCGGGCGGGGGGTTGCTCGGTGCACGTGGCAGCGGAACGGAGCTGATCAGCATGTCCATTATCCGGCGTCTGCCAACTTCACTGTTACGACCAGTCTGATTTCTAATCCAACGTATCGCTCGTACCCGGAGAGAGGAGAGAGAAGGAATGATAGCATGGCATTTAAACACGTACTCGTTTCCAATAATGATACGAAAGAGATGGAACCGCGGACACGAGGTGCTTCCGGATATGACAAATAGAACTCGAGACCATAACAGATCTGCGCGCAAATAAATGCCCGCTCAATGAATCGCGGATCAGATCAATCAAATATGCCAACACGCACTGCAAACAAGTAAGGGGATGCCTCTAGTGAACGATAACCAAACAAAGAACCGCAAAGACAGGGGGCCATCAAGACATAACAAGACTTCGCAAAACCAGAATCACGCCGAGTGATACTACTCGAAGGGTATCAAAAACTGATTTTTCTCTCGCGACAAAACGACGAGGATCATGACAGACCAGAACGACAGAAGAAGGAAAGGACGTGACACCGTGGGTTGCTCTGCGTTGATCACAACAAGATCAGGTAGTTGGACGGAGCAATACCGGTTTCTCCGGTGGATTTCCTTGCCTGCCACCATCTACCGCTCACATCAGACACCTCCAGTATCTCATGCTTGGTGAAGCTGATCTCGTTGGCGTCTTCGGGATTGGCCTCATATGAATAGATTGCCTTGGCGCGGTACGGATACTCTGTCGGCTGGGGGACCTCATCTGGCGCACCAGTACTAGGCAAGTTGGTGGCGGATGGGTTGCCGAAGCGGGGCTGCGATGAGCTGCGGTGTTCGGAGCCAGGGGCACCTCCGGGGTAGCCCGACACGGGCGAAGACGTCTCGAAGCCGTTGAGTTGAGCGGATGTGTACATTTGCGGAGGCTGGCTCGAAGTCGTTTCGGGTCGATTACCGAATGCAGTGGACATAGGCCTGCTATTGGCATACGAGCCAGCGCCTTCCTTTTGGAGGGCAAATGAATCGATAAAGCCACGATGCGAAGCCTGAGGGCTGGATCCAAAATAGAATATCCAAATAATCTACGCCGAAGATTAGAAACATAGAACCCAGTGGCATGTGTCGACAAAGCGGTCAGGACTCACAATAACCATGGCCAGGAGAATAAACCCGGCACCGGCGGCTTGCGACGCGGCGCTATTCGCATAGACTAACGTGTTGATAGAGATGGTCGTGATAACAAGTCCGGCAGAAAGATACCCCACGATCTGCCGTTTATTAGTATAAGCGGGTTGTCAACGAAATGCTCAACAGATCGGCGCCATACCGCGATGTTGTAAACGGTGCCAGTGTCGGTGCCGAACACAAGCATCATGCCGATAATGCAGCAAAACGAATACGCAACAGCCCACCATGAATAGGTGGGGTATCCGCCATGGATTCCAGTGATGATAGAAGATATGAATGCGATCAACCAAGCTAGCTAGACAAGTGAGAGATGGGTTAGCCATAAGATCTGCGCATCCCACAAAGGACGTTAGAAACATACAATCGAAATCGAAGTGGTTGCGAGCGCAAAGGGGTCGCCGAGAATATTGCTGGCTCTGAAGCGCGCCATTTTTCGTGGAGGCTCAGTATATGTATATGGCTTTTGGAAGGAAGGTGAACGTGAAGAGTAAGCCACCATGAATGTGGTTCTAACAACGTTGCGGAATGTTATATAGAAGCGCCCGGGACGGGAGTGTGCTGTTCAAGACGCGATGCGACAATGACTTCCAAGGCCCCGGCGGTGTGTGTATGTACAACAACGAGGGGTTTTCTGTGCTTTATCTTTCGGCTTGACGAATTCGATAGTGACGAGATAATTGGAACCCGTAGACTATGGCAATGAGTGTGAAAGGCGGCCAAGGTAAAAGCGTCCGACTACACAGCAGTCAGCCAGCCAGATTCCCAGATTTGGCGAACGTGAATGATCAAGGAACATGCAAGTTGATCGACGGCGCACGGCGAACATTGTGAAGAACGCCAACAACACGAACCCCAAGGAGCGTCATGCAGGGCGGGACAGAAGAGTAAAACGATAAACTGGACCAACTGGGAATAAAAATTAAAGTAACAAGGACAAAGGACCAATGCATCACATACTTCTGAGACAGACAGGTTGAGCGAATGGATGTGGAATGGTGAGGCTGGCGAAGGAGAGCAAAGCAGTGGCACCGATCGTCTCAAACAGGCGGAGCAATATAAGGATGGGTCGAGGGAACGAGTTCTCGGAAAGGGTGGTTGGTGATCAGACACGCCGACAGAATACCCCTTGCAGAGGCAGGAAGAGAAACAGCAGCACCAGGCTGGAGAAGGAAGGATAAGTATGAAACGTTAGTGTCGAATGAAGACGATGGTCGAGAAGGAAGGTCGGAAGACAAGGACGAAGACAAGAACAAGAAAAGAAGAAAAGAAGAGGAGAAAGAGAGAAGCGGGAATGAAGGAGACCAGACCGATGGGCAACAATTCAAACGAGTGAATAATGAGTGGAAAAGAAAAAGGCCGATAAGGAAGGGAAACCGACCGATTGCGAGGGGAAAGATGAGAAAGGAAGAGAAGAACGGCTGGAGATGGAGAAAGACGAAGCCCAAAACTGGAGCCGTGAACGAGGCAGGTCTAGGTCGAGGCCGAGGGTCGAGGTCGTGGTCTCGGGAAAAGGAGATGATGGGATGGGTGGATGGGTGGATGTGGATGTTGATGGGGGGGGGAGGGAAAGGGAAAACAAATGGGATCGAGTTTCAGAGCGACGGTGCCTGGCCCGAGTGGCCCACGCGAACCGTCGAGACGACACCAAAGGACAACCTTTGGCCCCCCCTTGGGTCCTTGGGAGCCATCAGAGAGGGGCCCGCGACGTACTATGGGCCTATGGACATGTGGCCGTGTGGCCATCTGCCGTTACTATTCTTACATAGTACGGAGTACGGAGTACTACTAGGTATGATGACGATGCCTCGAACGTACTACTATGGTATTATTGTCTCTCTGCTAGACCATTACGAGTATCTACTGCGGACTGTCTGCCTATCCGTAGCCATGGTTCCGGCTGGGGGGAAAGAAGAGGGGAAAAACTGGGAAAGGACTACTAGTAGTGACCTCGTTTGGCCCTTATCAACCCGGTCGCATTATCGAGATGAAGATGGGGGCGATGATCCAATCTCCTGAGATGAAAGGGTGCTTAAGCTCATCCGTACAAGATTAAAAAGCCCTTCGTGATCCGTGATGGATCAAGGATGACAATTGACAAGGCACGTCAATCCCGTCAGAATTAATTCCACGGGCCCTCCCCACGGTTAAATGAGATCGATGCATTCCTATGAAAACTGGGTCCGCCTAGTCCGCTTTGGACCGGCACGACACGCAACTCCGGCCGGTGCGTTTGATTAGTCGATTCGTGGACGGCTTAGTGCCGGCGGTGGATTCCTGGGTTTTATTCTGGCCCCTGGAAGGCTGAGGCTGAGGCTGTGGCTCTCGTGGCGGGCGTTGCGTTGGTGGTGCCTTACTTTCTTTGTGGTGGATATCCGGATGCTGATGTTGGTCACTTGTTGGTTACTAACTCCATAGTAAACAGACAGTTAGCACCAAGGAGTCTAAGCCCTCGGACTCTCTGGGGCTAACTTCCAAGAACGTTGTCTAAGCCCTATAGATAGGTGCTGCCCCAACTCGTCTCCTGCTCATCGTATTCCGGCTTACGCCCGGTGAATTTCTCATGGATGTCAATGCTTCCCACTACCGTGTGCGGATTTGAGACAAAGAACGGGCCAAACTGCAACAATCATGACTAATTTAAACATGACTAGCGAGCAGCAATCACTGTCAAGCCAAAGACCCTGGTTCTTTGATTTTCGGGCTGCAATGCTCAAACAGCATCCTCGTCTAAGTTCTAACACTGCAAGGTTGGACCTGCAGATACCCCTATCGGTCTGTCACAGACTCGCAGGGGGGCAATCACAGGCACACGATAACTAACCAGATACCAAATAAGATCCTGGCTGTGCCCGATGCGTCATCATCGGACATGCCACACCACCATTTATCGCTACAGGAATACTTCGTGTGACCACTTGACCATGAGATCTGGTGTTTTCAACCAAGCCATGGGCTAAGTTTTAAAACAACACCGAAGAATATTCGACGAGTTTTCCCACGCACCTGAAAGTAGCAGGCAATCACAGACTGGTGCAGCGGATATCAACTCGTTCCGCTCCTCATGCAAGGGTTAGAGTCACAAAGAAAAAAGTACCGAGTCAGAACCCCGTGGGTCCTCTGTCGATGCCTATGTATGTATGTAGACCCCGTAGGTAAGGACGACTTATTCTGGAAATGAGCATGAGCCATGCTTCCACCCACGGCATAAAGTCTGTCCTCCGTAATGCCGTTCTTCCGTCTGGGTCCCGGCTTGGTCGATCAGTTCTGCCAGGGCCCAGATCCTCGCCGTGCATCGGTATACAACACCCGACTGCCGGTCTTTGTTCGACCCCGACAACCCGCTCTGTTTCATATTCAGAAGAATAATGAACTGCGTGTTCCATAGACTTTCCCCATACAGTAACCGTTGCCATGTCCTTGCCTCCCAATGGATAGCCCATCGACTGAAAGATTACACGCATAACCACACATAGCCCAGTCAAGCCCCAGATACACCTTGCTGAACCACCAAAATACATAGTCTGCGGGAACAAGAGAAGCAAAGAGGTATCATAAACCATACACGCTAAGAGAAAGAAATGGGAAAATGCAATCCGACCTCATAATTCCTTTGCTCTTCGCTCTCGTACCACTTCCTCCCGTTTGACCTCCCTTTCCACGTCCTCCAGTCTCCCTTCCCATTCAGCCCAGCATTCGCCGCCACTAACCAGCGCCACTTCGTACCATCGTTGCAAAGCTCTTGCCGATCGCACACGTAGCTCGGAGATTTGTTTGGCCTGTTCCTCCTGGGTCTGCGCCAACTGGTCCAAACGTGGCTGTAGCTGAATCAGCGATGCCGATGTCTCGGCATCGGGGATTGGGAGGTCGTTCAACGACGTAAGCCGGGAGGCGGTCTCGGGAAATGCAGACGCATAGGACAAGACGATTGAGGCGAGGTTCTGCGTCGACAGGTTCTCGGGGAGTGATTTGGGAGGTGTTGGGCGGAAAAGATCAGGAAAGCGGTCGTCTAGTGAGTTGTCAAGGTGTCAGCTATCATTGTACATGCTCAGAGTCGGCGGTTTATGAGGGAGTTGTACGGAGACTCAGAACATCCCGAACAGCGGGTATATTCCTGCTCAGTCTTTCCAGTTCCCTTTCCAGGCGGAGAAGGCGGCGCGAGACGCTGTCGTCCAGAGACGCTGGCTTTGCGGGCGGCGTGGGATTGCCGGTCCAGTTTGCATCGCCGGTGAGGAGATACGTGAGGCGCCGAAGACGAGTCTCTAGAAGCTCAATTGTGGCGCCAGCGACCGCATCATTTTCAAGAGTCATCGTGCAGACCGAGTGCGACTCCCTGGTGGGCAACAATGTTGTTTAAGCCGCGGCTCTCAATGTTAAGGGAGAGATACCTTGGACCCCCGGAGCAATGCAAACGTGACATACAGCATCGCCAATGGCACGTGGAACCACGTCCGAACCCCAGACGATGGTCAAACAGAACCCTGTTGATCCTAATCCGCTCGTCAACTTAGTTTCGTTCTCATTTCATGCCTTCTAAATAGTCAGGGGAGGATCTAGATCGGAAGCGTTGGTATCTATCTACATGACCGTAATTACGGGTCGAGGCCCCAATCCGAAGTCTCATGTCGCCTTCTCTTCGTCGACCTGGTCCCACATCGCATCGTCACTCTGCGAAGGTTGCACAGGTCCAGCTGTGCTGCTTCGGCTGAGCAAAGGACGTCCACTTCTTTCTTCCATCTCCTGTCCCCGGCCCAACCCCTCATCAAAGGATGGAACCTGGTAGTCAAACACATTCACGTTCTGTGTCGCACGATCCTGTTGTTGATCCAGCGGTTCCTATTGAATGCGTCAGCATGTAATTCCCGAATCTTCGACGATGCTGCCGGGTGACTGACAGAAGCGCTCAATGCAGGGTTTTGGCGGTCGGTCTGAATCTTGGTACCTCCTGCTTCCTCACATTCAGCCTCGAATGCTTGGTTGTCTGTGTGTACGAATTCCTAGCCCATTGTCAGTGTCAACGTCGTCACTGCCAATTACGTGCTACCTTACTTGAAGTTGGCGGGGGGCTGGCTCTCCCGAAAAGTCCACTGCATTGCTATTGGCGTAGACAAGCAAGACATTCTTAGACTCTTCGCGGGCCGCCCGAAGAACCTCAACCTCCCTGACCTTGCGTGCAGTGTACCCGATGACATCCGAGTTGTGTAAAGCAGCATTGCTTTCTTGATTTTCCTCGGCTTGTCGATTCTTTGCATCGTCTGTTGAAAAGCTGATGCGCCACCATTGGTACTCGTCGGTTGTCGTGGATTCGAATCCGTTTGTGGAGCCGTCGGGCAAACGACGCCTTAAGACGTAGGTCACATGAGGCTCGGTGCACACGCCGCGCAATGTGTACTTGTGATGTGGTGATTCGCTGGAAGAAGACGAAGAGGCTTCAGTGAGGATTTTGGAGTAGCCTCGAAGACTTTCCAAAGCATCTTGTTTCTTGGCCTCCAGTTCTATTCCAAGTTGCGGTTAGCATAATCAAAGGCAATCATGAGGGCTCCTGGATTGATACCTTTGAGCTTGGTTTCTATTTTATTAGATATTGCTCGCAGTTCGTTTGCTAGTCTCTGTGCCTCTGCATTGGCTGAATCGGGTGTGAAAGCTGTCGTATCGTTGGACAGGCTCTTGGGAAGCGTCAAGGAGACAGCAGCAGCAGCTTTCTCCAGGATCTCGCTGGAGGTCGTTCCTTTGTGAATGACCGATTTGGAGATCGAGAAGCGGTTTATCAAACTCTCTAGCTTGAAGATCTTCTCATGAACCTGGAGCCTCTGTGCACGGAATTCGCGCGCCAGATCTCGACTGGCTGAGAGATATCGATCAGGGTAGAAAACTGCGGGGATTTTCACATCGACGGGTTTATCATTCCCTTCCAGCTTGATTGTAAAGACCTCTGCGACATGTTCCAGCCATACATCGTCGAGGTCTTCACCCGGTCTATCGGACCACATGGTGCGATCTAGAACATCGTAAAGAGTTTGACCATGGTCGTGCTCTACAAATGCATCCAGCAGAAAGAATTCCTTATCCAACGGCGTGTCATATATCGAAAGAGGCCGTTTGTAGGCAGTTGATGAAAAGACTGATGCCAACTGATTGTCGGGGTCCGCTCGGATTGCAGCGTTTTGCCAGGATTCCAAAAATCTGCCGGCGCTGCCTTCCGAGTCGTAACTGGCCATGCTTTTCAGACTTGCCAACGCATCAACGCTACCAAAAGCGCGGTCTGTAGAGTCCAAGAATGCGGTTATCCGCTGAACTTCATAGATTATATCATCCCACTCAGTATCACCGTCCTGCGCGTCGTGGATGGTAACTACCTTGGGAAGGTTAATCGGTTGTCCGTTCCACCACTGTGAGTCATGGCCATAATCCGGAAGAAGACGGTTCCTTAACATAAAAGCTTCCCGCGCCAGAGGAATAGAATGGAGGATTGTTAATAGCCCACCCAGGTACATGTTGTCTTGGGCCGGACGAATGAAAGCTGGCTCATCTTGCCGTCTCCTACGGTCTGCTGGATCGGGACTAATGATGATCTCGCGAGCGCTGGAGTCGAACAGCGTCATTGCCCAAGCGCCTTCATCATAATGGTCACGGGTAGCCCGGGCAAATTTCGCTTCATTCGTTGTAACGCCCGTCTCCTGTTGTCCAAGGTTTTGGTTCAAAGACATAGCCATGGCTTGCTGTAACTCACGCTCCTCTTGTTCGGCTAAAGTAAGACCTTTGTTGGCATCTGGGGAGTTAGCCTAGAAGACGCAAAACCCCTTAATATGCCCTCACCGTTGGTGTTCTGTGTAGATGCAGGAGTACTCTGTTGGTACTCTGCGCTCGATCCTTGTTCACTTAGGTTCAACGTTGACGGTGGGCGTGAAGGAGCGGTGATGGAGGAGCCAGGGGGGGCTGGGTCGGAGTGCTCGATCTGGAACGCTGCAAGACACATCTGTCAGTATGAATTCACATTCATTGCGCCTTGGCACGAGGTTCAACCATACATGGGACGTTGGAGTCATTCTGATAGCCGATTGACTACATCGTCACATGTCTGACAATCAGTCGGTGCTCCCAACAAACCAAAGCGCGGTTTCAGGACGTCACCTGCGTCTGAGGGCCCGTGGGATCTTCAAAGTAGGCATTAATGGCTTGGTTCGAGTTTAGGTTATTGGCCTACAACCCCTAACGATCAGTTGTAGTCCAGTACATTCAACTAACATGGTACTCACCTTGAGAAAGCTAATTGCTTGTTCGCGGGTTGAACTGGTGAAGCTCACGAAGTTCGCAATAGCTTCCTCTGTTGGTTCGGAGGCCATGTCGGAGACCCGCTCTCGATTTCACCAACTAAACCAGCAACCAGGGTGAGATTAAAGAAGAATGATTATTGTGGCAATAAGAGCCAAGCCGAGGGGAAGCAGCAGCGAGGCTTGTTAGCGCGTGCAAACCATATGTCGCTGGTGGTGGACGCCGTCTAATCGATCGGGAGAGCTTCCCCACCACATGACATGCGGCTGCCAAGCCTAGATGGTCCGACTTTCTTGCTTGCAGAAACATTCTTTGGTTCTCGACATGCAGTAGTAGATAATTCGCCAGGTGGACTACGAGGGCCTCAACCCTCCGCTCCATCTTTCTCGGTTACCTCAGTAGTCAGCGATTGTTTTCACTATAAGCTTTTCTGGCAGGGTCGAACTACGCAGGGTTTATGAATGATTAAGACCCGAGGAGCATTTTCTCATGAATTGCTTGTTGAGTTATTGACTACTAATGTTGCCCCTTAAGCTAAAAGTGCATATCAATTGGGTAATCCTACCAACGACGTGTCATTGATGGTATGTAGATCTTTATGGTAGAGACCAAAGTGCGACGATACGGACTCGGAAGAATGAAGTTAGCGTTCAAGATCTGTCAACCTTAGCATTTTAAACGTTAGTTTAATATAGAAAACAATGTCAGTATCATTTAAACCTGCCATAAATATATGAAATTACGACTCCGTAACTGCCAGACACTGTAGTATTACAGAGAATCGATCAGGAGGGAACAATAGAGGGCCTCCGGACAACATATATATTGTCGCACTAGACGACATTACACTTTTACATTAGAATAACCTAGTAGTACTAGAATGATATGATCGTTAGGTCTTCAATTCTTTTTTTGTCTTTCACATCTAGCTAACTGAGATAGTGCCGAAATGGATGCCAAAATGATTCTAAACTTTTGTTTGCGACCCTGGTACGGAGTACATCCGATAATAGATAAAATGACTGCCCGCACCTCAGTTATGGTAGACAGGCTAGGACTCCGTAGATTGTTGATCAAAAGACCTCGCAGAGTGGAAGCGATAAGTAATGAATTCACTGACTCTCCGTACGTATTCCAGAAAGGATGGAACAATATGGTAGGAATACTTCGTAAATGGGTAAAGGAATCGATGAATGAAAAATACTGTTGATTTCAGAGGGTGTAATAATTCCCCGGCCATGATCACCGCCATCCAGCACGGTGTCTGTGCTAATTTGCTAACAGGAAAATGGATTAGCCTTAACCTGCCCCGTTTTTCCTCTCCATTCATCTGTCCCTTCCCCATTGTCAGGATTCCTCCTACCGTTGTGGATGCTCAGGTCATCTTTCGCGATTTTTCTTTCGTCTCCTCGTTGTTCTAGCCGAGGAGCTGCATTTGACTGGTCCTATCATTCTCTATCGATCGATCCATGAATGCATCTGTCTATTAAGAAATAGATACGCACGTCACGTCCCAACCACGGTTACCCAACCCCCTCCCGCTCTCCTCCAACCTCTCCGCCCCTCCGCCCGCCCCGCTAGCTGGTGCGTTGTTGATGTTGTCGGTGTCGACCAGACCAACTTTCCAAGCGCTCCACTTCCAGCAAACTGACCGGTTGTGGGGGAACTGGAAGAGCGATCGCCCATCCACCACCGCCCTATCCCCCCTCCCTCTAGGTACTGGTAGAGCCTAGTCATATTTTTATTGGGGTCATCGAACACGGGCTAGTGCGGTGTCGACCCGAATCCCACGAATCAGTCTGCCATCAGGAAAAAGGGGAGGGAGAAAACGAGGGAGGTGAAAAGGCAATCTGCCCAAGCGCGGGACCACCACCCCTCCGGCCAAAATCCATCACGTCACGTTGTCCTCCCCGTCCTTGCCGAACCGACGTCGGCCGTCAACCTCCAGCATGGCCGCTGCTTTTGACGACGAGGACCTCTCCGTCACACTCCCACCCTACAACTCCGATCGCCCTCGTGACCCTCGTGACCCTCGTGATCGTGCCGGCGGGACCAATCCTCCTCCCAATTCCAACATTCCCGCCATGGCGATGCCTCCGCCATCCCGCCCGATCGGAAAGGGCGGCGAGCCTCCGATGCAGTCCCCGGCAACCACCAGGGACATGCAGCGCCTCGACCAGTATCAGACGGTGAAGATATTGGGGGAGGGCTCCTTCGGCAAAGTGAAATTGGCAATTCACCAGCCGAGTGGTCGCCAGGTCGCCCTCAAGATCATTCCCCGTCGCAAATTGTTGTCTAGGGACATGGTTGGTCGTGTCGAGCGTGAGATCCAATACCTCCAATTGCTGCGGCACCCTCATATCATCAAATTGTACTATATCCCATTCCCTGCCGCGATGGAAAACCACCTTGTCTCGGAAACTTGGACAATGACTGACTGACTGCTCCCCCGACAGGTACACTGTCATTGCCACCAAAACGGACATCGTCATGGTATTGGAATATGCCGAACGGGAACTTTTCGACTATCTGGTAAAGAGAGGTCGGTGCAATGACGCTGAAGCTCGCAAGTTCTTCCAGCAGATTATATGTGCCGTGGAGTACTGCCACCGCCATAAAATCGTACATCGTGACCTTAAACCGGAGAATCTTCTGATTGACAGCGAGAAGAATGTCAAAATCGCAGATTTCGGTCTAAGCAATATCATGACGGATGGAAATTTCCTCAAGACCAGCTGTGGTAGCCCGAACTATGCAGCGCCGGAGGTTATTTCCGGGAAGCTGTACGCGGGACCAGAGGTGGACGTATGGAGCTGCGGTGTCATCCTTTACGTGCTGTTGGTGGGAAGGCTTCCGTTTGATGACGACTACATACCGGCACTTTTCAAGAAAATCGCCGCGGGCAACTTTCATATGCCCGCCTACATATCATCCGGAGCCGCTCGGTTAATTAGGTCTATGTTGCAGGTACACCCTGTTCATAGACTTACCATCCCTGAGATTCGTCAAGATCCGTGGTTCCTTCAAGACCTACCTAAATATCTACAGCCACCACCCGAAGAATTCATAGCTACAGGGGTTGATCCGAACAAAGCAATAGACCCGCGTAAGCTGGCTCCGGGAAAGCCGCTATCAGTGCAGCACAAAATCCACCAGGTGGCCATCTCCAAGCTGGAGAGAAGTATGGGCTATGCCCGCGATGATATCGAGGATGCCTTGAAGAACCCCGAACCTAGCGCGATCAAAGATGCTTTCTTTATTATCATGGAGAATGAGATGATGCAGACGAACTGTGAGTACTACAAACGCTCTCCCTAACCGCTTGCCGTTGCTTTTGTCTCTGTCTTGCGTGAGGCGTGCTGACATCTCCAGCACCAACAGACGATAACATGATGGGGGCCCCGGTAGCACCCTCTCCACCCCCCGATCGAATTACAAAACCAACAGCAACGAGCGGACGACCGACTCCTGCTCCTCCTACTCCGGGAACCCCTCCTGGACCTTCTACTCGGGCTCGAAGTGGTTCTCAGCGCCAAACCTTCCAACTACCCCAGCAGAGCGATTCCGACGACTTGAATGCTCCACGTGTGAGCCATGTCAGAATCTTACCAACGAGTCTACCATATGTCCACGACCAGCTCATGGAACAGCGCGAACGGGAGCAAAAAATGCGGGCTGCGGACCGATTGTTGGAAGAGCAAGCACAAGGTGGTCCAGAGTCCGAAGGGGACTCGCGCCGTGGCGGGCGCTCACCAGAGGAACAGGAGGCTACAGCAAGGGCTCTGAAGCCACATTCTCGTAGTATTATAGACCTCGAGAAGCTGCGTTTGGAGCCGCCAGGAGGTCGGAGTGCCCCCCATCAACCCAAAAAGTCCCGCAAATGGCAGTTTGGCATTCGTTCACGCAACCAACCCTATGAGGCAATGCTCTACCTCTACAAAGCCATTGAAGCCCAAGGCGGAATTTGGGAAATCCAGCCCACCGGTGCAGGTGAGTTCGTACTAAGTTTTAATATCATTTTAGCAGTCTAACGTCCCTTCTAGAAGGGTTACAAATCGGAGTCAAGCCACCTGAGCCAGACGAGCCTTCGCCGTTGCAGAGCAAGTACCCCGACTTACCATCTGACTACTATATTCCCAAAGACCCGTGGTTCATACGGGCCCGCCTTCTAAAAGAAGGCGTTAGAGCTCCAGGTCCGTCGACAAGCGTTCACAGCAGCAGAAGTGACTTAGAAGAACTCCGCCGTCGCTTCAACCTTTCTAGTGCCCCGGCGTCCCTGGATGACAGGAATCTAACCCTAGAGCATGCGAGCATCTCCGGGCCATCGTCTGCAACACAACATCTGTCGATTGCGCGGATCTCTTACGGAGTGTGGGTTTTCGTCGACATCCAACTGTACCAGCTGGAGGAGAATAATTACATGGTCGATTTCAAGTGCGACGGGTATCAGAATGTGATCCGCGGCGAAGGTGACACCGACTGGCATCCCATCAGCAAGCGGTTCCGGAATAAGGAAAAGGAGGTTACTAGCCCTTATCCATTCCTTGACGTGGCATCGGACTTGGTGGCCCAGCTAGCGGTTGCCAGCTGAAACCATAGCGATTTTGTGGATCCAAAGGCGTTCCATGGGTGTTTGGAGCATATGATGGGTAGCATTCGGCGTTCCCTTGTTCTTTCTAATCGGTGTCTTAATGAAGGTACGCCGCCTATGGTATGCACCCAGCTTGTATCGGATGCATTTTACAGGTAGATAAAGCATTGCACCAATTCATATTGATCCTTGATAAGTTTGGGATGATTGGCGCTCAAATAGCGCGGAAGGCGGTCACGACGGGTCCTATATAAATAGTCTGATTCTCTCCGCATCCGAACTACTCCGCCCTTCAGGTTCCTTCGAGTCCTTTCCCCGCAAATCCGACCACACCCCCTGCTGGCCTGTCTCAACCAAAGAGACCTCATATTGATGGATCGACTCAAGAGATTCAAGTGCCAGCAATGCAATAGGTCCTATACCAAACTGGAGCACCTTACAGTACGTACTTACTCTCTTTGGTTGCCAGAGTCCCGTTATTGACGACCCCCCTAGAGACATGAGCGGACTCGTAGGTTGCTCGGATAATGCCCACGGCTGTTGCACGATATTCACGCTACATAGACACCAACACCAGACCATACCGCTGTGATGAGTGTGGTAGAAGATTTGGCCGAGGGGACGTCCTTGGCCGCCACAAGAGGCTCCATGCCCGGTCCCAAGCCGATGTCTCTACAGATGCAGGACAATCGGTAGATGATCCTACAGAAGGCCACCTTCCAAGTCCTAAAGAGTCAGCTCAGAGCCTCTTGGGGGTGACTCCATTTGGGCAGTCTTCGTTGTCTGGAAACCAGGAATTATTGGACTCCGACAACCTGCTGGACTGGTTTGTTCCGGATTTCTGGGACTCGTCAGCCATCTCATTACCATTGACGGACATCCCTACCCTGCCGCAGCTGCAAATATCGAATGGTCCGAATCTCTTGTCTACAGAGGAACAGAGTGCTTCTCAGCAGGAGCCTGGAAAGATAGCCATGCAGCAGAGCTACAGATTAATAGAAGATCTATCCAAACGTCTTAACTCGGATTTGCATAGCTCGGGGATTACATCTGCGTTCCTCGATGCATGCTTGCAGGAATTCTTGGGGCGGCTGTCTCCATGCTTCCCCGTTATACACGAGCCAACGTTTGCAACACGTGAGACCATTCCTCCACTGCTGCTGAACATGGTAGCCTTGGGATCTTTGTTTGTGTGTCTGCCGGACTCAGCCCAGAAAGGGGAGATGCTCTGGCGACTGGGTCATACCGCTGTAGCAACCTCCTGGCAAACCCTAAGTAGCCTAAGAGGCCCTAGGGATGCCTGTGACGGTGTTCAATTGGTGTTGACTGCGCTTTTAGGGCAGCTATTTGCACTACTGTCAAGCAACGAAAGCATACGGACGACTGCATTTGTATGGCATGGACTTGGCTTCTACTGGACACGCACATCCGGTATGTACGTTGTGGAAGACATGCAGCAGGATCAGATTCCAGAGCAAGACGCTCCTCATGCGACGAAGCACACGGCATGGATGAAATGGGCAGCTGTCGAAACCAAACGACGAGCGATCCTAGGCCACTATATTCTCGATGGGTTGATATCACAAGTTTCGGGGTCTCCGGCCAGCACACGTCACTTGATAAATTCTATAAAAACGGCAAGCTCTGATGCGGCCTTTCTTGCTAAGAGCGCAGATGAATGGATCATCGAGATGGGAAAATCAATCTCGACCCAACGCCCGTTTAGTGAAGTCTATGTCTCTGTATTTTCACCTGAATATGCGGTGTCCCCACCATCACTCTCGGGCTTCTCGACTTTTGTTATCATCGAGGGTCTACAATCCGTTGTATCAGATCTTCATGAAACCAGCGCCCCGGTATTTGGCGCTGTCTCTGAAAAGCAGATCATCCAGGCCTTACTCAACATCTATAAAACAGATCTGTCCAACAGGTCAGCCGTCCATGATGATAACTTTCAACTCATGCTTCGCTGGCACAGCGTTTGCCTCGAACTCGCCGTTCCATCTGCATCTCTTTGCAGAAGGATATGTTGCGCATATGGCCTCCAACAACCCCTCGGAGGAAAGATGACCAAGGAAGACCATCTATCATTTGACTTGAACCGGTGGGCTAGTAGCATCAATGCTGCTCGCGCAATACTTCATGCACTAGCCATCAATCGAATCGTCAATCAGATTCCGTTCAAACTAGCTCATGCACCTCATATTCCAGCTGCTATCTTTGCGTCTGCAATTGTAATGAGCGGGTGGTGTCTAGCTCGTGAAGAGACTCTCCATGTTCGAGAAGATATTTCGTGGCAGGATATCTGGTGTGGCTCATCCAACTGCGCCCCCGACATTGATCGGTACATCCACCACGAGGCTTTTGACGGAAACAAAGTTCATTTGCTCAATGAGATGAACTCTCTTCAAATTAGTCTTAAAACAATCACATCTCGTTGGAGTGTGTCTCATACCATGGCGGAAACAATCCAACAAATGGTTACTTTGGCTCGCCAATATCACTGATAAAAAAGAACGACAGATTTGCCCGACGTTAAGTACATTGAAGCTGGTTATCATATGCCTTCATATATGCTTGACTAGAAATATTTCGAAGTCCTTTTCCTGATCCACGGCCCAGCGAAGTAGAGTGGTACTCCCAAGGCTAAAACCGCCCATTGGATTCCAGCAAACTCATAGAACATCTTGTCGACTCCTTGACTAGTCATCCAGTCCACCGAGCCCTTGCTCAATCCAAAGGCAACTACGTTTTTGCTAGTATTCACCAACACCAGTGCCTCAGCGCTCGTATGGGGGTATGAATCGACGATGTACGATAGCATCACCGAAGGAACCAGTGTCAGACCTGCTGCAGACATGGCTGAGCCTGCGGCTGGTGCAACATACTGCATCTTGCGGGAGATGGTATATCCAAAAACGACGAGTCCGACCGGCGAGATGAGAAAAGGGACAATAAGGGCGGGAATCCGATGCTCGGGCTTGTGAACGCCGTTATTGCGTTTGCGGAGATAATTGGAAAGACCATCAGTTAACGGGCCGGCGATGGGCCAGACGACGAGAATGCCGACGAAGCTGCCGAGTGCGAAAAGACCAAGAGCGGCAGAGGAGAAGTTGTACGGAGGGGGGGAGAAGAGGTCGGCGGAGAGGGTAGAGATGGAGACCACTCTGTCGGCAAAGAACGGTCAGTGGATATCTCTATCAATGGGGATCGCTGGCAAGAATACTCACGCCCCTAACACAACCCCGTACATCATCGACGCCAGCAGTACTCCCGGTACCAGAAGCATTGGCAATGGCAGCCAGAACATACGAGCGAGGTGCTTGAAAAGACCCTTTTCTTTTGCCGCATCTGATAAGCCAACTTTAAACAGGCTTTTCCAATGGTCACCATAGGAGAACTGGTCTTGTTGCCGTTGCCGCCCTGCGGTGGCATCTGGGATAGCCTCGATATGGCTCTGAAGGATGTCATCCTTTTCCTTAGTCTCGAACTCCAGTTGATCCTCTGGGTTAGGCTCGTAGAGTGTCTCCGGGAGGAAGAAGAAAGTTGCCACGAGGTTGACGGCTCCGATGATGAGGCAAAGGATGAAGAACCAGCGCCAGCCACGGGCCGCAACAAGATAACCGGCTATGAGAGGACCGACTTGGGAGCCGGCAGAGAGGAACAGAGCGTAGAGTGCCATTGCACTGGAGTAGTTGCGCTCGTAGAACATATCTAGGCTCGTTAGCTCAATGAACTAGATAGGATTCGATGAAATAGAGCATACGAACCAGCAAGGATACTCGGGCCTAATGACTCGATCGATCCATATCCTGTAGATGTTAGCAAAAGCGATATTACTAGTCCAAGGGAACCTGAATGCTGTACCAAAACTAGCAAAGACCCTCGCGCCCATCAAGCTATTATAGTCCTTTGCGACGACAGTCCAGATTGCCCCTGCCACAAACATGGCCATGGAAACAAGTACGATCGGGCGCTTCCCGAAGCACAGGGCCAGCGGCATCCAGAAGAGATTCGCGAGGCCCATTGACAAGACAGACCAGGATATCAGGTCGGAAAGTTTTTGGTAGCCCACATGGAGGTCAGCGGCGAGGGAGTCGAACCCGGTTGCTATTCCTGACTATGTCGACATGCTTGTAAGCCCGCTAATCGGTATGATTGGGTCAAGCACGAGGGTAGATCCTTACCGAGTACATATTTCCCAGGAAAACGAATATATTGACCGTTAAAAGGGCAGCATATCGGACTCGACGAGGGAAGAGCTGTGATTCCACGATAGAGACAGTTAATTAGCCATATTTTCTTAATCTCCCCAATCAGATAAAGAGTGTCATGCCATACCTTTGGATCCGTCTTTGTTGCCATTTTGTCCCGGGATTTCGGAAATTCTCAGACTGGCTCGGTGTTCAGTCTGACCAGGAGTGAGAACATCATACGATGCCAAGTCCTATATCTAGACATGAAGCGGTTCATATATCGGCATTTCGGCAGTTGCAGTCGTACCCCAGATTATTACCCCACACCTACTCCACTGAATCATCACATGGCAATATGTCCGGAATCTCCTGAACGGGGTCGATGAAACGCCACGCAAGCACGGGATGTGGCCCTCGGGTTTACCGAGGGGTCGGGACCACCTGATATTCTGGCCTGTAGATGGACAGTGATAAGAAAGGATGGGCCCAGGATCTACTAGTGGCTTTAAGCGATTAGATGGTGTCGTATACAGAGGCCAATGATGACATTTGGTGAGCATTTGGCGTCCACGATATCAATGGCGTCTGTGGTATTGGTCGGAGCTCCCCAGGGATGGACATGTCTGTGCATGATGACCACATAGCTTGTGCCTTCCCCGCTCTAGGAGCTTCATGGATGCCTCTGTCTTACTGCTCGTCCACTCTATGAACGCATAAGGACCTCGTCTCCAAATGCAGGGCTCGGTAAGCCCTGTACACTGGAATAGCCGAGGCCTGGGGATGAGGAGGGGCACGGATAGCACCGACTGCGTTCATGCCTCTTCAGCTCGTCTTCTCTGAAAATCAGATAGAACCCATTTGTGATTGGAATGGATTAGCTTTGTGCAAGCTGTCTGCGTGTTGCTCGCTTGGATTCTGCCTCAGGTGCTCTCGACTCAGGATAGGATGGCGGTTGGGTGGATTCTAACCGGCGAACCTTATTAGCATCAAAAGGAATGGAGGTCCTTGCGTAAACTAGTTACCTTGAGTACTTTCTGGTCCATAGCCACAGACCATTTGTAGGTTCATAGTTCCGTGGATTGTGAGCGCCATCTCGCATTTTGCAACCAGCTTCAGTAGCCAATGCCCGCAAGTGAGTCCAAACAGGACAGAAGACCTTCAAGTCGCAAAGACCTGGGCTACTACTTGGGGGCCATGATCAACATTCTGAGCGATCAGGAAGCGGGGAGGGGGCAGCAGTTCCCAAACGGCGCAAGGCCCCTGGCCCACGTGACGGATGGGATTGTGTCACCTGCCTGGGGCAATCTCGACCTCGTTTCTCCAGGTTTTGAATATCTCCGGATCTTCCACCCCATCTTCCAGCTGTATCCAGCCAATCAAGCAGAATGACAAGCAACAGCACCTCGGATCGCATCATCGCCATCGGATAACCCGACATTCGGGAAAGCCGGCTCTCCGCGGCGATCCTACAAATCAGCCCCAGCTGAGCTGATTGCTGGGAGTCAGTAACTGTTCTGGACCAATTGTCGAGCCTGGCTGCGGAAAAAGTGAAGCTCCGGCGCAGCGTGACGACTCTACATTTAAAGAGCAGCAGGGGGGATTCTCCCTTTCCTGAAACTTTACACACCCTGCAATTGTACGTCCGAAGCTCCTGTCGCAATGGGCATCTTCAATAGCGTTATCTGGAGGGACGATAAGACATCGACAATGGTGCGTTTTGTCCGAGGTCTGTACCATAACACTTAGGAATAATGCTAACAGAATGTAGAGCCGTAACGAGTCCCACCTCGACATCATTGTCGTCGGCGCGGGCCTCAGTGGCCTCGCGACCGCCATTTCCTGCGCCATGTCCGGTCACACCGTCATAGTTCTCGAGCAGGCCAAAGAGCTCGCAGAAGTTGGCGCCGGGCTCCAAATCACCCCCAACGCCTCCCGCCTCTTCTCACACTGGAAGCTCCCCGAAAAGCTATGGAAAGACGCAGCAGAACCCACATCCTTGACGGTGCACCGATACACAGGCGAAGTGCTCGCACATGAGGAGTCATTTGATCGGAATATCCGCGCCAAGTACACTGCACCATTCATTGACCTCCACCGCGTGGACCTGCAACAAGCTCTCTACGCACGAGCCAAGGAGCTAGGCGTAACCTTTCATCTTGACGAGAGGGTCGACTCTATCAACTTTGACACTACTACAGTAACCACCCTCAAGGGCAAGTCCATCTCGGGGGATCTGATCGTCGCCGCAGATGGGCTCTGGTCTCGCTGTCGGGAATGCCTTGGCGGGAAGAAAGATGACCCTATTCCCACGGGCGATCTGGCGTACCGAATTGTCCTAACAGCAGACCAGATCTCAGACCCGGATCTGAAAGCGTGGGTCGAGAACCCAACAGTACATTTCTGGATCGGACCTGGCGCACATGCAGTAGGCTATTCCCTACGGGGTGGGAAGATGTTGAACATAGTCCTCCTGGTGCCAGATGATTTGCCCCCAGGAGTGTCAAGACAGGCAGGATCACTGGAGGAAATGATGCGACTATTTGTGGGTTGGGATCCTGTGTATGCTCCCCAGTTCACACCCGAGAAAGCATACAACTAACCCCGCTCCAGCCTAACCCGCTTCCTAGGCTACGTCAACGGCGTTGATAAATGGAAGCTGATGCACCGTAAGTCCACCCTTTCCCCCCAAATACCGTCCATAACAATTGACCACCCCCCTCAGACGCCGAAATGGAATCCTGGATCAACGACAAATCCAACCTCGTCTTCATGTAATTCCCACCCCACCCCACCCCCTCCTAAACCACAACCACATGCACTAACCAACCACCCTCAAGCGGCGACGCCTGCCACCCCATGCTCCCCTACCTCGCCCAAGGGGCCAACTCCTCCCTGGAAGACGGCGCCGTCCTGGGCAGTCTCCTAGGCCACATGAAACGCAAATCCGACCTCCCAGACATCCTCCGCCTCTACGAGAAATTGCGTAAATCCAGAGGCGAAGCAATCGTCCGAGAAACATTTAAGCAGGTTTGTTCCCCAACCTCCCCACCCCTATTGAATCTCCAAAGCAAAATCCATCTGACTAAAGAAATAAAAACAGCGAAACGACTTCCACATGCCCAACGGCCCCGAGCAAGAGAAACGAGACCAGATTTTCCTATCCCAGTTAGGGAAGGAACTGAAGGGGGCGTTTCCGAGTCGGTGGTATGCATGCCCCTCATCATTTTGATCAAAATTCCCCTTCACCTTTGGAGGACATAGATATCTAACAGAATATAGGACCTGTCCCGAGGTTCAACCGTGGATATATGGATACGATGCTATCAAGGAAGTGGAGAATGTGGTGGCGCAGAATTCGGGATTATTTGGTAGTAAGAAGAGTTCACATTTATAGTTGGTTACGTACAGTGGGAAATAAACGAAGATTAGGAGTTAGGTTTTAATTGATGAGATGGACTCTTTCATATAGAGTAAGGAATAACTTCTCTGTGCGCTTTCTCTAACACATCCAAAACTCGATCAGTGGACCAACAGGCCTAAAAACCCAGCACCCATAAATCATCTATTCCAACATTCCTAACCTGACCTAATCAACCTAACAAACATATATACAAGTGAAATAAACCCACCCACCCCACCCATCTATCAACCCAATACAAAAGAGTCCAAGCAAAGAGTACTAATACACTAACCATCTAGCATCGGAAGACCCCCCAAATCATCAAATAGCCGTGCGATCCCTTCGAAGGAACAATCGGGGAATCCGAATCCGTAGGCCCACTCCTGTTACAGTCCCAGGTCAACAACAAAGGTCTCAGGATAGAAGCATGGAAATGAGGAGGAAAGGGAGTGGGGTATGATGGTGGGGGAGCTTACTGGAATATCAAACCCCGAGTGAGTCGAACTGGGATCTGCAAACTCGGTGATCGTCGTCTCGTCATTAGTACTGCTATTCGTGGGGGTGGTCTGCACGTCAACGGGTCGGAATTCCCGGAGGTAGTGTTTGATGATTTCGACGGATTTACGGGCCACGACGGATTCGTCCATGGCTTCGAGGATCTCGACGGCCATTTCGACGGAGTGGCGGAGGGGAATGGTTTCGGCGCACCTGCCGCGTTTGGACATGGGGAGGAGGAGGGTGGATGTGGCGAACATCACGTAGGTGGTGTTGTACCACCTGAGGCTGTATGTTAGATGGGGAGAGGGAGTACGGTGGAGGACAGACATACCAGCAGCGGAAGAAGGTGTGGATACGGTAGATGTCGTAGATGACCTGGATGGTTTTCATCGCGGCGTCGAGGCATTTCACGATGGTTTCTTCGAGTTCCATGGGGGTGTGTCGGAGTTTGCGCGTAAAGTGGCTTAGGAAGGGTCGGAAGAGGAGCATCTTCACGTTGTAATAGCCTTTCGTGAGAGTATGTTTAGTGCATGTGGGGACGACAAGAGGAGGATCGGAGCACTTACGGATACCGAGAACCAGACGTTGTCTGCGTGCCCATTTTGGATCCCTCAATGCCCCGGTTGTGGATCGCTGGAGAACGTCTGGTTTGATCCGGTCCGGTAGTCTCGCCATCCATCGGTCCAACTCGGTTTCAATCTGCAGAGCAAGATGAAGCTTCTCCTGTAGTGTTATGCGCGAATGGTAGATCTGCACCGAAACCTTGCGAATGATGTATGCAAAATCCACCATCCACGGGATGATGGCATACTCGGACTCGTCTCTTTCCGGAAGTGCCCGGTTGTGATACTCATCCATGCCCAAAGTATCTGGCCGGCCCACTGAGAAGCTCATCTCACTGGTGAGGTTAGGATCATGGTCGCACACGATGCGATGGCCACGCTTACATTTCCAAAGAGAACAAGCCCCTGCTGACATTAGCGCAATTTGATCCCAGTGCAGGACTCGGACTTACCACCAGGTCTTCGATATCCAGCCCGAGCGCTGCTCCGTCGAGCTCCGCACCTCGCGATTGAACCCAGCTGCCAGACACGTCCGGATCGCCAGACCCAAATACATGTACGCCACTATCATCGAATATTAGTCGAGAGCCAAAGCGCCAAACAGATACTCACGGTTCGGATTGAGTTCATTCTGACAAATTTTGGCCTAGACACGGTCAGGCGCATCCTACATATAAGAGGATAACCCCATACCATAAGATACAAACACTGCACCGTATCCAAAGTGTTCGAAAACTGCAGGTAGTTGAGATACATCTGAGCTTCACGAAACAACTTCCTACTCCATTCGAAGCGGGTCAGACCCCCGAGTCGCTCTTCATCCCAGACCCGGACCAATGCCCCAAACGACAGAATACTCAGATACAAGGCGACAAAACACGGCTCAGGCTGAAGACTCCGGTTGAACCAGAGATCGTGCGCACGCAGCAAAAAGTCCTCCTTGTCAATGAGAGGATGAATGAAATGAATATTCTCGAAATAGCCGTTAATAAACGCGTGAGCCTGCTCAAAGTAATAGTTGTGTTCCCGCAATGTCAAGGGCTGGGCGGATCCAGTGCCCGAGGGCGAAAAGCTCGAGTTATGCAGCGTCGAGACGATGGAATACCCCAATTCTTCGGCAGGTGCGTCCCGTCGCTCCAACGGTTGCTGGGGTTCGCGGGCCTTCTGCAGATGGCCGAGGAGCGCTGCGGAGGACGTGCTACCATGAAACTCGATACCGTTGGTATGGTGATTGAGTTCGCTGATCTCATCGCCTACCGACTCTCCCGCTTCGTCATGGTGGTCGTAGATAGATGGTGGCCCCTCGCGGGGAGTGGAACCAGGGCGAGGCAGCGACAGAGGGGTCACTTCGATGCTCACTTGCGGTACCGGTTTCGTCCCGGTGCTGGCCTTGACCTTCTGCGGCGGTGGAGATTGCTGGGAGGTGATTTCCGACTCGGCCATACGCAATCTGGCCGTCAGCTCCTCGACTTTGCGCTCTAGATCCGCGACATATCTGCTCGACGGGTTAGTAGCAATCCCGAGCCCCGTACAGATCTAGATCGAGAGCGGTATGCGTACCGCGCAGATCTGCTGCTTTCGCGTTGGCGGTAGTTCCCTTGATATACGCAGTTGAGTTGGCTTTCTATGGGCGATTAGCAAGTTGCTAGAGCAAGGATCGCGACATACTCTTGCAATGCGAGCAGGGATATTGCTCGTCGCATTTGTATTTCTTGGCTCTGCAGCGGTCGCATGCCTGCGCCGCCCGGGGGCGTTTGGCCCGCGGTGGGGGGAGAGAGTCATCCCGGGTGGTGTGAATCGGGGGCGAATCCTCCATTAAGGGGGGCGACCACATGGATAGAGAGCGATCATAGAAGGTGGGATGAGCAGACGGACAGGAGGGAATCCAGACGGGAGAGTTAGTTTGGAGAGTCTTGGGATGGACAGAAAGCGAGAAGCCAAGCGCGCCGGGAATTCCGACCGTCGCGTCACGTGCGAAGGGCTGCGGGGTCCCCGCGGGGAATGAAGAAAGGAGCTTGCTTAGTTCTTACTTCGTCCACGCCAGGCAGAAACCATTCCAGTTAATGTAGGGATTAGAACAAGTAGAACACTACGAATTAGGTATCAATAGTCGTCATCACATCATGGGGAAACCACCCGCGCTAGCCCATGCATCCTCCCCCACCCTGCCCGTCCCCACCACTTGTCTTACAATTCGATCGTCACATCCAACGCCCCCGCTACCGACTCAACGTCCACCGTGTCCCATTCAGGCGCCTGGTCGGGCAAAACAGCGCCGTCGAATCGCTGACCCAACCGATGGATCAAGGTCTCAATGCCATCGCCATCGGTGAAGGACCACACCCGCACGTACCGACTAGCAAACCCCAGGGCAAACGCCTGGCCGGCGGGAATCACCACCGTCTCGCCTTCGCGGAAAGTCGCTTCGGGGGCGTCCTTCAGGCGGACCGTCAACGTTCCCTCCAAGACACACAGGCAGTGATCCACGGACTGGAAGGTCATGAATTTGGAGAGCAAGGTGTCACCGTAAGTATGGGACGATTCGATGCTGGAAATGGCGCAGACGCCACTGCTCTGGCGGGTGGTGATAAATGGCCGCGACATGACTCCCCCCAGCATCCACTTGGGACCGGTGTTGGCGCGCAAAAAGTATGGTTGCGGGGCCTCGGGGAGCCTTTCTTCATCGCTGGTCCACTCCCCGAGCGCGGGCGGTTGGTAGTGAGGTTGGAACACCACATCAAAGTCCTGCTTTGCGGCCATCACCTTGGGAATCAACAGCGATTTCAGGTCACGGTTATCATCCTCGGGGACAAGTATTCCATCGTACGGCTCGGATACATATCGAAAGAAGTCCACCCAGTCACCCGGGGTGACGACGCCGTATGTCTCGGTATGTGGCCCCAGCAGTTCCGGGTTGTGGACGACCGTCTAGAAAGCCATCACCAGTCAGTCCCGAGAAAGACTCGGATGGAAAAGAGCGCAAGGCGACATACTGGAGGAACATATGCAAAATCGCCCGGGCCCATGATCCGGCACTGGTCGCCATTCCATAGTTTCAAGGCCCCCTTGGTCACCAAGAAGACATCGTGCGCGTGGTTGTGATAGTGAAATCCCGGGGCGTCGGACAGCACGGCGCCGCTCTGGAAGACCGCCATGAGACCATTGGTCTGCTGGGACGAAGCCAGAATGCGAAAAGCCCCTTTGCTGCCGGGGATCGTGATCCGTTCGCCTTCCAGTTGCGGGATGGCGTAGGGGACCCTCCCCTGAGGGGGCTTTTCGGTAAAGGACAAGGCCATGCTGGCAGAATGGATAGCGTATCAGACACTTTAGTCGAAAGATTGTGGAATTGGTAGACCGTGTAGAATGGTGGAGGGCCATGGCGCCTACATATAGGGTTATAGAGTCGGGGCAGTATTCGTCACCGGGGGAAGGGATCTCCATGATACTCCGGGACGCCTGTCTCCAATTACCGATGGTCGGATATGCCGTCAAACCGCGGAGGTCGGGATATCCGACAGGCACCGTGGGTTGGTTCCCTGGATCCAAGGGACTGGAATCGAGAGGGGCAAAGAGGAGAAACTCGGGGGATCTGCCCCCGTGGACTGACGTCACCCCAGTGGGCTTGGACGATCACAGGCATTTCCCATTTGGTATCTGATTATCAATACATCCCAAACCACCCAGAAAAGCAGACCAAGAGAATGAGTGAGGAGAAAGGATGAAACAGCGTTCAGTGTTGCAACCAAGAAGTCAGCAAGGTTCCCTGGGTCTCAAGCTCCCCTGAAACCACCTCCCGCGCGACTCCGTTTTCGCCGAAATTTCCAGCAATTTCACCCGTGGGTCCAGGTGCCAAAGTATAACAAATGCAAGAATTGAATGAGATCCGAGACCCGGACTAGCACAAGGACAACCAGCGCCCTTGGCCCTTCATAGCACCTCATATGGTCCGTGGGGTGTTGGATCTCGCCCCAAGGTGCCCGCCTGAAGAGCTCTCATCGCCGTCTCCAGACCGCCTCCACGCTGTGATGTGCCTGGTATCTGATGACAGCGTGGACGAACTTCTGCTCAGGGACGCTGGGGACGCAGGCACAGAGGAGTCAGGAGTGGTCCCTTGCGAGGAGCTAGTAGTACTCTTGATGGCGGCCGCGGCAGCTGTTGGATTGCAGTGGGGACAAATAAATACATTAAATCCGCGGCCGTTGCAGCTGCTGCAAACGGCATTACTGCTTCACATTAGCGTCAGTGGTGACGTGAGGGGCCTGATGATGAAGTGACTGACCGTGGTGCATTTCCTGCGCAGCTCCGGCATGTCATAACCGTCCGTCCTCCAATACAGGAGGTATGTCCAGGATCTCGTTGATACATTGATCCCGCTTGTGCAGACATGGGTTCGGGAAACAATAACACTGTGTATCGTGTAGTGGGGTGGTAGGTTATGTTGAGAGGTAGATCCTAGTAGGTGTGAAGGAGGGAGTTCGGAGGATTAAGATGAGGCCGAGTCAATCCTGCTATCTCTCAAGGCCGGATATGTTTTTCCATGGAGGGGCCGCTTGGTTTATCAATCCCCCGTGAGGCATAGAACCAGAGCAGTAACCAGATAGGCAGGAGATGAGACGGAGAGAGAGAAAAAGCAACCTTTTCATGGCTGCAGCCAAACTAGGCCGCTCCCTGCTTAGTACCGACGGTGGCCTCGCGGTGGACGGAAATTGTAAGACCCCTCAGCCATGGATTGTGGTACCAGGTCTCGAGTCAAGGGGATCTCGTATCAGCCATGCCGAATCATTTTTCAGCATTCAACTCCGAAGAGAAACCAAGGCGCGAAGAATCGGTCACATCCAGCTGTTTTTTTTCGTATGCCGCACCAATGACACGAGGCCGCACGGTGCGGCATGGTCCAAGGATCATAAAATGACCGCATAATCAGCCCCAGTCCACCTGAGCAGACGCGGGCTGCGCCTGTCGGACGTGTCAATACCTCATAGCCTTTGGAGAAGAACACCGGACTGGTGGAAACCTGTAGCCACTCTCGATCCATAGGGCCGGGTCCAGTGTATGGGTCGTTGTGCCGGTCATTGCTAACCGGACCAGGTGCCTAGATGCAAGGCTTGCTCAAGCGTATCGGACAATGCTGGATCTTGATAATCAGGGTTGCGTGTCCGGGCAGGTGATTACGAGTGCATGTTGCGGTTAGTTAAAATAAAAAAAAAGAAAATAAATAAATCCAAAGCTAAAGCAATGCGAGTATGTGACCAAGCAAGCCGGAAATGGGGATACGGCGGAATACAAGACCAGAAGCATGGCAGCCACGGCGAGTTGTGTTACGCGACTGACTAACAGTCGTCGGTTAGCTCGGCAAGCATTCCACATCGGCTGCTTCGATTAATGCGAGGTGGGCCTCAAGCCTTTTTCCTCAATCCCCCAGGACGGATAGGCGCAGCGCGACACGCGAGTGCGATATGGATAGCTCAGAGTGCGGTTCCAGAGGTATTCTAGACGATGTAGTGCCACCGAACTCGTAGCCATCCGGAGTTAGGGACGTTAGTCCGTAAGCCCCGACTCAAACCTCAAGGAGCTTTCCATGTAGGTCGGTATAGATCTTGGGTGTTTCATGCAGGAGACTGCATCGTTGCCCATTGTCCATCCAATCATTGCAGTGCGCTTCAAGCAACATCGGATACAGTTGAAAATTGTGGCCTAATTTCGGGGCCCTCTCGGAGCTACGCACTCGCTTATTCTCAAGCGCCTGTCTCTCATAGCTTCCTCATGTGTCCGTAAGCAAGACCACGGCTGCGCAACACTGTGCCTCGCTCAAATTCGTGCAGTCCTCCTTTGAGGCATAGAGAGAAACAAGGCTAGGTGATCGAAACCAGAGAAAGGGAACATTGATGTAAGCCTGCGAACAATGGTACAGTGTGACAGAGCCATGAAACAGCGAGGACACGAGGACAAGCGCCATAAAAGATGGGGGCCATGGGGGGCAAATGAAAGTAGACTAAAATCACCGAATGATCAGATAGTGTTCTGGCAATCTGTGATTTCCGTGCCTCGTAAATGGCGGTCCATTCCTTCTCATGCAAGCATCCGGTTCTCATGGGAGTCATAGGAATCCCAGCGCAACAGTTTGGCGGTGACTTCTCCACTTTCGGTTACTGATCGTGCGTCGTTCTCATTAAAGGAGATGAATTTCCCTTGCCTGAACCAATCGCCGTGTCCCAGGACGCTCTCGGGGTGGGCTGCGCCTGCGGATTGGTCACATGTTATATGAATCCCTGCTCATAATATGAAACAGAACCGCGTTGAGAAAGGGACGGGATGACGCAGTCAAGGTGACGAGCTTGGTCAACCCAAATACTCCTGCCGCAGGCACTGCCCTCCTACTGGAACCACTAGTAGGAAAAGATGGCAGCCGCGTCGTGTGAGGATGCTGACAAGAGCAGCGGAACGAGACAAGGGGCCGATCGGAAAGACCGAAAGAGAAGGTTGGGATTGTGTCAACGCGGTCCATGTGGTCCCTTCATTTCCGTCCAGGCCACGGGTGGATGCCACGCCCAGGAAAGCAGGAAAGTGACTGTTGACAAAGAAAGGATCAAGGATGTGGCTTGCAGGTGAGGCAGGAATCGACGACGGCAACAGTCGTGCCCAAGCAAGATCAATGGTCGGTGACCTGCAAGTATCCGGTGGGCATCACGCGCGCGACGGGGGTTTGGATTGGAATTGGCCAGGGCACGTTATCATTGCCATTGTTAACCTGCCCGACTCGAGGCGAAATTGCGGGCTGGGATCGGGGGGCAGCTGAAAGCAGCAGGAGATTTGAGCCCACCCAGCACCAGGTGTAAAAACCACGGACAGAATGCAACTCAGGGAAACGGATGTGACCCCGGCGGTTGACGAGTGGGTGCTCGAGGCCTGGTTGCACAGAGAAAAGCAAGAGGGCAAGACGGCAACCCGGCCGGCCGAGCGGCGAGATGGCCTCGAATCAGCTGATTTCCCCGGCGGCCTGTCGCGCCCTACTACTTACTACTTACTACCTAGATAGTCCTGACTCCTACTAGGGTCCTCCGGGCTCCCCCCGACTACATTCTATGCGAGTAGAACATCGTCCTCTCCTCCCTAATAGGTCGCCGAGGAAGATAAAAGACCCCAGAGGAAGGAAATGGAAAACACACGGAATGGGAGAGACGAAGATTCGGAAAAGGATGGCGTGGAAAGACTCCGGCGCTGTGATCATGGCGGTCACCAGCCCGTCGGGCTAATGGGCCCCGCGGTGGTGAAAGGTCTAAGATGACCCCGGTTGGAAATGAAAGACGGCCCATCGATCATGGAAGCAGTGTCCTGCTGCTGCCGTGGTTAGGTTACATCAGTCGGCTCCACCCTGGGGCGGAATAGTAGACAGCCATCCGAATACCGGGTTGTATTATCTGCTAGAACACTAGTTACATCCAGCTTGCAGGAGATGGCTGCACGTCGAGGCCGATAAAGCACATGAGGACACCTAGAAAAGTAAAACAGCTATGAGACATTCCCAACAACCAAGCAAAAGAAGAGCAGAAGCGCCCGGTAAACCCCGATTCAGCAAATGGTATGAGAACGCCGATAGCACCACTCACTGTGTGTGGATCATAAACACCATAATTCATAGTATGAACGCATTGTTTCCAAAGCAAGTGATCAATCCCTCCTACATTAGCTGTTCATGCCCTTCACTGGAAGTAATCTGGAGGAAGCGATGCCAACGCAGCGATAGTACCGAAAGCACCTATGGCTACCCCCAAAGCCGCCGTAGCAGCATGGCTGGCAAATTTTCCCGCAGTAGATCTCTTCGCTCGCTTCGATGGACGTTCAACCACATCAGCATCACCGACAGGTCCGTCAACCACCGGAGGCTCTTTCGCAATGTCCAAATCGGTCAGCTGAGAAGTTATTTCTAGTTTGTTCACGGGAACAGGTGGCTGAGCATCTGGAAAGCAGGTTTCCTCGTTAGAGCATCCCGGGGACTGATTATCGCTCGAAATAATGATGTCAACTGGGTCTTCGTCATAAACAGCAGTATCAAGTCCAGAGGCTGGAGAAGGACCATCGATGTCTTCCGCCTTTCTTTTCAGTGATCTATTTTCTGGTACGGCAATTGATTCCTGTTCGAGCCTAGGTGCTTGCGGAAACGATGCGGAAGAGACTTTGTGCTGTTCCCATGCTATGGCCGTCGTCTTCTGGATTTCCGGTCCATAATTTGGAGGGGCTTCCTGGTTCTTCTCCATGGCCGTAGCAGTGGACGCAGCGACCGACTCGGTGCTAGGTTTGAAATTAGGAGCAGTATCGCCTAGCAAAAACGATTCATTGTTGACGAAAGGTCCATCAGCGTAAGGCACTTGTGGGGTGGGGGGAGTATGCAGAGCGTAAGCAGTATTTGTAGTGCTTCGTGGATTCCACCAGTCCATGGGAAGAACAGAAGGGGTACTGTGAAAGCTTGGAGCGGGATGATCCAGTGCCTTTCTGCTTTGAGGCGATGGTGTGGGTTGTAGAAAGACTGACGGAGGTGGAGCTTCAGTCGTTGTTATTCCAGCAGGCCGCATACCTTGGCAATGCGAGTCTGGGGCAGTGTTTCCCATGGCCAATAATCCAGGTCCATAGGGTTCGGCTTCACAGGCCAGGCTCTCCCCAATACCTCGAAAGCTCTGAGAATGAGGACCATCGGCCTCGGGATTTGAGCGCGTGTTTGTTTCTTCCACAGCAAAGCCTGTCTCTGGTACTATCAAGTCGCAGATACCCAAAACACGAGGACTGTTGGGTCTCACTGATTCCTCATCTACGTATGATTCGACAGCATTAGATTCGAACGACGACTGAGAGTCCAAGTCATCGTCCAAGCCAGCATGGTCGTCCTCTTCCCAGCTGGAATCTTCTTCATCGCCGTCGTCGTCGTCGGAGTCCATCACAGACATAGCATCTGCCTCTTGAAGGAAGTCGCTGAAATGATGGACCGTGTTGCCGGGGTCCTCAATGATATCTATGACAGATGGTGGGGTCATTCGCGGAGTCACCAGAGGTTGTTCATGTTGTTCACCCTCGAGATCGATAGGGCTTTGTTCGGATCCTGCTCCACCCGCTTGCTTATCACCACTAGTTATATCCGAGGAGGCTGTCACATGACAACTTTCTGCATCATCCTTCTTCAGAGGAGATGTCAAAGGTGATGTGACCTCCATGACTGATTGGTCGTCTGAATCTGAGCCGGGTGCAGAGTTGCCGTCCTCGGATGCGTTCTCAGATGCGTTCTCGGACGCGATTACCACAGGAATGGGATCCTGCTTAACATCACTTTCTTCGTCATCAGGAACGCAGAACGTGTTAGAAGCAGGTACCGGTCTACGGCTGTCCATAGTGTGAGCACTTTCCAAGCGAGGTGGTCCGCATGGGACATACCTAGGATTGGACCACTCAAATTCACAGCGAACCTTAAGTGGAGGGAAGGTATCTACCAGGTCAATGAGCCATCTGTGCTTTCTGAGTTGAGTGGAAAACATGAGATGTCTTACCCGTGCCACGAAATACTGTGGATCCAAAGGTGACCACATCACCATGCTTGATGACAGTGTCCTCATCGGCTGGGATTCTCTTTCCATTTATCCAAGTGCCATGCATCGATCCGCCATCACGAATGTAGACGATCTTAACAAGTGTCGATGACTGTTAGCCCGAGAACTCGATGCTTACAAATGAAATAGCAGCAGAGCGCACATACCTGCTTCTCCAAGGATACCCACATTTTGGCATGATTGCGCGACATGACCCTAGAATCAAACAGTCCATTGTTTTTGGCGGGAATCAGATTCTTTGATTCACGTTTAGAAGCCCGACCAATGTTGGCATCGTTTTTTGTAGGGAAGAAATCTAGGGACCGATATGGGATTTCATCAAAGAGGGATAGAGGGTGGAGCGTCACAACAGCTACACGAAGAACAAAGTATCAGTTTAAACCATTTTCCCATTTCAAGCTAGTTCAAGGTATACACATACCCTGTGTGGCCGGCATGTTGATGTTGTAACAAGCAGACAGATAGAAGAACGATCTTCAGAAGCCCAGTCTAAATCGAATAAAAATAAGACATCAGTGTCGGATGCCAACGCATGGCGCCTTGGGTGCGCAGGTCAGATGCCAGGCACTTGACGCTGATCGAATACTTACCTGCTCAGGGCGCACGAATGAAAGAAAGGGGGAGGGGACAGCAACGCAAACCAGTGCGGAGCCTTCTGAACTAGATGAGTCGATGAAGATTAAGGGAAGGTCGAGATAGGGAGACAGGAGAAGGGATGAAATGGTTGACAGAAGGCTGACGAGGTGGACAACGGGGAAACCCGAGGAAGCTTAGGTAGGAGAGGTAGGAGGGGCAGGAGCATACGACCGACCCGATGGAATCAGCCTGAGGTCAACAGGCGGTCGCAGTCAGGCACCCAGAACCCATACGAAGTGGCTAGCTTGATTCGTACCGCAGTGAAAGTCCCAAAAGTGAAACTCTGGGAGCAGCTTGGAGAACTGAAATACAGCCTGCGGGCAGGCGCGATGTCAATCAGGCAGAGACGTTGATCCGTAGGAGGTATGGGGTAAGGTTGGTCTGATAAGTAGGAGGAAGGGGTGTAACGGTTCAAGCGCCTTTGTACAGCAGTGGCCAAGACAACCAACAGACTCAAACAAAGACCATATCCAACTTCAGAAGGGTGAGTCGATCCGTAGTGAATGTAACAGCGACAACACAGACGGAGAACACCTGGAAGTAGATAGACACGGAGTAGATGAGTCGAGACGATAACAGATCGGAACAGGATGGATGACGCCGATGCGGGCGAACGGCGATCACTGATAGGCAAGTGAGTGGGGGGCTCCCGTCAGGTGGACCGGAGCTGCTGGTCACCTGCGATCCAGTGACTGACTGACGACGGACTCTGGAGTACCTTAGTGGGTTATTGTTCACTACAGAGACGACTAGTAGTCCCTTCACTGACCACCACCCCTCCCTAAATTGAAATGCAAACACTAGGTTCCATTGCCCAGGAGCTATCCGTCCCATCCTTGGCTTTCCTATACTATGGTACATACATACACCGCTCGTTCTCCCGGCCACGACCTAACATCCCAGATAAAGAGCATGTCTCTCCCGATCCGCAGACTTCTCTCATCATGTCCGCATTTCTTGACAAAACAGCCCAGTGTGCACCTGCCAGAAAAATTGAGGGGGCTGGAAGACAAACATGAAAAAAAAAGCATCATATCAAAAGAAAAAAAAAAAAAACAAAGGAACAAAAAAGAAAACACGGTCGCAGCAGAAGTAGGAGATAGACAGTATATCGGTGAAGAGAAACTCGGACATCAAACCAAAAAAAAAAAATCCTTATAGTAAATACACACAGAGATGAACAGCTCAGGCGCCCATGCACATACCAGAGCCGATCAGGCGAAGATGAGCTTTCGCCTGCAACTCTTCAACCATTAGAATCCAAGAGAGAAGAAAATGAGTGAGAGATTAGGTCATACACGTCTTTTGGTGTCTTGACTCTTGAAAGGAGATGTCAAGACTCAGTTTACAAGGAGGGAGGGGGGGCGAAGCCAGCACCCATGCCTTGCAGGCGGGCAGCAAGCTGGGGGTACTTCTCCTGCACTTCCAGCTGTGTGCGGGTTGCTTCAGCATAGGAGATGGCATTGATAATCTCCGCCTCTGTGCGAGCAAGTTCAGCAGCACGCTCAAAGTACTTGAGAGCCTGAGAGACCTTGCCCTGCTGCAGCAGAAGCTGTGCCATAGTGCCTACAGCAATATCGCATTCGGGGTCGACTTCGATCGGTTAGCATCCAATATCATGGCTTCACGGTGAACGGCAATAAAACTTACTGATCAGGGCTTTCTGGCAGAGGTTCTCGGCCTCTTGGAAATCGTGCTTCCACTGGAACAGAGCAAGCGCCTTGTTGATCAGAGGCAGAACGTTAATTCCCATCGGCTTGCTCTGCTTCTCCATCTCCACGGCCTTGTCGAATTTCTCAATTGCCTCGGAGAAGTTCTGCTGGTCCAGCAGAAGTTCACCGTAGTAGTTGTAGACATCAGGAACCTCCTCAAAGTTCTTCACAGATCTTCTGAAGGTAGCCATGGCGGACGCAACCGAACCCATCTTGTACTGCGTAACACCGAGCTGGATGTGGGAGTAGATGAAAGTGCGGTCGAGGTCGATGGATTTCTGGTAATCCTTAGCAGCCTCGGCGAATTCTCCGAGGATGAAATGAAGCTGGGCACGGTGGTAGTAGATGTCCGGGTCATCCTTGTTGTGGGTGATGGCGAGTTCGAAGTCATCGGCAGCGGCATCCTTGTTTCCTTTTGATCTGTCAGCAAGGCGTACACCGAAAAAAACGGGGCTTAACATACCGAGTTCGAGGTGCAGGCTAGCACGCTTGATGTAGCTCTGGACCAAGGACGGCTGCAGTTCAACGCTCTTGTTGAGGTCCAAGAGGGCGGCCTGGGCGTTACCCTCGAGATAGGTGAAGGTGGCTCTCAGGTTAAGAGCCAGAGCCTCATATTCACCCAAATCTCCGAGTTCGAGAGACTTCTCGAAGGCAGCAGCAGCCTCCTCATAGCCATCACCGGTCTTCAAAGCCATGGCAAGCAGACCCTTGCGGAGTTGACCCTTGCCAGATTCTTCACTCAGATCAGCAGACTTATCGAGACCTTCCGGCAGGGGCTGGGGGCGGAAGCTCTGGAGGTAGTTGGATACGAAGGTCGGGCTAGGGAGTTTCTTGCCCTTCGCCTCGATGATGGCCTTTCCTTTCTTCTCTGCAACCTTCTTCAGGAGTCTCTCGAGAGCAACGCGGCTGATCTCGTTGGAGAAGCCGTCAATGATGCAGCTCGCAGTGAAGTCAAGAAGAGCCTCGCTGTACTTCTCTAGGTGTTCATATGCAATGGCCCTCCGGTTCAGGGCCTTGACGTACTCGCTGTCCATGGCAAGAGCGGCACTCGTATCTTCGACGACCTTCTCCCACTCGGACAGAACATTATAGCAGGCGGCACGGTTGGAGTAGAAGACCGGATCGGGCTTGCAGAGGATGGCCTTTCCGTACAGTTCAATGGCCTTGTTGTAGTCCTTGGAACCATAAGCCTTGTTTCCGGCAGCCTTGAGCTTGGCTGCGTACGCCTTCCTTGTCTGACTCCGGGGTTAGCACTTGCGCCCCAATCTCCATCAGGGAGAGCAACGACCAACCTCTTCCGACAGCTGTGCAACGGTTTCCTCATCCACCTCTGGGAGATCCTCAGAAGACTCCTCCACCTTCTTCGTCACTGGCTCTAGAAGATCGTCAGACAGAGCCAGATGCTTGTCGGCTGGAGACGCGAAGCATTAATTCATTGACATACCATCCTGAACAGAAGGAGTCTTGGCCTTCTTTTCCTCCTCTGCCTTCTTCTTCTCCTTTCTTCTCTGGTTCTTGCTCTTCTTCTTCTCTGCGGGAGGAGCCTGAGTAGTCCGAGTCGTATCGTTGAGGTAGTAGACGACACCCGCGCTAGTCACGACCACAGCAACACCGGCAATGGTGTAGACAAGGGCCTTGTTTCCCGACACCCATTTCGAGATGCGATCCCATACTGATGCCGATGAGGATGCGGGAAGGGAAGCCGTATCAAGAACTACGTTCTTCGTTGGCTGGGGGAAGGGCGATTGGCTCGACATGATGACCCGACAGAGGAACCCGTCTTCTCGTCGCTTTTCCTATAATCTACAGCGAGATCAGTTAGCACCCTGGAGACGATCGAGTCAAATTGGGGGCGACAGTGATAACGGACGGTCCGGGGGGAGGTAGAGCAAGAGCTTGTCGGCAGGCGGACAGCTTTTCTTGGGGTTGGATGAGAGCGAGGAGAGATGCGGCTTGAAAAGTTATGCGTTACGATGTTCAGGTTCCGGCGACGCAGCGGGCTTTCCGAGCTGTGTCGGGCCAATCACACTCGTCGCAAGGGGATGCTCCGTCAGCTCCTGGTTTGCTCCACCGCATCATCGGTCACCGCGCGAGCATGCGGATTGTTATGATTGCGAGGCACTCAGGAGCTTGTCTCGCTCCGGCTGGATAGTGATCGTTGGATAGCTCATCCTGTCATCAATTGCTCATCCCAATTTAACATACTCCCTGTTCTAGTGCACCACCTAACCTACCTAGGTACAGCCTACAAATCCTGCATCCGCTGCAGTGCCTGCCTACCCACAGTACTCTTATACTACCCTCGGTCGCAATACTGCTCCGACAAGAACAAAGGCCACAATGTCATTAATTGTGCTTCCCCCGGACTTTAAAATCATATCATCTCTACGTTACGATCCGGCGCTCGTGGCTGTGGGCAAGCAGGGAGCCGCACAATCCTCAACAGATCCTTTCAGTACACCGTACTACCTCCTCCCTTATCACCAAGCGCGGCTCCGAAATGCGGCGACATGTTTTGGCTGGGGAAAGGCTCTGGCTTTTCTGCAACAAGACACCAATCAATTTGCCAAATATCTTGACACGTTCATCCCGGATGATACCAAACCATGGCGCCTCCGTATTGTCATGGATAAGATGGGCACGTGCGAGGTCGAGATCAACCCAACAACGTTGATGGATCCCCTGAACCTTCTACTTCCCTCCGAAACGAGCCCTCAAACCACGGTATGGCGTGTCTACATCGATTCCGAACGCATAGCGCCGTCTGTATTCACGACGCACAAGACTACAGCCCGCGACTTCTACACAGCTGCAAGGCTTCGGTCGGGAATCGTTTCTCTACTAGAGCAGGCGGAAGTACTCCTGGTGAACCCAGCAGGTGAATTAATGGAGGGCAGCATTACAACGCCATACTTCAGACGGAGGGACCTTGCGGAAGGGGAAGGAGGCCCAGCCTGGATCACGCCGCCGCTTTCGAGTGGTGGCAATGCTGGCACAACAAGACACTATGCTTTGACAGAAGGGTTTTGCATGGAGCACACAATAGCAGCCACCGACCTAGTCGATGGGGAGGAGTGTTGGCTCAGCAATAGTGTGAGGGGGTTCATCCGCGGTAAAATCGTACTAATGGGGTCTAACGACCCGCACACCTAACGTCCATCTAAGCTAGGTGAGAAGGATTTTCGAAGTGGTGTGGAGAATGAATCCAGACAACTCGGTCCGCGATCTTGTGAGCCACAGCATCCCTGTCGGTCCTGTCGGTAGGGTGTTGGGTTGCAGGCATATGTCATACTCGTAGACAGCTCATATGCATGAAGCGCCTAGTTGTACCAACCATCATTTGCGTGCAGGGCCACGCAAGAGTCATAATGTCCTGTGTTATGAGGAAAGTTCGTCGCGAGACGTAGCATATGTCTCAAGAGGGACGATGAATCTCCGTAATCCGAGGGCAGGGCCGATTCTACTAAGGTATATAATCGGCCGTAACTAGAAGAAGGACTGAAAAGCTTAGTAACTTTTTCTCAGGGGGCACTTCAGTTATCACCTGTCACTACGGAGTACTCGGTGTCAGGATGGGATGGTGATGTAGGGTGACATTTCTCAATTCGCCAATGATGTTGACGTCAGAAATACTCTGGGTCATAATCATACGAGGGATCTGCAGCCATACTGCTGCCACACAGCGCACCAGGCATCCATAGGACATGGTAGTATATGGATATGCAGTGGACGACATTAGAAGGTATACTTCTGGTGGATTGTATGACCGGGCCTTGGCGAGGGAGAAGGAAGACGAATAATCAGATGATGCAACGGACCATCCGCAGCCCCCGCATTACCAATCGGGACTAGCGGCGAGCGGCCAGAAGCTGACAGAAATTCTTCCCATTCGACTCGGAGGCTCGGGCAGAATCGTCCGGCCACTGAGAAAGGCGATTGAGCAGGCGAGCAGTTTAAACAAGCAGCATCCCCAACGCCACCCCAGCTTCAGCGCCCTCCTCCTTCCCCCGTTGCCCCCCATCTATCCTGTCTCAATCCATCAATCCAGCCTGTATGAATCATCTGCAATCATGAAGTTCTTCGAGAATGTCTTCACCTACGACTACTCCTTCCCGGCCGTGTCGCTGGCCTACTTCCTTCGCTATCCTAACCCTTATTCTCGCCATGTCCTGACCACCGATGTCATTGACCGCTATGTTGATCCCTCGACCCAGCGTCTCCACACTACCCGTCTCCATCTGAAGAAGTCCAAAGTGCCGTCGGGAATCCTCAAGCTGCTTCCCAAGGGCATTGGTGGATCGGACAACTCCGGCCAGAGCTACATCCTGGAAACGACCATTGTCGACGCCAAAGAGGGCTGGATGCAGACGGAATCGCGTAACATGGAATGGACTGGAATCCTGAGTGTGGTGGAGAAGCAATTCTACCAGCGCCAGCCGCTCGAAGGCGCGCTCGACACGCTTGAAGGGCTTTCTCTCGATGACAAGAGAAGCGAGCAGACCACGGTGCGGACCACAGTCACTTTCCGCTCCCGGTTCGGACAAGGAAAGTTGCTCGGTCGGAAGAAGGCTGAGCCCAGTAGCGATCACACGGGGGATTACGAGGAAGAGGCTCCCAAACGGGGGCTTTTCAGCTCGTTGTCCACGGCGGGTATTCAACGCACCATTGAGTTGATTGGGTTGAACCGCACCCGGGATGCTGTGCTGAAGAGCAAGCAAGGCATGAACGTGGTGCTTGAGCGCTTGCGCAGTGGGGGCATTGTGGGCGTTCTCGAGGGCATGCGTCAAGATCGAGAGGCGGTCTACGGGCCGGAGGGTGGTCCCTGGAAGCGCGTTTGGCTAACGGGCAACGGACATGCATCTATTGAAGATGATGACCACTGATTCGATATTTTCAACTACCGGGAAGGAAGGCGATCAATACGGGAAACATATATGCGGCATTCAAGCGTGGAGCTCTGGCGTTTGGGATTTTTTTTCTTTTGTTTTTGACGGACACTCTCCTACTATCTTTGACACTCACCGTCACGGTCGACTTTTGTCACCGTCACATCAACACCATCGACATATGCATATGTTCAAAACAGGTATACGACGAGACATGTCACGGATCAAGACATTGTGTATATTAGGAAAAGGTTGGCGCCCGGTCGGCTACTTTTACTGATTTTGGTGGCACCTATGTACAATATCAACTACAACGATACTTTTATCGCATACATATAGTCGTTCATTAATCTTGAGTACATTGGTTATGACTAACCCAGACTGTTCAAATGACGCTGAGGTCTACAAGCTAGGTGAACTATATCATTCCCACCAACAGATTTGGACCCAGCATTCCAACAATTCACAGTAGATACCTTTTCCATCTGAGTACAAAACCACAACACAAATCCACATCTACACCTCCACCCTATACATACCTCCCTCCAGCAGCCAAGCCCAGAAATCAAATAACAAAGATCCCATCAACAGACAATATACCCAACGGCGTACGTATATCGATTACATCCCTACGGACAACTAAGCACGGCAGATTTGACTGAATACTAGTATCAACGGGCATCATGGCCCCAACGCTGAACCTGATGTAGTAGAGTAGTCAGTTTCATTTCACGTTCACATGAATAGCATGCTATATATTCTCTCGATATGACAACAGACAGTGTATAAGTTATAAGGACAGCCTGAAGCCCGGGGTATGTCAGTTATGTAGAAGCCATGGCTCATCATGCTAGGCTCTTTATACCACTCTGCTGTTATTGGAGGTTTATCGGGGTATGAGGGTCGGCTCTCGAGCTGCTAAATGTACTCTTTGATAGGGAGGATCATCTAACATCTAGGAGGTCTGAGAATGAATCTACGATGATCAAGTGATCACTTCGTAGGTATAATATTAGTCTGACGATCTACACAGCCTTTCAAAGTCATTGGCGTTCTGTCTGTCGTCAAAGGGTAATGGTGTAAATTGCATGGTCTGGCATTAGGTAGGAGCTCAGGCTGAGAGCACTGATTGTAAGGCTTGAACAACGACTATCGGTAGTATGAGATGAATAGAGATCTATATCATCAAGAGACAACACCTCTAACAGCTCTAGATCACCGTTGTAAATGAGTACCGAGCTGAGAGGCCAGATTAAACTATGTATGATTTGGAAGAAAATAATAGAAAAGCAAAACAAACACTGTACATACTCGTTGAGAAAGTCATCATTCATTCACTCGATGCTAAGCGAGTCTTTAGCCGAGACTAGTACTCAGAACTATTTCTTTCCTACACTCTCAACAAAAGACAATCTCATTGAACCCAAAATGAAGGTTGGTAACACAACCCAAAGGCTCGAAAGTGAGCGAATGCAGAGATCATGGAACATGCACGTGACTTCCACCTTACAGTTCCGGCAAGATATTCCAGGACCTGAACAACTTGCATTCTGACGACCACGAAATCAATCTGAGCCGTTGAAATCCTGCCACGGACAATTTGGTACTATCCCGATAGAGTCAGAAATTGTCATCGTTCTCAGGTCGTGCCCATTCAGACCCGGCCCTAACAATCCAGCACCTACATAGAGTAGATCTCAAAGGAGGATGGAATACCAACTACCGCTCCGTGGGGTGCGTCTTCCTGACGACCCCATGGAAGAGCATAAAACCTATCATGTTGAATCACACAATCGGGGCACATATTCAACCAATATCGCGCAATTAAGCGAGGAGTTTAGAATCCTGCCCGTGCCTACCGACACCGACGACCTGGAAACGACATGTACGAAGCTAGAGGAACTCGCCAAGGTGGTCGAGCAAGGCAACAGTCTTGCGCTCTTTACGGGGTTGAAACTGGCCACACAGAGGACGAGAGATCCGGAGAGTGTGGCCAAGGCTCAGCTGACACCCGACGAGCTGATGATGTATGAGAGCTGGAAGGCGATGAGGATGAGACAGACTACCCGGCAGAGTGACGGTGATGGCAATGGCAATGGCAATGGCATACACGACGACGACAACAACCAAAACGGACAATCTGAAATAATGCAGCTCCCGGACTTTAACTGGGCAGAGAACGTGGCGCCGGTGCCTCAGGGCGCACAGAGTCTGAAGAAATTTACACGACGGGCGGAGGCGATGGATGTGGTCTTTGGTCATGAAGGTGCTACACCGGAGAATGCGTCGTGGCTGACGTCGAATATGATCTTTATGTTACCTCTTGTCAAGGCCGTCACGAAGGTCTGCAATATTGGGAAACATTTGGAGAATACTAGTGGGGATCGTCACATGCGGGGCCTGACGGATATGGAGGCTGCGGAGGTGGAAACGGTACGCAGATTGGTGGCGATTGCGGGCAAGAATCGGACGCGAGAGATGGAGAAGATTCATCGGTTAACGAGGTCGATTCAAGAGGCTATGTTGGTGCTTAAAGCGCGCGCTGATGCGCTGGAGAGATCGTGATGCATTTCAATTATATTCGACCCGTTCGGGGAGAAGAGGAAGCTTGTATGGAGTATAACGAACGAAACGGGCCAATGAAGCAGAGGGCTACAGAGCTGAAATGGGCGTCATGGGGATACTATAATTTTCAAATCATGTCTCTAATTAGATGAAACCAACAATAACTGCTTGTAGTGGGCAGGGGTATCCCGACGGCATACGAGAGCACTATACTCTCCAGGATTGAGTACCCAGCCAATGAACAGCAGTGTAATGGACTACCGTGCGTGAATTAATAACCGCAGCCCCTTCCTAGGCTCCATAGATTTAAATTGATCAGTAGACTGTTGAACGGAGTAAGGTGACTGCGATATACTATCTAGCAGCCCTTTGCCATGGGCCTAATGACGCAAGGTTCGAACCCGGCCATCCCAAGGAGCCCCCGCTGCTTTGATTGGACACCAGACTCATCGGCTGGAAATTACAATGCACTGCATTAGGCAGCTGTGTAGATGAAGAGGAACCGGGGACCTCCATGTAATTGGAAGGAATATCCACCCAAATCCGAACAGCCAAGGCCCCAAAAAAGACAAGAAAGGGAACAGGCATATGTTTTAGGCTGCCACGGGCTCCATTCTCTCGAGCTAACCCGGGAATGGACGAACTGTTTCTAAGGGAAGTGGAAACCGTCAGACCAGGCAGCAAACAACAATAATAATAGATACTACTCCGTAGAGGAATCCACATTCTCAGCTCCGGGAGCAACTCGGTTGTCGGCGGCGCACTGAAAGCCAAAATTGGCATCTCGGCTGATGACCTCATCGAAAGACATCATCGTCACAGACTTTCACCATCACTCTCTCGCTCCAAAAGGGGCGGGGTTGAGCATCAGTTCGCACATTGTCTGTCGTCTGCATCCGGTTTTCATTTGGACAGGCCGCCTGACTGTCCCCATGTGTTGCACATGGTCTGTATACCAAGAAAGTCGGGGTCGAGGAATGCGGGTTGGTGGTTCTCAGGGATATCGCAGACGTCATAGGAAGTCCGTCCATCCCTTCGGTGTCGGGGAGGACAATACTACCCAAATCCTAACAAGTACCAAACAATGACAGCCAGTCAGATGGGTCGGCCCATGAACCAAAAGAAAAAAGGGGGCACCAGCTGGATCATGATGGAGCACAGTAGCACCCCCTTCTTTCCCGTACATGTCAACCACGATACGGAGTAAAATTATCATCATGATAAGGGCGGGATATGGTCATAGTAGTAATAAATCACTCACGGGTACTCTATGTCCGCGCCCAGAGGTCCGTTACTCCGGTTGGACCCCTGAGTGGTTCAAGAATCAGGGTCAGTCTCCTCCGTAGCGCTGCTAGTGTACTGGTAGATAGGAGTGATGGAAGACACCCGAACTCGAAAGTGATTTAGTCCGAATACGCGATTCAACGATGGGGACCCAACCGACGCCGTCGGTAATTTTTAGTCCGTGTCAAGCTTTGAAGACTTAGCGCTATGGGTCGAATCCCTTTCTTTTTCTTTCCATTCTCTTTGCTCCTCGAGATAAGCAAAATCTACCTCATAAGTGGGTAGGAGACCTGTCACACGACGAGTTTACAAATGGGTTGACCTCGACATGAAGGGGATGCAATCGATGCATGCAGGGCAAGGCAACGCAGCTTTGCCGCAAACAAACCGAAACCTTTTCCCAGGTGGCAACCTTCACCACGGGATCTGAAGGGAGGGGGCAACAATTTAATTAATTCCGGGCTCTGGTCAAGGGACAGTGCTCAGGGCTCTCAGCTTCTTCACTAACCGGTGGCACTAGCGGCATTGTACTATAGTAGTACTCCGTACTGTGCCAGGCCAAGGCGAAAAGAAAGAAAAGATGAAAATCAGGGACTGGCTAAAAGCCAGGCTACTGCTAGCGGTCGACACTAGAGCATACCGTCATGTATCAGGGACCCGGCCTATTTCGGTGGATCTCCGCTAACCGGTCAGGCTAACGGTCGTTTCCCCTCTCAAGCTTCGCGATACCTTCAATGGCTTCGACCAGCACAGTTCGGGGTACTCACCGTTCCAACTTCCAAGGTCCTTGGTGATTCATTGTCATGGTGTCGATCCCTTGGAATTGACATCCCTATTTCACATGTTCACAATGCTCGTTAGTACGGAGTCGCTGTCTGTATGCTCTTGCTACGGAGTACAGGTGTCCATTATGTGCAGATAGACTGCCAGCCACCCTCAGCCATCTTGTCAACCCAAAGTAAAGTCTACAGCAGATCTATTTTCTACAGCACTTTAACACTAGCATCACCATGATCATCATACCTAGAATTCTCAAAAGGTGGTCACCGACAGTCTCGGGTTCGCATTGCCTACTGGCCGGATACCTCAGAAGTCAATTCATTTACGCTTCGATAGTAGGTCGGAGACGAGAAACACCAGGTTGCCCCTCGATGCCAGTCATTGGTGCGATATCCCAGTCCTGTGACTTCAAGCACTCGACCCGAAACTCGAGTCAAGGGTGTCAGTCCTCCGACATTTAACCGTCTTTGGATCTGCATCTCATCACAACAAGGTGCTCTACAGGAATCCCCCTCACCCTTTGCTGCATTGCTCGTCATGACCACGTTGTTGGTATCGGTTTGATCACAACACACAATGCAGCACAAACCCCGGGCCTGACGCAGGGTAATCCTGATGAGAAGGATGAATGAATGAAGGTTCTGATAAGCTGGACCACGTGTAATTGGTACATACTTTCCACTCATCAATTTGGCAGACTCACCGTAGGAAGAGGCCAACCTCCTGACATCTATCTAGTGCGTGATCTAATAAAGCTAGGTACCAAGGTGTGTAAAGTCTCGATTAGTTTCGGGCGTTGTTCCAGCGCGATATCCTCTACGATCCGAGGGGGACTCCATCAAGGGCAATTGGGCGAGACTGGATGAGCTGATCTCATTTCACGCCATCTGACAGCTCAGCACAGTTCTGCAGAATCTTCATACCCTCTAGTAACCTAGTAAGGAGTAAGGTCAGTGGATTGAAAAGCTTGTCCGGTGTTGACGGCACAACACGAGGGACCATGGACGATGGACACCAGCTCGGAAAAGTCTACGGGCGGAGATCCCCGAATGGGTTAGCAAAGCCTGGCTACCGACTCACTAACAGCTAGTCAGTTCTCTCTCACGGTGGGCTGCAAGCAGATACCAAGGAGTCATAGCAGATTGCTACCGGAGTGACAAGTCTTGGTTTTCTACCCTCGGGTTCACCGGGCTCAGAATTTGATTTCTGGGTGCCGATAGTCATGCGTGAAACTCTACTGCTTTCTTGACAGATAATACACAAGTAGACCAAATAATTGAGCAAATGTGGGAGGAGGGCTGCTGGATAATTCGAGCGCTTGAAGCATTTTCGATGTCACCGGAGGGACCGGACGAAGGTGGTAATAATGCACGCAGAATAGAGCCAAAGGCGCTAGTTAGCGTACCAGAAATTGCAATAATCGGTTACTAGTAGTTATTTGGACCCGTCAGCAGCCGCTACGGTATGGAGTCGCCAGATGGATATTAGATAAGTATTATTATTAGTCGATAACTAATGACCAGACCCTGAAACCGGAAGATCATTGTGTTCCCAAGCAATAAGAATCAAAAATTCGCTTCAAACGCTGGTTCCAATACGGGGCTTGGTATGAATGACGCTCTGAGATACGAGCGACCGACGGCAGTTCTCATGTGCGAGCACTGTATCCCCAGCAGTGCCGCTAACATGCCACCTGCATGCACCGAGTAGATTACTAGTCCTAGTGACATCTTGGACCCTGGCTCAGGATCGGAATCTCACCAGGTGCAACTAATCACGACTAATCATAGTAGTGGGTGTAGAGGGGACAAGCGACCAGCCCGGAGCAGTAAGACGGTTTTCTGGCCGTAACTGGAGGGACAGAAAATTACCGCCTAACCCCCCCCTGGGGGCAAAGTTACGATGGTGGCTGGAACATAAGCGAGTTTATTGGCCCCTGACGAGTCTCGAGGTGCGGCGCCAGTCCCGAAATATGCGTCCAATCGGCCCTGTGACTGGCTCCCTGCTGCGACCCTGGACGGGATTACCCTCCGGAATTGCCGCATTCGGTGTGAGTTATGCGGGGGCTGCCAGTTAGCGTCGGCGACCGGGCAGCGCCAAGAATGCCTCTAGGATTCTGGGAAGCCAGGGAGCGACCGAAAGCCAGGCACCTTGGGCCAATCCTCGGGGGGGTCCACACGCCTTGTTTCACGGACAAGACAACCAACACGCCCTGGAAAATAATAATCTGTCCAGGAGCAGCAGCATCATACTACCGCTGCCACTACCACCACTACCGCTGAGGATCACACCGTGATTACTCTATGCTTACACCTCCTCTTTTCCCTCCACCTCTTCCTGCTCCTGCTGGTGATTACTCTCTCCTCAAACCCTACGTCGCGACCGTGACAGTCAACCCCTGTTCCTCCGTCCACACCCACCTGTCTCTCCTCTTCTCCCCCTCGGCATCACCACTAAAGAGGCCCTGGCGCCAGGGACAACTCGTTCTTCCACCCGCCGGAGCCCCCCGACCCGGTCTGTTCTTCCACCATTGATCTGGCAACCTTCAGCATCCTTCACCACTGAACGACCCCTCCTTGTCCCCGATTGAAAGATAAACGGTCGGCACACTGCCTTGTTGCGAGTCTTGAGCCTGATCGACGCGGCTGCGAACGCGAGACAACCTACCTATTTATCGTTTACCAACTGGACTATAACGAATTGAGGCTATTCCACACCGTTTTCGAAACGCTCCGACCGGCATTGGTTTTGCGAATCCGTATCGTTCCGCGCTCTTTATGTGTCTTTAGCAGACCGTCTCTGGCATGATCCCGGCGACCGCCTACCGACCTTGAGCACATCAGCAACCACCTATCTGTTCAATCTACCTTGATATACACCGAAGTACGGTTATGAGCATGCGATTCGCCCGCTTGTCAGCTCTTTCTACATCCTTGTTGCGCCTGTGAAGTAAGTCGGTCACTCTTCTCAGCACGACATCCGACCGTTTGTGATCCAAATGGCTCGTCTTATTGGAATGGGGTCTATACTCCGATCCGGTCTGAATGCCTTCATGCTATTAGCAGTACTGGCATCTCCAGTGATTGCCCAGTTTTGCTCCTTTTGGAGCGGCAGCTGTCTCGATGCTCTCGCCCAGACTGCGGTGTCTTTCACCTTTCCTCCTCTGTTTGAGGAGAACCTGAACCTTTACTATGGATTTGATGCCAACTCCCGAGGCAAAGGCCAAGAGCCTATGACCAAAGTCAGCTATTGGCTGGGTTACGGAGCTTTGATCAATAACTCTATCATCAACGCCAATCGAACCTCCGAGATTGCCTTGCGGGTGGGAAACCTGACGGGCACGCCTTCGGGATCCAACAATGGCTGCGACGGTGTCTGGGGCTCACAGTGCTCTAGCGATTTGAAAACGTTGTTGAAGCAGGCCTTGTATGGCCTTACTACTAGTGGAGATTACTACGGCCATCCTCTGGATACTGTGCTGAGTGAGATGCTTGTCAATCAGCCTGTCCTGTCCAATTGTCCTCCGCCCCTTTTCGACGTTGCGGCCATTCCTTCCATCGGTATGAGCTTGTCCTATCTTCTTTTTATCTTTTTTCTTACTGACCCTTTCAAGCGTTCGCCCAAGAAACCGATACCGATCAGACTGCGACCCTTCAGACGTCGGGTTCTAGCAACAGTCCGTGGAAAACATGGTTCATTGACAACATGAATGCCAATGACCAAGCCGCACAGGTTGCCGTTGCCATCATCAGCAGAGCTCCATCATACAACAGTGTGCCTCCACAATATGTGGATGACATACAAGTGGAGCTCGTTTGCACTCAAGCACCGTCCACGGGAAGTTCATCGTCATCGAGTCAGGGTTCTTGATCTACAGTAGAATGCGCCTTGCGTGGGAACAATGATATGAACGAACACTTGGAAATACACTCGCTGCAGATTTGAAATCACCCAGGGTTAGCTGGAAGAAACCCTGGTATCGATCGCATCGCGATCCTTCGACAGGTCCATCCGATGAATTAGCCGCATACCTCATATGAGGCTAAACATATTGCAGACAGTCGCCTAACACGGCCATCGTTGGATCTATTTGCGACTGCGCGGCGTCGCGGTGTCCTCAGACTGGATCAAGCAGACACAAGGAGCTGTACCTTGATGCTGCGACCGAGATACTCCCATTAGTGACTGGGAGCCGAGGACACGCGTGAGGATGGACTTGCCCGATGAACAAGCCGGTTCCGTGGACTTGAGCCTTAAACAATTCAGATAGGTTCATCGCATTCAGCACCGCATAGTCCATCTGCATTCCAGCAATCCATCTATGAAGAAAGGGGAGACAATGGCATGTATGCTATCAGAAAGTCACAATTCTATGGGTATATCAGAGGCTTGCGCTCAGCACAAGCAGGATATCTACATGTTCAATAAACATACTTCAAAACCCTGAATCCGAAAACATTCCCTCACCAGTCTCTATCCCCCTCCTGCAGCACACATACCTCCGTAATCCTACCCTCCCTATAGCGTCTCCCAACCCAACTCAATCGGCTCCAACTCCCCCGGCCCCCAAAAATCCTCCAAAACATCCGCCTGCTCACTCAACAGCACCCGATCCGTCTGACACCCAATCCTCGCCAACTCCCTCCACCGCGCCAAATCCTCCGGATTCCGCTTATCCCCATGCGCCGCCTCACTCCTCTCCCAATGTCCCTTGGAGAACCCCAACAACGTCGTGATCCGCTTCCGGGGGATATCATACACCAACGAGCAAATCGTACCCGTCTCTTCCAGCCAATTACACTGCCATAGCTCGCCCGGCCGAATGCATTGGTAGGTGGCTGTTTGGAAATTCTTGCGGCCGGCCATGGGCCCGCCGTGGATGGCGTACACGATTCGGTCCTCGTTGTAGAACCACATCTCGTAGCGCCATTTCTCGGGGTTGCCGTGGGGGTCTTGGGCCGAGTAGTCGTAGATTAGGTGGCGGTTGTGGAGGTCGGTGGTGAAGGGGGTTGCGGTGAGGTTGGGGAGGACGGGCATGGTGGTTGCAGGTTTTTGGTAGGGGTTGGATGGTTGTGTTGGATGTTTTTTGAATTGAATATATGGTGATGGGATTGGTCTCGAGGTAGTTACCAATCGTTAAAACGATCAGTATCTTGATCTTTTAGTAGATATCCCATCATTGCCGGACTCACCTTCCGAGTGACACCGATGACATCATGACTGATCCGGGGAGTTGATACACAGTAACACTATTCACCTAGGCTCTTCCAACTACTGTTAACTAACCGCCGTTGAACTCTTAAATCCACTGGAGTGGCGGGTACGGCAACGGTAGTTCACAGGCTAGTGGGCTTTAAGCCGAGGGTCTCCGAATACCGAGGAGTGGGAAGTGTGTGCGTATAGATGGTTGATGGTACGGAGTACATGGATTCCGTTACGGGTATTAGTATAGGGGTATAGCTTGGAGAGACTATAGTGTAGTGTGGCCTGAGGATGGATTCACGTGCTCGTCGCTGGGCTACCTGGATGGGGTAAGAGGTTGATTGGCGATCATCAGGCACGTTCTCGTTGATCTTCCTCTGGTGGATTACGTGAATTGAGAGTTGTGGGCTTACTTCATTACTTGGGATGTGTGGATGGTGTTAGATGTGATGAGCAGTGTGTTTTCTTTATGGTGATCGTTTATAGGGCCAGAATCCTGATGGTCATGGGTGGCTGAGTGATCTGTCAGTGTCTGGTTGGTATCGGTGGTGAGGTTCAGCAGGTATATATATGGCTTGCATAGAGCCACTATGACTGGATGGGGTGAGAGACAATTGGTCCCTTTGCTTTATCTGTCGATTGGACTGCTTGTCTGTGATAACAGTGCTAATATGTCCTGCGTCTTGAAGGTTTGTCTCGACAGAACTACATCGAATGATTCGGGAGTCTTCAAGAACCCAGTGTCACAGGGGTGAGTCCTCTGACTGTTTGATCACTATTCCTGATGTATTCAGCTACGACATCTGGTTGGCTGTCGAGATGGGGTTCGAAACACACTCTGGGAACGGCAGACTGAAGGTACGACAGTAAGGTTCTCTAGGAACAGCCTGTTGATGCAAACCACACCCCAGCACAAATTGTTTTGATTCTACTCAACCCGATTGACATGATGGACTCGAGATATGCTATTCTCGGAGAAGATGTAGGTATGAATATGAATCTATCGGCGCCTACTTTCTAGCCATGCTGACAATCAAGCGACGATTCATGTCCATGTCCACCAATACTATGGGCTGGACGGGCAATATGCATCGAGTATATAGTCTACGGAGTGCCAGTATGATGTGCCGAAGCACCCCTGCATACACTGGTGTCAGTCCAATTCAACTACAGGTACCAGATTAAAGTCAGATGATTCGATGCCCAATCGAGCAGTCTTTAAAACAGCCACGGGTGGATCTTAGATCGGGCTGGGCCTTTCAACTCTCGGTTGTGGTTGTACCACCAGCGCTTAGTCGAATGGACTATCCGTTGGACAGGCAGATTGGCATAGCTGTCTCTGGTCTGCTTCCTTTGTGATTATCATTCATTATTTGTCACTATCTTGCCTACACGGAGTACAAATGGCGTGGTGCCAGTTATTCAGCCATGGTGTGGGTGGAGCATTCAATAGCCGCCTGAAAAGGATGCACAAGGACAATTGCCAGACAAAGATCACACGGGAGTCAGTGGGCTTGGCTGCATGCGTGGTTCGTCGGACCAGCAAGCTCAGTGGCCGGGCAAAGTCCTGACTAGTCGAGATGCGAGAAGACCTCCCGCTACGACGTTTAAAGTTTGCAGTCCCACTGGTTGATGAGCTTGATGGAGGATAACTTCCCAACACAAGCTTGACTGGTGCAGCTTGCCTCAGCCCTGGGTGACGGCATCAATGTTTCATGCCGGATGAGTTCGGAAGTGATGATGGCCGGAGGCGTTGCCTACACTGATCGCTGCTGTCAAACAGCGATGGAACACTTGAATGAGGGCTGTTGGGACATGAATCGGTAGCGCTTCGAGCACGCTGCAGAAGCGCCCAACTGCGATAGGCCGGGCACCTTTGGGTATATACCAGTCGCTGAAAAACCTAGACCGCTCTCAGGCTCCATCACCTCCCGGCGATCTCAGGTGTTGGTGGAATCCGAAGCTGTGGTGGTGATTTCATGATTCGGGCCGGTGCATGACGTAGCAGATCCCTGCCCGCCGCATATCGTCATCGTTCGTGTCGCCCGATCATTCCGCGCTTTTAAAATTGTTCCCTCAACCTTTCTGTTGGTCATTTATCTATCGGATCTGGAAGTCCACTGCAATAGATCGGCAGCTCTCGATATCTCTTCCTGGTGGCTAGGAAGGTGCTCTCCAGCTCGTGATCAACAGTCTCAAGAAGACAACCCACACAGGCTCCTCTCTCGATCGTAACGCACATCAAACACATCTCGAACCATCAAAATGGTCGTCAAAGGAATCCAGCTCGGTCTGCGGATCTGGGAGGTATGTCGTCCCTCTCGAGCCGCGCCATCTGCTCTTGCTGGATCTGCGATCAAGCGAAGCATCTGGCACTCCGACTAACAGCTGAGGATTGAACCAGTTCCTTTGGACTCTGCTCATCATGGCACTCATCGGTAACATGATCGCCGAAGCATTCGCTGGAAACCCCGCGACCGTCAACTACGCCATGTTCGTCTCGGCCTTCTCGATGTTCACCCTCTTCTATCTTATCCCAGCGTCGATCAACATGGACTGGGCCATCCACCCAGTCTTCGTGATCGTTATCGACACGCTCAACGCAATTTTCTTCCTCACAGCGGGAATTGCTTTGGCCGCGAAACTGGAATGCCACAGCTGCGGCAACAATGTATGTTTCGGGCATGATTTTCTGCCTTATCAGCGGGAGAAGAGAGAGAAACAAAAAAGTGGAGAGTGGAGTCTCGTCCCGGGATTCCCAAGCATTGATGTACATTTTAGGGCAACGCTAACTGTGGATCCTACTACTACTCCAGGCCTACACGCTCAGCAACGAAATCACCAACGGATCCCGTAACCGTGGGAAGCGCTGCCGGGAGGCTCAAGCCTCGACGGCATTCCTCTGGTTCGCCTGGGCCGGATATACCGCCTCGATGGTCCTCTCGATCGTCGCGTCTCGCCAGACGGGTGTCAACCTCCGTGGCCGCACTGGTCCGGCCCGTGGAGTCACTCGTCCCAGCATGGCCCAGGTGTAAGCCGGTGGACTCCACCCCCAAGGACGATAACCCTCAGCCTGGATTCTGAAAATACGACACGAAATCAAATAATGCACGGAACGGAATTGAATAAAACGAGTGACGATCTTGTCGAGTACAACCAACCAACCAACCAACCATCGGAACGAAAACGACATGAAATGCGCGCTGATCCTGGCTGAAGGGGCTAACTAACCTTCAATACTATACGCACCCATAACCGGACATGTCCGGTCTGGCGATAATTTACTACTAATTCGAAGAATAATCCTGGGATATTTGTTTAGGTGATGGGACAGGACGGGACGGGGTTCGGAGGGAGTAATAATGGATTGGATTGGATTGGGTAAGGAAAGGAAAGAAGTGGATGTAATCGTATTTTTTATTCAGCTGTTGCTATCTACGTATGGATTAGTTTGTAATATTGACGCAATCCAATGTGGTTTGTGTGTGTTTTATACTTCTGAGATTGATGTTTTGTAAGTAGCTCATTGCAGAGGCTGTGGATCCGGGGAAGTCTATTCCCCCCCCCCCCCCCCCCTTGCCCCCATATCTTCGTTTACATTGAGTCTCACCCATCTAAGATCATCTTATACATGCCTGTATAGAGTACCTTGAGTCCTTGTAAGTAATTTGTATGTACTATGTGCATGATTTATTACTGTCAGCTTTAGCTACAACGCAATAGCCGGGTTGAGGGAATGGGTCGCCTAACGAAGCTGCATGTTCCCGTGCTGTTCTTTGTTCTCATCCCTCCTGTGTTGGTTCTTATGTATGATTTAGTGGCTGAGGTTGGTCGTGGCGTGAGATAACAGTAGCGGTCTCTGTTAGTGGTCAGCCTACGGCTGAGGTGTACTGCCAGTGATAGGGCTTATCGGGTGTTTGTGAAGTTATATATATCCACACAAGGATACGAAATGTGATGGATAGGACTGCGGGGTCTTTGGCTGTTCTTGGACTTGTTGGTCAATTCAGGAGATAAACATACTCTATAGATGATATATAGATGATATATTTTTGTCGTTGCTGATAGCACGGCATAGCAAGGTTGACAGGAATAGCCTGAATCGTGGGAGCTCGACGAAAACAATGAAGCTAGGTGGGTAGAGTGCAAGAAGGAATAATCACCAGGCAGAAGCCAACGTGCTCATCAGGTGGCTTGGAATCAAGACAAAGGGACTGTCCGTACTAGTTGGTGGGCTAGATATGCATGATCGGCACTAGCTAGGTGGGATGGTGGTCGGACGTCACGCAAGATATAAGAGGCTCGCTTGTCCCTATCCCTTCTTTCTTTTCAAGCAACCAAGCAAGCCAAATTGACTGAACTCCTCAGCATCATGGTTCACGCCGTGGCCGTGACAGCCCCTGCGACAATCTCGGTGGTGAGCGACCGGCCGATGCCGATCCTGCGGGACGACTGCATCCTGGTCAAGACCGTGAGCGTTGGCCTCAACCCTACCGACTGGAAGGCTGTCCTCCGGAGTCAGCCCACCGTCACTGTCGGCTGCGACTACTCAGGCATCGTGGAAGCCATCGGCCCCGGCGTCAAGAAAGCCTTCCGGGTCGGGGATCGCATCTGCGGCACCATCCACGGCAGCAACCCCACACATCCTGAAGATGGGGCATTCACGGAATATGCCCTGGCGCTGGGAGACCTACAGATTGCCATCCCCGAGCGACTCAGCTTCCAGGAGGCAGCAACCCTAGGGGTCGGCCTGTCTACCATCGGCCAGTCGTTGTACCAAAGTCTGCAACTCGCGCCTATCGATCATCCTCTTACCCAGCCGGAACCCATTCTCATCTACGGTGGTTCCTCAGCCACCGGAACTATTGCGATTCAGTTCGCCAAGCTGTCGGGGTATGAGGTGATCACGACGTGCTCGCCTGACCATGAGGAGTTGGTGAAGAGTCGTGGTGCTGACAGGGTTTTTGACTATAAAGAACCCGGGGCGGCGGAGAAGATCCGGGAGTATACAGAAAATCGGCTCATGCTGGTGATGGACACGATTTCGACCGAGGAGACGGCGGCGTTTTGTGGCAGGGCAATGAGCACCCAAGGAGGGGATTATACCGCGATCCTGGATGTCAAGGTTCCCCGCGAGGACGTGAGAAGTCGCTGGACCCTGGCGTATACGTGTGCAGGCAAGGCGTTCACTTATCGTGACACCACGATTCCGGCGATTTCAGAGGATCGGGCGTTCGCAGAGGAGTGGATGGAGAAGGCAGCCAAGGTGGTGGCCGATGGCCGGGTGGTCCCTCATCCGGTGCGGCAGGGCCTCAATGGCCTGCATGGCGTGATCGAGGGCCTGCACGCTATGAGGGAGGGAAAGGTCCGGGGGTGCAAGTTGATATACAACGTGGACGAGACGGTTGGAATCTAGTTCCCCACCCCCACTTCTCGCAGTCTCTTATCTTCAACCAAACCATCCCCTTTCTCTCTATTGCGTTATCAGATGAGCTTCACCCACTTGGCCCTCAGTGCATCGTCCGTGTGCAGCAGTTATCACGATAGAACACCCCTAGAGTATATCAGATTGTGAGAAAGCGACAACAAGGAAGATAGATCAATCACGAAGTTTCCCCATGTCCAAACCAAGAGTCGTCTGCCTGGGTACCCCCAAATATATCCCCACCAACTATCTCACCCAGTTCAGCGCCGAGTTCAACTTCTCCGTCCTCGCCGCTACAAACCGCATCGAAACAAAGGCCCTATTACCAAAGGACATCGCGGCCAATGGCCCCATCCGTGCTCTTATTATTCGCATGGGAACTCCGCCCTACGAACCATTCGACGCTGACCTGCTGGCCGCACTGACGCCTCACTGCCGTATCATCGTTTCCGCGAGTGCGGGGTACAATGAGTTCGACGTCGAGTGGATGGCAAGCCAGAGCATCTGGTTCTGCAATACGGTGGATGCCGTCGCAGAGGCTACGGCTGATATGGCTATTTTCCTGTTGCTTGCTGTGTTAAGGAACACCAGCGTTGCTGAGCGACGAGTCCGTGCTGGACTGTGGAGGAGCGCCGAGCTGGTTCCGGCAAGAGATCCTTCTGGCTTAACATTGGGCATCGTTGGTCTTGGGGCTATTGGGAAGGTAACGTTACTCTGGGTATTCTTACCCTCGCTCTTTGAATTGATCGTTGATGAATCGCACCGCGGCACAGTATCTCGCCAAGAAAGCAACGGTCTTCAACCTGAAAACCTGCTATTATAACCGTCGCCGGCTTTCGCCAGAGATAGAAAGCCAGTACGGTCTTACATATTGCAACTCGCTCCATGAGCTCCTCGCAGTATCTGATATTGTCTCCATTAACTGCCCGCTAAACGACAAGACAACGGGCTTGATTGGCCCTGCTGAATTCGCCGTTATGAAAGACGGTGTCTTCGTCATCAATACGGCCCGAGGAGCTGTAATTGATGAGGTCGCGCTTATTTCAGCTCTTGAGTCTGGGAAGGTTGCTCGTGCGGGACTAGATGTGTTCCCGGATGAGCCTAAGGTGAATCCTTACTTCCTTGAGAGCGACAAGGTCGTGGTGCAGCCGCATCTGGGCGGCTTGACGGATGTGGCCTTTCAGAGGGCGGAGGTAGAGAGTTTGGAGAATATTAGGGCGTTATTTCGAGATGGAAGACCATTGTCTCCGGTTGTTGATTTAGGTGGGAGATGATTCGATGGACGAAGGTACGGAATGCATCTATGTTATGAAGGTGCGCCTAGATAAGGTGCCTGTGGAATAGATGGAACACCTCTCTGCTCCCTGACATGACAGTAGAAAGTAGTCGATGTCAATGCGCGCTAGTTATTGTGCACAGTCACTGTCTTGTCATGGCTTAGGTCAAGCAGTAGACTTAAGACACCTCACATCAGGTATCTCCCACTTCCTCTGGATTAGTCCATTGGGCGCCTCTGCCTTCAGTGAGAAGTATGTACAGGGTTGAGTGTGACTAAAAGGTGAATTTAAGGAGGAGCCAGAGGGGAAGAAAGAGAAAAAGAAGGTTACAGAGAAAGGAGAGAGGGGTGATGGCTTCCGTTTCTGGTAAGTTCTGGCAACGTGACCGGCGCATCTTCGCTTTCCGTTCCCCCCTCAGAAAAGCATCAGAGATGCATCGGATGAGATACTTTCAAACATCAACTGAACATCGTTCTTGTTTATTTGACCGGCTATCCTGCCAGTCTACTAATACTACCAATTGATACTTCTGCCATATTCAATATCAACCGCAAAAACCAACCACCCCTGACCAAAAGGAACGCCATGCAAGAGAGTGCAAGAGAGATCAACAAGAGAAAAGAAACAGTAAAAGAAAAGAAAACTGGTATCTTGCAAAACTCCAATCCGACCAAAGGCCCACCCCCGTTCACATGATTGATAACTTGAAATCGGCGCTTTGACCTCTCACTGTCACCATGCCGGTCTTTCGCACTTTGTCATTTGCTTTGCCAAAGTAACGTCCCGAGCGGAAACTGTGATGATGATAATGTTAGTGAAAGCCGGACGCAAAGCAAACATCTAGCCAACACCTACCTCCAATGGAGATTGGCACGCGCGACGTTCTGTATGCCTCGGATGTATTGTTGGACATCAGCGTCAATCCGTTCGCCCCATGTTGGCAGTGCTGCTAAAGCAAGGTACCAGTCTCGATAGCGCTCGGTGAGCATGCTTCCGACATGGTTGAATGCCATCTGCGCTGGCATACCGTTGTGACGGCAGATAGCGACCAGGTTATGGCTTACGCCTTCTTTCTGTGTCTGGATGTGAGTAACATGCGTTTGGCCTTGCATTATCACTGGCTCTGGGAGATGACTAACCTCTTCTTTGCAGTATGAGAGTATATCGTTTTGTCTAGCACACATCAGCAGAGTCCGACTGGTGGGTTTGAGGCAACCTACAGCAACACGAGGTCAATGCCGATTCGCTCGATTTCCTGAATGCTTTTACATTCAAACACAAAGTCCGGAATATCGAGCTTGTGAGCATATCTGCACATCTTGGCATCAGCATCTCCAAATAGTAGTAACACAAACGGTAACGTACTCTACCAATGCAAAGAGGGGCGAAACGCCCGCAGACTGCCTACGCAAAGCGAGCATCCTCTCAAGCGAGGGCAACTCGCCCTTGGAGCACGACCGAACTTGGTCCATGCATCCGGTGCAGTATTCATTCATTGTCTCTGCGAACCTGCGACGAATACCTTGCAAAAAGTGAGCTATCATTTCAGAGTGCAAACAATTTCAATGACTACATACCGATTGGGCGAGCCTACAACACCGTTCTATATCAATGTACGTCTTCCAATGAGGAGATGATCAACATACCAGAGAAATCCGATGCCATACTGAATTGTGTACCCGAACCAAAGGGTTGTCTGCGGGAACTGGTAGCTGTTCATCCTCGGCCATACCTGCTCGCAGACTGTCGACCAGTACCTCGGCCCTTTCTGGATCATCCTTGAGCTGTCCATTATCAAAAACTAGAACAGAATCTCAGCCTTGATCAGAAAGTCCGCCCGAGGGTTGATACTTACGGTCATCGAATGGGAAGACCTGTCCCTCGAAAGACATTGGTTAGTGAACTACTCTGCAGTGTTATGTGCCGTGGATGGAACGCACCCAGTTTCCCCAGTCAATGACCGTCCGCAACTCCTCGGGCTGCGCCTCTGGCATTGCTATGGAACAGAAATAGGCGAAATCGCACTTGTGTAGACGTCTCTGGGCTCTCTCATCGAAGGAACACTCCCTGCCACGATGATGTTCGATTAGAAAGAGAATACAGGTATGTTGACGATATTTACCTGGATATCCATGACTCTGACTGTTGTCTCACACACTCATAGTGTTGATTCACAGTTGGTTCGCCCGATAGGAACAGTACGAACATATCAGGGAGGCGGATAGTCAGAGAAGTATCCTGCCGGACTACTTTGACTTTGGGCGAGAGTATGCTCTGCTGGGCTCGCGTGACTGCCATTTTCAACTGCCACTGACTGCACAGGCTTGGATACAAGGTGAAGGAAGATTAACGAAGCAACTGTGTATAAGAGTGATGGGGATACAGACAGGACATCAACTGGGGCAAATCAACAGGACTTTATATGCAGGCGAATGCTTGACGTACTTTTTACAGAGCCTGGCAACAGGAGCATACTAATGACCGGGATGACCCTACAGGTGGTCGGACGATGGTCCAGACCTCAGACTCTGGTGACGTCTTGGGTCCATAAGATCATCCATGTTCGCGATCTCCATCTCCAGTCCTCAAATTTCAATGGTGCAAGAAAAACGAATTAAGGTTTCGATTGGTAACCTGCAATACCGGAGGTCCGCAAGATGGCTGCACTTGGTATACATCAGTTAAACTTGCCAAATTCGACCGCTACCCAGCCGCGGAACTAGTGCCTGGATGGTCTTGTCACTGGGGCTGGAGGCTTCACCGAGCAATGGCCGGTAGCCATGACCACCAAAGCGCTGTATGAGTTTGACGATCCCTGCCTGGATGCGCCTGGAGCTCCCATTTGTGGCCTCAGGATCTTGACGGTTGATCGGCCCGGAGGTCGGATCTCGTCCTAGTTCCCGGGATTTAGCACGGTCTCCCTTATTCTTGGAAACCTCCCCCGGAGGATTGGCTAGCAGGAGTACTAGCACGATTGGGCATCATGATAACGGGGCCCAAGGACATCGATTGGCGCCTCTGGGTAGGCCTGAGAGCTAGTCCGCTTTGTTGCTTTTTTCTTCGCCCTCCATTTCCGTTGCTGGCCCATGTTCAGTGATCGTCGGTCTGGCCATAGTGGAACGATCACATCTGATCGCGATCCTATCATTGGGTCTCTGCCGGGGCGCCGCGGTGGGTCCCACGAGGTGTCTCGCCTCGCAGCCACGGAACTGGGCTCGAACATCCGCCCGGAGCAGGATCTATCGTTAGTAGCTTTCACCATCGCGTACCAAAAGGACGGGCGAACGTGAGGGGGTGGCTAGAGACTGGTTGCTTTTTGCTATGGTGATCCTGGCGGAGGCCAGATCCATGACATGGACCGGCTATGCGATCCATCCAGTTACATGAGCTTTGCAATGGGACGAGATCCCAGCTTGGTATCCTGGATTGCGGTATAAATCCTAGGCGAGGGGCACTATGAGTCGACTATCAATCAATGATTTGGCCTTGATCTATAGGACAATCACTCTTTTCCAAACCCCGCAAGCATTGCTCGTTAGTTCGTCGTTATGGCTTCCTTCTCCTCCCACCCACAGCCTGGCGATAGGGTCAGTAGCTGGGGGTATTCTTTCATCTGGACAAGTGACCATCTCCGCAAGGAAGAGATTGAACCGCTGCGGCAGCAATATGATACCTCTGCGTCCCTGGCGTTGGAGAGACTACAAGCTATTCGAGCTACCCTGATGGAAGAAAGTAAATTGAAAGGAACCAGCGCACCGCCCAATGACCTTTACGTCCTCCTACGGGACCACCGTGGGGACGACGAGATCTTGGCTCAGTTCTGGGCCGAAGTCAACACGGTGCCCGACTGGGTGAACTGGGAGCAGCTGGCACGAGCCCAGCGATTCTTCTATCGGTATGCCATTGCGAACATCGTGGGGTTCGCATTGCAAGGGTTTGTGGCGGAAAACTCGGTATGTTCATTATTGTACAACCCCAGTATGATACGGGGAGTCTAACGACGCTCATTAGGCGGCACCGGGGGTGGTCGAGGTCCTGGTTCGAACTGGAGGCTTCTCCACCCGTATGCTTCTTGGGAGGCTGCTCTCGACCTTCCAGTGGTTGATTCAAGTCACCCATGGCATTGACTCAATCCGGCCTGGAGGGGAAGGGCACATCGCAAGCGTCCGAGTCCGGTTGCTTCATGCCTCTGTACGCCAGCGTATCCTACAGCTCTGCCGAACCAGGCCGGACTACTTTGATATCGAGCGCTTTGGAGTGCCGGTCAATACTCTAGACTCCATTCATTCCATTGCTATCTTCTGTTGCAACCCTATGTGGCTGCAACTACCGAAGTTTGGGATTCAACCTACTCCCGATGAGGTCGAGGACTATATTGCCCTCTTTCGGTATGTGGGCTTCGTCCTGGGGACACCCACATCGTATTTCGAGAGCGTCGAACGGGCTAAGTGTACGATGGAAAGCCTCCTTATGCACGAGCTCCGAACCACTGAGACCTCGCGAACGGTGGCGTTCAACTTTGTGGAATGTGTGACGAACCTCCCGACACCCTTCCATATCTCCAAGGCGTTCATCGAAGCTGGCAGCCGGTGGATCAATGGTGACGAGCTCTGTGACGAATTGGAGCTCGGCAAGCCAGGGCTCCTTGCATATCTGTTGTTCTCCAGCCATTGTGTACTAGTTGTGGCTGTGGCGTGGCTCCAGCGGCTTTTACCCAGTTTGGAAGAACTACTGATTACAGTAAGTTTGGCCCTTATCTCTCCCATCATGCACAGGCACTGACTCGCATGCAGTCCCTCCGGAAATTGATGTATGGCGGTGTCGTACAGCGAAAGTCTCGCACCCGGTTTGAGTTCAAGTATATCCCGCGGACGGGCAAACGAGTTGGAAAGGAGGCATACCGCGTCGACGATACGGCTACGGCCAAGGGCGGCAGGGGTTCAAGCCAGCTTTGGTCTACTCTCTTTGGGATTTTTGGGGTGGGACCCTATGAGATGGCGCTTCTCTTTGTCTTTGTTGTTTCTGGGGGAGCGATGCTGGGTGGAGTGCTTGGGGTTATGCAGATTGTTCGCGGATATTAGAATGCTTATGCATGACATGCCCGGTACTGTGATGAGGGGTTGTTCATGCGGGATGATTTGAAGGATGACGATGGGTCTGGGAACGGGCCGGTTGGTATCTCAATTGAGCCTCCTACATGAATGAAATGGAAGTTTGAATGGCCGAGTCTGCCGCGTGATCGTAGCCTGGACAGTAGATCCCCTGAAGAGGGTGAGCAGGTTTGAAATCCCAACAAAGGACGACCGCCACCGCGCCCCAGCGGTGATGAAGAACTAGTCGGTGGATAGCCCGATAACTACTCCGGAAGCAGTACTAGTACAGAGTAGAGTGGAGTTCGTATAGTGTCGTCGCGCGCGATGCCGGCCCAAAGCTAGGGATGCGCTAAGCAACCGTGGGGTAAGATCCCTGCCACTTGCATGTGTCGGAAGATCCTCGCAAAAGCAAAACCGCTTGAGGGCTTCCCGGTTTTCGTCAGGCCCCAAAAAAGCAATGCAGCACCGCCACTCGACTCCATGCTCTTCCGGTAGATGGGTGCTGCTCCTGGTCCCGTCCCGCTCCCGACGGTGCGGCTGAAGGACGAGACGGATGATGTATCAACTAGCTGCATCCCAACATCCTATGCAGTCCGGTACTAGCAGTACTTTTGGTCTGACCCTCGAGGCGAGGCGCTAATCGGGCAGAGGCCCGATCCACCCCTCAACTCAATCGCCGTCGTGCTGCATTACGATTACTGGGTTTGACTAGGTACATGATACATGCATGATACATGATACATCTATAGGGTGTAGGGCACGTCGGAGATACCTTCCGGATGGCCGTCCGCTGTCTGGAGTCTCTGGAGGTACCTTTTTCGTCACCGACACAAGAACCAGGACTTTGTCACAGCATTCGTACCCATCCATCCACCCATCCTGACCTTTGGCTTTGGGGGCTCCACTTTTGGGTAGGTACCTCTGTGCCATGCCAATTGCCATGATCCTGGAATTTCCTGACATGATCTCAAAGTACGAGTGTCGGAGAAGTTACCCAGACGGGGTCAGGCACCCCTCCACTCAGCACGGATATCAACCCCCGATTGAGTCCACTGCAGTAACTGTAAGCATCTCGCGAACTGATCCTGATCCTTCTGAACTAAAGTTTGCGGAACCGTGGCTGAAGCGTCAAGCTATCGGTACGATTAGGTTGTGAGACCTGCGGCTATCTAGTCCGTACTATCGATTTGAAATCCTCCTTGGAGTTGGGAGGGGTGGCGTGGGTGGGATGAGTGGCTGAGGAGGTCGATGCGGTCTGGTCTGGATTCTGATCTAGATCCATAAGATGGGATGTTCCTTGTTTGGGATTGTGATTGATCCAGAGGCAGATCCTGGATGGGTTGGATATGAATCTGGTGCCTATAGTGGAGTAGAGGGGTTTTTTTAATCGAGCTCGGTGGGTATAGTTCGTTCCATTCTATCGTCCTTATCTCTGGTTTCGGTTTCTTTTCGTGCGTGTATGTCGCTTGCTGCTCTGGGAAAGAGAGAGAGACAAAGAAAGGATGCCTTGAGGATTGAATTTGGGATACGATCATATGATACATACCTGCTGTATGTATGCATTACCGACCAGGGATGATGGTGATGGTGCTGATGGTGGTGGTGGTGGTGGTGTTACACATTAAGTCCGTCGGGTTTCAAAACAGTTTAATCTAAGCTAAGCCAAGGAAAGAAAAACAAGACGGAATCGCCCGGATAGATAGATGTCACTTGTCACTTGTCATCGACCATCGTACCTGGATATCCCCTGTCGCAACCGACAGACAGTTTGGAACGTGTCATCTTGGTATTGAATGGGTTTGCATTCCGGGATATCCCAGCATCAGGGTCGATTACTCTGTTGGGATGGCTACATAGGGTTTTCTGCACGGGCGGGGATATCGGTCCTTTGTTTCGAGGAACGCTACGAAGGATAGGGAAACAGTGAGGCTTGGGAAGAGGAGGTGAGGTGAGATGAGATAGAAATTTGAGACAAAGAAAAAGAAAGAGAAGCATGATGATGGTGATGATGATGCAGGTAGAGTGACAGCTGTCGTGGTGGTCGGTCGGTGTGTTTGGATGATGGATGGGCCGGCCCGAGTCCTGATTAACACCCACCGCTGACGTTCGTTATTGTGTGACCTAGATACATACCTAGGCTGGCTGCTACGAGGGTGGTGTAGTGTGGTGTGCAGTATGCTGGTCGTACAAGGGTGGTGACTGCTGGTTGCTGTATGGAGTACATACATGCGAACACCTTGGCTTTGCTGCTTGTGGGTGCGATCTGCTGTCACTGCTGTCACTGCTGGGGTGTTGTCGGGTTGAAAGGGATGTAGGGTCGTACAACTGCGCCTGTCATGGCTCCCTGCCACGGACATTTCATACTACTGCTACTAAGACCCGACAAGAATACATATGGATTGCGGTCAGCTTATGCTGGGACAGGACAAGGAATACAGAGTACTTGGACTACCCCAGGTCTAGGTGTTCAGACTAGAAGATATTCTTTAGAGTCTGTTTTCTACAACAGAGATCTGTCTGCTGTCTATTGTCTACTATGCCCGGGACTGACCGATGATGGGTGGTGTCCCCACGGTTCGATATCTACAACATCCAGGTACTGTTCCACATCATGATATTGAACTCAGGATACAGAGTACAGATCATTGAGAAGGTGTATTCTTCCTTGTGACGGTCAGTTAATGATTCACATGTACGCTGCAAGGCTCAGTGCGAGGCTGTCGCTCGCTCTGCCAGGAGGCTGACGGATAATTGTGGTTATTTTGAAGCCCGTGGTGACGATGTAGAATTGGTGTAATTCCTTGGATCACCTCAAGCTGAGCTGAATTTCTCCCTATCATCACAAATATCTTATTCAATTCCATGTCCTTCCCTTACACTTGTATAGTGTAGATGTAGAATCTGGCCGACCCCTGCAGCGGGGCAAGGCGGGCGGCCCGTGCAAAGAAATTCTCCAGAGCTCGGCCGGCTCTCTCTTCCTCCCACAACTCCTCGTGGCCTTTCTGCCTCTCCTCCACATCACCCCTTATCCATTCCACTCGCACAATGGCAATCCAGTGAGATTGATCCGTGGTTGCACCGGTCGGACATGCGCTAACCTCTGTTTCCAGCTACTTGATCCTCCTGTCGAGGCAGGGCAAAGTGGTTCGTTTCGTGGCCCACCCAACTCTGTGATCCGGCTGGAAGCAGACTAATGGAGCAAATTTCCAGCGCCTTGCCAAATGGTTCACCACTCTGTCCCCCAAGGAGAAGGCCAAGATCATCAAGGATGTGACCCAGCTGGTTCTGTCGCGTCGCACCCGCATGTGCAATTTCCTCGAATACAAAGGTCGGTAGCTGGATCAATTTCCCCCTCACTCAGGCACACCCCCGCAGCTCGTGGCCGACCCCCGACCGGACCCGATCTGACTGCTCGTCCCCAGACACCAAGGTCGTCTACCGTCGCTATGCCTCCCTCTTCTTCATCGCCGGCTGCGCTTCCACCGATAACGAATTGATCACCCTCGAGGTCGTGCATCGTTACGTCGAACAGATGGACAAATACTATGGCAATGTGTGCGAGCTGGATATCATCTTCAACTTTCAGAAGGCCTACTTCATCCTGGATGAGCTCTTGCTGGCCGGGGAGATGCAGGAGAGCAGCAAGAAGAATGTGTTGAGGTGCATCAGTCAGCAGGATAGTTTGGAAGATATGGAGGTGAGTCGACTTTTGTTTCTTGATGACCCCCTTTCTGGAACCCCCAGGATGGGACGGGTGATGAAGGCGCGGAGCTGGGATGCATCACACCTAGCTCGTTGTCCTGTTCACCGGCCTCCTGAATCCCAATGGCCACGTTCCGTTCCCGCCCGCCCCTTTACCTGCTAGCCCCCAGAATCGTGACCACCTCCACGCCATGTCCTATCCATCCTACGAATGCCCTTCTTCAAGCCTTGTTTCCTGTCATTATATTCGTCCCTTTATTGCCCCTCGCCTTCTCGCGAACACTGTCATCGTGTCGACGCCAGCTAATGCCGCCTCAGGTTGAGGAAGACGTTGTCACGAAGATTATGTAGACGCCTCTCCGGCAAGCGAGCGTTTCTGTGTTTATATTGCTTGGGATGTTTCGTTTTATGCTTTGGGCAAGCTGGGCTGCTAAATTGGCGTTGGACGTACATAAGCGTTGTTCTACTGTCGCAACTGTTTGCAGAGACTAATTAATACTACCATGGCTACGCTCAGGATCAGGAAACCAAGGCAGTCCTCGGCCACTTAGCGAAAGAAGGGTTGCTGTGAGGAGGAGCACCACTACTCGGTGGGGAGGGAGGAAGTTGCCTCATTATCTGGGCGGCCATCCTTGGTTCAGTGCGCAACCCGTGAGGTGGGTGCGTGATATCACTGGCCGACCACCGGGGCCCCACGTGACCGGACTGCCCCCTCGGGGCGCAGCGCGCATCTCCCCCGGGGCCATCCATCATCCCCCAGGTCGCTCGATCGCTGCTGTCCATCTCCCTTTCCTTATTCACAGCCTCCTTCCATCTCCATACGTCTCACATTTGTCTGCTATGGCGATTGGGCCTGTGATTCCCGCCTGTTAATCGCCTATTCTTCGCTTCATTGCTGCCACCGTAGCAACGGTTCCACCTGCCAGCTCATTCACTCTTATCGCCGGTTTCGTGACGTCTCAGGAGACAAAGAACCGGGTTATTTCACCCAGGCCTGCAGCATCTACTGTTTCTGCTGGGTGCAACAGCCTCTGTTCTTGATTCCCGACCACGGCGTCATCCGCTTATCTTTCACTGCATTTCTTATCTCAGGTGACTCTTCACCGCAATTCCGAAGATGAAGGTAGGTCCCTTTGCGCTAGTACGTGCTTCGGGTGGCATGATACTGACAGAGACCTCAATTAGTTTCTTCCCTTGCCCGAGCTCGAGGATGTGACGAGTTCGCTCAATTTCGACACCGCCGATTGTCATATCATGGGGGGTTGCGATCTCTACACCACGAAGGCTGCTCGCGCCGATCGGAAATTGTACAAGAACATCGAACAATCACTCGAGGCTCAATATGAATCGGTCCTTCGCCTGTCGGCTTCCTTGTCACCCCCCAACGCATCGGACGCGGCGGCGTCGCTTAACCTGTCGCGGTCCAGTCCCTTTGGTCCCATGAGTGACCATTCGAGTCGACGGACCTTTGCCTATCTGATCGCGACATTGAACGCCAGCCATCCGGATTATGACTTCTCGCATGTTCTGCGCCCGTCTGACTTTCATCGCGAACGGAACCTGAAGCGGGTCATGAACACGATCGATTCCACCCTGTTTAACCTCCGACCGCGCGAAGCTATCGATTTGACGCCTCCATCGCCCGTAACGATCTCGGGCTCCTACAACGCGGGCGCGTCTTCTACATGGGGGCCGAGAATGTGGAGAGTGATTGACGAACATATGTCTCTTAAGGAGTGTTCCCTCTATTCTTACTCGCCAGACGAGGACCCGTCTGATGCGGATGATGGAGCGATCTGGAGCCTCCACTACTTTTTCTTTAACCGACTGCGGAAACGCGTCTGTTATCTTTACCTCCGAGCAATTCCGATCCTCAGTCATACGCCCAGCGAGGGAGTGGCCACGCCGCCGACGAAGAGAATGTTCGACGATGGATACATGACTCCCGAACTCAGCTCGAGCAAGCGGGCTCGCTACTGGCTGGGTGAGGGCATTGAGCTGGAGAGTGAGAGCGACGAGGACGCCAATGGGACACAACCCACGCGTCCGGTCGTGGACGAATACGATAATTACCTGTTGAGCGACGAGGAGTTCCGGTCCCGATCGGGCAGCAAAGGCACCGTTCGGGCAATGAGCGAGGAAATCGCCGACTCGATGGAGGTCTGATTCTCCGCTTTCTTCTTTCAACCCAACCGACCATTCCTTTTTCGCGCGTTTTCGTTTAGGTCGGCTTGCGTGTGGCGTAATCGTTTTGTCTATTGCATTCAACCTGCATTTGCACCGGCTAGGGGCGTTATAATCGGCCACGGAAGGGAGGAAGCCCCTAATTGTAATTGAACGGCTGCTCTAATGATGATGATGACGACGATGAAGTGCTGCGCATGCGGCGCTCGGGCAGGTTCCACAGCGGCGTTGTCATTGTTCTGTTCCTTCCTGTACTTATTACAAATTGATTGACATGATCCCTCTTTCAAAGCATTACTATATCCATTGAATCACCGTAGATATTATTTCCCTAAAGATGTGACCTGTAAACTATGCCCATAGCTCGGCCATTAATCAATGAATCGATCGATAGCAACCCGAGTGGCCCGTGCACCCCACCGGCGGCCAAGCTGGCCTCCAGCCTGCTCCGGAGTCCCGACCCGAACAGCCAGCCCATCATCACCACCATAATTCCTCCTCTCATTCCCAACTCCCATCCTCGTCCCTTGTGACTATCAGCCCACCATGGCCGATGACGAAGAGCGCATCAAGGCCGAGAAGCTAGCGGCTGCGAAGAAAAGGGTACGTTTGTTTGTTTGGTTGGGTGGTGTGTTGTTTCCCCGCTGTTCGCCGGTGGTGTTTGCGGGGAGAGAGCAGCTACCTACCTACCCCCTTCAATATGTGCATTCATAGGAGATGTGGGGTTAATGTACAGAAAGTGTGGACAATAGCAATGCTAATAGCTGAATGATAGGTTGCCCAACTCCAAAAACAGAAAAAAAAGGCGAATAAGAAGGCTGCTAGTGGGGATGTTTCGAAGGAGGCTACGACTGCGGCCACGGCTGCCGCTGCCGCTGCTGCTGTTGCGGAGGTTGAGGAGTTGACGCAGGGGAAGGATGGTGCTGCTGCTGCTGCTGCTGCTGTTACGTCGTCGTCGTCGCCGACACCGACACCGACATCGCCGGCTGCTGGAGAGGGGGAAGGGGGGGAGGTGAAGGAGGAGGAGAAGGAGCAGGTTAAGGTTGAAGGCACAGGAACAGAGACAGCAGCAGGATTGGATGAGAGTGCAGAGAAGAATGAGGAACAGACAGCTGCGGCAGAGGATAAAAAGGAAGTGGAAGCTGAGGGAGCGAGCGAGCCTATGCCTGATGCGCCTACGTCTGATGCGCCGACGTCTCCCGGTCCGGAAGTCGAAGCACAACCTGCTACGATAGGGAGGTCGGCGCACGGTAGGCAGCCTTCGTTGTCGATTCAGTCGAAGATGCGGTCGTCGTCGTTCCGGAAGGGGTCAGTGTCGCAGGGTAGCGTGTCGCCGTCGCCTGGGGCGATGTTGAAGTCGCCGTCGTTGCCGCCGTTGAGTGCGGATGGGGAGTCGGTGCAGGAGGTGTACCGGAAGCAGTCGACGCGGATTGAGGAGCTGGAGAAGGATAATAAGCGGTTGGAGAAGGAGTTGGAGGAGGCGACGGGGCGGTGGAAGAAGACGGATGAGCAGTTGGAGGATTTGCGGGAGGCGAGTGTTGATGTCGCTGAATTGAAGGATAAGTTGCAAAAGGCGGAGGAGAGGGTCGCGGAGATTGATGAGTTGGTGAGTTTGGTGTTGTTCTTGTTTACGCCAGTGGGATTGGGCTGATGGTATACGACAGAAAGCAGAAATTGCGTCGCTGCAGCGACAGAACTCGCATCTGCAAACCCGCACGCATAGGAGCAATGCTAGTGTTTCGGTGCCGGCCCCGTCGGAGTCTCCGCCGGCGGATCTGGTGCAGCAGTTGGAGTCGAAGTCGGCGACCATTGAAGCTATGGAGTTGGAGATCTCGAATCTTCGCGCGCAGCTGTCCTCGAGCAGTGCTCATGAGGCGCAAATAGCAGCGTTGGAAGACAAGCTGTCTGGCAGTGAATCTGCGCTGGAGAAGGCCCAGAACGAGCTCGCTGACACCAAGGCCGCGCTGACCCGCGCATCCGAGAAAGCAGTCAAGGAGTGCGTGGACAAGACCTCGACGGAGACGCTGATCAAGAACCTCCAGCGGGAGATCGAAGAGCTCAAGCAGGAGAAGACCGGAGCAGACAAGAAAACCGAGACATTGGAGAAGAAACTTGAAGCAATGGGCAACCTGCACAAGGAATCCGAAGCACGGCACCAAACCCGTCTGCGCGAGACGGAGAAGATTGAAAAAGAGGCCGCCGTGCTCCGGAAGAGACTGGCAGACGTCGAGAACGAGAACCTCCGTCTCAAGGAAGAGCAGGAGGCGCTTCGCAAACGACAATCCGGCGAAGGCGGCACCGACGACGATGCCCTCGACGAACTGGAGGACGAAGAGCGCTCTCGCCTGCAGCGCCGCATTCGCGACCTCGAAGGCGAAGTCTTCGACCTCCGCCGCGGTGTCTGGCAAGAACGCCGTGAAGAACTCGCCGGTGACCACCAACTCCACTCCCCCTTCGCGCCCGACCACCTTGCTTCAACCGCCGCCTCTGCAGCCAACACCTTCGACGACGTCGACCTCATCGGCGGAACCCCCGACCACGCCCGCCGCCGCAGCATGGCCAACAACAAGAACCAGCACTCCTCCTTCTCCACCGTCCTCTCCAGCGGCATCGCCGCCTTCACCGGGGGAAACACCTTCTACGGAAACCGTGGCCGCGCCGGCTCGAACCAGCAACACCACCCACCTGCAACACGGGGCAGTCTCGAGCTCCTCTCCGAAGAGAACTTCGACGACGAGTTCGACGAAGCAGAGTTCGCACGGGCCCAAGCCGAAGAAGAAGCCCGCAAACGAGTCGAATGGGTCCGTGAAATCAAGCGCAAGCTCAAGGACTGGCACGGATGGCGATTGGATCTGGTCGATAGTCGAGCCGGTGCTGAGGGTGCCGGAGTCGGAATGGGTGAGATTTTCCAGATCTAGTCTTTCTTCCTCTTCATTCCGGCTCCCGTTTCTTTCTCCTTGTTTGGCGCCAGCCTATACAACTTATTCGGTGGCATTGATGTTTCTTTCTCCATGAGAATTGACTTGACTTGTTTATGATACCGTGGATGTGGTCTGGATTGGGTTTTGTTGATGAGGATTAGCTAGCTAGAGTTCTATGGGTTAGCTTAGCTTAGCGTTAGCTGGATGGAGTATTACGGCTGGGTTTGAGTTCTTATTAGGTAGGCGTCGATGGCATATACAGTTTCCGTGGGGGGCTGTATCGTTACTATGTACCTGGTTTCCATGGGGTTGTCTTTCTATACTGTAACGGATGTACAGAGTACGGAAATAGGGATTGGGATTGGTCACGAGGTAGGTATGAGTACCCTGCTCACTGAACGAAGGGGGAAAGAATTAAACTACGGACCGGAACACACGGCAATGAATGAATAATTCTAACACCAGCACCTAAACCCAGAGATGTAAAACATAGTAGTATAGCCCAAGAAAAAAAATATATGTAACGCAGGACACCTATCTTATCTATCTGATCCCCTCACCACGTCATCGGCTCTATCTAAAGGGCGGAGATGGAGTCGAGGGAGGGAAAAAGAAGAAGATACTGATGATATTTTACCTAGTCATCATGCTTTCCTGTAAGCACACCCTCCGATTTACCTCTGCCACGTTTCCGGTTCACCAAGTCCCCAACCCAGCCGGAGATCTGATACACCCAGCCGCCGGTAACCATGACACCGGAGACGGTGTTAACGAGACGAATGAGCAAGGAGAGGAAGCTGGTGCGTTCTTCGCTGATCATGAGCAGGACGGGCTCGATGTTGTACTTGAAGAAGATGCCGGGGACGAACATGGGGCTTTCGGGGAGTTGGCTGCCCTGGCTGGTGGCGGCGTATTGGTTGGTGAAGACGAGGTTCTTGTTGTTGCGATGGGTGAGTTGCGAGGGTGGGGCGTTGGCGTAGGTGTCGAGAGCATGGCTGCCCTTGGAATAGATGGTTGGGACGACGGAGAGGAAGTACTGGTATTTGTAGTAGTGGAGTTCGGTGGAGGCGATGGTCTTGTCGAGTGGGTTGAGGAGGGTAGGGTAGTGAGGGCCGAAGGAGAGTTCGGTGACCATGTGGGTGAAGTTGAAGACTGTGGTTGAGTTAGTGTGGTTGTTCGTTTGTAGAGAAGGTTGGGAGGGGGGGACATACCACCATGGTCCAGATGTTCTCCGAGATCGCGATATCCATGGCCCCGGGCCGTGATATGGAAATCACCCTGGACTTTGTTGCCCTCCAAGCTGCCGTAGATGCGACACGAATCGACCTTGTCACCGCGTCTCAATTTCGGGCCCTTGGGGAACTTCTTGCGCGGGTTCTTCCGCACTTCGCCGAGGACGTGGTGAACGTTGGCGTCGGCCTCCCGCGCAGAGATCCGGTCGGTGTCCTCCTGGCTGAGGGTTTGGTATTCATGGGCGCCGCCGTGGGTCTCGCGGTTGCGCTTGTCCATCCAGAGTTGCCAGCTGGTGCGTTCGCGTTGGAGCAGCTCGCCGGCGAGGATTCGATCGCCGGAGGCATCCTGGATGTTGACATCGAGAGTGTCACAGGGCATGTGAATGACGACGTCGAGGTTCAGTTGCAGGTCGTGGCCGACGCCCTTCTCGACGCTGAAGTGGTGGTTCTCGGTTCCTCGGAGCCAGGTGCGGAATTCTGAGAAGGAGAAAACGGTGCAGACGAGGAGGATGAGGACAGTCCATTGTCCTCCGCGGCTGGAAGGCGCAGTGTATGAGGGTTTTGTTTTGGCTAGATACAATTCGACGTCAGTAAGGGTTCCAGCTGGAGTAGTGGACTAGTCGCAAGTGGTATCCACGCGGCTGTCCTCAGTCTTCGGCAGAGCAAACGCATGGTTTTGACCGCAGAGAGTCCCAGGAAGATGAAGTTAGACGTACGGAAAGCATCAAAAGTCTTCAGGCCGCCCTGCAGCTCAGACTTTTCGCCGAACGCATCCTCGTCGAGGCCGTGCGCTGAGAAGCCATTCATCACGAATCCGTGTCGCGAGGTGTATGCAGTGCGACCGATCAAGGCATGAATGGGGGGGGCAAAGGAAGGACAGAGTGTGATACGACCAGGGCTAGAGAGCGACAATCAATGGAGCTCCAGCTCTCGAGGGGAAGACGGCCGAGGAAGCAAGAGGGGATGCGGCGGAGGATTGGCGAGGAGGAGCACTAAAGGCCAAGTAGTCCAGATGCCGCCGCGCCTCCGCACCGCTTATCGATAAGCCGTCTCATAGTCCTCCGGTCTCCGTCCTACGCGCTACAACCCGAGTCACACATCGCAGTGCACGATATATATGCATAGATGGTCTAAGTCATAACATCACCCGTGATTCTCCATCTCTTCCACCGCCTCCCCAGTCATCCCAGTGTAACGTCTATGCGGGGAGGCCAAAGAATAAGATATAACTATACAGATGTTTTCAACACATCACCATCACCCACACCCGTCCAGAAACACGGAACACCGGCCATCAGGAACTGAACCGAGAAAGGGGGAGGAAAAGAGAGGGGGAGACAGAGAGGAAAGGCATATCAGAGGGAAAGAGGGACAAAGGAAACAGATGCAGGATGGGACAACACAGCTCCCAGGGTCATGACAGTATCGGAGAACAACATGCTCGGAAAGGGGCTCTAAACTGGAAACGCAAATCATAGGAAGGCATGCAGATGCTCAATTAAGGGTATACCACAAACCCCTTGGACGTCCACCTCTCGGGGCCCAAACGGCTCAAAATCAATCATGACAACGGGAGACCGAACCGCCGATGCTCCCAACCCGTTTATGCAACCTTGGAAAACAAGTCAAACAATTATTATTACAGATATGCAAGAAGTGAGAGGGGGAAAGAAAGAAGAGTCGGAGGCGAGATGGTGCTGCCCGCTTCATTTGGTCCTCTAGATGCAAGTCAATGGCCAGCTCGCCTCGCTTCGTCGGGATCTTTTGCACTTACCAGGCTGGTCGCGGCCGCCGCAGTCGCGAGGTCTGGCTTGCCACTGATACTGCGGGCCGCAACGCGAGGTAATGCGGACCCAGGAGTGTTGGCAGTGCTAATGCTGGTCCCTCGTTTGGCGGGCGTCGATGGCGGTAGCCCGCTGACAGTCGAATGGCGCTTGCCGGCGGGCAGCTTGACTGGCGAGGTGCCCGAGGCGTCCCGGTTGCGGATCAGCGTGCCGGATTTGAGGCTGGTCACGGGTGGTTCGGGCAAAGGTCGACCCGTAGAAGGGTTGGACGAGGTAGTTGCCCGCTTCGCCGGAGAGTGAGTCGTCAGAGTATATGTCCTCGCCCGGGATGGCATCTTGACACCCGTAATGAATTCATGACGCAGTGCGTCTTGTGGGCTCATACGACGGGTGGGGTCCCATCGAAGGCAGCGCGAGATGAAGTCGAGGAAGGCCTCATCATCGCATTTCAGAACCTGCTTGAGCTCCTTGGAGCTGGGACGACGTCGTCGGCCCTTGGAGGAGACCGTAAGTCTCGGTTTCCCCAGGGAGTCGAAGAAAAGCTTCTTCCGAGTACTCTTCTCAATCAGGTGCTTCTCGGGCGGTCCAAAAACCTCCATGATGCATGCAAGCTGCTCCTGCTCGTTTTCACCGGGGAAGATGGGGTATCCGGTGAAGAGCTCGGCCAGGATACATCCCACACTCCACATGTCGATGGGCATACCGTACGACATGCCCAGAATAACCTCCGGGGAACGGTAGAAGCGACTCTGAATATACGTATACACCTTCTCGTTCTCGAAACAGCTGGACCCGAAATCAATCACCCGGATCTCGGAGCTCATCGGATGCACAAGGAGGATGTTTTCGGGCTTAAGATCACAATGGATGACCTTCTTGTTGTGTAGGAGCACCAGCGTACTCAGCATCTGCTTCGTAAATCGACGAATAAGCTTAAGGGAGAACCCCTTGAAATCATGCGCCTTGATGAACTCGTAGAGATTCATCCCGAGCAATTCGGTCGAGATGCAGAGGTGGCCTCGGAAGTAAAAGCTCTGCGTGAAATTCACCACGCTGTGGTGACGATGAGGGTCCCATTCCTTCAGCTTCTGAAGTAGATTGACCTCGATCAGCGCTTGCTGGTGGAACCTCTTCTTGTTGCGGATGATCTTGACGGCAACCAAGCCGCCCGTCTTGTGATCGATGCATCTCACCACTTGACCGAAACTTCCCTTGCCCAGCACATCAATAACCTCGTAGCGATATGCCAGATGATCTCCAATCACAATACTGTAGTCGCCACGGTCATCATCGTAGCCAAAGTTGGCTTGCGCGGTCAGATCGCCAACATGCTTCCTGGCATGCTGGGTGCCACAGAAGTAGATATCCTTGAAGTCAATAATCTCCCCCCGTTCGAAGATATTCAGGCTTGCAACCCGCAGAGCCTGGGCCGGACTGACTCGCTCTTTCGGACTAGCTTTTCGGCGCAACTCGTCCAAAGTCCTGGCCGCGCTCTCGAAGTCCTTGCGCTTGCTGCCAAGTTTCCGCATTTCCTCGTCAGCCACAAGGATGTCAGATTCCACATTAGACGGCGTGGGGGTAGAAGTGACTCCGACGCTCGACTTGGCTGAGTTGATGATCTTGTGCACAGGTGATAAGATTGACGCTGCAGTGCGGTGCGGGATAGAATCGCTATCGCCAGACTCGTTAGAAGGACTTGGCTCCAGTCCAAGGCTCTGCTCGCTGCTGAAGCTAGGGTTCCTCATGGGTTGATTCGTCGCGGTAGACATTGATGCCTGTCGTCGCGACTTGAGATAGGATGGCTTGAGCGATGGGCTGGAAGTTGTCGCCGTTGACATATTACTCCAAGTTGCAGAGGTTGGAAGTTTCGGTGGGGGCATTTGATCATGTTTTATAGGGTCGCCATTTGCTTCGAGCCCCTGCTGGGCCTTGGAACTGCTCCGGTTCCGAGTGAAGGTGATCTTGCTGCGGAGTGATGAGCCCGAAACACTGGTGTTGTCAGGGTCCGAAGGCGTTGAAAGCTGGCTGATTGTCTCAGCATTGGAAGAGAAGGCAGAGGATCGCGTTTGTGGACGAGGGCCTGTGAGCTTGTGAGACTGTGTGACCTTGGGGGAACTGTCTCCACCGGCTTTCTGGCGCAGTGTATTGAAGTCACTGGTGCTCTTTGGCAAGCTGTAAGCAATATAGGGAGAAACGGTTCTTGCAGCGGTGGGAGTATTGTCGAAAGCCCCCAGCGCGCTAGAGCTACTGGCCGTCCTAAGAGCCGCACCACTCGAGGACGTACTTAGCGCAAAATGCGACGTGCTGCTTCTTGCTTGGGTAAGTGGCACTGCATCCTCATCATCCTGGGGGGAGAAGAAGTTTGCCTTGGAAGCGGTCAATGGAGTACTGGGGGTCTTGGACAGAGTCTGGGCTGAAGGGGTGTAGGATTTGACGTCATCATCCCGATCCTTCAACGCCTCAATCTTTGTCGTCATTGGGGTACCCAGAGGAAGTAGATTTAATGGCGGCAACTTTAACGGTTGCAAAGTCTTTTTCCCCAGCATGGCCGATGGTTTGGGTTTCGCATCCGGCGTCTTCATCGCTCGCCCATCTGTAGTCTCGAAAGTGTCATCTTCGGTCGCACTCACCGTCAGATTTGTATCCGAGTCTTGTTCTACTTTGGGCTTATGCCCCGCATCCAGATATAAACTCGACTTGCGAGGTGTCACGTAGTTTGGCGGATCAAAGTCTCCTTTGGGTGATTCGTATACTTTCGGAATCGCAGGGACAGGGGGAACCTCCTCATCCGCCACGTGGTCCATACGAGGCTTGGGGGTCGGTAGCCGCGACGTGGATGACGCCTGGGATAGCCTCGTCTGCAATGAGCCCCCGGAATTCCTTGCGGAGTTGTAACTGGTGTTCGATGACAGAGACAAGCCGGAGCTGTAGGACTTTCGGTTTGGGTCAGGAGTGGTGCGGGTTGATGAAGGGGTCACGCTCTTTCGGGGGATATTGGAAGGAGATTGTACTGTAGACCGAGGACGAACAGGCATGGGCTCTGTTTGGGTGGGAGGTGTAAAGGGTGCCTGGTGCGCTGATGGCACCGTGGACATACGCTTAATCCGTCGCGCATCGGTGGGGCTTATGGTTCGAGCCCCAAGCCCGGTAGCATGTGGTGGCATCACTGATACTCTTTTCGATGAAGATGGAGTTGACATGGCAGCTGCCGCATTTTTGACGGGGGTCCGAACGGCGTTGGTCGAACAGGAACGGGAATGCTCCGATGGGCCAGATGCCGTCAGATAATTGTCATGGGGCTCCCTCAACGGCGGCTGTAGCGACTTGGCCTTGATGCTCCGGGCATTGCTGGAAAGTTTTGTACCATCCTGTCGGGCGGGCTCGAAATGCTGCGTTCTTGGACGGAGGAAGTTGCCTTGGTCCAGTCGTGTCGTATCTGCACTGGCTTTTCGTGCTGACAAGCTTTGTCGTCTTGCCGATCCGGTAGCAGCCAGGGAGCCGGGGCCGACGGATTTACGAGGGGGGCGCGAAGTTGTGGCAGTAGTCCCCGCAGGTTGGGCAAGGCTCTGGCGACGGCTTCGAGCAGCCGTGGCAGAAGCTGGAGCTCGAGACGATCCCGGATCGATGGAACCGTTGACAAGGCTTTTCCGCCGGACAGAGTTGCTCCTCGACGGCGCAGTGGTGCCACTGTCAATACTTCTTATTGGAAAGGTTGGATCGTACCCAGGCCCAGCGTTCTCGGGAGTGGGAAAGTGATTTAGGCCTGGTTCCGCCGCTATGCTATTTTGGAGGTCGTCGAAGTTAACGGGCGCGAGGAAATACGTACTGTCCGGAGGAGTTTGGTTATTGTATTCTAATTTCGAGAGATTACCGATGCTGGTAGATCGAAGGCTGATGCGGGAGTTGTTGCTCTGTGTCGAATCATTTGTGGAGTCAATTGAGGAGTGACCGGAATGAAAGAAGGAGCCGGGCATGTTGCTACAAGTCATCAAGGTCAGACCATCTTCACACACAAGGCTCTAAGCATTAGATTTGGCGCATAAACCAATGACACGATGCATGATGAGAAGGGGGCAAAGCAAGCGACGGGAAATAAAAGTTGAGGGGGCTTTACTACCTTGTCCGTGATGGATCTTGCGGTCGCGGGCCCTGTGGTACTTTCTGGTCTCGAATCGACAGCCTCCTCTTGCTCATCACACTTGTTCGGGTTGCGGTACTCGTGGCTTTCGGGGAATGAGACGAAGCGTCCGAAAGAAACGGGGTTGAGGCGTGTTTTTGCAATCGTCTGCGCGTAGGACCGTCTGCCGATTGAGGGTAATGCTCGTTAGCTCCTATATGTAAAATCGCCCGCAAACGCTCACCACTCCATTCGAATATCTAAGCTTACCTGTTGAGCCTGAGTCGTCAGTCCGAGACGGACTAGACGGTCTTGACTGTACCCTACGCGACTGCCCCTTTCCTGGCGTCTGCTGGAAAGCCAGATTTTCCGACATCCTCGAACCCCGACCGAGAACAGCACCAGACGACAGGCAGGCAGGCAAGCAAAGAGATTGGTAGCTCAAATGAGCGAAGGAATCCAAATCAGATCCCAATCGCAATGGTGTTCAAAAGAAAACGGTGTCTTAGTATCCAAACCAAGCAGAACCTTTATCAACACCGTCGCGCGACCCATCAATGGTTGCTACCGGTCCATTGCGGGGATCAAGAACAGCGTGCTCTGTTCCGGGATAACGACGAGGAACCTGGGGGGAGGTTAGACCATCAGAAATTCACAGCGTTGGAGATCCTATCCCAAGCCCCGTCCAAGCAATAACATCAACCGAGTCAAAGCTTCGGTTTGCAAAGGAGAAACTCTGCCCGGGGAGGGGGGAGCAGCAGTTCTGCTGGACTTGGCGTTGGAGAGAAAGTTACGGGCGCATATACCTTAGCAACGGGATAAAACCAGAAAAGAAGAACGGGGCGAGGGCAAACACAGAATACACCGAACGAGGCGAACTACCGGTAGGTACGAGAGAAGCAAGAGTTCGATGCGAACAACCCCCCAGAGCCTGCCAGGAAGCGTAAGTGGAAGTCCAAGTGGCCGGTGGCAGAAGATAAAGAAGTGGTGGTAAACAATAATAATTCCAAGCCCAAGGCGCTCTTAACGTATCGCGAAACAAGGTGTGCCCCCCTGCTCCTTTTCGCTCTACAAAAAATGGGGACCCGTGGCTGCAAACACCGCAAACACTGCTGTTTTCGCAGCTAAACGCTCTGTCGATCCCGTAAGGTACTGTTTGTAATGGACGTATCATCTTTACCGCTCAGGGACGAGCGTGATACATACCGTCCCAAGTGATAAGCTCCCGTGGCTCCTCTCCGGCCAGAGCCTAAGGTGGCCAGGCCACCCACCCGATGCCAATCCATCTGCATGTGCTTCTCGGACGGTTACCAACAACCGAGCCTCCCTCTCCCCCCCTCCCTGAGTTGGCCCTGCGCCATCGGAAATGCACCTTTACCTCACTCAAGCCACACCGTCTTTGATGGGGCACCATGGAAGACCACACTCCGGGCGCCATCGTCAATCGTGATGAGCCTGTCCCCGTCATCTTCGCTGGAAAGCATGATGATGATGATGATGATGCAAGAGGGTCGAAATCCGGGGTATTAAAGAAAACAGTGTCCAAGGCCGGTCGCTCTCTGCAGGATAGGCTTTTCTCCAAGTAAGCACTTTCAATCAGTTTCTACAATCCCGACTGTCTATGTATGTAATGAGCCTCTTGGCTGACTGGGTTTGAAAAGGATCCTGGAGCAAATGATGCCCATGGAAGATGTCGACGCTGAATCACTGTCAGCTGGTGACAAGCCCATTTCCCCCGACAACAAGCGGCCAGCGTTCAGCCTACCTCTGATGGCCAACAATTTCCGTCGATTCAATGCAAGGTAAGTCATCTTTAACCTCGCACTGCTTGAAATACTAAGACCCTTGGCAGAATTGGCATCGTTTTCCTGTTCCAGACCCGTGTCGAGCGTCTGCTCAGCTGGAAGCGGACCTCGCATACCCTTTCTTTTCTCTTTATCTATTCTTTCATATGCCTAGATCCCCATTTACTTGTCATCATCCCATTCGCCATTCTCTTGTTCTTTGTCATGGTACCTGCATTCCTCGCACGCCACCCTCCACCCCCCTCGACATCCACATCCAGCATCACCCCCTACTATTCATACCAGGGTCCAGCCCTCGCTCCTGCGAAGACCATCAAGCCGGCTTCTGAGACGTCCAAGGATTTCTTTCGAAACATGAGAGACCTGCAAAACTGCATGGCGGATTTCTCCGATGTACATGACGCGACGGTTTCTGCTTTTGCGCCTCTGACAAACTTCTCAAACGAGAAACTTTCTTCGGCAGTATTCCTGACCTGCACCCTCGTGACTGCCCTGCTATTCTTGACGGCTCATCTTCTCCCCTGGCGATACATTCTTCTTGTCAGCGGCAATGCGGCTATTCTGTCATTGCACCCAAGCTTCCCCGACTTCGTTCAGAGTGTCACAGGGGATATGCTAGATCCAATCACGGAACAGGGTGCGATGACCAATAAGAAAGAGCAAGACTCGGTCGATGTCGGCGGACTAGTCGTACCTACGTCGCCCTCTGCGGCGGTGTCCCTCATGGGGTCATTGGCCAACATTTCATTGGACTCTTACCCAGAGGAGCGGGAAGTTGAGGTATTCGAGATTCAGTATCGTTCCCTTGCCCCTTATTCCGAGTCGCAATGGGAGCATTTCCTGTTTAGTCCTATGCCCTATGATCCACTCTCCCCGTCCCGCATTGCGGGAGACCGCCCTAAGGGCTGCCGGTTTTTCGAGGATGTTCAGCCCCCAACCGGGTGGGCATGGAAGGGTAAAAAATGGGAATTGGATTTGGACTGTCGTGAGTGGGTTGTTGAGCGCATGATAACGGGAGTTGGGTTCGAGGTCTCCGGGAGTTCGTCCGAGAGTGGCATGACCAGTGGTGAAATTGGGGGCTGGGTCTGGGATCTGCCCCCTGCCTCATTCCGAGATGATGACGAGGTAGTTTCTACGATGGGATATGATGACCTTGACTCGACACATTCATCCAGAGGACATGATCAGAGGGCCAGAAAGAAAGGGAAAGAGAGAGTCTCACAAGACTACGAAGAGAAGGTTCACACCGGATCCAACGTGATGGGGGAATGGCGCAGAAGACGATGGATTCGCATCGTGCATCGAACAAGTATGCCAGCTGTTGATAAGCAGGAACAAGCAGTCGACGATGATACCTAGGGAAAATGAAAGGACCTGTACAGGTCATTTGAACTGCAGTGGCGATGAGATGCATCCATCTAATTTTGATAATATTCAGATCAGCGGTGTATCTGCCCAGAATGGCTGCGACACAGTGGACATGTATGATCCGACCCACGCTAACCAAGTGCGATCATTGCAGTCTCCGAGTGACTCAGGCCCACATGATCCGTACGGTAATTACCAGACTGTGGCAACGAGGCTCCACCAGCATTGATGAATGTGCTTCGGGCACTACCTACACGTTTGGGTGGATTTCTGCAGGCTATCGGGCGGAGACTTTCACGGTAGATATGTTGTTGCTGTAACATAACATCACATTCAAATCTGGGACATCGGTGGTTGTAAAAAATGGCTCCTGCGGCTATACTTCTGTGATACTTCTTAGAATGTGGGGAAGCGCTGCATGCGGAATGTGCCAGCCTGAGGCATCCATGGTTGTCTCGGAGGCAACGCCGATAATCCGCCGAACCCGCCGCGGCTGATAAGACGGGGATAAGGGATCGCTGACAGCTACTACTTCCTTTGGAGTCCCAGTGTCCCAGGGTACACATCGCCGTTAGTATCATCCAATGCCGGTAGAACAAGGACATGGCGCGGATTTCTCCTGCGATTGGATCTGGGTAAGCTTGACATTCATTGTACGATACATTCGTTTCGTACTTGTCGCTTACATATTTATCCACCAGGACTCTCAGAACGCACGGTTGTCACCGTGTGCCATGAGATACCTTTCTGCAATCCCAGCAGCGGTGATTTCAGTTGCCGCGTTGAGTTATGTATCTCATAGGCTGTTCAGAACAAACCGTCCCCAGTGGACGAGGCCCTTTATCCTAGAGCAACCGATGGTTGCTGACTTGCCAACTGACGGCGCGAACCAACGGATGGGCTGGGTGATAACCCTGCTTGCCATCTCTTTGGCCGGGTTCACAACCGAACTTATTCGGGTAGTGCTCAATGGATGGCCATCTGATGTCTCTCTTCTCATAGTCTGGGTATGCCGGGATCATCCCTGCGGAGAGATGAAACACTGACAAGTAACTAGGCTGCTGCAACATGCCTAGTCGCAATAGCACGCCCGAGGTCATGTTCCACCTCTTTTCTTGCCTTCTTCACTAGCATGCTGGCACTAGAGATTGCCTTTATCACAGTTTATGATGCGGATGGGTCGATACTCGCCACTCACTATGTAGCAGCCGTTATTGCTTTGATCGGTTGCATCGTAATCCTTGTGATGCCCCTTCGAGGCCCTTCTCTTCCCTGCATTGACATTGGAGCCGTTGGTCAAGAGCCATCCAGCAAACATCGCAGCCCAGAAGATAATCTGCGACTTTGGCAGTTTCTTAGCGTGTCATGGATGGCCCCGCTGATTTCCATCGGCAGAAGCAGACAACTGCAAGAGGATGATGTTTGGTTCTTAGGATTTGAATTCCAGCACCGCAGGTTGCATGAGAAATTCCGCAAATTGAAGGGTTCTGTCATTGGTCGATTACTACATGCCAATGGAATTGATATTTTGATTATCACCGCAATTGCCATTGTGCAGATGCTTTGCGGTCTGTCGCTCATTGGATGTCAGTTTGGATGGCGCTGACAGCGATACAGACTTTTCAACACCGGTACTGCTTCAGCGATTGCTACAGGCGATGACTGATGGTGGCTCATCACATCGTGTTGCCCTGACTTATGCTCTGCTATCCCTGCTACTCCGCCTGATTGCTGCGCAGTCCCAAGTATTGAGCCTGTGGTACGGAAGACGGAGCTATGAAAGAAGTCGAGGCGAAATGATAATGATGGTCTATGAGAAAGCCCTATCAAGAAAGAATGTCTTCGACCAGCAATTGGTTGACAAGGCAGAGGAGGATGGGCTGCAGGAGGAGACCGAAAATGAAACGGCTGCCAATCCAAAACGGTGCAGGTGGTGGCCATTCTCGATTTTTCGGCGAGCACCACGCAAGCCCAAGGTTAAGCAAAGTGCTTCCATGGGTAAAATCTTCAATCTCCTGCGCGGGGATGTCTACGAGGTTGCCCAACGTTTTTGGGAGATCGACACACTGGTTGATAAACCCCTGGGGCTTGTCATTGCTATTGTGCTAGTCTGGAAGCTGCTTGGCCCGTCGTGCTTCCTGGGAATTGTTGCTGTTATAGTTGCCCAAGTGCTAAACGCATTTGTCACTCGTATTCTTTTACAAAGGGAACGAGTTCGTCGGCTGGCGACGGATAGTCGACTACAACTTTCCTCTCAGTTCGTGGAGGCACTACGACACCTTCGGTGGTATGGATGGCAGAACCACTGGCTGCGTCAGGTTATGGACGCTAGGCAGTCCGAGCTGAATCTTCGCATCGTCACTATGCTGTGGGGGATTGTTATTCGCTTTATCAACACGTTTGCGAGTGGTCTCTTCCCAGTAGTGGCGCTATATGCGTACACTCTTCTGGCGGGGAATCCATTGCGCATCGACATCATTTTTCCCGCCTTGCAGCTCTTCACTATGCTCGAAACTCGTCTGAGGGATATCCCGAGCCTCATCACGGTGCTGATCAATGCGTCCATCGCCATGGAGAGAATAGATGACTTTATGGCCGAGCCCGACAAAGAAAAGAAAAACAGTATCGATACTGAAGCAGCTCCGATCCAGCTGGAATATTGTTCCTTTGCTTGGCCTGGAAAAGAACTCCCAGTGCTCCACGAGATCGACTTAAAGATACGCCAAGGACTAACTGTTGTGTACGGCAAAGTAGGAGCTGGCAAGACAGCTCTACTTCAAGCTTTGCTTGGCGAATTGGACAGACTTGGTGGCATTTCGCACGTACCAAATGAGATGATCGGCTACTGTTCCCAGACCCCATGGTTACAGAGCATGAGTATCCGAGACAACATCCTGTTCTCTTCGCCCTATGATGCCCAACGCTACCGGCGGGTTCTGGACGCATGCGCTTTGATACCCGACCTGTCAAACTTCAAGCATGGTGATTTGTCCTTTGTCGGAGAAAACGGTATCGGTCTTTCTGGTGGACAGAAAGCACGTGTAGCTCTTGCACGAGCAATGTACAGCACGGCCAGAATACTATTCCTCGACGATCCCTTGTCAGCATTGGATCACAATACCGCAGAGACAGTCGCTCGCAAATGCTTCTCAGGTCCTTTGATGCAAAACCGTACTGTTGTGCTTGTCACTCATAGAACTCACTTGGTCCGGAACCTCGCAGATCAGATTGTTCTCATACAGAAGGGCCGCGCTGTTGTCGAAGACAAACACCAGCACTCGTCCAATGCAAGTGGCCCTTCTGAAGATAGCTCGTCAGATACGAGCGAGGCTGAATCTGAGAGCGACAGGGCATTCGCAGAAGATACAGCCGCAGTGCCGACAAAGTTCATCGAAGAGGAACATCGAGCGGAATGGGGCGTCAAGGCTAGGGTATATTGGAAGTATATCAAAGCCAGTCAATACAGGTGGTGGATCACGTTGATTGTCGTGCTAGCGGTGTACCGACTCACATCAGTGGGACAATCCTGGTTTCTGAAGGAGTGGGGAGAGGCGTACAACGAAACGCTTCTGCTGTTCGGATACTCGGGCTCGAATAAGAAGTCCTTTGCTGGCGACTGGATCACACCATCGGCCATGGTGAACATGGTCAACTGGAAGCCTACCAACCCTCTTGACGAATTCCCAGCACCGGTTGAAGATGTTCGCCCTTGGCTGCTTGCATTCTTTGCCATCACGACCTTCCAATCAGTAATACTCTTGATTGCACAGCTCGTGATGCTTGTCATGGTCTACAGCGCAGGAAAGACCCTCTTCCAAGAAGTCATGGTGCGAGTGAGCCATGCTACCTTTCGGTTCTTCGATGTCACTCCTATCGGTCGACTAATGAATCGACTGACCTCTGACATTGGCGTTGTGGACGGAAATATCAGCGAGCAATTCCAAATGATCGCATTTCAAGCAATCACCTGGATCTCTTCCATTGTTGTGATCGCATCAGTGACGCCAACCTTTCTCGGCTTCTCCCTGATCCTGACGGCAGCGTTCATCGCGGTGTTCCTGCGTTTCCTGCCAACATCACAGAGCCTGCGGCGACTGGAAATGGTGTCACTAAGCCCCTTGATATCCAATTTCGGCGAGCTGCTTCATGGCTTGACCACTGTTCGCGCATTCCATGCAGAAGGGCGCTTCCAGGATCGCGTGATCGCGGTCGTCGACAAGTTTCAAGGGATGGACCATTTCTACTGGTCTCTTCAGAGCTGGCTCATGTACCGGTTTGAAAGCCTCTCTGCCTTGTCGACCTTCTGCCTCACCGTGCTGGCATTGTACACGAGCGTATCTCCGGGTCTAGCAGCATTTGTGCTTGTAGCAGCCAACAACTTCGTCGCATCAACCCATGCTCTCTGCAAACAGTACGGCCAGCTGCAAATGGATTTTGTCTCCGTCGAGAGGGTGGATGAATTGCTCCACGTGGAACAAGAGTCCCCAGGGACCATCTCTCCCCCTGCATCATGGCCCAAGTTCGGCCGCGACATCGTCTTCGAAGATGTCACCATCCGATATGCCCCTCACCTGGACCCATCCCTCAAGAACGTCTCTCTGCGTATACCCGGGGGCTCTACAACCGCCATCATTGGCAGAACCGGGAGCGGAAAGTCCACACTCGCCGTCTCCCTACTCAGCGTCATTCGTCCCGACTCGGGACGCATCCTCATCGACAACCTGGACATTGCGCAAGTCAACACACAGGTTCTCCGCACCCGGGTGACATTCGTCGCACAGGACCCGGTTCTCTTCCCCGGGACCATTCGTCTGAACCTCGACCCAACAGGAGAATACTCAGACACCGAGTGCGCAGACGTCTTGAAACGAATCTGCAGCCGACACGGCTGGAGTCTGGAGACCCCTGTGGAAGCCGGGGGACGAAACCTGAGCCAGGGTGAGCGTCAGTTGATTGGCCTTGCAAGAGCCGTGTTGCGCCGCAGCTCCATCGTCATCCTAGACGAGGCAACTGCATCAATTGACCATGAGAGTTCGCTCGAGATCCAGCAAGTCCTGCGAGAGGAGATGAGGGAGTCGACCGTGATCACCATCGCACATCGACTGGAGGCCATCAAAGATGCCGACTACTACATCATGTTAGATCAGGGGGGTGTATCGAAACAGGGATTCGTGAAGGATATGTGAGTAGCCGATAGTACCATCCGTAGAAGCAATTTTATTTAGCCTAAACTACACCACAAGATCTTTAGCTCATCGTCTGATATCTCCTTCCACTTGCTCAGCACAAAACCACCCCCAACTCCAACACCTGCAAAATAAAACCCCCAACAGCAAAGACCACCCACCCCACCCAACCAACCAAATAAACACCCCCTCCTACACCCCCAAAACAACCCCACCCCCACCCCCACCCCCACAAAAACTACCCAAACCCTCCAACCCTCTGCCCCTCCCTATCCCCTTCCCTCCCACCCCAGAACCATTCCTTAGCAGATTGACTACTAGTCGTACTCGCTCCAACCGACATACCCCCAGTCCCAGTCCCAGAACTGCCCTTATCCACTGCCGTAGCACTAACGTCAACCATAGTCGTCGTCACCGAACTCCGACTCCAACTCCAACTCCGGCTCCGAGTAAGATAGATCGTTGAAGTATAGGTCGATAAAGTCCTCGGAGTCGTCACCATACCCGTTGAATTGGTTAGACTCATGGGGTGAGATAGCATAGTAGGTGTGGGAAGAAGTTGTTGATGTGAGGGTGGGATGACTGTTCACATCCGGAGTGTTAGGGTACTGATCCCAGAGACCGGCCTCATCACACAGGATCGACTCCGGAACCGGGACGGTGGCCAGGGGAAGGGTGTATCCTGTACACCTGAAGGCGCAGACAGCGTCCCCGGTTGGAGGGGTAGATTCGTAACCTATTTTCGTTTTTCAATTAGGGCTGATTGCTGGTTAGGGGAAAGGTTGGACGAATGTATGTACAGATAGCTTGCTCCTCGTAGCCCTCGGGGAGAATATTAGATAATCTGCATTATTTATTAGATCCTGGTTAATGGAAGCGAGGAAGAATACATACAGCAGATTGCACGAACGGATCTCCACGGTATTCTTAGATGCACAGGAGATGATAACCGAGTTCTTTAGAGAGCCATAGACGCAGTAGCTTCCGCCGGGCTTGGAGCAGATGAGCGTGTTGGTTTTGGGGTTGCTGTGGTGTCTTTGTTAGTGTTTGTTGGATAGATGGTAGATGGTAGATGGTAGGGGGGGACGGACTACGATATCTGCGATGCTGCAGTGAGCATGAATGCCAGGATGGTGGCTATGATGAGAGAGAAGCGGTTGGGCATGGTGGCTTTGATCTTATTTTGAGGTATTGAGGAGATGTGGGATGGAGGGACAAGGGGGATGAAGGGATGAGAGTACAGGAGAGAATTGAAAGAGTGGAAGACTGCAAGATATCTAAGATCATAGCAATATCGCGTCAGGCATGGCGCGCCTGGCGTTCTGTCGACGCGTGTGTGGATATCTTCGCGATTGTATGAAGCAGTGAATGGTGTATACTGGTTGACCATCTTTACTTTCATGTGGTGGCATATGGTATGCATGGCATGCATGGCATGGAACAGGCACAGCCAGTTGGATGTCCTAACCAATGTACATTAACAGTTGCGATCTGTGCCAGACATGCGCAGATGAAGTCTATAAGATGGTATAACCGCATAGCAGTGACAGATTAGAAAGGATCCAACCCAGCCACAAGCACTTTTATCCCAAATCAGTCCTGTCGAACGCCGTACTCGCCCATAGAAATGCATCAATGAAAATCACACAATCATGACCGGCTCTGCTGCCACTTGCGGATCCTCCGCTTCAGGTCACCCTCACTCTGTTGCATAGGGTTCAATTTCCGGTCGCGAGCCATAGCGGTGTAGTTCTCTCCGTGGCGTTCAACCAGTTTCAAAATCCACTCCTCCTCCCGCTTGCTCTGGTGACGCGGCTTCTTGGCCTTGACGGTAACTCCCTCCTGATCCGCCTGGCGCTCGAGTTGCTGGACGATGCTAGTTCCGGGGGTCTTCTGTCGCAATTGTGCGGCCTCACGCTCGTTATCAGACAGATCGTTCAAAGGGTCGTTGAGCGGGTTGTTGCGCTTGTGCTTGCGTCCAGCCACTTCGACCTCGTCATCGTTGCGGATTACGCGCAGAATCTTGCCAGTCTCCGGATCACGCTCAACCTTGATGTCGCTGGTTGCCGTCTGCTTGGCGACAGCCTGAGCACTGCTCTTGATGTACAAAGAATCTTCCGGCTCTCCCTCAACACCCTCCTCGGTTGCGCGCTTTTGAGAACCACCGGACGGAGCATTCAGGCGATGGACGAGACCCAGGCGGCGGTAGTTTTGGGTAAGGGTCAACTTGCGGTCCCTGATCGGAGCAGATTAGAATATGCTGTAAGATAGCTTGGCACTCCACGTTCCGTCTTCATTGAAGATCGGACACATCAAGAAAATCAAGGTCGTACCAATTTTCCGCAATGATAGCATTTCCCAAGACATTGATCTTCTTCTTGCCGCTCTTGAGAAGACCCGTTCTCTTGGCCTTCACCTTGGGAGTAGAAGATCTCTTCTTTCTGGTCTGGCGGATGTTGCCCATGGTGGAGAAGATGAAGGACGGGGTGATGGATGGATAGACGTCTGGACTGAAGCTCAAAAATTGCGGCAGACAGAAAACGATCTTATCGAAAAGCCGAAAAGTCGAGGGTGTTTGCAGGGTTTGCACCCGATAGGGGCTTGGCGTGTTTGCGGCGGGCCGATAACAATCCAAGCAAACATCCGACAACGGCGCATCATTTCATCTTCCTCTTCTTCTTCTTCTCCACCATTCTGTCCTTCGGAGGGTAGCTTACAATCCATATTTGCTGCCATGGCGCCCTCTCTTTTTGCTTCAACCCGGCGCATGGGTCTTGCATTGATTGCTGGCCTTGTTCTCTTCTCCGCGCTAGCGGTTGCCCATGATGCTATCTCCGTTGGAGACATGTCAGTGGGTCAGATCGAGGAAGAGCTGCAGGTATGTTACCTAGTGACTCCGCGAGATTGCGTGTTGCACCTCGCCATGGCTCTTGCCATGTCCCTTGAAGTATCAAGCTGACCGCCATTGTCTAGAACTGCCCCCTCGTCGAATCCCTCAATGAGCATAAACGCGCCGCAAGCCCCCAAACCACTAGCTTGACCTCCAAGATCTTCTCGGTCCTCTTCCCTGGCAGCCCCGCGGTGAATGCTATCCTGGCGACTATCTACATCTCCGGCCCTCCCAGTATGTGGTCCTCCTATCACACCATCACCTAATCATAACCATTGTCCCGCCTAGACTTCCTTCTGGCCCTATGCCCCCCCAACATCGACCCCTCCTCCCTGTCCGTCATGGTCGCATTCGCAGTCGGCGGCCTCCTGGGCGACACCATCTTCCATCTGCTCCCCGAGATCTTCCTAGGTGAAGATTCCCCAGACAGCGTCCGCTTCGTCATGGTCGAGCCAAATCGTAACCTGCTCCTGGGCGTTGGAATCATGGTGGGCTTCTTTACCTTTGTCGCGATGGACAAAGCCCTCCGCATAGCCACCGGAGGAGCCGGACACGATCATTCCCATGGCCACTCCCACAGCGACGACGCTAAGCCCACGGCCACCACGACCAGCTCCTCCCCCCAACCCTCCAACGAGCTCAAGCAACGCAAACCAACCACTACCAATGCTGCCCCAGAACCCGTATCCACCGAGAAGGAGATCAACCCCAGCGTCAAGCTAGGCGGCTACCTGAACCTCATCGCCGACTTCACCCACAACATCACCGACGGCCTTGCCATGTCTTCCGCCTTCTACGCCTCTCCCACCGTCGGCGCAACCACCACTGTCGCCGTCTTCTTCCACGAAATCCCCCACGAGGTGGGCGACTTCGCCCTTCTCATCCAATCCGGTTTCTCCAAGCGAAAGGCCATGGGCGCTCAATTCGTAACAGCCATTGGAGCCTTCCTCGGTACTTTTATCGGTATCGCTGTGCAAGAGTTCGGTGGGGGCCACAGCAGTTCCGCTGTCGATAGCGCCGCGTCCGGCCTTTTCGGTACCAGTCTCACCTGGGGCGACATGCTTCTGCCATTCACGGCGGGAACATTCCTCTACGTCGGCACGGTCTCCGTTATCCCTGAGCTACTGGAAACCGGCAAGGACAAGGGCGTGGAGATTCAGAAGACAATCGTGCAGTTCTTGGCTGTTATGGTCGGGGCAGGAATCATGCTTGTGTAAGTCCGTCCCTTACACCTTACACCTTATCCCCATAATCTTCTCCTGCTAACATAGTCTGTATAGTATCTCCTGGGACTGAGTGACCCAACCACAATACACACAACAATGTATCATGATGACAAAAAGGTGAAGTGATATTAACAGATGAGTCCCAGCAAAAAGAAGACAACATATAGACAAAATATCTAGTACATAATGATGAGCAGAATACTCTACCATTTATCTCATCACAGAGTAATAAAATATCTAATAACATCTTACTACTATACGGCATCAATCTCCCACTTTCCCTGACCGCTGCCTATATTTAGCCCAATAAGACTAGTTAACTGCCTGCATCCGTCTAGGGTACATCAACACCGGACCCCAGTCCTATAGAATACGATCATCCTCTAAGAAAGAAATCAAACCTACACAGCCAGAACACCAATATAGCGCCCAGCGCGTAGGCATAAAATAGTATGAAACAAGCCAATAGGTAAGATAAGAAGTACGGCGGTGTCGCCAACAGAAATTGGTCTAATTATAGATAACCTAGCCTAGCCTTTTGTTTCCGTTTTCTAAGTTTTTCTTTGGTTGTTGTCCTCGTGCATATCTGTCTCGTGGACCCGTCACTCGTTATAGTGGTATACCTGTTATGATGTTAGTGAGGATTAGGATTGAGGATTTGAGGGATTGAGGAGGGGACATACAAAGTAATCCGGTAGGCCATAGATGGTATATCCTAACCGTTTGGCCATCTTCGCGAAACCTTCTGTTTCGACTAGGTGGTAGAATGGAAATGCGGGGAACATGGCACCGTCGCGATGCACATCGGCTTTGACCATCAGGGCGGTTCCACCGACACCGTCGAGCTCAATTTCGCGGCTCGGACGGGGCGCTTTGGTGTTGGCCATGTAGGCCATGAGGGTGCGGTAGGTGGGCAGCTCGGCGTATCCCTCGAGGAGGATTTCGTCTGCGTCCATGGTGTCGGCGAGTTGTTGGGCGGTGGCGCTGTCGATCCAGGAGTTGTAGTCGTAGGGGCGGACGTCCATTCTCTTGGAATCCTTGTTATAGTACCGCTGGTAGCAATTGGGGACAATCACGGGTTTGTCGTGGGCGGTCAGGTCCTGGATGAGAGTCTCCGGGGTCTCAATGATGTCGGAATCGAGCCAGAGGACCCAGGAGGTGCTAGGACCGAGGGTGGTGAAGAGGAGGCTATTGCGGGCGCGACTCATCGATTCGCGACGAGCCTTCTGGTTGGACATTTTATGGCGCTCCTTCTCATCTTGGGACTGGATGGGCGGGTCGAAGTCCTGGCGGAGGATGCTGATGCTGGCGAAGCGGCTGTCGATCGGACCGGACTGGGTCTCGCTGATGGCCTGTTCCAGCGCGGTGACTGCGGCATTGCCGTCCTTGGTGTTGGGAACGATGAACCCGATGGAGATTAACTCGTGTGGGTAGCTGAGTTTGACCACATTGTCCCAGAATTCCTGGTAGAAGCGGGCCAATGGGGTCAAAATAAGGATACGTTCCCCTTTCTCGGCGGACTCGCTGGTGCTGGTGAGTTCGTTTAAGTTGTAGTGTGTGACGGGCGGAGGAGCCTTCTGGCCATCGCCGCGGACGGCTTGGGATTTCAAGAAGGGTTTCGTTGGAGGTGACAGGGGGTGTTCGGCGGCATCTTCTCGTCGTAACTGGGAGGAGGCATCTGTGATAGGAGCGGCGGCGGGGGCGGAGGAAGGAGAGAGGAGGAAGCAAAGGAAGCCGAAGGCGAGCAGCGCAGCCAGGAAGACTGTGATGGGACTTGTGCGACGCATGGAGCGTGCGACGGCCATCGTAGCCGTTTGACAGTGCACGCAGGGTCCGGGCTTGATGGAGCGAAGGCAAGGCGGCTGCGGTCCAGATGGTGATGGGCGGGACTGGAATCGATCTGGCCCGGCGAGCAGTCGCGGGGAACTCTTTAGCCAGCAATTAGAGTGGTGGTGAGCCGGGCCCCGAACATAGCGGAGGAGAATAGAGAGGGAGGGGAGGGCAGGACCGAGGGGTGATGGCGGAGGAGAAGAGTAGGAAGAGGAGGACGGCCGGAGATGACGGGCTGGTCTGGATCCATGGCTGATAGACGCTGGCCGGAAAAAGAACACGCGGACCCAAGCACCGGCCAAGGGCGATTCCTCCAGCGTGCTGGACCCCGCGAGCCTCCTGCTTCTCTCGCAACCTCCCGAACCGGTCAACTCAGGGTTTCTACGAGAACTATTTCGAGTGGTTCGTGCCGATGGTCGCACAAAGTAATGGATGTGTTCCAGTGGCTGCGCTGGGCCAGCCATGGCCGCATGCGGAGGTCGCACCAAATCCCGGTTGTGAGACGCGCCACCCTTCAAGGTACGCTTCTTCATGGTTGTCTAGGATATGCTGGCCATATCATAGCATTAGGTATATATATGATACTACTACTATATGCAAGTCTATGTTCACATTAATATCTATCGTTCGAGCATTACTGTGCCCGTTTTATAGGTCTATCGTGGTCGTCCCGTGAGTTCGCCAGTGCGGCCGTAAGCCAACATCTCACGGCAACCACCGCATCACACCCTCAAATGCAACCAAAGCCATGGCATTCGCCGGGAATGCTCGTAAAAAGCATGGCACGAACCCTCGCCAGTACCCCCTCCACCCTCGCTCCCGATAGACTGCCACCGCCGCGTCCTTCCACCACTGGAACCTACGCTGCCCATCGCCCAGCGCCCCTCCCATCGGGTCCGTCATCAGGCGCTGCTTCACCACGTCGGACGGATACGACGTTATCCAGAAAATCTGCGCCGAAATGCCACCAGCCCAGAAGTTGATTGCCGGGGCCGACAAGCTAGTCTTTTCCTTCATCAACCGGGTCAGGACATCGTAGGATCCCCACCAGAAGAAGAAGAACGAGCGGAAGACCATCGTTGCGCACAGTCCGCGATATAATCCGGCAATGCCATGCGTGCGAAGCTATAAAGTCAGCCACCAAGATCTTATGCCCAGGATACGACATTCTTACGATCTTGCTAATGCAATCTATCGGCCCGCTGTATAGACGCTTAGATTTATCCGCCGAATATTGAATCTGAAGCCGTGCCTTGACATGTTCCACCGGTGCCGCAATGAAACTAACTGTCGTTCCAGCCATGATACCCGCAATACCGTGGCCAACGCTGGGTAGAGTGCTAATATCCGGCTGATGGCTCGTAAACGGAATCCTGGCACGAATATCCGGTTTCGAAAACACATTTTCGAGCAACAATCGCCGATACAGTGTCAAGGAACCGAGCATACTAGAAATTAACCAGTCAGCGCCTGCATCTCTTTTAACCCCCCGCGGGCGCATCGCAGCGCAACTCACACAGAATCCATAACCATCCAACCGACCAGCGGTGGCGTAGCTCCTTTATAAAATCCCGCTATACCCTCCTTGCGAACCGTCTGTAGCACACAATCCAAAGGACCCCGGAAATGGCCCTCATGACTCGTCTGTAAACGCACTTTGACTGTATCAAACCTGCACGGCACACCAATGGTCAATTCGTATTCTCGCAAGCGATAACCAACACAATGCGAAAGAAAAAAAGGCGCGCAAGTCACATACGGATGGCCAACTACAATCAAAACACATTAGCTACGTCTCGAATCTCGTGTGAAGTCCGCAGAACATGCGCCAAACATACCACTTAGTTTCGCTATTCCCGAAAACACCCCCGCCACAAATCCCTTGTAATCATGCTTCTTGGAGGTCTTGGCCGTCGGCGAACCGCTGTTCGCTGTATCGGGCTTGGTCATGGTCCCGGCGGATCGTTGCTTTGATATAGCGGAGGTCGTGGAGGTCGGGAGCGGTGCAGACGTCGACGACATGGTCGACAGGGCTGTCGTCTGTGTGTCGCAATCGCCTGGATAGGGAGTCCCTGTCTCAGACCGTCTCAACAGGCGAATTGAAAGGTGGGTGTCGGACCGAGGGATGAAAACTCGTGGGGGAGATGTCGGGGTCCGCTATCGGATGGAGCAACGGGCGGAGTTAACGAGCGCGCGAGGTGGCCATGAATTGCTGAATGACCCGACACTGAAATACCAATGGAATCAAGGGAATTGGTCAAGGGTTATATGTAGTCGGCAGAGAAGACTTCTAGCGGAGAAGGGCGAAAGATGGGGGAGGAACAGGCAGGCTTCAGATGCGCCCCGCAAACCCGGCGGTTCGGGGAGCACCGGCCCAGCTCCGAACGGATGGACGGCCGACCGCGCCCAAGCGTTGGGGGAACCACTCACAGTCGGTTGGCGACCGGCGCCAATTCGGACTCCGCAGATCACGGAACTTAGTACCTACGGAGTACTACAGCACTACTTAATACTAATGTCCTGCTCAGCAGCTTGGTGCAACCGTGCAACATCAACAATTTGTTCTATTGCTTTTCTGGTGGTTGCTGGTCTCAGCTAATCATCAGTTCAATAACTTGCAGTGCAGGCCCCCAACCGTCTCTCTATAGTACCTGCCGCTTGTTTAGCCGAATTGTCCGCAAGGATGACAGTCTGTTTCTGTTCAACCTTGACAATACAATGCCCGAAATAACACAAGTGTCATAAGAAGTAAGGAGTGCAAGCATCATGATGGAAACAGAAAAAGATCAAGTTCGGTGTAAAGAAGATCACAACACATAGGGAAGAGAACGATCCTGGCAAGGGCACGGATCAGCTGTGTGGGGTATAGTAGCATGATTTCATAATACATAGTAAGGTTTCTGGTGAGAAGAAGAGAAACAAAGGGAAATGCCTCGAAGGTCTTTCAAAGACCCGAACCAGGTCCTGCATCACGCCTCTGATCGATGCTGTCCTGCAGCCCATCGACAGTGGTGCGTAACAAGACCCGGAGTTGGAAGTCCAAGACCTGAGTCATACAGGGTGGCTTTTACCCTGGCGAAGATTGCTGAAATGCTAGAATGTAGTTGCAATTGCACATGCATCTCCACTGGGCCTAGAAGCCCTTGAGGGACTTCATTGGTTTTTGTCGATTCCGCTCGTTTTCCCGAGCAATCAGTCTATCCACCAGGTCTGGAGCCGCCCCGGAGTGATCCCGAGATGCAAACTCCGATGAGCTAGATGTGCCCGAGACAAGATATCCACCTGCCTCTTCGAGCGCCAGCGGAGTCACCGGGCCCGGGCTGCGGAGCGGATCTAGGCGCGGGGCAGATGGACTCGGTGACAACGGCCTGGAGGGAGTCTTTGGTAGGGAACTTCCTTCCACTAACTGCCACATGGTGTCACGGGCGCCGGAGGACGTGCGATACCCGTGTTGTCGTGCCTGGCGTGGTGAAGAAGGCTGCGCTGGGGGGCTGCCTGAAGACTGGTAGACTGCCGGATGGAACCGTGGTAAGCTTCCCAAGTGGAAGGCAGGCATCGACTTGGATGTGTTCTGGGCCCGAGAACGGGAGGGCTGCGGAGAGACAGGACGACCGGTTGGAGCCATGGAGGAAGAGACGGCTGGCGGGTAGAAGGTTGAGCTGTCCGAACGCATGCTGTTCGAGGGTGAACGATGAGAGCGATGACCAGGTCGACCGCTTCTTCTATGAATCTGTCTTTCTCGGTGGCCCTCGGGAGTCTGGTCACGGTGGGCAAAGTAGTAGCCTTTATCGAAACGCCCTGTGAGGGGAGTGACAGGAAAATCTTTATCGCGTGTGTTGGGAGATGGCTTAGGGATGGGGATCGGCCGGGAGGTTGACTGGGTGAGAGTGCCGGTTTCCACAGATTCTGTACTATCTGAGCTCGACGAGGTGGGGGAGGGAGGATTATATGTCGACGAGGTTGCCGTTAACTCTTGGAGGGATGACAACGAGACTCGGGTGGGGTGACCGTGTCTGGCAATAAGACTTTCCAACTGGTCTCGGGCACAAAAGCTCGACGGTCGATAGGAGGGCGACCAGGCGGACGATGAGAGATTGGCTAGTGAGAGCACGCGATCAGCATGAATGTGCAGAGCCAAATGCCACACGTGTCAGGTGGGGATGATTTTTCGGATCAGTGCCATCAACTGAAACCGAAACAGCAAAGCTAATCATCGACGGGGCGAACGATACTAAATTGTAGGAAAAATGCAGAGGGACCAATAAGGATGATGTGGTTCGCCTAGCGAAGGCAGGATCTGCCTGAAAGAAGTGGGGAAGGAACGAGGCATGGTTGGATGGGAACTCGTGGCACGAAGGAGGGGAAAGTAAAGAGGAAGACGGAGCTGGGAGGACTTACTGCTGAGCAATGGCGGAGAGTGGCAGGAACTGCAAGATGAGGGATAAAGCGAAGGCGAGGAAAATGAGGCGGAGGGAGAAGAAGAGGGTGGAGAGGTAGCCATTGAAGGGGGGCTTCGCTCTGCTTTTGAACCGTTTTCTTTTTTATTGTTAATTTTTTTTTTATTCTTCCCTTTGTTTTCCCCTTCTTCCTTCCCCGTCGTAAGCGCCGTAAGTGGATAAGCCGCTGGATGGGACGATGCAAATCCAGGCACCCCGGGCCCCGGATGACTTCTCCTTGACAGGTACGTAGGTGCCCGTCCCAAGGATACTTTGACTCACGGGAGATCATGCAACTCCCCTCTCTGCTCGGCGTCCGCTGCCTTCACTCACCTCTATCGTTGCAATTTGCTTGCTGTTCCTTTGATTCAATCTGTACAATCCCAATTCTAGTCTACCTGAGACAATATGCTTTTGCTTTTCCCCTCCACAGAATCTATTTGATGATTGATCGTCAGCTTGCGGGGAAACTCAAAACCGTCACATACCAAGAGCCGAAACCCATGGCGTCATGGCGGGAGACGCGGGAACCAAAGCTGGAGGGAGGGGCAAAGCGGAGCGCTCACGGTACGGTACGGTATGGATACCGCTCTCCCGGCTCCACCCCACTCCGCTGCGACAAAGTCAAGGAGGAAGAAGGTGGGAGAGAGGGGTGATCGGAGGTGATAGACCGGGGGGCAAAGAATGAAAAGAGAAACCCGTCCACTCACATCCAATAGCCGTCCTCTCACTTCACACCATCCAATTTTCTAGAGGCCGCACAGACAATCGTATCCCCAGGTGGGAAGTAGGGGTGATTGGTTCCTGGGGGGTCGACGGGCACTAGGCGTGATGCGGGCTAGCCTGCCAGTGACGCATAGTCCGGTAAGTGGAAGCGAAGCGGTCACGGGAACTGGAGGCGTCTAATGTAGAGTGGGAGAGGGGAATGTCACTAGCCAGAGTAGGCAAACCTGCAGAGAGCAGATGGCTGTGGCAGACAGGTCACGCTGAAATTCAGGGAAATGCCGGAAAGTGGATGGGTTGAACATGAGAGCTTGGCAATGGTTGGGGAATCCTCGTATCCTTGTATTGTTCCTGCGAACAAAACAGGTGGCCGCAGCAAAGAATAGTATCAGGCAGGTCAGGCAGGTAAGGCAGGAAGCCCGCGGATGTATTTAAGGGCGTACCTGTCAGCCGGGATAGAAACAGTAAGGCGGAAAGAAAGCACCAATGCCGGGGGAACAGTAGCGAGAGAAGCACGGAGGACTGGAAAGAGATCTTGTACCACACAACATGCACAGCATGGCAGACGGGCCCTTCTGGGATGGACTCCGTGGTGGTTTATATTCCCATCTGATTGAAGACAGCAGCTCCTCCGCCTGATGCCCCTGTTCAGCCGATGGAACCTGTTGCAACCACACGCGGGAAACTCGGGTGACCCGGCCGGTTACCATCGCCCGCAACAATAGAGTCAGAGCACACGGCTATAACTATGCTCACAGATAGACACTAAGCGGTAAAGCCAGGATCGCCTGGGCTTAGACCCAAGTCCAGCGAGGTTGGTTTCTCCCAGGTGAGTCAAGAGTTGCCCAGTGCCCGCTCGCTGAGGTCGAGGGGAAGATCCAACCTCTGGATGACGACTGGCTACTGGACTAGTCTGGAGGGAGGGGTTGGCGACACACTACCAGAACGCTACCATCGACTAACGCCCTGCTAGTGGTGTGAAATGTGAATAGGATTGCTGCGCCTGCGAGTCATCCATTCGGCAGAGCTGTTGTAACCCCAGACCCGAGCGACGCTCTACGCACAGTCGATCTGCAGCTGCCGGTAGGACAGAAGGCGCCGGCCATCTCCCTCACAAGTGTGGAGAGGTGAAGCTAGGCGGGGAACTTTTTTCATCCTTCTATGCGACTGACTCTCCGACCGCTCCAGGCCAGCCAGGAGGGGATGTGATGGCCCAGGCTTGTCTCCCCTCCACCGTCTAGCATCATCAATATCCGACTAAGTACCAACCAGTATAGCTGAAAGCCATTTCAAAGAATGTGAGAGGACAGCAGCGTCATCCACGCCGCGCTGGGCGATCAGACGACTCCCGTTAGTCTCCCCTCCATCACACTCGCCCTCCCAGATGCCCCGCCCCAATCCCCTCCAAAGACGCGCCTGGTTACTTGCCTTTGCTTTGACTTTCCGCATTGATTCTTGATGCGACGGGATCCAATAATGATGGCTGGATGTCAATTCCAACGAATGCAAAGCCGGAGTTGCCCAGAGAGGGAAAAGGAAAATAGAACCAGATCACTTGATTGATTTTCTGTTTCCTCAGTACTATTCTATTACCGAGATCCTTCATGGTCCGCGCAAATGGACCTTCCTGAAGGGCTGACCCACCCGGACGGATAAAGCCTCGATCCAAGGTGCAGGCACCAGCATAGATCGTACACTAGGATGGGCTGACGAAACATACCAGCCATCGTCTTGGAGGGTGAGCTTCGTCAGACACAACGTTGACCCCCGGCAGATCTACTCAAGCCGATTAGCCCATTTCTTTCGAGCGAGCTACCCATTCAGTTACAGACTGGTCATGGTGACTCGGATGCAGATCAATCACGCGTCACAATCGCAATCAATCCAACCCAACCATGGACTGTGACTGGGACAACCCCTGCAGGGCTGACCGTCGAGGTAGCGTTGGTGCTTCACTTATCGCAGTCACTCGCTACTCGTCACACCTTCCCTACCCCCCCCCCTCCCGTTACCTTCCTTGGATGTAGCTAATTTGAATGGAGGCTATGCAGGGCAACGTGCGCGTTCAAGACACTGGATCCCGTGCTACAGTCGCTCGTCTCAATCTTCTATATTAAAGCCATGCATATGCTCAGTTATTGGCTAGTTTTAACAGCAGTGGTCTGAAAGAGGAAGGCGGCCACTATGCGACTAAGACGTCTGGTGCCGGTCTAATCTCCTGGGCAAATGCTACTGGTGTGACGCGGGACGAGGATGCTCAATACTAGTACCCAGTCCCCGAGTGCATGCTGAGCTTACGGCTGGAGAAGCCGCTTCGCTACGGTTTCGCACTCCGGGAGAGTGGCATCCAACGATGAGTGCAGAAGCATCCATGAGAACTGCCAGGGCCGAGTCTGTGCGCATGCAGCCTGGGGAGATGCATATGCCCCCGGCTAGGTTCTAGACCTCCGGTCATAGCTTGAGCCATTTTCATTATCTCGTGAAATGTCATGGTGTGAACGTTGTTCTATGGATTGGCCAAATGCCTCATTGACTCATTCATTCGAATAAGGCCTGGCCATGCATGGTTTCCGATCAACACCCGGGTGCTATGTCAATGTCTCAGTCCAAATGCTAACAGTCAGAACTCAAAGAGCATCAGGTAAATTAGACAAGGCACACATACCACACGCCTGACGCCATCTAGGCTGAACTATGCCCCTCCATCTTCCACACCGACGTATTGAGAATGGCCCGGCTGAATGAGGGTAGTTTCGGTTACTCTATCCCACCTATCTCTGACCAATCATCCTTAGCTTTAAAGGATCTGCGCGTTTTGTCTCGACCTAGCCGCGGCTTGAATCGGCTGATATGATGCCTGGCCAGCATTCCTTGGATGAGCTCCCTGTCAGCCAAGGGATATGCCGTGACCCAATTAGCCTTATATCTGTGCACAGCAGCAGCACTATAGACGACGATTTTGCATTTGAAGCTGCGAGTATGCTGGCTAAAGATGGCGCTATTGCCGCGATCAATCTCTGGTGGTATCTCAAATTTGCGCGTTCAACTCATTGTTATCCGTAAGCCCAGAGTGACCTCGAAATGGGCCAGTTACTAAAGACAGTACTTGTTGGCATTATCTGGTTGCACCGCGTTTATAGTCAGTCATCTACTACTTTTGGTCGAGTCTCGTAACTAGATACTCAAATGCTGGTTGGGTCCCTGAATGCTTTTGTATCAATTACATTTTGCCTACTTCGCTATTTATTACTGGGCAAGCGCTTTCTATTAACTCATTTCCCCTATCCGACACCAATACTTCGACCGCTTTCTATCCCCTGATGCATAGGACAACTGATATTCAATCGTGTCCAACATTCTCACCCCAGGATTTTCAACTAATTCATTTCAGCCCGGCCAATCAGGCCACATTCCCCCTCGTGCCTGCAAATCTTTTGCACTGAAGGGTTGGTAGAGCTTCTGTTGGGAATTTCGTGGACATTTCTATCTCAGATCTCGGACTGTTCTATGAAGCTATATCTACGTAACGGATTATATTGTGCAACCCGGAGTCGCCGACAGCCGTTGCGGAGAATTACTAAAAACCGCCGATCCCTGACCTGTACACTCGTGCTGTTGAATAGTAAGTCGCAGTACTGGTATAGGCTGGAGGAGTCCAACAATGTGATGTGTACAGATTAAGGTACCGCACGACGCCACCGGCTACCAAACAGCTCGTAACGCCCATGACGAGTCTCGAGCAGCCAAGTCAGATAATACGGTGTGAATGAGACCCGGGAGAGCAGATTCAGATGATTTAAAACAAGGTTTGAAGAATGGTCACTCTATCTACGTAGCTTTGAACCAGGCGGGGAAATCGACGATGAGAACCGGGGCTCGCATTCCCTTACCCCAGCATCTGCCCATGGTAGATACATGCCAAAAGGTTCCTCAGCTGCGCATCTGCTGACTTATCTGCAGCCGGCACAGTCAGCTTGGCCATGTCCGGATTCGACAGCGCAGGAGTTCGGGGAAACCCCTACACTGGAAAGTATTTGACCGATCATCTTTCCTTTCTTCCCCTTTATTAAGACAGATTGCCTTCAGGACCGAGAGCTCCTCGCCTGTAGACATCCAACACAATGGATGTCCCTCCTCACCAATGTTCGCTTCACTGTGGGACGCTTTCAGTACGCGAACATGGATCGTCGTGCTCGGTTTATTGAGCACAAGAGTGTCCCCTGGTGCGAAGAGTAGACAAACTGAAAAGATAGACATATATGGTATGGGCCAGAATACTTGGAAGCATCACCATTATGCGGCCTTCAATCGTCGATCCGCCAACCTGGTTACCATGTACGACAAAAAGCAACATGCAAGACGGCGTCGACTCATAGGGCCTGTCTTTAGCGAGACGAACATGAGACGATTCGAGCATCGACTCCGTGAGCATGTTGTCTCGTTCTGCCGGAAGATCTGTCTGGTATCAGCACCCACAAAGCTCCATGATCCGTCCTGGAGTCCACCGATCAAGTGTTCCGACTGGTGCAGCTATCTGGTCTTCGACATCATGACGGATTTCATTTTCGCGGTAAGGTATAATGCACTTGAAACAGTTGACTGTCGACCTATTATCAACCATATTAAAGAAGCCGCTGTGAGGAGTGCAGTTCTTGTATACCTCCCTTGGTTGATCCTGGGACGCATGGACAAGAAGATATTCACCAAATCCGTCCACGCCACCCGAGAATATTGGAAATGGATCAAGCGAACCCTGGACAGGCGCTCAACAGCGTCTGCGTCGGATGATGCCATAACCTATCTTCAAGACCCCAAAGACAGGCAGTTGGATATAGGACTCGGTGCGCAAGAGATTCTGTCCGAGTTAGGTCTCCTAGCAATCGCTGGTAGGATTCTCGCCCAATGGAGGACCACTATTGCATTGTTCTAATAGGCACAGGCCTTGACACAACTGCAACATCTCTGGCAGCTTTGCTTTTCTACCTATCCCGAAATCCACATGCGTATGCATCGCTCGCCTCCGAAATTCGAACCACATTCCCCAATGAGGATGAAATTACTCTCGCTAAGCTGAAAGCCTGCACATACCTCCACGCCTGCATCGATGAATGTCTCCGGATATCACCACCAGTCGGCGCGTGTCCGTGGCGTGAAGTGGGAGACGGGGGCGTAACCATCGACGGCCACTTTATACCTGAGGGATACAGTGTCGGGACGGCTATCTACAGTATCCATCATCATCGCACATACTTTCCACGACCACACGAGTATATCCCAGAAAGGTGGATTGTAGCCACCGACAACAATAAAGAGCAGGTTGATGTTGCCAAGTCAGCCTATGCACCTTTTCTGATCGGGCCGAGATCCTGTGTCGGACAGACATTGACGTATTCGGAGCTGTTACTTACGACAGCCATGGTGATCTGGAAGTATGATTTCAAGGCCGCGACAGGAATGGAGGAGCTAGGGGCTGGGAACCCCTTTTCTGAACTGGGAAGGACAAATCCGATGGAGTTCCAGATTATAGATCGAAGCTTCAGTTTGATGGAGGGGGCCGATGATCCAGTTTCGACCGCGGAGTATCGAAGTGCTCCGGGTATGAGTGCAAATATTTACATTGAATAAGCAATACATCCGATGGTATCATGTGTGTGGTCAGAGGAACTCAACCCAACAAGCCCGCCAGTCCGTTATCAACCGGGATACATGTCCCGTTGATTAGCTCCGCCCCAGGACCAGACGAGAGAGACAGACACAGCTCGGCCACCCGGTCCACATCGCATAGCGGAGCTCCTGCGGCAGTCATAAGAGCCATGGCCTTGTCCTTCCCTTCCATGTTGATGTTGGACGTGAATGCATCGGAGATATTCGTCACCATACCGCCCATCATCAGCGCGTTACACCGGATGCCCTTGGAGCCGTAAAAGCTGGCCGTGTTCTTGGTCAAGCCAACGAGACCATGCTTGCTAGCGGTATAGGCGGCACCTGTACTTGTCAGTCCGTGATTCACACATAACCCAGAAACAGGAGCCCCTCATGTGGCAAAGAACATACCCGCCATGAAGCCAGCCTTTCCAGCTAGGGACACGATATTCACAATACACCCCTGGACAGTCTCCTGGGCCAGCATATTCCGCACAGCAAGCTTACTCAACAGAAATGGCGCTGTCAGGTTCACGGCCATGACTTTATCCCACAGGCCCTCGTCGAGATCACCGACGGGGTCGAATTGGTCCATGATCCCGGCATTATTGATTAAGATGTCGAGCTTCTTGAACTGCGTGACAGTCTCGTCGAATAGCTTCTGCACCTCTGTCGCGGAGGTAATATCCGTCTTGATGACCTTGAGTCTTGCGTCGCCATTCGGTCCTGCTAGATCTAGGGAAGTCTGACAGAGTCGCTCTTCGTTAACATCGCAAATGACCACGTTGGCTCCGGCGGAGTAGAACCGAGTTGCAATGGCTTTGCCCAGGCCACCAGCGCCGCCGGTAACGAGACAGGTCTTCCCAGTGAGATCGATGGACATGGTGTTGTGATGGTTACTTTGTTGTTGATGGGTCTATCATTGGCCAGGGGAATCCGTGGGCTTTATAGAACAAGGGGTCAGGCCACGCCTGCGCGGCATGACCGTGACCACGCACGCGGCCACTCCAAGCTAGGGGGTGATTCTGTGGATGCGTATAGGTGTAACGCCCACATCTTGTTCGCCTCGACCAGTCGGAATCCGGACCTGGGTGTCGTATTTGCGTATTCGGGCGATGACTAAGGGGCTGTGTGGGGTCAGGGGATAAAGAGGGTGCAGTCCTTTATATGCATGAATTTCGTCGTATACTTCGTATAGGATACGGTTCGCTCTGTGGGTGATTATTTGGACCCTGAGGTCTAGTCAGTGACGTATGGCTGGTCTGCCTGGCTCTACCCCTGACAACAGCGGGGGACGTCCGGGTATATGAAGGGGGGGGGGGAGCTTTGATCAGTGAGCATGGGATATTGAGCTCAAGTCTTCATCTGGGCAGCTGTTAATGTCTGCGACAGGAGAAGGTCTGCATTCTGCTTACTTTGAATGGCTTTTTTGGGCATTTCTTGTCCAGGTAGGGAGTACCACGGTCCCCGATAACATATCAATGCATTGAAGGCCTTAAACCCTTGAACGGGTTGCAGGGACAGGTAGGGAGAATGCTAAAGCAGAGCAGAGCAGAGCAAAACCGCAGCAAGTCAATCCATGACCAGCAGGCTGACGAGGTCACATGGCCCGGACTGGCAGCGTCCAACCTCTGCCTCCCTTCGGCTATTCTTCACTCCCGATGAGCAACAGCACCACCGGGCACATTCCCATCTCGCAAACCCATTATTCACACTTCAATATCCATCAGCTCAACTTGATAAGCTTATCATCTTGTCTGACCCATGACACATGGAGTTGACATGGACTGCTGTCCGCTCGTGTGCCCCCAACTGGTGGGCGACTGAATTGCCTGCTGGCTCCACCGGCCATCGCGCAGACCTTCTCGATCCGGCAATGAGCGCTATCTTATCGCTTCCCCGGTTATCGTCCCCAGTTCGGCATTGGTGAGCATCTACTCCAGCATTGAGCAGGGTCCGATGCTCTGCCTGGAAATTGGATGCCAATAAATACCGCCCAATGGCGGCCGCTGCCATCATGGCGGAATTTTCGCCTCGCCTTTTCATATTCACAGCCAGACTCCAACAATGGCGGTTTCCGAAGACGAGATTCAGGCCGTCGGTCCAGCCACAACAGGCGAAGATGTTCGCCTGGAGCATCTGGGCTATGAGCAGGGTATGACCGCCAAGTAAGCCTGACAGAACGCTACTGACCATGCAATAGAGCTCAAACGGTCCTTCGGGCTCTTGGGTATGATCGGTTTCAGTTTCAGTGTGGTCACCTCGTATGTCAAGCTCGTTGGGTGAGGATACATGCTAACCCTAGCTCAAGATGGACCGCACTCAGTGGTGTCTTCATCGTCGGTGTCACATCCGGTGGCCCCCCAGTCATGATCTTCAGCTTCATCGGTGTCAGCCTCCTCACCCTTGCCGTTGCCATTCCCATGGCCGAGATGTGTTCGATGTATCCTGTGGCCGGTGGCCAATACTCCTGGGTGGCTGCATTTGCTCCTCCGAAATTCGCCCGCGAGTTGTCCTACATAACCGGATGGTTCATGCTCATTGGTAGGGCTTCACGCCTCCTCACCCTATACATGAACTAGACTCACCAAACAAGGTCTCCTCGCAATGGGCGCAACCAACAACTCCATCGCTGCCCAGTTCGTACTCGGAATGGCCAACCTTGTCTTCCCCTCGTACGAGATCCAACGCTGGCAGACCGTCCTAGTAGCCTACCTCGTGGCCATCCTCGCCGCGGCAATCAACATCTGGGGCCCCCATCTGCTCAACCGGATCTCCCGCTTCATCCTCATCTGGAACATCGCCGCCTTCTTCATCACCGTTGTTGTCCTCCTCGCCACAAACGACCACAAACAATCCGCCTCCTTCGTCTTCGTCGACTTCCAGAACTTCACCGGCTGGGACCGCGCCATGGCCGCCATCGTCGGCATCCTGCAAGCCTGCTTCGGCATGTGCTGCTACGACGCCCCGGCCCACATGACTGAGGAGATGAAATCCGCCTCCAAACAAGCCCCCCAAGCCATCATCCTCTCCGTCGTCCTCGGCGCCATCACCGGCTTCGCCTTCCTCCTCGTCCTCTGCTTCTGCATCGGCGACATCAACGCCACCCAAAACTCCGCCACCGGCGTCCCCGTCATCCAGATCTTCTACGACTCCACGGGCAGCAAAGTCGCCGCCTGCTTCCTCGCCAGCATGATCGCCGTCATCGTCATCATCGCCGGGAACAACATCCTCGCCGAAGGCTCCCGCTGCGTATACGCCTTTGCCCGCGACAACGGCCTCCCATTCAGTAAATTCCTCGCCAAAGTCGACAAGAAGCGCCAAGTGCCCATCAACGCTATCCTCCTCACCCTGATCGTCCAACTCGCCCTTGATGCCATCGACTTTGGCACCTCCACTGGCTTTGAAACAGTCATTGCCATTTCCACCGAAGGATTCTGTACGTCCCATACCCCCTCCTCTCCCTCCCTTCCTCCCCTACCACCACCCAACATCCGCACCCAACCCACTAACACCACTCCAAAACACAGACCTCTCCTACGCCATGGCCCTCGCCAGCCGTCTCCTCGGCTACATCACCAACCACCGCCCCACCCTAACGGGCCCCTTCTCCCTCCGTCCCTGGCTCTCCCTCACACTCAACACCCTCGGTCTCCTCTTCCTGCTCTTCGCATCCATCACGTTCAATTTCCCGGAGTCGTATCCCGTGACGAAGGACTCGATGAACTATACGAGTGCGGCGATTGGGGTCGTTGCGCTGGTTAGTGTGCTTACGTGGGTGGTTACGGGGAGGAAACGTTTTACGGGGCCGGAGGGGTGGGATGCCGCTGTACGGGTGGAGGGGAAGGTTGAGATGGAAATGGAGGGGGATGGGGATGGGGTGAAGAAGAGGGGGTAACCTTTTCATTTTTTTTTTATGACTATGTGTCTCTTTTTTGGGGTTATTAGTTATATGTATGTTATGTGATATGCAACAAGATACCTATGTAAATACGTAATACCAGATGTTTCCATCTACACGTCTCTACACTATCCACATCACCTCTATACATACTGCTAGTACGCATAAGAATTAGAGAATCATTCATCACCCCTCACCACCCTCGCAACCATCAACGCCAACAACGAATGCGCCACCTCCGCCGCCGCCAGCGTGGTAGTCTCTCCCGCCGTATCATAAATCGGGGCTACCTCGACCACGTCCGCGCCAATGACAGGTAATCCGCGAAGAGCATCAAGAATAGTGAGGAGTTCTCGTGTCGTGAAACCGCCTGGTTCTGCGGTTCCGGTTGCTAGAATCAACATATCACATATACCATTAGTCACCGATGAATAGGTTAGGGTTTCCAATTGGGAAGAAGGAAGGGTGGGGGTGACGTACCCGGGGCATAAGCGGGATCCAACACATCAATATCGACCGAGATGTAGACTTTAGTATCGCCAACACGGGACTTGATTTGTTCGACGAGGCCGGAGACACCGAGACGGTCGAGGTCTCGGGCGGTGATGATTTCGAAGCCGCAGCGGAGGTCGTTGCGGAGGTCGCCTTTTGGACGGATCACGGGGGCGCGGATCCCGACGTGGATGGAGGTGTTGCGGATTAGGCCCTTTTTGTGTTAGGTGTGGCGTTAGGGGGGGTTGGGGTTTGGTGGGATTGGGGGCTGGGGGATTGGGGTACCTCTTCGTGGGCGAGGTGGAGGAATGTGCCGTGGTTGATGCCGCTGTATGGGAGTTAGTGTTTGTGGGAGGTTGGTGGTGGGAAGATTAATGTACGCATAGTGGGAGACTCCGCCGCCTGGTAGATGCGTGGGTTAGAGATGGTCTGAGAACAGTGTAGATGAGGTGAGATCGTACCGAGGACTTCCGGGTCCCATGTATCTGGTCTTCTGTCAATGTGCGGAAGTATAGACTCGGAGGGGAATACACACCGATATGACTATCAAAGTGGATCACCGATACAGGCCCCCATTTCTCGTGGGTCGATCGCAGGGCAGACAAGGTGGTGGTGTGATCTCCACCTAGGGTGATGATACGCGGGAATTGGCTGAGATGAGTGGCATTGGCACGACGAGATGAGACAACCTTCTCATGGTTAGAATGAGTTTCTTACTTAGGGCAGGAAAGGCATACTTTGTGTGCCAGATCAAGCTGTTTCAGCGCCACGGTATTATCCAACCAGGTTAGTGGTGCATCCCCGCAATCCACGAGCTTAGCCCAGCTGGCGAAGACGTTCTCTCCGGTGTAGATGCTCCATCCGCCTAGACGACGAGAACCGAGTCGGATGCCCTTGGGCCCGAATCGGGCTCCAGGACGAGCTGTGACACCCTGCGTTTATTAGCTGCGGTTTCTGGCTGATGGGAAAGGGACGGCTACCGTGTCAAAGGGAGCGCCTAGGAAGGCAATATCATAATTATTGAGGGTTGATTCATCATCAACGAAGCAATTGACATAGGGTAAATTTGCAAAGGTAGTCAGACCAGAGAATTGGCTGCCGGTGACAATGTCAATGGCGTCTTCATGGCCGAGAGGGTGTTGATAAGAGGGATTATGGATGGCAGCAACAGGAGGGAAGACGATGTCCCTTGCTCGGGTGGGTAGAATGAGCAGTGAGAGAGTCACAATAAGAGGATACATGATGGGTGACAATCCGGGGAAGCGAATTGAAGGAGTATGGACCCATTGTGGATGACAGACGATCAAGTAGTTATAGTTTGCTGCTAGTGACGTTAGTCAAGCCAGCTTCACTTATCGGCGCTGACCAAAGAAGCAGTTGCATGCGAGCTCCACCGCAGCCAAGAAGGCGTCAGTAACCAAGCACGATCTGATTGATGATCAAATTAATATTATCAGTTATTAGGGTCTTGTCATGAGATGGAGATACATAGTAGTCGATGTAGATAGCTAATAGATTGCCGGCGAGTGGAAGACTGGAACAGTTCCCCGCAACCCCACTTGGATTTTTGCAATCGCTTCTTCCCTTCGCGTCATCGCCGATTTTGCTTCCTCTTCATCCCAATCGCTTTATCGCCTCAATTGAAAGCAGCACACCCTCACAATGGTATGCACCCCCTCAGCCCTACGCGACCACTCTCCACTAACCATCCCCTCCCAGCCTCACGCCGACTCCTCCTACTTCGGTTCCGCCAATGGCTCCAAATCCGAAGTCTACACGCAGGTCCTCGAGCAGGCCCGCGGTCTAGTCTACGGCCAGCGCAACTGGGTACGTCCTCCCTTCCTCTTATTCAACCAAACTAACAACTCCATCACCAACAGGTCAGGTAAGCTACCCCCCCC